AGCCTAAGCTGGGCTTAAGGACAGACTTCTATAGCTTTTTTAGTAATTAATTCTTATACTAAATCTAACGATCGCTTTTAACTACTTTTATTAAGAACTTATTTAATAAAATTACGATTAATTACCGAAGCCTTACTTATTTTACGATTTATAAATAATAACTTTACTAAAGCTATTCTTACGACGACTATTGTTTATAAGTATCGCAGCCCCGACTTCTGTTAATATAAACCTTACTACGACTAGCTGGCCGTAATACGTAGGTCCTATAGGGCAGGGCCCTGGTCTGGTAATGCGTGTTAGGTTATAACAATTGTAAGGATTATAAAAATATTAAATATAAGTTTATTTAAAATTAAATAAGTTAGTTAATAGTTAATTTATTATTAGATTAAATTAAAGACCGGCTAAAGGATAATTTATAAGTAATATTAATTAAGCTTAGGCGTATAATTAATTACTATTTTTATTATTTAAAATATTAATTATTATTAATATTATAAGTCTTTTATAATATTCTTTAAAATCGTAAAAGTAATAAAAATAATTTATAATTATCGTAATAAAAAAGGGAAAAAAGGATTTATTATCTCGTTTATATATTATTTTTATTAATAATTATAAAGCTTTTTTTTTATATCGAATAGCTAATAGTTTTATTTAAGTATAATTTATCTTTTTTTTAACTATTTTAATTTTTATTTAAAATAAAAAATAATTATTATAATATAAAATAAAAAATCGCTTAATTTAATATAATATTTATTAAAAACTTATTAAATATTAATAATTAATAATTAAAAATATTTTTATAAATTAAAATTATTATTAAGAAATAGCTCCGCCCGTTCTTTAAATATATATTTAAATTAAATAAAACAAAGGATATTATTTAATATTAAAAATTAAAAAAAAAGTTAAGATATAAATTAATAACGAATTAACCGTTAATAAAATAATATTATTTATATTAATTTTAATTACAATATTATAATTTAAAAAGCCGTAAAATATATTTTTTTTTTAAAAAGTTTATTATATAACTTTTTTTATTTTTTAAAATAGTTAATAAAATACTCAAGACTTATTATTATTTTTTATAAACGGTTATAGCCGTCTTTTTTATTTTAGCTTTAATATTTTATTATTTAAAAGTAAAATAACTTAAATATTGTTTTTAGTTTAGCTAATAATTATTAATTATTATTATTAAGAACGTTATTAATAAAGATCCGTTATTTTAAATTTTTATAAATTTAATTAATTATTAAAAAGGTATAAATCTATTTTTTTTTATAAAAAGCGCTATATTATAGAATATATTATTATTAAATATTAATATAAGCTTTTATAACGACTTTTTAAAAAAAATAAATATATTATTTTTGTTAATCTTATTATTAATTTTAAAAAAGGCTTTATATTATTGAAGCGATAAGTAAATAAATTTAATAACATTTTAAAACTTATTAATAAGGCCTTTAGTATATTAAAAGTTAAGATCTTTTTAAAATTATTTAGCGTTAATTAGTATATTTAATTTTTATTTAAATGTTTTTTTATTATTACTAAATAAAAAAGCCTTATTAATAAGGTTAAAAATATAATTATAGTATTTAATTTTTTAGTTAAAAACGTCTTCTTAAGTATAGGTATAAAATAATATAAAATATAAATAACCTAAGTAAATATTATTATTTAAAATATTATTATAAATAATTACTCCGATTTAATTATTTAATTTTTAATCGTTTATTATAAATTTTATAATTTAAATAATATTAACTTTATTATAAGTATTATATTAACGTTATAAAATAATAAAATATTATATTTATTATTTAATATAATTTAAAAAATAAATAAAAACGGCGATAATAATATTCCGTATTAACGAGGTTTATGAATTAAATAATAAATAGACTTTTATTATTAACTTCCAAATCTTTATTTTAATTATATTTTTCTTTTTAATAAAGATCCTATTTAGCTCTTTTTTTATATTTTTATATAATAATAAAAATTCGTTAATAATATTATAATTTAATTAATAAAAAAAAATTTAGAAATAAAGATTTTAAAAAGTTATAAATAGGCTATTATTATTAATAATATATTTAATTATTAATTCCTTAATTCTCGTTACTTAGCCTTTTATAATAATATTAAAAATAAATTTCTATCTCTTTAGTATAAAGTCGTATTTTAAAGATTTTAATAAATATAATAACTTATTAAAATTTAAATTTATTATTTAATATTTTAATTTTAAATAAGCCGTTATTAAGTTTATAATTATTATTTTAAAATAAATAATAATACTTATTTTATTATAACGACGATAAAATTAAAAGATTTTATTTTAATTATTTTTATTATAAATTTTTTAAATAAAGACCTTTTTTAAACGGATTTACGATTTTTTTAGTTTTACGCTTTTTTATAATATTAAATTATTATTTATAAAAGTTTTTTTTTTTAAATTATTTTTAAAAAGGCGAGGAGGTTATTACGAATATTAAGGTCGGTTAATAATATAAAATTAACGTTTATTAAGGTTTATAATTATAAAGTAATCCAAAGCGGTTATAGTATATTAAAAATCGTGCGATTTATTATTAATTAATTAATTATAATATAACGAATCGATTAATATATAATTTAATTAATTTTAATAATAATTATAATAATTATAAAAAGTTAAAAATAGTAATATATAATTTCGTTAGTTTTATCGATATTAAAAAAAAAGGGTATTAATTAATTAAAAAGGTTTTTTTAAATTTTAAATATTAAAGGGTATTAAATCTAACGCTATATACTATTTAAGCTTTTTTTTTAATAATAATTATTAATAATATTTTATATAATTAAATAATATAATACCTTATTTATAATTATAAATAAGGAGTCGTAGGTTCGAATTTTATTATAAAAGTTTATATTATTTATAATAAACTTAGCGGTTTATTTAAATAATATATATTTTTAATTAATTTAGCTTTAGATTTTCTTTTTTTTAAACGATTTTTATTTAATTAAATAGGTTAAATATAAGGCCTTACGATATTTAATTATTTGACTTATTGAAATCCTTATATTTGATTATTTGTTTGATTTATTTGTTTGATTGATTTGAATGGGTAGGTGCGCTGAGTTCTTTGTCTTGCTGTATAAGTCCCAATCGGTCATGTAGATACTTGGTCTCTTGGAGATCGTATCATAGTGGATGTTGAAGCAGAGCTGGCTAACACAGCCACGCAAAGACAGTGTCAACAACGGACCAGGTTCTTCTTTCCCAACAGGACGCAGAGCGCTTGGGAAAGTAGAAACGTGGTTGTCGACGTGCCTCAGTACGGAGAAATCCGCTAACTGCGAGGACTTTTTGGGCCTCGACGTAGTCCATTTACTCTTTAGAACTCCCTTTCTTGTCGATTGTGACTCCACTGTGCTGCCTCTGCCCTGCTTCAAGAGCGTCGTAAATCAAGGTAGAGAAGTGACAGCCTCGTTAAGCCGAGAGCTGCATTCGTTTGACAGCTTCATCGCAGATCTAGAGAAAATGCGAAGAAATTGAACCTGGTTCGAATAAGGGTTTCGGTATCTTCAAGCATTCGGCGCATTGGAAGTTCTTTGATGATTCCCCGCGAGGGTATTTCTCGACTTGAGCCATGGATGATTAGCTGGGGAAAAGTTTCGTAGGTTTATTCAGAAAGTCCTATCCACAACTATTTGTCAGGTAACGGGGACGCCAGAAAGTTCAGGCCATCGTCATGCAATTAAAGCCCGTTGCTATTTTGTCATTAATGATCCAGAGTTACCTACGAGGAACAACGAAAACTGTAGCTGCAGCTGGATCGGGTGAGAATGTTTTCTTGTCTAAATAAAGGGCGGAGAATCACATGGTTCGCCATTGCCTATTGTAGGCTAAAGAAACATGCAGTAGTCTCTCTGCATGACTAGTTTTCTTTGGGAAACGAACTAAGTTTCCACTGGTTAACGATGTCTAGGATGGTTGCACAGCATGTCCAGCTGCTCCCGCAGGTCACTATTGTCATTGATGATACCCTACCCAACAGGGCAATTGACTGGTGTTACTCTGCCAAGCAACATACGAATCCACGAATCAGTCAACCACGCTCTGATAATCCGCTTGTCCTACGATAATCGACGGTCACAACGAAGACCACGACCCTATGGCTCTAGCCTCCGACGTTTAGGTGCAGCCCATGTGAACAGAATATTAAGTACGGCTACTGCTATCAGCTCACCTATGGTTTTCAGCCCGGTATCCATAATCCTCCACTTGGACCGTTGTGCCTTAGGGATGTCATTCCACGCAGTATATGTATAGTCTTTATGCCGATAAGCACATTGTTCAAGTTGAACACTCTATTTCTAAGGTTTCGAAAACAGCAAGTCTAGCGGCTACATCGCTTCCAACAGCTTCTTTATTGCCCGGTGTCTGTTTGGCTCTTCTTTGTCTGCCCTCTTTGTACACGGGTCTTTATCTGAGTTCCTTGCCATAATGAGTTTGCAGTAATCCTTCCCAATACTACTTGCGTCATTCTATAGTTGGTCCTCGGAATCAACGCAAAACCGAAATGGAATAGTATGTGGCTATCTTACTATCTCTGCAAATTTACATGTAGGTACCTAATCATGGATGAAGTTATTCCCGTCTTTCAAAAGACAGTCCGCATGAACATTGGTGGCGGGTATTCCATTGATGTCTCAGTGACGCCCAGCAGCCCTAATCTACCATTAGACTAGGCAGACCAGGATTCGGATCAATCCAAAGGCATCAGCATCGTGGCGCTAGGTGTCGGGCAAATGTGGGGTGGAAGAGCTTGCTGGCATACTGAAAAGTCCTGTTTGAAATAACTGATTTATTTGATCAATCAAAATCGCTGGAAAGTAAACTTGCTAAGCCTACGCATCAAGAACGCCATTGATTCTATTTAGGAAAGAAAGAAGAAAAAGAAGAAACAAAACATCGCCGCTTAAGCGTTGACGCAAGAGAACTTGGAAAGTTTGAAGAATCCGCATTCGCCCGTCGTAGTCTTCCAGGCCTGACAGTTGCCGCAAACACGGTCCACCGTAACTCTACAGAAATGATGATAGCCGCGGCCGTCGACGCCGCGCCAATTCGAGGTCGTCAGGCCTCGGTCGGCGCCGGGGATGCGGGCCGAGACGGTGGAGCCAAGCTCGATGGGGCGGGCGAGGCCGTCAAACGTGCTATATCCCGGGTACCAACCGTCAGTTCAGTGCCTCATACCAGACCAAACTGTCAAGAACGATATTTTTTTTTTTTTGGAAAGGGAGATGTCTTACGCTGTGCACTGGCAATCCTGGGGGGCGGGGCAGTTGCCGCGCGCTACGAGCTCGGCATTCTGAGGAGCAGGCTGGGCGCTGGGGGCAGCGTAGGCAGTCGAGAAAAGGGCAATTGATACAAAAACGAGTGAGAACTTCATTTTGATGGAAGTAGTCTTGAAAGAGTGAATTGAAGTAAAAGGCCTAGGTGATGTACTGAAGGAGTAAAGGAATGAAGTTGATCGAGCTTGGACTGCAGCTCATTTGCCGTGAGACCTCAACGGTCATCTATATCTTTCATTTCAGATGTCATCCCAGCGGCTCGTCTTGGCTCATTAAGGTTTCCCCAAAATCGTCTAGGAAGACTGCGATGAGACGAAACTAGTTCGATAGAGTTCGGATTGACCCGAAGCTCTAGTACGCCTCGTCTCATGTTGGATCCAGCAATTTCCTCGTGGGTGGCGCCGCTGTGAGAGCAATCCGTTCTTTTTCATGAGGCAGGAAAGGAAATTTGATTGATTGCTTCAGACTATCGTATCGGAGGGCCCGGGGACGTGCGATTGCGCAGCCAACATTAGGTCTAGCCTGTCTTGCGAGTCAGGAAATGACCGAGTTGCTGGCAACTCGGCTCCAGAAACTCGGCTAATTTGGGCCAAGTACGAGATTATATGTCGAGAATGCGAGATGCGAAAGTCAAAGAGTGCGAGTTGTAGCCAAGAGGTAATTGCGAGACGCTGGTGGCATATCTATCTGGGTGCGTCCAACCTTTTGAAAAAGTATGGTCATCGTCCTTTTGCAGCACTGAAGGCACGAATAATTACGCTGAACTTCTTGGCTGGAATTCGTTTCGTTTTCTACACGTATCATATCAGACACCCGGTTTTCCTTTAATCGTAGAAGCATGAAGTATTTCAGTATATAGCAACTCTATAGAGTGCGAGTGCTCCACTCTGATTTGACATTCCCAGTATTTCTGAATTAGGCACTTGGTCATGTCAAAGTCGGTCGGTTAAGAGTCCTCCTGGTAGTTGTCCTCGCAGTTCGAGCTGATCGTGGTGGTTTGGTAGGATGTGCTAGTGCATGTCTCTGAGAAGTCGCCAGTCGCGACTTGGACAACAGCAATGGCCAGCAGGGGGAGAGTAGCAAGCACAAGCGTGATGAATGATGTGATGACAGAATAACGATGAAAGAGGGTAAGTAGCAATTTTGTGTTTGTAATGGAGGTAAGAGGCGAGCTACTAGGAGTTGTGATGTGCTCTATATGCCATACTAGTTGAGCCGACCCTTATGCCAGGTTTGGCCTAGTGTGATGGAGGCACGGTGTCCTCGAAGAGAACGCTGCAAACCCTGAGGAGCTGCTGAGTCACGATTACTTCTGAAGCTTGAAACATGAGGTGGAAAAGCTAAATCACTTGAAGCTCGCATTAGTCTTGCCGCGCAACGCGTGGACAGCAGAGTCGGCATCAGTTCGCAGGCTGTCTCTCAACTTCAGAGGCTGATTTCGTCCCCGACGAATACAGGGTGCGGCTTGATATGAAGTCCAGCAGGCGCTGATAATGCAGGTATCAATTGTCTCTAAATTTCCTAAAACTCCGACGGGACCACCCTCTCTTCACCCCAAGAGCTCGTGCAGACCTTCTTCCCTCAGCGTCTCTCTCACTGCCTCTAGAACCCTCGCGTGAACCGACGGCGGTGCCGCAATGAAACCGTAGTTGGCCTTCATTTTCCGTCCCGCGACGAGATTGACAGGGTTGCCGTCCACGTCCGTAACCTTCCCGCCCACCTCCTCGAAAAGCAGCATGGCGCCCGCGTGGTCCCAAATCTTGGCAAGTCGGTCGCGCCGCCTGTAGGCCCAAAACGTGCAATTCGCCTGGCCGAGACCGAGGACCGTCCACCGCAGCACCCAGCCGAGCAGGTCGTTGCCCGGGTACGCGACGCCGAGGCGGTTGGCGACTTTTTGGTGGATCCCCGGCGCCCCCGATTCGGAGCCCTCGATGCAGGTCACCGAGACCAAGGATTGCGTGTCCACATCGGCATGGCGGGGGATCTTTGCGGGCGCGAGATCGATTGGGCCTGGAAGCGGCCGGATAAATGTTCCGTGCCCTCTGACGGCGAACATGATGCTGCCGGTGCCGGTGGGGTCGATGGAGTCGTTGTTGATGGGCGCTTTTGCGTCGGCCGAGAGCAGCGGCAGACCGACGATGCCGACGCTCTGCTTCCCGTCCTCCATCAAGCATACGTTGATGGCGTAGAGCTCGCCTCGCACAAACGTCTTTGTCCCGTCAATGGGGTCGAACACCCAGAAGCGACCGGTTGGTGAAGGATCGCTCAGGCCGCACCAGTCAATCATGTCGCACATCTCTTCTGGGGACGCCGGCAGCTTGCATAGTGAATCGGCCTCCTTGTCGTTCTCGACCTGCTGCAGCAGTGCCCATACGGACGCGAGGAGTTCGGGGTTTTCGCGGAGGTCGGCGGCGGACTCTTCGCCCACAAACTTATCGTCGGGGAAGGCGGCGTGTAGTGTGCTCGTCAAGAGGGCCTGGATGGCGAAGTCGGCGACGGTGACTGGGCTGAGGTCCTCCTTTGTCACGACGCCCTTGTCATCTTTGACGAGGACGCGGCGGCTGAGCTTGGCGCCATGCTGGATTGCTGCGATGGCAGTTGCCAACTCCCGAGCGTACGGTCCGTCCATGGTCGTCGTTGAAGGATGGGATTTGCCGTGGAGTGAGATGAGATGAGGTGGGTGGTGGTGAGGAGTCTCGATGATAGGTGGGGTGGATTTGACAGCGCTGATCGTGCAGAGTGGGTTCAGTGAGTACCTAGGCAGTTGATGAGTCAGACGATTGATGTGGATGCTGATGAGAATGCAGAATGCGGTTGCGGTTGTTCATGCAGGTTTGACGTTCGCAACCTAAAAGAATGTGGTGGTAGCCGTTGATGTCCTGGCATGAGAATGTTTGAATGCAGTTTCTGGAATGGCACCGATGATGTCAGACCACAAGGTTAGGCGCTCTTTTTCCAAGTGCCTTCCCGACGCAAATTTTGCCGGGAGAACTCCGGTGACGTGGTAAGCTGTGGCCCCGGCATCGGTGTCGGCAGCCCCGGCTCGAAAAGCGGGCCCCGTCTCCGCCTTCAAAAGCTTCAGATCCGACTTTGAGGGGCAACAACATTCAATATGGTAGGAGCTTATACATGATGCATGAAGGGTATCACAAGTTCGTCGCTGCTGACCTATCTTCGTTACCAAGTTGAAGTTGAAGAGAGTCTACTGAGTGCCACTCCTTGCCCAGAATCTCATTTTGGCAGGCCCGAAGTGCAGGTTTGCATGATGTATTTCACTGATGGAACATCTGGTAAGCAATACTGCCACTCAAGTCAAGGCAAGAGAATGTCACTTACTTTCTTTCCACGTGCGTCGTTTGTGGAACAACACGCCACGCAAATACCACAGCCGGGCACACCACACAGCTACCAATGCATCTCGCATCGCCCGGTCCAAGGACACGAGAATGTTGAGGCTGTACATGCCCGCCTGGGCTTCCTCCACTGCCAATCTCGATCCGTTACGGTCGAGCCAGTCAAAGACTTCATTGTTGCGCCGAACGTCAAATAACAGCTCTCGCGCCTCGTACTCAATCCTGTTGTTCGCCTTACGACCTACAAGCCACGCTTTACACTCGCTCTTTCCGATTTTCAGAAATTTGAGCCCGATGCTACCCAGACCGCTCCGAGATGTTGGTTTAATGTAGTACGGGAAAGCTTCTTGAATGATGGCGGGCGGGCGCTCCAAGTTAAAGATGTGCCTCGGATTCGAAACGATTTCAGGAGCAAGGCCGGAATCGTAGGCGCGTTTCTTGATACTGTAGTCGATACGGCTGAACTCCACCAGTGTATCAGTCTCCCGCAGAAAATCTATCTGATGGTTGATCTCAAAGATGCCAGGCGCGTCGATGTTCCGGGAGTTGGCGGAATGGATGTACCGGCCTGCCAAGCGAAGTGTGTCTGGTGGAATGCCCTCTTGGACGGCAGCAGCGTCAGCCGCGTAGTCCGGCGGCAGATCCGGATTGGCGTGGGATTCAGCCATGTGATTCTCCGATCCCTTCTTCTTGGTCTCTACGGAATAAAAATATTGTAGTGAGACTTTGGTTATCGAGCTGCTATGAAGAAAGATTATGCAGCCGAAATAACACCTTGGTCATGTTACTTGTTGGGTAAATTGCAGTGAAATGAAAGCGCAGAGGTCGAGCGTGGTGGCATGGTTTTGAAGGTTAATGAGGTCATGCGCAACATCAAATGAGCCGTGAGAGGCCCAAACAGCAAGCGTTGACCGGGCGTGCTTACTGTACGTGCAAAGAGCTAATCAATTGGCTCGTTGCTACCGCTGCCTAAGCAGGTGGGCGACAAAGAAACATGGGAACGCTACGTCGTGCGGAACTACGGCAAACGCATCACAATTTGATTGGGTCTTGTGCTCTGTCAGCAACTCGCCCAATGCGTGTGCGGCATATTTGAAATACCGCAACAACGAAGTCAGCTGCGCTCACGTAGTTGCCCGAGTTGTATGGAAACTCAGTTTTGCAAAGATGTATGGAGTTCAAGACAAGTTGCGCCATTTCCAATCACCCATGAATCACTTGAGGTTCCGAGTGATGATCCGCCAACTTTTGTGTTCTGACTTCTTCCATCAGAGCATGCGTTTCAGCCTAGAATTGTATTCATTGTCCATTTCGCGAAGTTGATTTAAAAGTTGTTTTTACTTGCACTTGAGGTTATATCAGCTCGGTGTAGCAGATGGCTAGTGTTGTTATCAGCAATACCTTCAGCAAAGTTTGGTCTAGTGCAACGGACTAGTGCAACGAATGCAATGAACGTTCTTTGAGAGTGACACTCAGCCTCATGTTGATCTCATGGCAAGGTAGCAATTGAATCTGTGCGATTGCGGAGAGTTTACAGCCCCAAGCACTTGCTCCCATATGCGTTTTTGTCAACTCAATAAGACGGACTCGCAACAGGGTTGTGGATTCTGGTCCAGCAACTGTTTAATGTAAGGCCAGACAAGGGTGCTAGACCTCTAATCCCTTGCGGCAAAGTGTAAAGGGAATGGCGGCGGTAGAAGATGCTTTTCCTAGATAGCAACGTCTCTGCAACTGTACACTGGCCGTAGGCCTTCCAGCGCTTATACCCAAACAAACAAATCAAATATAAGGTTCGTATTTAATTATTTACCTTATTTCTCGCGCTATATTTAATTATTTAATAAATAATTAATAGATTTAACTGATTTCTTAATTAGGAATAAATAAAGCTATTACGAAAGTCTTTATAATATTAACTTATAGACTTTACCTCGATTAGCTCTTCTAATTAAAAAATTAACCTCTTACTTTTATAACACCGCCGCAAAGCCAGTTTTTAAAATATTAAACCTCCTTTTGCGTAGAAGACCTTATTAATAATCGTTATAAAGTTAAAGTCAACTTCGCGAGGCTGAATATCCTCTTATAATCTATTATTATTATAAAAATCGTAAAGATATTAAATATAAGCTTATTTAAAGTTAAATAGGTTAGCCGATAATTAATCTATTATTAAATTAAGTTAAAAACCGGCTAAGGGATAATCTATAAGTAATATTAATTAAGCTCAGGCGCGTAGTTAATTACTACCTCTATTATTTAAAATATTAACTATTACCGGTATTACAAATCTTTTATAATACTTTTTAGAATCGTAAGGGTAATAAAAGTAATTTATAATTATCATAGCAAAAAAAAAGGAGAAGGACTTATTATTTTATTTATATATTATCTTTATTAATAATCGTAAAGCCCCTTTTTTATATCGAATAGCTAATAACTTTACTTAAGTATATCTTACTTTTTCTTTAGTTATTTTAATCTTTATTTAAAATAAAAAATAATTATTACGACGTAAAACAGAAAATCGCTTAATTTAATATAATACTTATTAAGAACTTATTAAATATTAATAACTAATAATCGGAAATATCCTCATAAGTTAAAATCATTACTAAAAAATAGCTCCGCCCGTTCCTTAGGTATATATTTAAACTAAATAAAACAAAAGATATTATTTAACATTAAAAATTAAAAAAAAGGTTAAAATATAAATTAATAACAAGCTAACCGCCGACAAAGTAATATTACTTATATTAATTACGATTATAATACTACGATTTAAAAAGCTATAAAATATATCTTTTTTTTAAAAAGTTTATTATATAACTTCTTTTACTCCTTAAGACGGTTAATAAAGTACTTAAGACCTACTATTATTTCCTATAAACGGCCATAGCTATCTCCTTTACCTTAACTTTAATATCTTATTATTTAAAAGTAAAATGGCTTAAGTACCGCCTTCAGCTCGGCTAACAGCTACCAGTCGTTATTGTTAAAAACGTCGTTAATAAAGATCCGTTATTTTAAATCTTTATAAACTCGATTAGTTACTAAAAAAATATAAATCTATTTTCTTTTTTATAAAAAGCGCTATATTATAAAATATATCGAATTCTACTTTATATCGTTATTAAATATTAATATAAGCTCTTACGACGACTTTTTAAAAAAAATAAATATATCGTTCTTATTAATTTTATTACTAATTTTAAAAAAGGCCTTATATTATTAAAACGATAAGTAAATAAATTTAACAACGTTCCGAAGCTTATTAATAGGGCCCCTAGTACGCTAAAAGTTAAAATCTTCTTAAAATTACTTAGCGTTAATTAATATATCTAATTCTTATTTAAATACCTCTTTATTATTACTAAATAAAAAAGCCTTACCAATAAAGTTAAGAATATAATTATAGCACTTAATCCTCCGATTAAAAACGTCTTTTTAAATATAAATATAAAATAACATAAAATATAAATAACCTAAATAAATATCGTTATTTAAAGCATTATCGTAAATAATTACTCCAACTTAATCGCCTAATTCCTAGTTGTCTATTATAAATTTCATAATCTAAACAATATTAACCTTATCGTAAGTACTATACTAACGTTATAAAGTAATAAGGTATTATATTTATTACCTAACATAATTTAAAAAATAAGTAAAAACGGCGATAATAATATTCTATATTAACAAGGTCTATAAATCAAATAATAAGTAAACTTTCATTATTAACCTTTAAATCTCTATCCTAATTATATCTTTCTTTTTAATAAAGATCCTATTCAGCTCTTTTCTTATACTTCTATATAATAATAAAAATTCGTTAATAATATTATAATCTAACTAATAAAAAAAGGCCCGGAAATAAAAATCTTAAAAAGTTATAAATAAGCTATTACTATTAATAATATATCTAATTATTAACTCCTCGATTTTTATTACCTAGCCTTTTATAATAATACTAAAAATAAGTTTCCGTTTTTTCAATATAAAGTCGTATTTTAAAAATTCTAATAAATATAATAACTCGCTAAAGCTTAAATCTATTACTTAATATTTTAATTTTAAATAAGCCGTTATTAAGCTTATAATTATTATTTTAAAATAAATAATAATACTTATTTTATTATAGTAATAATAAAATTAAAAAACTTCGCCTCGATTATTTTTATTATAAATCTTTTAAATAAAGACCTTTTTTAAATAGATCTACGATTTCCTTAGCCTTACGCCCTTTTATAATATTAAATTATCGTTTATAAAAGTCCTTTTTTTCTAAATTACTTTTAAAAAAGCGAAGAGGTTATTATAAATATCGAGGTCGGTCGATAATACGAGATTAACGTTTATTAAAACCTATAGTTATAAAATAATCCGAAGCAGCTACGGCGCACTAGAAATCGTATAACTTATTACTAATTAATTAATTACAATATAACAAATTAATTAATATATAATTTAATTAATTTTAATAATAATTATAATAGTTGTAAAAAGTTAAAAGTAGTAATACGTAACTTCGTTAGTTTTATCAATATTAAAAAAAAGGGGCATTAATTAACTAAGGAGGTTTTTTTAAATCTTATATATTAAAAAATATTAAATCTAGCGCTATATACTACTTAAGCTTTTTTTTTTTAATAATAATTATTAGTAATATTCTATATAATTAAGTAGTATAATACCTTACTTATAACCGTAAGTAAAGAGTCGTAGGTTCGAATCCCACTACAGGAGTTCATATTACTTATAACAAACTTAACGGTTTACTTAGGTAATATATATTTTTAATTAACCCGGCCTCGGATTTTCTTTTTTCCGGACGATCTCTATTTAATCAAATAAATCAAATATAAGGCCTCACGATATTTAATTATTTAACTCGCTAAAATCCTTATATTTAATTGTTTGTTTGACTTATTTGTTTAATTAATTTGAATGGGTAGGTGCGCTGAGGCCTTCTTCCTTGCTAGTATTCCCATGCAGACTTCCGACTCCATCGATTCCCCACAAGGTGTAAGTAAAATCTCCTCTTATGATCTGAAGCGTGGAAGATCATCGTGGATCTCCAAGCATTTCCAGATAATCAGTGTTTACCTACTTTGTCCGTGGATGAACAGGAGACCCACAGGCTGTGGTTCGTGAAACAAATCAGCCATAGCTGTGGATTACAACAACATGTAGCAGTCCAAACCGAGTCGTTTTAGGCATGATAAATTCAAGAACAATACGCTTGGTACCTGCCTATCTCTGGGAGTTAAAAGCTCGGAGAGAAAGATTTCATCACACAGCCAAGACTACGATTGGGCGATTCCTTTTGTTGGTAATTGTTGGTATCCCTATCGCAGGATAATCTGGGTTCGAACCGTAGTTTTAACGTGGTGACGAAGGCTCAATTGACTGTATGTTGATTTCTGCGTGAAGTGGAAAAGAGAGGTTCTAATCGTAGGCTAACCGGTCAGTTAGCCCATCAGTTGGAAGCTGATATAGAGGTCCGTAGATGGCCCCTGCGCTTGCGCTGACTCGAGGTCGAATTGGACTTCCAAACGGATAGTCATTATTATCCAAATCCGTGCTTCAATCCTACAAGCACCCATGACCTACCAAAGTTCACCAGGAACGGCTGGGTCAAGGATAAGAAGCGCTTGTGACATTTAAAGCCTCGTGCGGCTTGCTAGGGATAGCCCGATAGACTCATCTAAGCGACATGGATGACCGGTGAAAGGTCTGAGTACAGCTATTGGACGCTGAGCGCAAACAAACCAAAAAAAACTCTAACCTTTAATTACTCCGAGAGGTTTTCTCGCACCGTGCTCGCTATGGTGAATTCATCGCCTGATTTGGGAAGCAAGAGGGTGAAAACTCTGCGAAACCTTGAATTCAGCAATAGACAACAAGGTTGGCATTAGATAATTGGACGACGCATCGATTCATTCCAATACACCACATGTTTGCAGCCGAGGCCAACCGGGCCCGCGGTGCCGTACAAAGTCGCTCCCTTGGGTGAGTCGAGTCTCTTTACGGGAATCAGTCGTCTGACACGGGCGCCTCATGCATGGATCTTTTCTTCGACGGCCCGAGTCTGCGCGCAATTATTCGTCGCTAGCAGCGCGTATCCTACGTCATCGAGCGGGAGATACAGAAAAAAAAAAAAAGCCTTGCTGCGGATGCGCAAGGTACAAAAGGACCCATGAGAGCGCCAAGCCACGCAGAACGGGTCAAGCGGCAGGCATTCGAGGAACGGCATGGTGGAGTCTCTCGGTCCCGCAGGGGTGGGGCCGTACGGTGTTGAGCAGTGGTCCACTATGGCCCATTGTACGGTTCCGTTCCAATCAAGCCGTCGGAAGCATCCACGCCGTAGGACTCGGCGTCCTGCGCGTCGTGCCATTCTCCACTCCTCCTCGAGGCAAAGACGAGACCTTGGCAAATGGGAGCCCGTCTCTCAAAGTCTTTACCCTTGCGCCCGCCCGCTGCAGTTCCTTGGGTGTTTCTGTGACTTGCCTGGGTCCTCTCTGCTCAGGATCCCTACAAAACTTAATGGGCACGCCCAGCGCCGCGGCGGGAGCATGCCCAGCAACACCTGCCCTACCCTATCGGCCAGCCATTGCGGCTCAAAACACCAAAGTCTTATCTGTGCGCCTGATGATCGACTCCTTGCGACGTCGACCCTGAAGGTGAGCTTCTTTCAACGACGACTCATCAAATCCTCGTGGGTGACATTTTGCATCTCACCGGGAACATACACCGCCCGCGGTAGGCTCCTTTCAACGGATCCCTCCACAAATTCGCCGCCCACCGACTCGAGCCTGTGGAGTAGTCTCATTTGGATTGGCCCGCCCCCCTTGGAATAGGTAATGAGTGTGAAGTGTCCCACATCCCTTTGGGTTGGGCATTGACTGGCGGCTGCATATAAAGTGGATATTGGCGAGCCTTTTGAGACACGCTCGTTGGTCGTTTAGCTAAGGTCTTGCACTATTTGTCCTAACTGCGACGATAGTGATTGGCCGGTTCTCGCGTGTTTAGATGACATGAAGACAAATATTCGTTATTTCTTTTCCCACTGGCTCAGAGGAGCTGGGCTTTTTGCCGCAGCCGGGCAAAAACTAGTGCGACACTGCGACATGGTGTCTTTGGATACCCCCCGGATTCGCCCCCAGCCTCGCGCCATTCTGCCTTGGTGCCTCGGTCTTGAGGAAGTATTTTCCCTCCCTCCGACTGCACTGGCGACTGCGGCGAGTAGGATGATGGAAGTCAGGCAGACTCGCGTGTCGGCATCTCACCGAAACACCAGAAACAAAGGGAGATTGGCCACCGACAACATAGCCCGGGATGATGAGTCCGTCTGATGCTCATTGGCTCCCTCCCCCGGGCAGCCAGCGTCCGTCACACCAAGTGGCCCTCGCGTAGTGTACAGATAACCCACGGACTAGGTATCTGTTCTCCATTTCTTCCCCCCCTCAGCAAGTGAAACCCTTGTGGCCCTTCAGACAGCGCTGACAAGTGAGATTGGGATGAGCGACAACTCTGTTGTATGGGGGATACGTATCTGATAACCCCGCATAAAACTGCCTGAGATGGCAATGTGTCCCTGCAGATAAAGCTGGAGATTGCGCCTCCCCCATTCTCAATCCTGCGAGGCGAACGCTGACTTCCGATATCTCTGTCACTGTGCTGATATCGATAAGCCACCACTAGTGATATGTGTTAGTCAAGGCAAACTCGATACAATCCCAGACACGGTGGAATTCAAAGACGGCTCAGAATTCCCATGTCGGCGAGCACTGCGAGCAAGTAGCCGCACCCAACCAAGCCAACCCCCGCCCAGCCCCCCCCGAGCGCCACACACAGGCCCCCCCAACCCGTCACTAAACCCCCACCCCTCCAAGCCTCCACCAACCCACCACCCCCCCCCCCGCCCCGTCCAATGAAAAGATGCATTCAGAAAGCGGACGCTAACACAGGGAATGACGACATTGCGGAAATATTCTGCCTTAGCCCAGCGCCGCGCCGAAGGATTGGGATGGGGTCGAATCCATGGATGGCAGGGGTTGCCACAACGCCTGTGTACGGAATCAGGGACGAACCCAGTCAACTCCACACAGACTTTTCCAACGTTCCTGGCCCTCTAGTAGGATACTCGTCGTGTCCCTGAATTTCTGATGCACTCAACGCCGAGAAGCCGCGGGTTAGTTTGAATAGTGACCCGGCCTCTGCTGTGGATTGTTTAGCTGCAGAATTCAGTTTTTTAAAGAAAAAAAGGCTCTGCATTGGTGCGTAACTCGGCGCGGCGCATTCTCTCTCTGGCTCGCTGGCTCGCTGCGGGTAGTGTATCGGTATCGTTACACTGTGTGTGGCATGTGGCACGTTGCCTTCAGAAAGAAGTTCGCCCAGTTCGCAAAGGTTTTCCCCCAGTCCCCTTGAACGAGACGCTGATCCATCTGCCTGCTACCTGCCACCCTTAAAACTAAACTCTCCCCCATTGAGATCCCTCGCGTGCTTCGTTCGAAACGTCTCGTGCTCTCTTCCCTTCTTCTGTCTGCTTCCTCCCTACATCTCGCATTGTCCCACGGTTTCCACTTGGCTGAACCGTTGGACCCTCCTCCACATGCACTCAGTGGCCTCTTCCCTCCGCCTCTCACCATCATACCTCTACGGGGACGAGTCCAGGTGAAGTCGTCGCGCCTGAACGAGCCTCCACTCTTCCACCATGTCGGGTTCCGAGCAACTCAAGGGCCCGGTCGAAACCGTCCCTGGTGAGAGGGTCTCCCTCGATAGCTATGGCTCGTCCGTGCGACACAACTCCGATGGCCTCCAGCGCCGCCTCAATAACCGTCAAATCCAACTGATTGCCATCGGAGGCACCATCGGCACCGGTCTGTTCGTCACCATCGGCGGTGGTCTCGCCAAGGGCGGACCCGGCAGCCTGCTCCTCGCCTATACCCTATACGCCTGCGTCGTTGCTCTCGTCAACAACTCCATCGCCGAGATGAGCACCTATATGCCTGTGTCTGGTGGTTTCATCCGCCTGGCTGGTGTTTGGGTTGACGATGCGCTCGGCTTCATGGTCGGCTGGAACTACTTCATCTACGAGGCACTGCTTATTCCTTTCGAAATCACTGCGCTCAATCTCGTGTGTTCCTTCTGGAACGAGAAGATCACAGAGCCGGGTCCGACAGCGGGTTTCTGCATAGCCATCATCATCGCCTATGGGTAAGTCATTATCAAAGTCTTGGGGACGATTGACTCTTTTCTTCTCTATTACAGAGGCGAGCAACTAGACCGAGCGGACACTCTAGAGCTCGTCGCGTGCCCACCGTGAAACCCTCCTCATTCTACTCACTGCATCTTTCCTCTTGCTTCGGTGGTGCTCGTTATGTATGCATGCTAAACGTCAATGTGTGATTATAGTCTTCTGAATGTTGTTGCCGTTGGCATCTTTGGTGAGGCAGAATTCTGGCTATCCGGCGGCAAGGTCCTGCTCATCTTCATCCTCTTCCTCTTCACCTTTGTCACAATGGTGGGAGGAAACCCCGCGCATGACGCCTACGGATTCCGATATTGGAAAGAGCCTGGCGCGTTTGCGCAATATATGACGCATGGTGACACCGGTCGCATGGAAGGCTTCATGGGTGCTCTGGCCACGGCCACGTTCACCATTGTCGGCCCAGAATATATCTCCATGATCGCCGCCGAGGCGAAGCACCCGAGTCTGTACATCAAGGGCGCCTTCAAGACCGTCTACCTGCGCTTCGGCCTCTTCTTTGTGGGCGCCGCCCTGACGTGCGGCATCGTGCTCCCCTACAACGACCCGACCCTCGTCGAGATCTACCTGGGCACCGGTGGCGGCGGCGGCACCGCGGCGGCGTCCCCGTGGGTCATGGCCATGGAGAACCTCAAGATCCAGGGTCTGCCCCACCTGGTCAACGCCCTGCTCTTCACCACAATCTTCTCCGCCGGCAACACGTACGTCTACTGCGCGACCCGGTCCCTGTACAGCTTGGCGCTCGACGGCCGCGCCCCGGCCCTGCTCCGAAAGACCACCAAGAACGGCGTGCCCATCTACTGCTTCGCCGTCACCATGATCTTCCCCTTTCTCTCTTTCCTGCAGTGCGGCAGCGGCTCCGCAAAGGTCCTGAGCTGGCTGCTCGCGCTCATCACCGGCGGCGGCGTCATCAACTACCTCGTCATGTCCATCACCTTTATCAACTTTTACCACGCGTGCCGAGCCCAGGGCGTCGACCGCAAGCAGCTGCCGTACTGCGGATACTTCCAGCCCTACGGCGCCTACCTTGCCCTCTTCCTCCAGACCGTCGTCATCCTCGTCTACGGGTGGTCCGCGTTCCGCCCCGCGTTCGACGTCGGCAACTTCTTTTCCAACTACACGATGCAGATCGTCGCGCCTCTCCTGTTCATCTTCTGGAAGGTCCTGAAGCGCACCCACTGGCTCAAGCCTCACGAGGTGGACTTGACGTGGGACCGTCCCATCATCGAGGCCTACGAGCAGCACGCGATGGTGCACGAACCCCCCACCACCTTCTGGAGAGAGATGTTGCAGATGATTGGAATTGGTCGCAATAAGGTGATCAAGGGCGAGAAGGCATAAAAGAGTAATTTTAATGATGATGAGGGTGGAAAGCGCGTGATACCCCAGTGTGCTAAATATACGGTCGGCTACATGTATGCAGCGTAATATAAAAGTTATCATCATTTCTTCACCTTGCAACAAAAGCTTCAGTTCAGTCAATTTAAAGGAGTCTATAGACGCTTCCTCCAATCCTCATCAGTGCGAAGGCACACCCTCATCCGCTGTAGCGTAATTATAGCGGTAAAAAATACAGTAAGCAAGCAGCCTGAAGGTTTCAGCCCGCGCGGTATTAGTGCGCGACCGACGCCACAGCTGAAAACGCGTTCTAGGTCCATTTCAGCTCGGAAAAAGATATTTGCTCTTCCGAGCTTCTGCCTATCTGATCATTCAGAGCGCATATGGACTTTCAAGCGTCGTTGGCGGAGGGTCTCTTAAAAAGGGTGGGGCAGCCCGTCCCGTCACCGAAGAGGGCTGAAGTACGACTCACATCTCATTCCTGCATAGCCTAGCAACCAAATACGGAGAATGTCAGTCGCAGACAGCCTGGTAGAATCCGTCGCGACATTCAGAGGAGTCCTCACTTCAGATGAAAATGCCGCGCTCCAAGCTTCGCTCTCAGACCCTCTTCCTGATGTCGGTGCGGTGATCGCCTTCACGGCATCCCTTGATCGTGCAAATGCTCGTCGCAAGGGGCCGAGTATTGCCTCTCGGCTATATTCCATTATTGAATCTTTTCAAACATTTTCTGCCATGGTCGAGACGTATGTTTCTTCAAACCCACAGATCGCTGCTCTGGTTTGGGGCTCTATAAAGCTGGCGCTAATGGTCTGATACTACTAATTAACCCCAAAAACATAAGCTAGCACAGTGCTTACCTACATGCAGATCTTGAGCAACTTTACTTCCTACTTTCAAGAATTCTCCAAAGTGTTGATCAAAGTCGAGAGGATTCGTCCCATGTTTGAGGAATACAAAACCCTTTTTCCCGACTCCGAGGAACTTCAGAAGGCCGTCTGCGAGCTCCACGCATCTATCCTCAGATGCTGTACACAGCTGATCTCCATCGTTCGGCGCGCATGTACTTCTCGCCTCCGTTAACGGAAAATATCCTTTTAGTTGCAACACCGCTGATACCAGTGTAGGGCCCGTTCATCTTCTCCATGCGGTGTTCCAGTCACTTCCTTCCGAGATGCGAACCTCAACTGATGCTATGTTTGACGCGGTGGAAGTGGTCAAGGAGCAAATCTCTATGGCCAAAACTCGGGCGCAGGTTCATGAATACAAACAGCAGAGTCAGGAAAGACAGATTGCGAGCAAACATCGATCCCTACTAGGGAGCTTCCTGACTCTCAATCAAAACAAGGAGCTTGTAGATATCTCCGAGTCAAAAAGACAGCTCGCTCACCAAATTTTAAGTCTGAAAGCTTCCCCCCTCCTTTGACATCCGATAACGAGCAATCTAACGTCTAGTATTAGTGGGAAAACGAAGAGAGCTTCTTGATGGTCTTTCAAAGTACGACTATGTCACGGCTTTTCAACAAGCCCGCCAGAAAAGATTCAAGGGGACTGGAGAGTGGATTGTCTCAGCTCCTCAGTTCATCGACTGGCGGAAGAGGCCAACATCTGGGATCATAACCTTGACCGGAAAAAGTACGCATGGATGCCTCTCTGCGTTATCTGCGTTATCAGCGCCGGGGGCTGGGCCTCATACTAACATATGGTTCTACTCTAGTTGGTTCTGGCAAAACCATTTTAAGGTATTTCAATTCTACATTTCTCTTGGCATGGAGAGTATCCGATCTTTAATCTCAATGGCTCATATCTTTCAAGCGCAGCCGTTATCGACTCCATTTTTGAAAAGGATGGCACCAGTTTGCCCGTTATGTTCCACTTCGTTCGATTCGATGAACCAAAGTCCATGGATGCTGAAACTATTCTGAGATCTTTGATTCGCCAAAATCTTCAACCCGAGTCTATGACGGAAGAGATCACTAATAGTCTTGCCAATGCGGCGAAATCTCTCTACAGCCCAGAGTCGCTTCGCACGCTACTTGAAAGAAAACTCATCTCTCAACAGGAGACCTGCGTGGTTATAGATGCTCTGGACGAATGCCAACATTCTCATCAGAGAAAGATATTGCAGGCACTTCTGTCAGCGATAAGCCTCCCATCCATAAATTTGAAGCTGTTCATTTCCAGTCGAGGAAACCTCTCTGGTCTGTTTCAAATCCGACAAGAAAAACCTCAAATTTTGTTCGGCATCTCGACAAGTTCTGACGCTGCTGCTCACGACATTGAAGTCTACATCGAAGATGCCCTGGAGACAAAGGTCACTGAGGGAGAACTTGCATTCGAGGACCCTGGAATTAAAGATGAGATACGAACAGAGCTGTCAAAAGGTGCTCAAGGGATGTGAGTTACCACGCAAGCGTACGGAAGCTTGACATGTCGTTTGGCTGATAAAATATCAGGTTCCTATGGGTCGCGCTCGAAATTGAGGACGTTTGCTATCAGTGCAATGACGAGGCCATCAGATCGGTACTACGAGATTTGCCGAAAAACCTAACAGAGACCTTTGATCGCGCCCTACAAAGAATACGCGCTAGACACAAGAACCAAGAAGCAATCGCGCAGAAGGCCTTGCATGTCGTAGCGGCAGCCAAAAGACCCCTCAAGCTTGCCGAATTACGCATTGCCATCTCGATTGAAATCAACCAAAGCCATTCAAGGCCAGGCCAACTGGTGAACAATATTGATCTAGTTGCGCAATGGTGTGAGAACTTGCTCTATGTTGACGACTCAACAAATACCGTCCAGTTTGTTCATCATTCAGCGTTGAAATACATTTTGGAGCCCAGTAGCTTGGCGGACATTACCCATTTTCACCGACCTCTGGACGATTGTCATCATGAGCTGGGCGAAATATGCGTCACATATTTGAACCTGAACGACTTCAGGACGACAATGATCAAGCGGCCCAAGCCCTTGCCTATTATGGACCCCAATGCAATTCAACGAGTGGCCCTCAACGCTTCATCGGTGAAAAATAGCGTCGTAAAAGGACTGGAAACGCTGCGGAGCGGATCTCCAATTAGACAAAACGTACCGGTACACACGGCCTCGGTCGCGCGGCTGGAAAGGTATCGCAACCAGCCAGCCGCCGTCGTGACTACCGAGTCGGGCGGCGCTCAAAACTTTGATATTGGGCGTTTGCTTGACTACGCCGCTGAATTCTGGATACATCACACGTCTTCTTTCCAATCGGGGAAAACCCACGAGGCCATTTGGGAAACATGGCATTTCATGATCAGCGGCGCTCATGACCTAGCAAAGACTCCGTGGACAGAAGAAGACTATGCCCAAAAGTCTGCCGTCGCAGTGTCTTGGGCAAAAAACGTGGAGCACGTAGCCCTTCTCGAGAGGTTCTTCTTCGCGGAGAACTATCCTGCAGAATACGACGCCGTGGATGTGCTGTCTTTATTTGTCAACATGACCTCGAAACGGCTCCTCGCACGCCTAATTTCTCGCCTCAGTCACTCAGACTCCATTGATTGCTACGGAAGGGCAATTGCTCGAGGGTTGATAGCCTCGCCCGCTGTGCTCTTTAAGGAGGTTTCCTGCCAGTGCGGCAGTTCACGAGATGGCCTCCTACCTGATTTGTGCCAATCTGCAACGCTTGGCACCTACCAACCAAACCCAGCCGGTCCAAACTTTAGTGAACTTGCATTTCTTTCAGCAGCGTGGTACGATATCCGGATCACCCTCCAAAGACTCCTCTACTATGCCCCTCCCTGGCTTCATAATCCTACTGCCATGGGCAAGTCGGCATTGCACTTGGCAGCAGAAGCCGGCAACGTTACCGCGACCAAGCTTCTTCTTCAAGAGGGCTTCGAGTTTAGGGCTCTGACCAAACCGGAAATTGGGAAGAAGACGCCTCTTCAAATTGCCATGGATAGAGGGCATGGGATCGTGATGAAGATTCTCATAGACTGGGGGAAAGAGCACAAAGATCGTCCTCCCCTCTCAGATGTGCCGGAGTGGAAGGGGAGAAGAAACACGATAAGATCAAACAGGTGGGGCAAGTATCCTCCTGAAGCTGAGAGATACCTTGACCTGCAGGAGATGATATCTGGGACCAAGGTGCCACGTGTTAGGGCGGATGATAAGCATCCCACAGCGCTTCCTCACATCTTGAAGGCCAATGGGTTGGATTGGGAAGACAGGGCTAAGTTCTCATGACTTGGATATGTAGTGCCTCGATGGCATTCCGCAGTTAGGTACCTACGTTATATGTAAGCTTACCTCTATTGTTGTTTTGGTAGCTTCAAGTGTCTGTATTGATTGCATATGTGTATTTGCGACACCCATGTGCTGAAGACTTTCAGCTTCTGCGTGGAAGCTCGTTATTAGCTCGTTACTTCGTCTTCTTGGTATGCTACCTTGAGTCAGTGGCATAGACCCTGGAGAGGGCACCAGGCCAGTCACTCTGGGAACATTCTTTATCTCGGGTAGAATGGTACCTTAGGTAAAGGTCCACTGACAATGATGGATGAACCAGCAGACAGGAGGATGGCGACGATCAAGCTAGTGTGTATTACCCGTAGCAATCTAAGCATTCATGGAGTCAATTTTGGAAGCCTGCCTCGCCCTGAGCAAGAACTCTCGAGCTCAAGCAAGCAACTTGCTCATTGTTGTAGATGGCGTTGCCACGATCCATGAGCCGAAAGAGTTCTTCAAGGCTGGAACATACTTCATCAACGGAGATGAAATGTGTGATGATATCGGGCATGGAAAACCTGGTCTATACTAGGATGCTCTCATCAGAGGCATATTCTGGTCTCATGTAGTGATTATGTACTCATACGTCGCCTTCTATTCCTGCCTGAAATAGATGGCATATCAAGATGAGTCCCAATCACCAAGGCCAAAACTCTACTGCCTTTATTGCGTGCTAACCCAGTGTTATCAGATATTCCGAGCGCTCTTCGGGACTGCATTATGGAAACCTCAAGGGTGGGTACAAGTATGAATTCAAGTACGTGCCGCAGTATGATGTAAATACTGGTGCTGAGACGGCGGATGGGCTGCGACCCGCGAAAGGTGTTTTCCCGTTCTAGATCTTTGGTCTCGTTGTCTTCTCCAACGCAATGCTGCTTACGGCCGGCTCTTGACTGTGACAGCTAAGCTGGCCGTCTCCTATGCGGCCAACAATCCTCTTCAGGCAATCTTTGCTGTTAGTTCTATTAAAATAGAGGATATTGTTCGTGTGCAAAGGTTCAGAACCCCTCCATCCATCCTCTATCCCACTCCAATATCAGCCGGTAGTGCTGCGAGGACCTTTGATTGCGACATGGCCTCAGTGTTAGAGTCTCTTCATTTCCCTGGAAAGAGCACACCAACTCAGGGGCATCATCGAGTGGTGAACCCTTAAGTTAATGACTACTTGACTGGTGGCCTAAGCGTGTTTGATAGACGTGTCGACTTGTGATTTTCTGCTGGCTGTAGGTGTCGTAAGGTGTGCGAATGGATTAGAAAACATCGCCTTGTTAAAATTTTGCTCTATTACTATGAGCGGTCCGTTCACGTTCTCTTTTCCGTAGGTAAAATCTACTGCAGGGTATCATTTTCGTTCTAACGGTACTTCAAATCATCCCTCCGAGTCGGTCTCGCACCGGAGTGCGCTGCGTCTAGCTCTGCTGTATTCGATGCCGCGGCATCTAGTTCATAAGTCGGCTGCGTCGCGGAATCCATTTCCGCCCGTGGCTCTGGAACTGCGAGCTCACTCATCCCACCGCCGTTTCCTCCGTATCCTTGTCCATCCTTTCGTTCGTATGCCCACGCCGATGAGCCCTCTCCCAAAGCAGGGGTTGACTCAGCCTTGGCACCAGCCGCGTTGCTCTTCTTTCTCCGCCAGAGGAAGAAGATTCCCGCCGCGAGTAGGGCGCCGCCAGCGACGCCTCCGATGACAGCACCGGCTATCGCTCCGGTAGACAATGAAGATGATTCACTAGTTCCAGATGCTGTGGCGGCACCCGTAGACTCGGCCGTGGCAGACGCTCCGGTATTGGTGGTCGCGGTCGTGGATGCCGCAGTCGCAGTCGCTGATATTGTGGCCGCTGTCGAGGTCGTCGACGTCGTGGAGCAGGACGATGTGCTGACTGGCTCGGCCCAGAAGATGGTTGACGCAAGTGATGTTACGGTCGTGGGAGTACATAGCAGGGCGATCCCGTTCGAGTTGTCTCGGTACGTGCCGTTTTGCCCGGACTGGCAGCACCACCCGCCATTGTCGAGTTTCCCTTCAACGCCCCAGAGTGTCCAACTCGAATCCGGGCACTACGATGATGCATGGTCAGCCCTGTCTTGGTCGTCTCCGGAGCTGAAAGGGATCCATTCTCACCTTGGGATATTCTAGCGACAAAGCTCTGCAGTCTGCGGGATCTGTGTGTGGCCAGGGGATCAGGGTATTGCTCGATCCCGAGGTCGAAACGGTATCCACTAACCTTCACAGCAGTAATTGCCCACGTAGTCACCATCACCGGTGCATTTGAAGCCAGAAGGGCAGCACCTTGGCTGCGCTCCGGTGCCGCACTCGACGGGTGCGCTCGGCGGACACGATCTGTCGTTTCGAAGTGCCCATCCTCCTTCATAAGCGCATTCTTGCGCAATAGATTTGTGGACCGCGATGGATGCTGCGGCCACGATCGCCCGGAGACTAAATTGCCATCTACTCGTGTCGGAATTCATGGCTTTGCAACGGCAGGACAATGTTCTCCCGAGGTGACGATGGTCCCAGGGAAAAGAAACGGAAACATGTCAGAGCTCTCAGAATGGGACCAGGACCATAAAACAGGAGTACAAAAACACCTTGGTAGGAGGAAAACAGAATTTAGGATCCACAACGTTGCGGAAACCAGTGCAGGGGTGGAATTTCGTCAAAGGATTCAGCTGACGGGGACCTGAATGGTCAGCCCTGCGGGCGACTGCATATTTGCCGTCCTCCATACGAGGCGAAGCTGGTGCAACGGGCCGCTGGTTCGTCGGCTTAGCGGGTGGAATCTGACATGTGCCACCATTGGGTGCAGAGTCGTTTCTTCTTACGCGCTGCCAAGCGTTGGCGAATGACATGTTACTGCCTGTTTGACCAGTCCTCCCGGTATAAGCCATTCCGAATAGGGGAACTGATCACCGAATTGACCATTCAACTCGCCAAAGCAAAAAAAAAAAAAAAAAACACGCCGTCAGATTTTAGGAGGGTGGAGACAGCGGCCGCTAAACCTGGTTTCTTTAATTCTGTGGGCATGTTGACCGCTTACTTTTCTGTTGGGACAGAGACAACCTGTCTAATGAAAATAACGGCGACCTGTTGCTGGAAACATTTTGCAATAAAAAAGGGTGGCAAACAATTTGCATTGGCGGCCGTACTGTTTACGTCTCAGAGCGTCTGGATACATGTACATATGCCCCTGTGCCTCTTCAGGGTTACCTGCATGGAGGTACGGACACAAAATAGTTATTGTGGCTACCTACCTGGTCTGGGGTAGATCCACTGGACGGAAAGCTAAATAGGTAGCTTAATCTTGCTTTGATGCTGGTTTTGACGCGATTCATTGCTCGCAGACACTTTTTGACTTGATGCCCATGTCTTGCTTGTGATCTGACTTTGGCCACGACCTTCTTTTTTCATCACATAAACAACATGGATTTGCCGTAGGTGCAGGAGCTCCGTAATTGATGTGTTCTTATACTTAGGCACATTTTGATACTCGCGTTCATTTCAGACTATGTGTGACGGTAAAAGACTCACTCGCCGGAGTTGACTCTGAATGGTGAATTCCACAAGCCTTTTGAACCCGGAAGATGCAAAGTAAAATATGGTATATCATCTCGTTGCGTGTCGCAGCCGCCGAGATCTCAACAGAATATGGCCTCCGCTGGAACCCAAACACCATGATCGAGGAGAGAGAAGAGAATATAACATTGATCACTTCGATGACTCTCGGAATCTTGGTAGGCTACTTGTGCCCAATCATAGAAGAAAACACCCAGTCCAACATCCTCCACATAGCACGTACCGGCTTTCCGCCCTCAAAGTTCGGATAGGATTCCTTCATTGCCTGCTTCACAGCCTCCAAGCATTCGTTCTTGCGCTTGCGCAAGTTCTCCAGGTCCAGCCAACCGTAATTGCGATATCTGTCCTCCTACGGTTCCACCTAGCCCTACGAACTTAAAATAATGATAGCATCCTTACACGTATCGAAGACAGTACGCGGACTTGTCGGGATGAAGCTCAACGTAGGTAATTGATTTTGGAGAACGTTGAAAGAATTCTTCACCGCCCACGTAACAGCGTCGCCACGCCAGTCGACCTACTTCTTGTGGTGGGTCGGCCTCTTAGCGCCGCTCTGGGTATGTCCCCCTCTATCTCTCTCACCATTTCTCTGCATCTCCTCATGCGTTCTCTATGTCTTGTTCTCCTGCCTGTGGCCTTAAAGCTCACACACATGATCAGACATAAAAACTACCGCTGCTTGAATGGCTTCATACCTTTATCCCAAGAAAGGATATCCCAAGGACGCCTTTTCATGGTTCCTCCAGCACTGCGGTGGGGCAGCCATGGTCCCGGAAGATATAAAAATGGCACTTGACATTCTCAGCAACTAGCCTAACGGGAGACATCAATTCCACAGGAAAAAATTGGAGAAAATTAAGTAGGTAAGATAGGTAAAAGGGCGACTGCGAGAATCCGACCGAGAGAAAGGCTTCCTCCAACATTGGCGTCCAAAAGCCCAAGGGTAGAAAGTACAGCGTCGAACTAGCTGATCACTATATCTACCATCTACGAGGCCAATGCCAAGACCATCGTGGCTGCTAAGAAATGTAGTCAAGCTTGGTCACAGGCTCTATGTGACGATGAGTTTCCGCCTGCACATCTCTTGGGGGGTTTTTTTTTCCTTCCCCACATTGGGATGTATCTCTCGCAAGCCCACACGAATCACTCAGACTGGGCTATCTTTATAATTGCCGAAGCTATATTGCCATCCCTACCAGTATGGAAGCGTTCGTTAGCCGACCACCCCGCAAAATGCTTGTTGTCTTTGAACGCCACGTGGATCAGCTGGGGAGATCTGATCAACTCTCCTCCACATCTCCGAACACCCAAGATAGGTTGAGGCTGGAGAGGGCTAGGGTGAGCTCAGGTGGCTGTCAATTGAGGGCAACAATGACATAGTCTCAACTAGGCCCTCGTAAGGGTAACCCGGCCGAGACATGGATGATGCGGGGTGACCAATCTGGTTCTTTACCGCGCTGGCGCCGGCGACAAAGTGGGTCAGGCGGATCCGGCGGACCGCGCTCGAGACACGAACTGTGCCTCTTCACACAACCCCGGCAAATTTTCCTTATCTGGTCCACGCAGGTGCATCCGTTCGACATTCAACTTCGTGTCAACTACCTTATCCAAGCAAGATCAGTCTATCTCATCAAACACACAAGCGTTTGCGGCTTGCTCTCCATTCCATTGGGGGGCAGAGTTCCTAGAGTTACCATTCCGTCGGGACGTTTCACTTTCGGCTTTCTTGGCGTCTCTCACTTAACGGGGCCCCGGCCGTTCAGCCATCAAATGTCAACGAAACCCCGCCGCACCCTTGCGGGGCCAATCTTCCGCGTCCGCACGGGGTGTCTGACGTGCCGCGGTCGCAAGAAGAAATGCGACGAGACAAAGCCGCGGTGTCGCGGCTGCGAGCGGAACCGCCTAGAGTGCCGCTGGCCCCCAACGTCCTCGTCCCAGGCCGCCTCCTCTCAAGCCTCCCAGAGCGGCGGCACCTCGCGCTCACCCCGCGAGACAGCAAACTCACCAGAAACAGCGCGGCAGGACGACGGTCAGCCTGTTTCTCACTCGATCGCCTCACCGTCAGGGTCTACAGCGGCACCTCCGAGCCCCCAGCATCTCCCCGATCGTTCACTCAGTTTCTCGTTTGCATCACAGCCCGCGTCCTCAGAATCGCCGAGTGCCGCCACGACGGACTCGAGCCCGAGCCCAGCAACTCAACTTATCACAACGGACCCCAGTGGAATCATCGTCACGTCTCAGATACCGGAAGAGAACACGGCGGCTTCCATAGGACTTCAAGACTCTTCCATCTTTGCAGTGTTTAACCCCGATGACCCGGACGATGACGAGAGTACGGGCCAAATGGTGTCTTCCCCACTCCAACCAACTTCGATCTTCAGAGACCACCATGTACCGAGGTCGATGAACCTGCTGGCTGGCCATCAGGACAGCAACTCTCTTGAGCTTCTCAGCCATTACCTCAGCTCAACGTCGCTCAGCATGGCCAACGGATCCACGGCTGACAATCCATTCACTGCACAATTGATACCGCTCGCTTTCAGTAGTGATCTCGTCTTACAGCTCCTTCTCACGCAAAGTGCTGTACACCGAGCAGCCAAGTCTCTAGTGCCGACCGATCAAATCGCCACAAAATATTACAACCAGTCGCTACGACTCTTCCAGCAAAATATATCCACGTACATGGGTGGGCAGCATGGCGAGGAAACACTGATTTTGGGCATCGGTGCCTTGATTCTATGTTTGGTCGAGGTATGTTGTACAATCACATGCGCCAAAGGCTCCCCCTTCCCCTGGCTTTGTATCATGGCGATATTGATGTCCCAGTAGACTGCCAAAGGTGACGTGAATGGCACCATTTTCGATCATCTGATGGCAGCCCAGTCTCTGATCCTGCCCTTTTTATCTGCAAACAACACGTTTTTGCACAAGACCTTGAAGGACTTTTTGACCGAATACTACATCTACACGGCAACAGTCAGCATGATATCTATAGACGCACGACTTGGCGATCAGCTGTTCCTCAGCAACGATCTTATCCTTCTCGCCACCGAGCTCGTGGCGTCCTCGTATATTGGCAGTTTGTGCGGATGCTGGCTGGATTTGATTCTCCTAGTACCCTCCATCTTCGACCTAGGGCGTCGAATAATGAGCCACATGGACGAGCCGAACTGGCGACCATCAGCCGATGACTTTATCCTGTTTTCACAGCTGCAGAGCCAGATCCTCAACTGGCAACCCAACCCCACGGTGACTGAAAATGTTGCCTTGGCGGGATATATATACCAAAAAGCCTTGCTGCTCTATCTGCACACGGCATTACATACTCTCTCCCGGGAAGAACACGGTTTGCAAGCAATGGCCATTCAAAACGCACTCGGCGGAGCTCTCTCACATCTGGCACAACTAGACCCCAGCGTCCGCATAAACACCAGCTTGTGTTGGCCCATTACCATCATCGGATCGTGCGTCACGGATACAGGACAGCAAGAGTTCTTGCATGAGAGGTTGGGCCACATGTTTGCTACTATTGGGCTGGGCAATATTCGCCAGACGTCGGTAGTACTGCAGCACCTCTGGGACCACAACGAGGCCACGCCGGCAGATATCGGAGCGGGTCCCTGGCAGATTTGTCGGGTCATGAACGAGAACCAGATTTGGATTTCATTCGCATAGACGCGCGCAAGAGGGAAATGATTGATACGAATAGCGGTGGCGTTTACGGGTATTCGGGGGGAAACGAAGGACGACGGCAGTGTAGAAAACTCTTGGCACATATCTTGATTACAATGCGTGTACAGCTGTAGAAGGTTTTCAAACGAGAGCGGTCGAATATGATACCATGAATCTTTTTTTCTTCACGTTTTGGACAACAAAATGCTTCCAATATTGTCGTATCAATCATCACCACCCCTTCCACGGAACCCAGGTGTCTATCACGACATCATTTTCATCCACAACGTAATACACATAAAAGGCCGCGGCAGTGATGCAAGCATGCTGGACGTGGAGCAAGATCTTATCCCCCACATCGAAATTCGCCTCCACATCTCTGCCCGGTTCAGCAGTCTTGGAACCCGGTGCCTGTACCTCGCCCAGGATACCATGCTCCTGCGACATTCGAACAACAGCCCAGTCGGGCTTGCCCACCACTTTGCCGTAGCCCGGGTCCGGGCCCGCCTCCTTGGACAAGGCAATCGTCCCGGCGTTGATGAGGGCCTCGTTGCGCTCCGGGTACACGCTGCAGACCTCGGAGAGGACGCGAATGGCCTGGTCTTTGGCGCCGATGACGCTGGTCGCGACTTGCTGCAGGTCATTTGTCGGAAAGTTTCCTGCAAAGGCTTTTGTCTCAGTTCTAAACAGTCTTCAACGTTAATTGCCAATGCCAGTGATTACATACCGGCGTGCAGCTCCAATGTGACATTCTCGGGGATCGCTGCCTTGAGAGTGCCGACAACATGGGCCGTTGGCGTAGCCCCCACTGATACGGTGAGTTTTCGGTCGCCGGTGACTAGCTTTGCGGCGCTCAGGACGCTGTTGATCTCGACCGCGAGGAGATCTTCTACTTCTTGTGGCGTGCGGCATCCGTAAGAGTGGCCTGCATGGCAATAGAAACCGTTGAGAGTGACGGCGGACGAGTTGCTGACGCGTTGAATCAACTTTTGTAGACGTTCGCTGTCCAGGGGGAGACCGGCGCGTTTGCTACCCACGTCGAGCTTGATGTAGATGTCCCAGGGCCTGGTTGTGCTTTGCGTGTTCTTGTCGGCAAAGTCCTCCAACAGAATGAGTTGCTTCTCATGGTCGATCATGAGCTGTATCTTGATGGACTTGCGTAAGTCTTCCAACAGGGGAATGGTGCTTGCCGGGGGAGGAAGCCCATATAGCACCTATAAAGACAAGAGTCTCAGCTCTGCGAGTCCTCCCAGATCTTCAATCATAAGTCACCACAAACCTCCTCGAGGATTCCCTCTTCTACCAAGGGTAGTAACCCACGGATTTCCGATAATGTGGATGCCACAGTCTTCTTGAACTTGCCATTGCCAAGCATCAAACGTGTGATTCCCAGACTCTGTGCGCGAATTAGTCACTATATGCGTGAGCTACGAGAAACCCTCAATACCCACCTTTAGAGTCTTGACATGAGGTCTTAGTGTAACCCCGGCCTTCTCAACATCTTGATGCAGTCTCTCAATATTCTTCTTGATTGTTGGCAAACTGAGCACAAAGGAAGGCGTAGGCAGGTCTGTGACCTTGGAGCCAATGAAGGAGCGGTGGTTCTGCAACGAGTAGTCCATGGTAAATTGCCTAGGAAAATGCGCGTGCTGCAACTAATGCTTCTACGAATGGAAAGGACTGTCTGCGAGTGATTGAGAAGCTTACTTGACTTTCTCCAGACCTTTTTCTCGAAACCTTGTCACTTTCCGGCCGACCAGTCGGAGTCGACCTGTTGACATGGGCACACAAGCAGCAGGGAGGGGGGGGGGAGCAATGGGTGCGACCGAGATAGCCGAAAGCGGCGCTGGGGGCGGTTGTGGGGCTTCTCCCCGCTCCGGCGCCGGCAGGATTCAGCGCGGAAAACGTCTTCATTGGCAGAGTTGCCCGCCCCTTGTGATCGCTTATCGTCGGTTGCTCGACGCCGGAGCCGCTGCCCGGCGTTGGGACAATGAACGGATAGGTAATCCGGTAGAGAGACACCGCACCCGCTGGAGAGTGATTCGGTCTTGATCCGGTCTACGGAAACTTGTCATGGATGCCACTCTTGGCCTTTCGCTGATGGCCTTCTTAGACAGTAGATATTTTTCATTCCCCAATTTAACTGACATCAAGTCTGTTTTTTTGCAGGATTTTGGACAATATGCTGAGGGCAAAAATCTCAGGAATGATAAACACTGAAATTGATCCGTACCTACTTACTTGATTTAGACTATTGCCCTAAAAGAACATAGAGGAATCACAACCTGTTGATTGTGACGCAGACTCTACTCCACCCGCGGCCTCAACTGAACAACAAAGCGCTGGTTATACGCGATACCTCCGACGACCACAAATTGACCCTCCTCCTTGACCTCAAAGTCAAACTGACGAACAACTTCTGGGAGTAACTTGTACATCTCCATGATTGCGACATCCTTACCGAGGCAAACTCTAGGCCCAACGCCAAACACAAACGCAGACGCATCCATCTCGCTGATGAGCTCCTTTGAACTCCCCTCGGCCTCAAGCCACCGCTCTGGACGGAATACTTCTGGGTCCGGAGCATACAGATGAGGATCTCTCTGAACGACGTACGCGTAGCTCGTGATCTCCGCACCAGCCGGAACCCAGGTCCCGTCCACGGCCTTACCGTCCGGCGACGGCGCAACTCTTCCAAAGAGGTTCGTCGCGGGAGGGTGTAGTCTGAGGGACTCTTTGATGCATGCCACAAAGTAGGGCAAGTGTGTCCTCGTCTGTTCGAATTGAATGGGTGTGCTGAGAAGCTGTGCGTTGGAAGCAGCAGCTAATTCGGCACGCACGCGTGCAAAAACGGATGGATGCGTCAACAGGAAACGGAGGGTGCTGCCGAGCGCCGTTCCTGTCGTGTCGGCGCCTGCTTGGATAAGCAAGGTGACGTGTGCTCGTTTTTGCATTGCTGTCAGTGGTTGTCCGTCCATTTGTGCCTCGAGACACCTATACACAGCTAAGGTCAGTAACCCTAGGTGTAAAAGCGTGACGAAAGAACGGGTATTGATGTGACTGACAATTGCAAGAAATCTGGTCTTTCTTGTGAGAAGCTGTTTTGCGATATGTGCTGCTCTCGATCAGAGACTTCTCTATCCGCCTGTCTCATCAAGTAGCCCATGCCGTTGTCGTCGCTTGTTCCTGGTAGGAAGTATTGACCCCACGAGCTCTTCAACACCAGGTCGCGAAAGAAGCGGAATCGGCCGGCAAAGCCAAAGAAGACGAGGCCTTCGCGCCAGCTCTTGAGCATGTTGCGCTCATCACGACTGTTGTCGACGAAGCCCCAAGGGTTGGTGAAACATACCAGGGTCATGATATCAGCTGCGAACTCCCTGATATATGATTCATAACGTCAGACCAGTGGGTTCGAGAATCACTTCAAGCTGGGTGGCGACTTACGCTACCTTGTCGGAGAGAATGACAGGTTCGTTCTTCTCCGCAAATTCAGTCATTCGCTTTACAAAAAGCTGAATGTGGTCGTCGATGCGAGGTTCCCAATTATTCTTCAGCCCCCCAACTGACCACTAGAAAGTCAATTGTCAGCCCTCGGCGCGGCTAGCAGGAGTTCCACAACAAAGGAAATTGAATAATAAAATACCGATGGGCCACCTAGGGCCTTTCTCAAAGATTTGTGTACACCTCCATCAATAGTCGAGAAAAGTTGTGGTGGACCAAGCGCGCCCGAAGCATAGAAAGGGGCTTTGGTATTGCATTTTGAATCCCAGTAAATGTCTCTGATTGCCTTGGACTGGGGGAACAATAAAAGCGACGGTGCTATACGGATCGGCTTGTCATCTTTACCGCAGGGATAGTGTCAGTGATATCAATAACTGGCGCCTGTTAGTGATGGTAAAGGCAACAACTCACATCCGTATTGCTTAGCCAGATGGAGCAGCCAATGTGGTTCAAGCCCGACGACAGATATAACAGCGGAGCAAAGCGAAAATGAAGCCGCATACCACGGGCCGTGGAATCTGGACAGGGGATGCAAGTACAAGTTATAACAGATTCGTAAAACCAATGCAGAGATTGTCGCAATGGACAAAAACGCCCCGGTCGAGGCCAACGACAGCTCTGGCACATCTAAAAGCACCATATTTGAAAGCTCTCTGGTCTGGTGAAAAAGGTCAATGAGAGACTTTCTGTGCTCATTTATGGGGTGCAAAGAGTAAGGTTTATATAATGGCCAACGTTTGCAGATCTTCTCGATTTTCTCATGCCTCCTCATGTCATGGTGTTAACATGTCTTAGAACAAGTCCATATGATTCCATCTCATAAACACCTCATTGGGGTCAGTCGCCTGACCTGATATGCAGCAGACGTCCACTCCTACTCTGACTGCTGTCTGCTACTCACTATACAACATGCCCCTCATCTATATGGCCTATTAGCAACCAGAGATCAGCCCTTGGATGCTGCTTTGAGTAGGACGGATAAGTATCGTGCTGAGTTTGAACGATGCTGCATCCATGATGCAACCACGCAGCGGTTATTCACTGGAGTACGCTTCAATTGAATACCCAGAAGTGCCAAGCCGGGAAGAGGACCCATCGTTCAAGCACGATTTACTGGGTGCCGTGTCTGGGCGCAGGAAAATGCAAGCCGCATGTGCGTACGTGCAACTCGGACAGTGGTGTATTCATGTGTTAGTGAGACCTACATGTTGACCGAGATGCAGAGTATACACCATTCTTTCTTGAAATCTGAATTCTTTCTCCTTCCATTGGAGGAGCCCGTAACAGCAAGGAAATGAACGGGTTGATCAAATTATGCTTTGGGTATTCCGCGGACAACCACATATAGATAGGCTGATTAGTCACGCCGTTTCCGACGCCGGAGATCCACCCCGAACTGTCTTATCTGGCTCTGAGGGTGCCGACCCCGCAGCCAATTATATGCGGGTTCTTGGAGTTCCGTCTTTTACTTCAGCTTTGACATTGACCAAAATGTTTCTTTTCGCAAGACATCTCACTTTAACGACTCCAAAACCACTGCCAAGATGTACACCGTCAACGTGGGCGACCGGCTGGATAGCCTAGACACGCCTTCCATGATCGTGGATCTCGATCTCATGGAAGCAAACATCAAGAAGCTTTTCGACAGCCTACTTCCCACGGGCGTCAACATCCGCCCTCACCTGAAGACAACAAAGAGCGCAATTCTCGCTGGCAAGCTTGCCGCCGCCGGTGCCAAGGGCTGCTGCGTGGCCAAAGTATCAGAAGCAGAAGCCATCACTGCGGCGGGCTTTGACGACATCCTCATCACCTGTGAAATCATTGGCGGCCCCAAAGTGAAGCGTCTTGTCGACCTCTTCAAGAAAAACAAAAAGATTAGAATCGTTGTCGACAGCGAGTTCGGCGCGACGGCAATCAACAACGCGTTGGAGGAGGCCGGCGTCGAGGAGCAGATCCTCACGCTGATTGATCTGGACGTTGGGTTGCATCGGACCGGCGTGGCCGCGGGTGAACCCGCTCTGGCCTTGGCCAAACACATTGGCAATCTCACGCATCTCCGCCTGATTGGCGTGCAAGGGTACGAGGGCCACCTACAGCACCTCCACGACCGGGACGATCGAAAGAAGCAATGTCTCGAGTCCATGAAGACGCTGACGGAGACCGCGGCGGCGCTTCGTGAAGCCGGTTTCGGAATTGACGTCGTCACCACCGGTGGCACGGGTACCGCCGAGTTCTGCGTTACGGTGCCGGGCGTCACGGAGCTGCAGCCGGGGTCGTTCATCTTCATGGACACGGACTACCGCAACGCGGTTGGCTCGTTCTACTCCAACAGTCTGACGTTGCTGGCTACCGTTGTGAGCAAGCAAGGCGAACGGCAGGTGACGATTGATACGGGGCTCAAGTCCCTGACGACGGATAGCGGACTGGCCGAGTGTAAGGACCGGCGCTACACCCACGCCAACCTGGGAGATGAGCATGGTGCGCTTAGCTGGGACGAGGGGACTCCAGCGTTGGCTGTGGGAGATCGAGTTGAAATGGTCCCAAGTCACATTGATCCAACGATCAATTTGCACGACTGGTACTATGCCCATCGCAATGGCGTTATCAAGGAAATTTGGTCGGTCGATTCTAGAGGAAAGGTCCAATAATGAAAGCAAGCTTTACGTCTCAAGTAGCGCTGTGGAAAAAACACCAATACACAGCAAAACGACCGACTGGGCTCGTGGCATGTAAAGCATGCAAACAAAGCTACATAGCATTCAGATCATAAATCAAGTTACGCATGTATTTTTCATTGAGACTTTTCCTTTCCTTCGAAGAAAACAGTCGGTTTTCACTTCACGTACTTATAGTATTTAAAAAACTTTTCAAGCCAAAGAGGAGACGTCGTTGTCATTACTCATCGCGCCATCATTGTTTAGTGCGTCTAGTTACTCCAGGCTACTCACTTGAGACTTACTAATCATTGACCTGGGAAATAGGCCATCTACAAATGTCAATAACAAAAAAAATAAGGAAGACCGGCTCCGTCAGAGGCACTCGAGAAGCTCATGTTGTGATATAAGTGTACGTCTACACCGTGCTCCTAAATCTTTGCTGTCGAATGACTCCTCTCTTTCAAGTTTCTCTCAGCGGGCAAAACCATGTTTACATGTGTACTCAAAGCAACGACATCCCCAGTCTGGTCTAGAACGATAACCTCGAGATCCAATCTACCATTCCGGATAACCTTGGCCATTGTCCGAATAAAGAGCCACTCTGCTCCCTCCTCAGGTAACGCCTTCTTCACGTCCAGGTTGAGTGCAAGTGTCGGATACCAAAACATTTCATCCGACCGAAAAGGCGTCTGCTCTTCGCTGCGCTTCGGTCTCCATGCTTCTATGACTGTCGGGTACGCGTCCACGACGTAGCCGAGTGATACGTTTGTGAACCTTTGGCCCGACTTCAGGCGCAGCCAGAGATCTACGACGCCCCGACGAGTATCCTCGCGGGGAACGTAGTACTCGAGATTGCTGTGGGCGCGGGCGTAGGACGCCGCGCGTGCATTGAGCTTTAGTTTCTGCACCCAGTGAGGGTCCTTGTCCAGACCGAGGAGGGCAAAGTCGGCGGGTTTGACTGGTGGCGTCATGGCCCAGCCGCTCTCGAGCGTGAGGCCCTTTTCTAGAGTCAAGCGCGTGTTGATCAAGTAGGCGACGACCTCTTTTCTGGACTGTGGTGAGAACCAGGGAGCCGACGGCTGGAGGTCATGTTGGTAGAGGGAGACGTGCACCGTCGAGAGGTTGCGGCCTATTTTGACTTCATCGACGATGAGAATTGCGGGACCTATCTCGGTGCGGTTGACGTATTCGAAATGTGCAGAGATGGAATCAGGCTGTCCGCGCTCTGCAAGGTGCAGCGATGCCGCGCGAAGAATCACCGATGCTACGTAACCGCCATTCGGAACTGCGCAACATCAGCTATGAGCTCAATAAAGGTTGGAGGACGAGCATGCGACGGTGAGTGACTAACCTGAGCCAGTGCACCAACTTGGCACCAACTTGGCACCGTACACGTTAGGGCCGAGTTTCGTTACTGTCGTGGCATTCGAGAACGGAACAAGCTCCTCAGAAGACGAAGAAGTCATGGTAGATATCGGCAGGATGGAACCGCTGCTCAGAGCAAAAGAGCCCTCCCTGCTGTCGCCAAGAAATTCGGTTACGGTAATGCTTAATCGTCTCTGCGTTACGGCTGGACGGTGAGTCGATGAGCGTGCCCAATGGATGAAAGAGAGATCTGAAATCAGAATCAGTATTTCTGTAACAAAATATGGAGAGAGCGGAGGAATTGCCGTTTTGCTGGAATCCGGGGTAGCTCCTCCGAGTCCTGGGGTATCGGCGACGTGGGCCCGGTCATCGAACGCTTGTTGGTTCTCACAGTGCCCATCCCGACGATTAGAGGGCGGGCGGATTTCATGCCGATTCCCGGTCCTGCGTGAGCCTCGGCTTTGCACATGTCACCTGACTCGAGACCACTAAGTCTCACTCAGTGAGAAAGAAGCTCAGACATGTACCATAGTAGCCATTGGTAGCAGGAGAGGTTTTTTTTTTTTTGCCTCGGTAAGTGGATCCAAATGGGCCATCAGCTCACGCCGCCAAGCGCATTCTTAGCAGCGTTGGTGAGATGAGTCTCACTCCGTCTCACTCTCAGTGGCTCTCACTCACGGCTGAAAGCCCCCCTAGAAAGCCCGCCCAGGGCCGCCCAGGGCGCGATGACTGGTGTGAGATTTGAGGCGCCACAGAACACGCAATCGGATCCTCCCAGGCTCCCCAGAGTGACGGATCCTCGGTGGACTATGCCCAACGTCGGCCGTCGTACGGTATCGAGGCTATTGCTCCGATGCTGTCCCAACAGTTAGGTTCCTGGGTCCACGGCGCGTCCCAACAACGGCGTGGCCGGGGGACGCCTACCGAGTCTCCGGGCCTTTGATAAGATTATCGCTGAGATGGGATCACTCATCAAAAAAGAACCCGACTTTCAAGATATGAAGGCTGACACTCCCTACATGTGCTTGCACTTATGAAGCTGATGCCCTGCACTTCTGCTTATTTTTCTCACAAGCCTGCATCTGTTCATTCACCAGTTTTCTCACTGTAATTAGCATCTCATTGTCCGTGGTGCGCCCCCCAAGCAAACCTCGAAATGGCACCGAAATCAGACCGGTTCCAAGGCTTCACAGCCATCACAGACCAAATTTTCTTCCGAGAAGGCGAGTCAGTAACAGAGGGCACGCAACCGCCAGCAGGCCACCCAAGAGTCGTCATCATCTACAGTTGGGGCGACGCCGTACCCAAACACGTCTCCAAATACGCCGATGGATTCCGCAAGCTCTTCCCGCACGCGAAGCAAATCGCCGTGCTCTCGCCCATCCTCAAAGCCATGAGGGAGGACCTCCAAACGCGCTCCGACAACATGAAGCCCGTCGTCGAAGCCGCGTATCCCTCAGCCACGTCCGGCACAGCAGACCCCCACGAAGACGCGGTCCTCACGCACGTCATGTCCAACACGGGCGGCATCAACTACGCCGGCACGCTGCACGCCTACCAAGAAAGGTTTGGCCGCCCCATGCCGCACCGCCTGTCCAGCTACGACTCGACACCCGGCAGCGTGATCATGACGTGGAACAATCTCAAGCGCTGGTCTCTGGCCATGACGCTGGGCACCGCCGGCTGGTTTCCTTGGCCCTTTGTCGTGACGCAGTGCATCATGGGCGTCTTCCTCCTCCTGAACCACGGTTTCGAACACCTCACCGGCCGGGAGAGCGCACCGGTCTTTAGTGTCGCGGCTATTGGCGACACAAAGTATGTCTCCAAGGGGTCGCGGAAGCTGTACCTGTACAGCAAGGAGGACCCGCTTATTGGCTGGGAGGATATCGAGGAGAACATGGCCGAGTCCAAGGGCAAGGGCTACGCCTATAACGCGGTGCGGTTTGAGGGCAGTGGCCATGTTGGGCACATGCGCATGCATCCTGATCAGTACTGGAGTGCTATCGCGTCAGCCTGGAATGAGACGTGAGCTTTTCCGCAAAGGATTCGATAGGGAAGAGGGCTCATATCAGACCTTATCGGTCAGCTCGGTCTCGCAGTAAAGTGTTATTAGAGAGAGTCTACCTCCTCTTTCCCTTCTCATTAAGCTCCCAGGTTATGGAAATGCTATTCTTGACTAGACAGACTAGAGCTAGGGGTGGCAGGCGTTCCTGATTCAGACAACTCCATGACACAACCCTCACGGAATGTCACGGTATCGAGCTGTATAGAGCTTAGGATGTGTTTGAATACAAAGCTAGGAGACCTGTGCCACTTATTAGAAGGCTTTCTTAGGGTTTGGACAGCATAGTCTCACGAATGTAATGAAAACAAATAACGAGAATCAGATATACGGGGTATGACGTCAACATTTCTTTATGCCTGAATTACTTAGGTTGGTCTCTGGCTCACTATCTACAGCTGCCGAAATTCGAATCCTCCACCTCGAATGTGTCTCTGAATATTCCATCACACTGTCGCAAGAAGCCATCTCCAATCAGCAATCCCAAGGGGCTGATCAAACTTGGTTTCGGGATTTTAACCATGGCAACCAAAGCCGGCCTCATGCCATTGTCATCACTACGCGTCTCCAAGCATTTCATCCCGGCGTACGGGCTCCTCCCAAACACAACCATTCAGAACAAGCCCCTGATGATCTACCACGCAGCATTCCAGTCTGCGAGTGCATCGGCCATCGAGTCGCATCTCACCTCCGTCGGCGTCGTCGAGCCGCAGTGGCGATACACCATGTACAGCACAAGTCACTTCCACAGCACGACGCACGAGCTTCTGTGTATTAGCAACGGCCGCGCCAGGCTTTGCTTCGGGGGCGAGAATAACGAGGGCCGGATCGAGCCTCTGGTAGAGAAGGGCGATGTGATTGTTGTGCCGGCTGGAGTTGCCCACCACCTACTGGACGACTTTGGAAGCGGGTTTGAGATGGTTGGGAGTTATCCGAAAGGCCACCACTGGGATATGTGTTATGGTCAAAAGGGTGAAGAGGAAAAGGTCGATGCAATTGCCAAGGTTACGTGGTTTAGCAGAGATCCAGTGTATGGAGATGATGGTCCGGCAATAGGGGTTTGACATCATGTGGCAACCGTTGCAAGCTCATCAATATCAATATTGTCGTTCACACATTGGGGCGATAACGTGATACGCAATACAGAGTTTTGGTGTTCTTTTCATTCCCAGCAACAACAGCCTTTGATATGAACTGTGACAGGTATCAAAACGTCAATCATCCAACTAAAGTACACCGCACAGAACAGGCCCCAAACTCCATGACGTATGCAGAATGCATAAAAACACGCCCTGCTAAGTCCAACCACGCCGGAATTCCGCACCATCATGGCGACATGCCCTCATAACACATTACAGATGTCTCAAGTATGAAACTCAACAGTGATCATCCCCAATAGATGTCAAATCTCCAACCCCTACCAAACCATGTGAACCAGTATGCTCTCATTTCCGTATCGCAGACCAAACACCGACGAAGCCAGCAAACGGCCATGTTATCGCAATCCTATCCTTGAGCGACTTCTTCCTCCGCTCTTTACTCACGTCAACCGTAATCTTGTCGTACACCGTCGGTAAACTCGTGGCGCCGTACCGGTCTCGCAATTTCGTGTACCAATCCTTGTCGTACACGTCCCAGAACTGCGACTCGGTGTAGTACGCGTGGGAGTACAACACCTTGCGCCCGCCCAGCTCCATGAGCTTCGCCTCCAGATCCCGGTTCTGGCGGACGAACCTGTCAATCTTTTTCGACGACAACCCCCACACACCCACGTTCAGCATGGGCTGCGGCGTCTCCCCGCCGGGCTCCGTCGTATAGGGGTGGAAGCTGGGGGACTCGATGGCGCGGAGGGGGCACAGCCAGAGGGGCCATATCTCGAGGTTGTCCGCGACGTAGTCGATGAACTCTTGGACTTTGATGTATGGCAGAGAGAGGTCGTGGACTAGGTATCTGAAGGTCATTCGGCTACCGCCGCCGAGTCCGGCCTTGTATAATGTCCTCGTGTCCATGAGACGATTCAGAGCCCGACGAGTGAGTCTATTGAATGGGACAACGCCGAAATATTTGAATGCCAACTCGCCCATCCAGAATGCACCCCGGTCATAGCGAAAGAGGTAATCCTGCAGCGGTACGTAATCTGGCGTCGGTGTGCCATTTGCGATTCGTTTCCGTGCATGCAGGTAGAACCAAGGATCCTTGGACCTGCTGAACGTCTGTGGCTGGCACTTATCCGGCAAATCATCCGTCATATGGCCCGTGATAATAGCAGCACTCGTCCTTGAGAAGACCAGTCCTTCGACATAGTCATTATGCGCCAGATTCGTCTCCCGCTGAATCGCAGCAACGGCTTCCGGAATCGTCGAATATGAGTGATAGCTGAGCTTTACAAATTGCTTGGCCTTGAGCAATCGCAGCTCCAGTTTTGTGACGATACCCAGGGTCCCCAGAGCCCCTGCCGCACCCTTGAAGAGATCAGGATTCTCCGTCTTGGAAGCGTTGACGACCTCCCCGCTCGCGAGGATCATCTCGACAGACTGCACCGTCTCGTCAAAGTACCCGTAGCGGAACGAGCTGCTCTCTCCGGCCGACCCGGCGAAGCCACCGCCGACGGTGATGCCGGGAAACTCCATCACTACGGGGGGCACGAGCCCGCACCGATAGGTGGCGGCGACGAGCTGGTCCATGGGGACGTTGGGTTCAACGACGGCGACAGCAGCGGCGGCGTCAATGTAGAGAACATTGTGCAGCTCGCTGATGTCGACGACGCGCTGGCGGTGGGCGGGCCGGGTACTGCTTGTGGAGCCGTGGAAGATGCGAAAGGGTTCCCGGCGCGAATGGAAGTCCTTCACCACGTCGGCGATGCGCTTGACCGCTGCATTGTGGTCGTCCATTGTTGTGGGCGATGTGGCAGCAGCAGCAGCTGCTGCAAAATGGAACTCTGCTGAAGGAACCTCGAGTCTCGAACCTCGACCTCGAAGGCTCGACCCGATGGCAGCTTGGAGATCTGGGGTGCCGAGGACGGGAAGTCAATTGTCCAAATGTCAATGAGAACGGACGGATGCGACGCTGGCCAAGGTAAGTTGTAACGGGGATTGTCAGAAGTTGGCTTGACCCACTCCGGTGAGCTGGAACCGCCTTCATTGGACCTTTGCTGCGATGCATGAACGATGACTAAGACAGGGATTCTGTTATATGAGTGCTGGGATGCATGACTGACAACCCTAACCCTGCATGATGCGTTATATTGCACCAACATCACCATCCCCTTTTTGCAGGCTATCGCTGATAACAATTGACATTGAGGCTCTTACATACGTTCTGAAATACATGGAAAATCCGTGTTTCGAAACAGAGAAATCACTGGCTTTCTGTGTCTTTCTTTTCATCATCCTCATTGGGTATCTTCTTCAGACCGACGCCAGCAACACCAATGATGCTCGCCGCCGCCATGGCAGCAGCAACAATGTATGTTCTCGTTATGGCATGATTGTATACCTGCAACAACGTGCCGAATTGGTCTGGAGACACCAAATCCCTTAGCTGCGTGGCACCCGAGTTCCTGATAGCTTGCGGATCAACGCCCGGGATCTTGGCTGATATGCCCGATGTCAACGTGCTCGCAAACACGGCCTGCGCAATTGTAATGGCAGTCGTAGGACCGAAGCACTGGAAGAAGAGCACAACCGCCACTCCAATAGCAACGTCGGCCTCGTCCAGACTGCTCTGGACGGCGACCGCTGCTTGTTGTGTCGAGACGCCAATGCCAAGCCCGGCGATGACTTGAAAGGGAATCCAAAGGTTTGCGCCCGAGGATGCCTTCAGTGTCGAAAGGAGACCAGAACCAATGGAGAGCAGAAAAGTCCCGGCGAGCATGAAAGGCTGGTAGTAACCTATCTTTGTGACGCCCCAACCGCTGAGGAAAATGGTCAGGATGAAAGCTAGGCAAAGGGCCAGGTACCGAACACCAGACTCCTCGGGCGTGGCACCCTGAATGGCTTGAAACCAGAGAGGCACCTATGACCGACGTTAGCTGTCATTTCTTTTCTGAAAACAATCACAAGAGTTTCGGGCGCCATACGTAGTAAACGAGGGTGAAAAAGGCACTATCCAAGCAAAAACCGAAAAAAGCCCCAAAGATGACAATACGCATTTTGGCCAAGCGCGGTGGCACCAGCGCCTGTTCGCCCATCCACCACTGTTCGACCATGAAGCCAACAACGAGAACGCCGGCAACCACAAAACAAGCGATTGTCCGTTTGTCATCCCACGTGAACAGTGCGCCCCCGAATTGGAGAGCGAGGAGAAACGAAGTGATCCCTGGCAGTAAGAGGAGCATGCCAAGATAATCCAAGCCCCGGATTTTCTGCAGCCAAGGCCGCCGCTGCTCGTCGGTTAGTGGGGGCGACTTGATCAGAAACAACGTCGCAAGAGCGGGTGGTGCGGCAATTGGGAGGTTAATGTAGAAACACCTGATGGAAATCATCGTCAGTAGATGATGGATAGCGAGAACATCAAGCCACGAGAGGGATGCTCACCATCTCCACGTGAGGTAGCTGTTTGTGATGACGCCGCCGACCACCGGCCCAAGAACGGCGGCAACGCCATAGACCATGCCGATGGCACCTACGTACGTCGGCAGGTGTTTCGCAGGCAGAGCTGCCGAGATGAGAACCAGACAGCCGCTCTGGAGGCCGGATGCACCGAGGCCAGCGATAGCGCGTCCGACGATGAACACTGCCGAGCTCGGGCTTACAGCGCAGATGAGGGATCCAATCTCGAAGATGGCGAGAGAGATCACAAAGATGATTTTGATGTTGAACTGGTTGTACAGACGTCCGAAGATGAGTTGGAACGCACAAAGTGTCATTTGGTAGGCTGATCCATACCACTGGGAAATTTTTAGCATAGATGATTCATTGCCTTGGGTTTTGTCTGAGAAAATAATGCGACTTACACCGACGTCTGTGAGGGAACCGAATTCATCCGTAATGCGCGGAATAGCTGTTGCAATGATGCCTTCATCGAGAAACGTACACAAAACACCAAGTGCAATCGCCAGCCAAATAACGAAGATTTTCCATGCCGGAAGGTTCTCGCTTGCCTTGGTTTGAGTCTCTCCCGTATGGGAATCATCGGACTGGGTGCTGCTGTCTAGCACAATGCCCTTTTCCCGTTGAGAGTCCATTATGACACCGTCTGTCTCAAGAGCAGGTGATTTTCTAGTAGCCATTCATGAAAGTCTTGAAAATTCTACAATTTGAAGAGACAGCAGATGATTGCAGCAGAGATAGATGCAATGGGATCATCTGAATATCCCCTCCGTCGTATCCACACTTCCAGAGGAGCGAGTTCCGAAGCCGTGGCTCTATTTCGAGAATAGCACGGCGGAACCTCAAAAAGAACTCGCCTCGCCCCGCTGAACCGGCTGACCGCCATGAGGGATTCAAGCCTAGACATGGATCCCATCACACTGCCCCCAACCCGCATCCGGAAGGCCAGGACGAAACATCATGGGTAGATGTCTGAGGGGTAAGACAGAATTCGACATTTTCATGTTTGCAATTCACGACATCGGCTGCAACGACCCCGCCGCTGCCTTATCGCTGACCACCCCCATCGAAAAGGTGACCACCCCCCCTTTCGATGTCACCTTTCGATGGGGCCCGAAGGATCGAGACATGCGCTGCTACCTAGTCACCAGGCACCTGCATCAAGGCAGGTTCCTTCAACCATTTCTGTCATGGGCTGCATCGCGGCCCGCTATTGGTTCCCGAGGCACGGGAAGAGTCGATGCGAACTGAATATCCGGAAGACTGCGTACGAACCCATGCAAGGCACACAATATGCAACCACTCTAGATTGCATGCACTACAAAAGAACCGATGGCGGGTAAACAGGGCTTCCAGGCTTCCCGGCGTGGCGAGTTATCACCACATCACTGACGAATGAATGGATTCACGCACCCAATAATTGGAGATATGTCGCAACTCCATTCATCCTTCTACTCCATAATATTGCTTAGCCCTTAGCTTCTTGAGTCTTGACAGAGACATATGATTCAGCCCAGAGTCCCGCTCAGCCAATCGGAACGCTTTGCCAGCGTTGCCAAACACCAAAGAAGGCGCGTAATTGTTGTACAGATTCAACTCATGGCACTTTGAGCTGGATAGAACCGGCAAGCCGATGCCGCGAAATGCCGCACTCCACCTTCCTTTCGGTTTATGATCTGAAATTGAAGGACAAAACGCCTGTCAATAGTTACTTTTCTGGACTCAAGAGGAGGTGGTGGAGGGGCTGCAGCATCCCGGTCTCAATTGAAGGGAGTCACCCGCCGGGGCAAACAGGACTTGAACAACCCCCGTGAAAAGGCGCAGCATCGAAGGATTGACGGTGTGAGAGATGCGCCGGCATCGTTGCCTTTTCAGGTAGGTCGTAGAAACCGACCGAGCAGTCTAGAATACGTGTGTGATTTGGAAGATTCGAGGACTATCTGGTGTGACTCTTGCTCTGTCCCGCCGAGCTGTCTGGACTGTTCGGTAGTTACGCACGGCGTGAGTATGGCGACATGAACTGGAACTATTACGGGGACCACTGGATGGAAGTGTCAGCTACATGTGACGTTGAAGGATTTTCTGTGGTCCCTAGTCTCGCCTCTCGGACTGGAGAAATGCAAAGGTGCCAGATGTAGTCCGAGAGTGTGATGCCAGATCATGCAATGTCGTCCACGCATGTATTGAAGACAAGTAGTAAGCTCCTGAATCACCTCAAGTTGCTCCAAGTCGCTTTATACAAACAACGCTGTCCAAGACTTCCTGTCTTGGCGCCACGCTTCTAGTCTTACACCTTGCATGCATCTTCCGTACCTGCGCCGCTGCAAGCAAGCCAGGTCCTAAACATGTTATCTACAGACGGGAAATGGAAGCTCACACCCAGGCTTCACTCTGTGAAGTTTGTCTTTGACGCTCCGACCCCGGCAGATGCGAGGACTCCCGATGAAATCGTTTTCGACAATCCGTTCCCTACCAATATTCCCGGGGTGCCGAAGCGGTTCGTCTTCAAATCACCCACGACTCATGATGTTAGTCAAGAGGCTGTAGTTCCTCAAACATCCACCTTTGTCGACGATGGTCTCGACACTTGTTTCCCAGCCGAGGCACAGGCGTCTGATGTGCAGCCCACTACAGAGACAATGACGCCATTTGGCGAAAGTCTAACCAGCGAAACTACGACTGCGGAACCAAATTCAGACTCTGTCTCTCATCTTCAAGGACCTATATTTGACTCACCGGACGATGTCGAGGCAATTGTGTGCGCTGCATGGGCCTTGATACTGTCCTCGCTGAACGGCAGCGAAGAAGTCAATTTTGGAATATGCGTCCCCAGCGCTAGCAATTCTGGGCCTTTGGGCAGGGTGACCTCGTTCACTGTCTCTGTTCATTCTCAAGGTTCAATTTCGGCATTTCTAGAGCAAGCCAGAGACCAATCGCTTGTGCCCGTGGAAAATGATCAATTTTCCGAGGCAAGGCCTGGGGTTGGAGAAGAGCCATTTGCCAACACACTCATCAACTTTTCCACAACTGTTGGATGCCGGCAGCAACCAGTCAATCTTCCCGGTTACGCTCTTCAGCTTGTTTGCCTCGTCGTAGGACAAGATTTGCAGCTGTCTGCTACCTTCGACGAGCGAGCAATTTCTAGGTCAAGAGTTCGTCTTCTGCTCAGTGACTTGGAGCACGTCATCTGGCAGCTGGCGAACTTAACGGGAGAGCAGAAAGTGCTGGGAGATGTACAGATCATGAGCCCCTCAAGTCAGCGGCGTCTTGTTCAGCTCAACAGACCGTACGTTTTCTTTCTGCTCTTGAGTTTTAAGTGCTTGGCTAACTTGATGAAGACTTCCAACACAAGAGGAAAAGTTTGTACAGGAGTCGATAGTAGAGCATGCCAGATCACAACCTCACGCTCAAGCCATCTGCGCTTGGGATGGCAACTTGTCGTACTCTGAGTTGCAGCGTTATTCTGAGAATCTTGCAACGCATCTTTCCAGTCTCGGAGTCGGACCCGAAGTGGTGGTACCCATCATCTTCGAAAAGTCTGTCTTCAGCATCATTTCTATTCTGGGTGTGGCGATGGCCGGAGGTGCAGTTGTAGCTCTGGATCCCTCACTTCCCGAAGCGCGGATCAACATGATTATCGAAGACGTAGATGCCCAACTTGTCGTGTCGTCTTCACTGAGCCAAAGCAAGATCCCATCAGGCATTCACCAAGGGAAGCGAGTTATTGTCAGCCAGCCTTTCCTGGAACATCTCTCGATCGCACGGCGATCTTTGTCGACCCAAGTCTCGCCATCTCCGAACAACGCTATATACGTTGTGTATACGAGTGGCTCTACGGGCAAGCCGAAAGGTGTCGTGGTCACTCACGGAGCATTTTGTTCCAGCGCAAAAGGCTTCTCCAAGGCCATCCACCTCGACTCTCCCACCTCCCGGGTCCTGCAATATTCCTCCTTTTCCTTCGACATATCCATGCTTGAGATTTTTGCCACCTTGATGGCGGGATCGTGCCTTTGCATTCCATCAGAGGAAGATAGGATGAACAGCCTGGCTAGGTGTATATCCACCATGAAGGTCAACTGGGCAATGTTGACACCATCAGTTGCCAGTCTGATATCCCCAGAGGAAGTCCCAAGCCTCGAGGTTCTATGCCTTGTGGGAGAGGCACTTCCGCAGGCTGTAGCTGACACATGGGCCGACCATGTCAAAGCCATCAACGCTTACGGTCCGGCAGAGTGCTCGGCAATCACCATAGTCAGCGAGCCAAGGACCAGAGGAACGAAGAGCATTTCTCTTGGACGACCACCCAACTGCGCCGTTTGGATCGTGCGAGAAGACGGCCAGCTTGCACCTTTCGGTGCGATTGGTGAGATTGTCGTTGAGGGTCCGCCTGTTGCGCGTGGCTACCTAGGCGACGAGGAGAAGACGACAGCCGTCTTCATCGACGATCCGGTCTTTCTTCGCGGCGTCGTGCGCCGGCCGATGCGATGCTATCGCACTGGTGACCTCGGAAGGATGAACCATGATGGAACGATTGACTTCCTTGGTAGAAAAGACACTCAGGTCAAAATCAACGGCCAGCGAGTCGAGCTTGGGGAGATTGAGCATCAGCTCAAGCAGCGTTTGGAATCCTACGAGACACAATTGCCTACCGAGACGAGATGGGAACTGGCAGTTGAGCTTATACGGCCTGTTGGAGGGGAACACGGTATCCTTACAGCATTTATCGCGCTAAGGACCACTTCAAAAACTCCTTTTGATGGAGAAGGACGGGTCTTTGCAGAGGATGTGCACCCTTTATGGGCGACGATGCATCGGAAATTTCAAACCGCTTCGACAGAACTCTCCAACGTTCTTCCTGCATATATGATCCCGAGGGCAGTTGTACCATGTTACACATTGCCCCTGTCATCTTCTGGCAAGGTCGACCGGAAGGCACTCCGCACATACGGAACGACAATGACGGCACAGCAACTGCTGAGATCACCAAGTGGTATTGAAGAAGATCATGTCCCGCCCGCTGAAGTTCCCCAAGCAATTTCTAGCGACTTCCCCGAAAGCGAGGAGGAGTCTTCCGTTGGACAGCATACGTTACTTTCCGACACCTATCCTTCAACCGAGGCTTCAATGCCGCTCTCCGAACCTTCACAGCCTAGCCTTACTCCAGTTGAGGCATCGCTACGCCTGGCCTGGTCAGAAGTTCTAGGAGTATCCGAAGACTCAATCCTCCTCGAAGATGACTTCTTCAAACTCGGCGGAGATTCTATAGGAGCTATAAAGATCGTCGCCGCTTGTCGCAAACAATCACTTCAAATCAACGTGGCGAGCATCTTCAAAAACTCCGTACTAGGCAAGATGGCTCTCGTTTGCAAGACTACAGCACCTGGAAAGCACACAGCGCCCGCCACCAGATTCAGGCCATTCCAATTCCTACTCCACGAGAACATTACCGAGCTGCAAGAGGAAGTCGCCTTCCAGTGTGATATCACTGTCGAAAGCATCGAAGACTTGTACCCTTGCACGCACATGCAAGAGGGCCTGATGGCGGTCAACCTCACACGACCAGGGAGTTACACTGGCCGATGGATCCATCCGCTGCCCAGAGACGTTGATCTGTTGCGGTTCAGAAAGTGTTGGGAGAATATCCACGCCACATCGCCAATACTGAGGACCAGATTTGCAACGACATCAGCTGCGGGATCCTTGCAAGCTGTCGTCAGAGAGAGAGTCCAGTGGCTGTTGCACAACGACCTCGAAGCTTATCTTCAGCAAGACGACGCGAATCCCATGTTTCCCGGGGATTCACTCAACCGCTTCGCTCTTATCACGTCCGAGACTGGCGTTGTGACTTTTGTGTGGACCATACATCACATGCTCTACGACGGCTGGTCACTAGCAATGCTTTGCGATAGACTCAACGATTCGTACCACGGCCGCTCCACCAAGCCAGCAACCGACTACCGCAATTTCATTTCCTACACACAGCAGATGACGCCAAGTAACCATGTGGCGTACTGGAAAACAGAGCTGCAAGGGGTGAATCCGTCAAGCTTTCCTGCGACTCCCAAGCCTGGCCATCAATCCTTTGCCCGAGCTGTGGTGCGCGATGAACTCGACATCAAAATTGACCAGGCTTCCGGAATTACCATGTCGACCATCGTTCGAGCAGCTTGGAGTCTTATGATAAGCCATTTCTCGAAATCAGATGATGTCCTGTTCGGCGCAACAGTCTCAGGTAGAAACGCACCACTGGACAAAATCGAAAGCATCGAGGGACCGACGATAGCCACGGTCCCTGTCAGAGTCCGTATCGACAAGGACTCCGACATTCTCGAGTTTCTGCGGAAGATCCAGGACCATGCTACTGCAATGATACCTTATGAGCAGACCGGTATCCAGCAGATCAAATCCCTCAACGGAGATACCAGGTGCGCCTGCGAATTCCAGAACTTGCTCGTCATCCAGGCGGGCGGCGGCTGGGACGAGACTGGGGACGGTCCCCTCGGGAAGCCGATATATCGCGAGGAGTTTACGACGTTTCCTGTTACGTGCGAGGCTTGGCTTCATCCTGGACGAGTCGAGTTTGCGACGCATGTTGATGAGGGTGTCACTAATCGTGTCTTTGTTGCCCAGGCCATCGAGACTGTGAAGGTCGTTATGAGTCAACTTGCTTGGGCTACTTCCCGTGACTACAATTCCTCCAAGGTCCTCGACTTGGCCTTTGACGCGAATTCTATATCTATTCAGCAACACACTTCCGCATTTCATGGAGTAGAACAGGTCTCGACTACTCTTCATCAGCTCATTGGAGAAAGGAGTCTGGCACAGCCCCAAAGGGATGCAGTGGTTTCAACAGCCGACTCATTGTCTTACGAAATGTTGGATGGAATGTCCTCGGCACTCGCGGTCCAGCTTATTGAGACGGGCGTCAAAGCAGGAGACATGATCCCCCTTTGTTTCGAAAAATCGGTCTGGACTGTCGTTGCGATGCTGGGCGTCTTGAAAGCCGGCGCTTCCTTCGTCCCCCTCGACCCGAGCCAGCCCATATCTCGTCTACGAAAGGTCGTCGCACAAGTCAGAGCGAGAACTGTTCTCATGTCTACATTACAACACAAAGCAACAGATCTTGGCGCCGTAACGTCCATGATCATTGACCAGGACGCCCTCGGCAAGATCACGAAACTCCCGCACCAACTCCAGCAACCGGCTCATCTCGATCCCAGCAGCCCAGCATACGTCATTTTCACGTCCGGGTCGACAGGAGACCCCAAGGGCATCGTCATCTCTCACGCCGCGTTTGCTTCCAGCGCGCTAGCCCACGGCTCAGTGTTTGGCATGAATAACAATCACCGCGTCCTACAATTCTCCGCCTACAGCTTCGATGCCAGTTTGTTCGAGATCCTGACGACGCTCATACATGGCGGGACTGTCTGCGTCGCCACCGAGAAAGAACGTTTCGAGAGCCTCGGAGACTTTACAAGGCAGACAGGCGTCAATCTTGCGCTCCTCACCCCATCTGTGGCTCGCATCATTCGTCCCTCGGAGATGTCATCACTAGAAACCTTGGTGCTAGGCGGCGAAGCGCCCGACAAAGCCTTGGTCAAGAAGTGGCTCGATGCCGGAGTGACTCTGTTCAACGCGTACGGACCGAGTGAGTGTTCAGTCATCGCTGCGTGCCATTCATGTTCCTATAACGCAGACCCGAAAACGATCGGGGTCCCGGTCGGTTGCTCTGCGTGGGTCGTTGACCCAGACGATGACACGATACTCGTACGGGATGGAGAGATTGGTGAGCTGCTGATTGAAGGTCCGACTTTGGCAGATGGCTACCTTTATGACGTTAAAATAACGAACACCGCTTTCATTTCGCGACCGCCTTGGGCTTCGGGACAGAACTCGATGGGCAAAGGTCGCCTGTACAAGACAGGGGATCTTGTGAAGAGGATGGCCGACGGAAGCATGATATATGTAGGCCGGAAAGATCTTCAAGTAAAGTTGAACGGCCAACGAATCGAGCTTGGTGACATTGAGTCAGATCTCGTTGGTTGCAAGTCTGTTAAGAGCGGCATCGTTGTGTTCCCATCTTCGGGCCCTTTCTCACAGCAACTTGTGGCGGTTTTGGAGCTCGAAGGTGAGAGCGATAGACCCATTGGTCTCCGACATATCATATCTCGCTTCAACATTGTTGCGGAGAAGGTTCGTCAAGAGTTGGCTGGCAAACTTCCAAGCATAATGCTCCCGGCACACTTTGTCGACGTTGCCACTCTCTCTGCTGAGAGATTCCCGCTTTCTTCCTCGGCCAAGATAGACAGGAGACAGGTAACAGCGTGGCTCGAACAGTTGTCTGTCAGGGAGTCTGAGATCCTTGACAATTCTGCACCGATACCGAGCACAGTTGCGACGATCCAATCCGATGAGCTTCCTGCCTACGAGCTGGCAGAAAAGATCATGGATTTGGTGCCTCAGAGAACATATTCTCCTGGATCTCGGCTGGGTGGCTTCGACGATGTGCTGTTGAACACTTCTGGTCTAGACTCTCTCAACATGATGTCGCTCATGCACTTCATTCGCCTCAAGTACCACGTAAGAGTCAGTATGCAGCTGCTCATGGACGAGCAAACGAGCATCAGGAAGCTGGCAGCATTCATCATCCAAGCAGCTTCGAACGAGTCTGTACCTCCGATTGCTCAAGCTATAAACACGGGGTCTCGCCAAATTGATTTGATGGCCAAAATTGATCGCCTAGATGCGGAGGTCCAGGCACTTACCAACACGATGCCTCAAGGTATTCAAGCTACCTTGACCAGGAAAGAAAAGGATCTCAGGGTTTTCCTCACTGGCGCAAGCGGATACTTAGGAACCCAAATTCTGCGGCAACTGCTGGAGCGGCGCGATGTTGCCCGCGTGACCAGTCTCGTACGTGGTGCAACGCCCGAAGCAGCAAAGTCCCGTGTGCTGGAAGCGGCGCAAAAGTCCCTTTGGTGGACCGAGTTCCACGATGAGAAGCTGGACGTCTGGATAGGGGATCTTGCGAAGCCTATGCTGGGCCTCGGTCAAGAACAATGGGATCTGCTAGGGGATGGCCAGACTTTCGACGTCATCATTCACAATGGCGCGATTGTCCATTGGAATAAGAGCTATGCCACACTGGAAGCCGTCAACATTCAATCCACGGTCCAGCTTCTCAACATTGCTGTGCAGAATCCGGCTTTGCATTTTGCCTACGTGTCTGGCGGTCGACAGTGGAAGGGCATCCAAGAACAGGACGAGGATGTCGCGCAGGAGCTTTCGGATGCGATGGGATACAGCCAGACAAAGTTCGTTTCCGAGGTCTTGGTCAAAAGAGCTGCGGAGCGATGTCAACTCGTACGGCGGAGGAATATTGGCGTCTTCCGACCAGGGCTTATCATAGGAACGCCCGCGGAGGGGGTAGCAAACCTGGACGATTATATCTGGAGGCTCACGGCTGCCAACATTGAGATGGGAATCTACAACGTCGATGAGGAGCAGGCATGGTTGCATCTCTCCGATGCTGCTACGATTTCTGAAGCTGCCATTAGCACCGCATTTAGTCCGGAGTCATTGGCCTCTCCAGTGACACAGCATGAAGAGGGAATGACCTGGGGCACATTCTGGAGGTTAGTCAAGGGGATGGGTTACGACATCCGTCCAATGCGGGCTGCTGAATGGCTTTCGGAAGTCAAAAAGGATATCTCAAGGCGGAAAGAGAAGCACCCGCTTTGGCCTCTGGCTCACCTACTCGAGGATGGTAGCATGGACTGGGAAGCGACAGCCAACGACCATAGGGATTGCCCGCTGCAGCTCAAGGTGGCTATCAAGAAGAACATCGAAGCCCTTGTCACTGTGGGCTTCCTACCGGCCGCGCGTCGAGAGCTGGAAACAAGTCGAGTTGTCGGGGGCCCATTTTCTAGGACATGAGTGTACCGGATACCAGTGGTTGCAGAGTCATGGGATTGAATTCGTTCGATATGGAGATGCCTAGACGTAGTTGTTACTTGTCAGCACTTCGCGTTGTGTTCGTAATGTCAGTTAGGCACTTGTTCTTCCATGTCACAGGATCTTACTTGAGTTGGATCTTGGCGCGTAATCTAACTGCTGAGATGAGACCCCTGCCCGCGCTGCGGTGACGTAGGTGGTGCACCATCACAAAGCGAGACGATTAGGTTGTCATTCACGCCCTTATACCCCCATGGTAGCCTAAAATGTCACAGAAAATAAAAAAAGGCTTTCTCCTCCGCTATTACTTATTAGCACTCTTGGAACTCGAGTTGCTTGCAAGATCACGACGCCATTAGCAACTACTCTTGCTGGGCCTCACTTCAAGCATCAAAATGGATGATTCCATCACCATCAAGGCACAATGCTTGTGCAAGGCACACAAATTCTCTGTTTCACTTCCCAAATCTGCGTTGCCGCTCAATGCGTCTTGCTGCCACTGCACTTCCTGTCGCCGACTGACAGGATCTCTCTACAACCCTGCCGTCGCGTGGCCAAACGCCTCTGAAGACCTATCCGCTCTGCGCAAGTATCCGTTCTCAAAACACTTTGATGTTTACTCGTGCTGGACTTGTTCATCGCAACTCTTCGCTCGCGGCCACAATCCCAACGTCGGCCCCTTGGTCACAACCGGTGCGTTGGAGAACATCCCCGGTCTCGTCAAATATGACAATCACATGTTTATCGGCGATACCATCGATGGTGGTCTTTCACCATGGCTTCCGAGGGTAGAGAATAGGGATACAGTCAAGCGCTGGAAGGGGCATCGCAACAGTGAAGAGGTTCCATTCGACTGGCCAATCAGCAAATCTGTCCCTGCTTCTCGACTGAATGCCAGTGCCTCACCTTCGTCAACGCCATTTCACTGCCACTGCAAAGGCATCCAGCTATCGTTGAGAAGCGCCACTGATTTGGAGGCGGACCCTGCGAAGCCGTCTACCTCTACGTGCGTGGATCCCAAGACACTAAAGTTCAAAGCGTGCTGCGACTCGTGCAACTCTTGCCGCCAACAGTTCGGGTCAGACATCATCGCCTGGACATTCGCCCCTCTCACGCACATCAACTTCAGCTCAGAACCCGCATCCGCGCCTTCTCAGTTCCCCCAGACGATTAGCGCACTTAAAGAAGCAGTGCAATCCGAGACCAAAGACCCTCGTCTCGGGACATTGGCGGTGTACAACAGCTCTCCCGAGGTAGAGCGATACTTTTGTTCAACGTGCTCAGCCAGCGTATTCTACGCCGTCTATAATCGTGAAGACATGGTTGATATTGCGGTCGGGTTACTTGATCACCCTGACGGCGCTCGTGCTGAGGGCTTGCTGGCTTGGATTCATGAGCTGGTTGGGTGGGAAATGGATGCAGCAGGCGGATGGCGAGAACAACTAGTTGAGACGACCAAGAGTTCTATGCAGGAATGGGCCGACTCCATGAACGCAAATGAGAACTTAGACAGCTAGGTTCCGGTTCAAAGAATTTCAAAGCAGCAAAACTAGCACACAAGAGATACATGAACGAGACACTGACCTGCGTTGTGAAAGGGTTGTTCCGAAGTCGAAATTTGTGACCATATTATCTTGCTCTATAGCATTGTACCAACTTGCATCTAATAACCAATCATCAGCGTCGATGGTTTAGTGGTAAAATTCTCCGTTGCCATCCAGCAGCGTCGGGGAGCCGGGGGTTCGATTCCCCCTCGACGCAGTCTTTTTGATTTTGGCGGTCGGTGGAGGAGGCCACTGTGCGAAAGATTAGTCTTCATAATGGCCGACACAATAGCATGTTTGCTACTAAGTTCCTGACCTATAAAGAGAGCGAAGTGGGAGGGAGATATATATCTTGTTACCTTTTTTCGACCTCTTTGGTGATTCCCTATTACCTAATCTCCTTCAGTAGCTACTGTAGGGATTGATATCTAGTTGCGCGGCCTTGTGCAGTGGAGCTCGATTGCAAGGAATGATCGAAATTGTTATCTAACTAAGCACATCTGGCCAGTCTTGTGATGATATTTTTTAGTAACAACGCCTCCCAATCTACATCTGCTTCCAAACAGTGTGCATATTCCCTATTTCAGCTCCTACCACAAGCGGAAGACCGAAAGCTCTCGATCTGTGATAGAGTAATCACTCGGTACCGCCATCGTTGATAGGAACAGGTTTCCGAGACCTTCCGTACCCAGTAGAGAGTTGTAGATGATACCAAGAGGTGACGCAGCAAGCATGACTGAGGTACCATTAGTGATGGTCAAAAGCTTCGGTGCTAGCCGCATGAGCCTGAGAGCCTCGATTGATGGCTGCCATCTGTATTTGACATTGTTTGGTGTGTACAGAGGTTCGTCGGCTGCCTTGAGCATCGATATTTCAATGTCCGGAGGAAACGGCTGTGGATGCCGCACACCTGTGTCTAGCAGGGCTCGCAAGTTCATCAGCTGTATGATTGAAGCGTTGTAGATGATCAGTTCGGCAGCCTGTTCCGCCGTCTTCACCGCAAGTGGCCTAGACAACAAAACCTTGGCCCAGGGAAGTGAGATGCCATCCGCTTCTGCTTCAAGAGGCAGATCTACTTCCCTTGCAGCACCGGGGTTGTCAGATTCCCAGTGCCATCTCCAGTCCTGAAGATCCGCGAGAAGCTGATCAATCCGTGCATGAGCGTCAACCTTCTCATTGTCGAGGTAGAGCCGATTTGGTGAAGCGATGGAAACGGTAAGACCAGGAATGATGACGAAAAGATCCATCAGTAGGTCATGAGATGTCTTGGGTATAAAATACCATGGAATAGTTTTCCACCGGGTTTCTTCAAAGAATGAGCGATCATGCTCATTAAATGAATTGCAAGCCTTGAGAGAATGGTTAGGAAGGATATCTGAGGAAACATACAAGTTCCAAGCTTGATATTGACTTACGTGGAGTGCCCTAATCTGGCGAAAGTAAGTCAGCATGGGCTCTTGCTGGAAACATTCTGGTCCACATAATTCTATAATCTTTGACATGCCATAATAGTGAGGAACGTTGGCCACATTCTCTACCGCATACTTTAATTATCAGCACGCTAGGTCCATTCAATCGACCAAAGTTCCTTTCAAAAGACTTACTTGGTAAAGACTTAGTATGATGATGGTAAAGGCCCACCGAGCTAGTTCCTGTTTGGACTTGGCTGACAAGGCAGCGTGCAACGCCCTAATCACCTTGCCGTTCAACTCGTAGCCCTCCGCCAGCATTTTTGGCTCCTTGACAGAGTTCCCCATGAAGCCAAGTGCCGTCGCCAGACTTCCCGTGTAGTCGGCTTTGGCTACGTCTGATTCTGTATCCCCTTCCAGTGACATGCGAAATAGAGGTTTCCAAAATGGAGCCCATCGATAGTTTGTGACAAGATGTGAAAACGCCATTTGATTACGGAACGCTGTAAACGGGAGTTCTGGGACGACTCTCTGCTGTGTGACGGCGCTCGAACTTGTGTTGGACAGTCTTACTAGCTGTTGACTGCCGCCGGAATTGCCGGAGGCGGCGAAGTTCTGCATACGAAGCGGCAGCTCATAGCCCAGGCATTTGTGGCCGGACTTGAGGCATCTCTCACATGCAGGTCGGGTTTTGTCTAAGTAGGTGCACTTTCATGTAAGTAAAAGGCCTTTTGCTGAGACTTTCCGTTGAGATTATCACTTGAGTGACGGAAACTTCGTATACGTACCACACTTAACCCGTCTCCGTCGACAAGTATGACAATAACCGCTAGATGGTGGGCGTCCCATGATGATATGCTTGAATTCGTTGGTGAATCTTTCTGTGAATAATTCGCGATGGAAGCCTGGGCGGAATTGGACCAGAAAAAGAGTTGGGAAATTCGTCGCAACTGATTTGCTTGTAGAATAAAAATACGCAAGATTTAAAGTGCTTGCAGAGCTTAGTGACAGTACAACGTCTTGATTTATGGCCAAAAGAACCATGTTATTGACCGTATCTCACGAGGCCATGTCGCAGTCCCACCACCGACCGGACTTGATGGAGAGCATCGAAGATTGAATAAGCAGGGCAAGGGGGCACAACCCACTCGGGCGCGTCGGCAGGTACCTTTTGAGCCTTTAGTCATCGTGGAAGAGGTAAGCTAAGCCGAACTCCAATTCTCTTCAGTTCTAATGCATCCCTTGGCGAAACGTCCCAAGCCCCCCTTGGTCCTCGACGTCTCCGTGCTTCTTGGCCAGTGTCACGCTGACTGTGTCCCCAATAGGCATTTCGTGTTCCGGCCCAATCACAGAGACTTGTTAGAATATGTACGCAAAGATCGCCATGGGCATTATGGTAGACGACCGTGAGGATTGTATGCCGAAAGGAGGCAGTGGTCTCATCTCCGTCAGCAGTGATCTCGTCGTCTCAATTGACCACATCAGTGCCATAGTTCAGAGTCGCATATTGACCTATTTCTGTTTGCTTACCTTATGCATACACATCACGTATCGCCACTTGTGTGAAGGCATGGAGAGCGCTGCTAGCGATTGGTCGGGGATCCGCCAGAACATTCGATGCACTCTATAAGAATTGAGTGTTGATGATCTGCATCTCGGGTCGTATCCGCCAATGGCAAATATCCGCGCGTTTCAATGGTCTTTGATATTTGGATGAAACATCGAAGTGTTGCAATCACAGCTTCAACTCATGGGCTATTGACGTAATCGGGGATTAGAAAGAACAGTAGTAGTGAAGCGACATACCAATGAGAGATATAAACCAGCGAACATAGAGCACCCGGCTTTCCGCTGTCACCACCTCGTACTGAAGCCAGAGTCATTAAGGCCTTGAGCTTCTCAACATCTTCGTATTGTCGTCTTCAAATTATTACTTCAAAGCTTACCAGCCGCCGCGGACCATCTACAGCACATCCTTAATTGATCGGAGTTCTTATTCGCTATTTATAGTTTATCCATAGCTTAACAAAGCTCGGCCTAGATATCCTTATTCCGTAGCTCTGACTTCTTCCATACGTTAAAAACCACCTAGAGTGATATGTAAAGCTCCTTTATCTACTTTCCCACAACTAAAAGCAGTATTCTATCATCGTCCTCAATCGCCTTGGTCCTTTCTCTGGCGGCTAACGCGCCCTTGGTGGTCGCCCACCGCACACCATTTCTTACCAGCTCGCTCGGCTTTACGGTTCTATCGTCAAAAATCTCTCGGTTTCCCTCGTTTAGTCGGGCCTTGGTCGTCAGTTTCTATATCCGTCGAAATGGTCGTGCCGTCCTGCTGACCTCCCCCGAATCGGAGAGTCGGGAGTCCGACGCGATATTAATCGTGTCCGAATCCGCCGACATATTTAACGACGGGACCCGTCGAAAGTGTGTTCACTATTGCTGCGCCTCTTCATTAATTCCCATATGCAAATTAGCTGATTTTCTCCCTTCCCGTCGCTTCCTCGCATCTGCGGAGAATACTGATGAGACACAGTCTAGCGTAGTTTTCCCGAAAAGTACGAAGCAGTCGGCATTGACATCGTCTTAACAATAAACTCCGTAATTATCGACCGGGGATCTACTTTTGTGAGACAGATCCCTGAGTAAGGTACCGAGAAATATGCCAAGTGAAGAGCAGAGAAAAGCCTTCGTCTGATGACTGGTCACCGGTTTGGCGACAGCCTATGACTGTGAGAGGATCATATGTACTCTGTACATCTAGTCACCTGACCTGACTTCCAACATCATTACCAGCGCTCGCCATGGTAATCGTATCGATGGTCAAGTTTCATACAGACCGCGTTAACATTGTATTTCATGTTTGCAAAATCAGTGCTCCGCTCGGCATCGGAGTGAAGCTGACTCAAACTACAAGTAACTAAAGCGACAGGGATAACGCCAACTCGCCATTCATCTTGTTGAATCTGCCCATGGTAGATGCTAGCCTCGAGCTCCAGTCACTGCAGATAATATCATCACCGTAGGTTACTAGCATTCATCTAATCTAGGTATCCAAGCTGGACGTGATCGAAGTTTGAAAATTGGAGTTAAATTACACCATTTTATTCAAGACCTCTGACGTGCTCGGTTGTTCTGCCCGAATTCAAATATTGATTTAAGAGGATTGCTGCACCCTGCGTTCGACTGCTGGAAAATCAGGAAAATCAAACACCCTATAATTTAGCACAATGTCTTTTTCAGTCAGGATATCCACAATGCTCGCCATCTTCCTGTCGAGCTTCTGGATTTTCCCCTTTGTTTTCGGCGCAGCAAAACCGAGTCGATCTTCGCGAAATTATGAGCGATCCTTAGACAGCTGGGTATCGGTCGGCCACAATGGGAACTGGCCATGCTCCAGTGACGAAATTGAGGTTATCGAGAACGCGGTAGAGTATACCAAGATTCTGGCGAATGGGGCGATAGTGGCTTTGGATGATACGGGAACGTCCTCCTCAGCATATTTGCGCTGGTTTGGTGGTGAGACTATTACATCCCTACCTATTTAATGGGTGTCCGGTTCGGTTTTTATGCATCGAGCTGTCACTGACATTGAACTACGACTTTGGCTCATAGACGGCAACGCTTACGAATCTGACCTCGAAACCATCAGAGAATATCACTATGAGGCTGTAATTTCCGAGCTGCGAGCCCCTGAGTCTGGAACCGTGGACTCGGTAGAAGAAGGCGGCGAGGATCCAGAAAGACTCGTTTACGCCTGTCCTGCCGCGGGTGACTCTTTCTGCGCGTCAGGCGAGGCAGCTGCGGTGGTTAACGCCGGCGATTATGGCTTCAGTGTTAATCTCCTCTACGTCTGTCCTTCATTTTTCAATAAGGTCAGCCACTCGCGGATGCTATCCAACTGGCGCCAAGGTACATATACGCCGTCCGCTGGCTTGGTTCTTCTTCACGAGATGCAGCACCTCGATGCTGTCGTGGGTTCAGAGAGACGCAGTGTCGATCACGCCTTCTCAGTCAGAGGGTAAGCTGACCGTTGCCAAACAAGCCCTTCGTGAAGCGGAATGCTAATCATCGAGTGTTCAGTTGCGAGGATCTTGACGACGAAGAGAAGATCACGAATGCACAAAATTTTGCTTTCTTCGCATTGGACGTAACTGCAAGCCCTTAAGCTAGAATGGAGGCCTATGCAGTAGATAACCAACTGAGTGGAACTGAAGATACATATGTACAAGCGGTAGTCTGTTCTTTTGTCATCGCGCTGTACTTTATTGGTGAACGAAAATATTAAATATAATGGTTGTTGCAAAGTCACATGTCCATTAACACGTCTTAATGAATCAATGGACGCCGAAGTCGTATCAGCTGGCGAGATATTCGCTTGTCTCGGCTGACCACATCTACATCACTGGATCCGAAGCGCTTGGCGATGACTGCGAACACTGCAATCGGAGTGTCGCATTTAGGACCGTTCTGAGTGTACTTGGATGAATCACATATTGAACGAAATTTTCGGATCTTTCGATCCAGTAGCAAAGTCAAGCTTAAAACGCTGAGAGGGCTGACGGAAAACTTGGTCTTGGTTGTGGCCAGGGCCGAGAGAGACAAAATGAGAGAGGCACGAGCCCGCTTGAGGGAACAGAAAGGTGGCCGGCGCAGATAATGACCACGCCGTCTTCATCAGCCGGGCCATCAGCTCGAAAGAAAAAAGCATTAACAAGAGGGCTAGCGAGATGTGGTCGATCTACTAGGACCTCGAAGACGGCTCTCCCTACCTCAAGAAGTCTGTCGAGTGTAGACAGCTCCTTTACTGAGGCCAAGTCTGTGAAGGCAAGCTAGTCTGAAAAGAATGGAATGAATGTACTGACTGAGGGCAAGCTGACTATCTGTCTGATCTCTCTCTCTCTCTCTCTCTCTCTTTCTCTCTCTCTCTCTTTCTCTCTCTCTCTCTGTGTGTGTGTGTGTAGAAGAGAAAAGCCAAGCTAGCTACAGGTGTGGAGGTGACGTCGAGGTGAAGCCGAGCAGAGCCTGCTGACTAATCACACATGCCAAAGTCAGTATCAAAGTTGACGTTGCAACGAAACCTTTCTCAGGACGTTTCGGTGGCTATTTCTTCGGCCGCATGCCGTCTGTACGCGATCCTCGCACTCGGTCGTTTGCATGGTCAATTCTCTGCAGAAACGGCACCATCTTGAACTTTCCCGGCCGTCAGCATGTTATAGGGTAAGATGAACCTTCACCTTCGATAGTATGTGGAGGGAGCCAGGAATACGATTGCATCGCTCATCCCGGGGCAGCCGAGTCACGCGAGTTCTATTAGGGAAAAGAAGAGGAAAGCCAGCCACGCGTCTGGTTGCCCAAGGGGTAAGCCGTGGTCACCGAAAGCCCGGGCAGTGGGCCGGGGGCCGGGCGCTACTCATGTGCCAAATTATGCTCAGCCGATCGGCTGGTCTAATGGCATGGATATACCTGCACCTCCGCCAGTGATCATCAGCGCAAAACCCCTCGTAGTTAGATGACAGGAACCCACCGCAAGGCACCCTGACAGTGTCACGACGACCTTAGCGCCGCGGGCCGCGCTCCGCAGGATTCCAGCATGATCCTATATCAAATATGGAGCATGGGAAGCTATATGTGTCACTCGAGGGGTAGATTGAGCCGCAAAAAACCAATCATCACCATGCGGGGCGCTCATCTGCGGAATCTAGGCTGTCTTTCCTGAGTTTCCTAAGAGAGCAAGAAATTCGGGCTGCGATCCTGCCACTCCGATCGGCGTTGTTCACGTAAAGACATCCTTTCCCCTCATCTTATACTTTGATATCGCTGTACATCATCATTCCAGTACGCTTTGGACTCTTGGCGTCAAGGTCACAGGTTCCGTGGGCAAGTTGAGGAATAGATTAGAAGCTCAATAGGTCGTGTCTAGTATCAAGACGTAGCGCGATGAACAACGGCGAAAAACGCGCTGCGCAGCCGGTGCTACTAGGAAAGGAGCTGATGCCCATCTTACTAGATTCTCTCTTAACCTTATCAATCTTACCTAAGCAACTGTCAGCCTGCCCAGTAATCCGTCAGTCACGTAATACGGATCGCATTTGTGAGGTAACCGCCTTACTTATTTATGTACGTCCAATTACCAAAGCAGCACCCCTCAAGGTACAGAAAGCAATTCCTGGTTGACACTGCTCACTCCGATCATGACCACCCAAATCAACACATACTTAATCGTCTCGAAGGTAGACTTCACTCAAAATCCACAATCGCGAATCTTAGCACTTGAAAACAGAATTCAACAGTGTTACTCAATCACTATAGGTAGTCGCTCGAACACAAAGTTAATAACTTCCGAAGCGATATCGAGTCCTATCTTAGCAATACTGTCTAGTCTCACCTTAATTGCTATAAATAACGCGTCGAGGCTCGTCTCTACCATTTTCAATAACGGGCGCTTAGTTCTAAATAATAAAACGCCAAATTACTGTAAACCATAACAAGCCTCAGGAACCACATTATCCGGATTCCGCCTCTCCGAATCCACCCCTTCTTTACCTACGATCTAAAGCGGAGTATCATCAAACCAGAGCATAAGTGGTTTCCGAAGAACATAAATAAGGTCTACTTATTAAGAACCCCAAAGAACCTTCGTCAACACCGCATGCTAGACTACTTAGTCAGGTTTTATAATATATCCCATCACATCAAAGCCTCAGTTAATACGAGCGAATCAAGTAGTAAGGCCGACGTTAATTAGGGACCCGAAGTGGCACTTTGGAGGTTTGGGCCTGTGAAATATGCGAGAATCATTCCACCACGGATATCACACCAACGTTACAAACCACCTCTTTTTTCAAGGTGTAACGCTATTTATCTAACAAACTCGGGTTGATGAGGACTGATTGGATTATATGAATGGAAAGACGGTCATCTGATCCCACTAACACTAGTCTTCAGGTCGTGTAAGAATTATTTCACCGTCGATACTACTTAAATGTAACGTCCTACCACCTTTGTGCCATGATCCAAATGTTGACTTACCACTGTCGGGAGATAAGTACCACAAGATGAGGACTGGCTTAGTGGCCCGACTAAAAGACGGTCATCTGATGCCTTTAGAACCAATCACTGTTTCCACATCTAGATGTTGTGGTTCACCGGATGCAACAACATCAAAGGATGCAAGCAAGAACTTATCTGCAGGTGGAACGATCTACAATGTTCCTGTGACGACGCGCGCACTCATATGGGTGCCCAGGAGCGCGCCGAAGGTACTACGAAGTGGGATTGGGCCCGTAATGCACTGCAGTCAGCATAATTCGTTGGCTAAATACTAGCTACAATACCATGTGTATACCTTGCTGGCTAGTAAGCTTTCTCCTTGACTCACACTTTTCTCCCTCTTCCGCCTTTTCCCTCTCACCTTTCTTGTGACTGCCTCTTTTCCTGTTTTGTCTCCCCTTTGGTATTCACTCCTCCCTAGTCTCGTGCCTGCAACCTCTCGTTAAGGTACATACACCCACCCACACACACACACACACACACACACACACACACACAGAGCACGACACAGCACTGGTGCGTGGGCTTTGGATCATGGAGTCAATCCCACACAAAAGTAGCGCAGTGTTGTTCGACTTGGATAACACACTTTTTGATCACTGCCATTCCCTGAGATCCGCTATCCCGTCCATCCAGGCAAGCTACGACAGTTTCGAAACGCATAATTCCCAAGACCTTATTTCCAAGTACAATAAGTCACTTCAGAAGGCCTACGACGAGTATCTCCGGAACGAAATCACTTACGAAGTGGCAGATTTCAAGAAGGTTCGCTTGTTTTTCGGTGAGATTGGGCTCTCAGAGCCAGATCACAAGCAGATCATTGAGTTCCGGAATATCTACAATTCATCATACCGGAATCATCGAAGGGCGACGCCGGATAGCGTTGAGATGCTGATACGTCTACGCGAGAATGGCTTCCGACTTGTACTTGTTACCAATGGTCAACTCAAGGATCAGTTGGAGAAGGCGGAAGCCATCGGAGTGCGTCACCTTGCCGACAAGATCATCACCTCAGAAGAAGCAGGTTGTTGCAAGCCCGACACCAAGATGTTCCGTCTGGCAATTGAGAGATTGGGGGCGTCGCCTCAGAAAAGCTACATCATAGGTGATTCTGTGAACTCCGACATCAAGGGCGGCCTTAAAAGTGGACTCGACGCCATCTTATATTCGCCTATTGCCACGGACTCCACGCGCGAATTATTTGGGACAGCTGTGCCAGTCATCCACAGCATGTCTCAGCTCCCGGAACATCTCAATTTCAGCCTCCCACGATTCGCCCCACGTATCTACTCGCAGCATTCCCAGGTTATCGTAGAAGGAATCGGGATGGATGTGGTCACTGAGCCACGCCATTGTCTCTGGTTAACAAAAGACACTGTGAATAGCCTTTCGAGGCAAATAGCCGGTGTCTTTGAAGACATTTCCAAAGAGAACTACATCTCTGCCATCTCCCGACTTGAAGCGATGATCAAAAAAGTCGCGAAAGCTGCCTCGCCGATCGACGAGACTGCCATTCAGATCTCATACCCCGGCCAGGACCACCAACTGAGCGAATCGATCACCGATTTCCCATTTCATATCACGGAGAGACTGCATAGCGTCCGCGTCGACTATGAAAAATACGTTTTCGCATCCAAACTGACGATTCAAGCTCACTTACGAGAGTGCATTGAACTACTTCAAAGCTACTGCGACAACCTCATGCGAGACCACCCAAGAGCAGCACTGCGCAACCTTCGGTCCGTGATGTTGATACTGGCTAAGGTTGCTGGAATACAAACTTCTACAGTCGTTAAGGGCGAAGGACTTAGTCTCAACACGATCTGAGAAACCAAACTGTTTTTTGGTAGTGGCCGTTAACTTATTAAAGGGCGTTCTCGGTCTCAAAAAAGAAAATTTTATCCATTTCAGGCGGCATATGGAGGAGTCAAGCAGACGCTCAGCAGCCCTCACTGGCAAGCGATCTAACATCGAGGAACACGAGCGAAGGACCGCGCCCAAATTATATCAGCCCTCGGTTTCATCGATATCGGTACGTTGGTGAATAGTTTCCTCTCTTCTTTCGGGCTCGGTATTGGCAGACGCGGCCGTGCGGCGCGTGGAAGAGTTTGCAGGTTTGAACTGGAGAGCATTGCCCGAGCTCTGATTCTCAGAAGAAAGGAGAGAAAAGTGTTCAGCTCTATTCGTTTCGTTCAAGGCCACGACGTCAAAAATCCAGACAAGCTCGGCTTATTTTTGTAGGCTTATAAGAATTATAAAGTCAGGGCACTATCGTACTAAACAGCATAAGGAGCAGCTTACGACTTAAGGATATTCTGCCTAGTTCTTAGCCCTGACGTAGCAGTCTACTACCTTTTCGACTTGTCGACAAGTGTTTAGGCGGTGGCCCGGGTCTCTGATGCACTCCCAGGCGGCGATGCATTACAGATTGCTTGTGTTCCGGAATGCGAAGAAGCTGGTGTGTATCATATGTAAAGCGGTGGCTACATGTAGCCTCCTATGGTATATCCGTCTCACAAAGCTACTATGGATAGGCCTGCCGCTTTGCTTCACCTAATCTGTGACAGAAAAATAACGCGATCCTCGCCGACAGTTTCCCATGGTCTTTGCTGAGGATGATTCACCATGGAACACTCATTCGTTAATCCTAACTTAGCCCGTCAACCATGGGTCTTGCAGAAGTTGCCTCGCCGTAGGCCGAGCGTTCGGATCCCACGTTAGGGCCCTTCGAATGAATTGCAGAAACTTGAGATTATTCTCAAGTTTGGTCTCCAATGTCTCAAGAGTTTTCCCTCTTGGGATAGGCAAAAAGTTGCCCCAGTTCCCTGGAAGACAATGGTCAGACTTCCCATGAAAAGGATTTACCACTGGAACGGAAGAGATTTCGCTGAACGAACCTTGTGCATCCCAGTACTCGAGCGCTCGATTGCGATGCCGGTTGAGGAGCTTTAGAGGCGGTGGGCCCAGTACGGCAATGAGTTCAGCGAAGTGAGCACCGTCCGAGAAACTGCCATCCTCTTTGCGGGCGCTGAACAACGTCTTTCCTTCAAGGAGATCCCATGCCTGACACATAGAAGGAGTGGTTAGGGAATCCGTCAGTGGAACTATGATTTGATCTGAACACATACTGTAAGTCCGACGCTCCAGATATCGACCGGGCAGCCCCATTGGATGTGCAAGAGCGTCTCCGGGGCTCGGTACATGATTGGCATGATGTCGCCAGCGTGAGGACCAGTGCCGAGTCTGGCTTCCCCAAAGTCAGAAAGAAGCAGAGGCCCAGCCTTAGGCTTCATCAGGCGGGAGAGGTAGATAGTTCGGCCATCAAGTTGCTTGCGAGGAACGGGGTTCGAGAACTCATTTTCTTCCAGTTTTTGGAAGAGAGAGTCGTCGCTTGTCCCGAGTAAAAGATTGCCGGGATTAACATCTGATCTCGTCTCAGTTGCGATGCCTGGTTGCCTGGCATGATTGTTCCTGCAATCGTATGGAAAGAATGGTATCAGGGAGCACACACTTACCAGTATGTACAGACTGTACCTCGGTATGCAGGAAATCAAGTGCTTCGAGAAGCTCCTTGATGGCTCCCTTCACAAACCCCTCGTTAAATCCGCGACCGTCCATGAATACCATGTCCATATTACGAATGCTCATTTGAGAAACCTGAAGAGCAAGTGCGACATGTTTGCCATGGGGGCCGATTACTTCAAAAGAAGAGAGTAGACTTCTGATATTTTTCGCGCCAGGGTGCTGACTTGGGAGGAACTTGTCTAAGTGCCTGTAAAATGGCAGTTCACGGTGCTGGGCTGAGTTGTGAATGTAGATTTTAAGGGCCACATATTGATGGTTCCTGTTCCGGATGATTAGCACAATGTCGCATCAAGACTGAATTAACTCACTGCAGGTCACGCGCAAGCCAAATGGTGGAGGATGAGCCGTAGCCAAGTTTCGCCACGGTTTGGAACCGGTCGTTGAAGATTTCTCCAAGTCGAACAGGATAGAAATGTTCTGAGATGTATTCTGGTATGGTCTCCTCCTCGACAAGCTGATCTTGCCCGATGACATCGAACCCTGACGCTGGAAATGCCCGGGGCATTGACCGTGGACGGTGAGACGACAGCCTGAACGTGGCAGGTAGAGAGCTGATTGCCGAAGCCATTGTTTTCTGAGCTCGAGGGGGCAAGCAATGATTGTAGGAAGCCGGTAAAACAGAACGGCGGAGTCGTCGGCAGGTGAATCGGTATAGCGCCATGGCGGTAGCTCAGGAGCATGAAGGTGGTAGGTTTGGTGATGTATTTGGCCATGGAAGGCTTGTAGCAGAGAACGTCATGTCCGGATATTCCCCGGAGACCGAACTTTCCCCAAGCGTGGCTGTAGTCAATTGTGCCACAGAAATTGGCGCGCGCCTCAAAGTCACACGCCCCATCCTGGCGCGGCGCCCAGACGAAGAAAGTCGATAAGGTTGCCCTTAGTTATTCCGATTCTTTCTGCCCTAAAGAGGATATAAGTCCCCTTCACTTGATACGACGCGGCCTGACATATCGACAGCAGTGCTACACAATATCTCCCACAAGACACCGACCAGACTATCAAGTCCAGTTACTTGAAACAACTACAACATGTGCTGGAAATACACCAACATGATGCCACGGCTGGAATGGAGCTTCTCTATGTGGACGGTAGACGTGCATTCAGTAGTAAACATCTTGATGCATCCTCTGGGTCTCAGCCTAGAAACTCTACATGTACCTTATGCATCAATTACTACGACTCTTTGTCACCGCCGGTCATCAACCCTCGCTATTTCTCTCACCCCTACGATACTCAAGTCTTGGCCAAGTCGACACGGTTCAATAGAAGATTGTCAGCTGCAGCGCCAATCCAAGCTCTTGGGGCAACAGTGTTGAGATGCCGACAACATTGGCGACAGCGAAATTTTGGATTTCATCAAATGAATAAGCTCTACATGGTTTAATTATGCTGGGACTTGCGCTATGCTTTCGAGGGCACTTGGTGGTGTCGTGGACACCCAACCTCAGAGTGCTTGGTGTCGATGGCTCGAGGATAGTAGATGCTAGTATTATGCCTTTATTTCCATCGGCGCATATCCAGACGATGGTCTAAGAGATCGCCGAGAAGGTAAAATCTCTTATAAATTGCGCTCAAGCATATAGCGAAACAAGTGTAGTCTGGTAGCAACTTCTCCTACACAGGCAGTCGACAACATCTTGTAGCAGTAGTATTCTTGATGTATCGCGTCTGGATTTAGATTATTAAGGATTAGGAATGGGACCAGCAGACATTGATATACTCTCTTGACGTACCGCTTTTTGGATGAATGCTTTTTGATTGAAAGTCCCTATATTCGGTCATTTACTAAGTTTGTTTTACTTCTGTGACTGGTGCGACCTGCTCTTACTTTGGCAATGACTTGTCAACCCTGCTCAATGCGGGAAATGTCGTCATTGAGGAGGTGCCCGTCAGCTTTCCCCTGGAATATCTGACTAGCAAAGAACTCTCAATTGCCTTAGACTCCTAAAATCATCATTTCTCAGAAATCAACGGTAGCCACAGCCCCTCGCGACTTGTAAGAGCCACAGAGGGACAGCAGACAGGGAAGGGAAGCTTAAAAATCCTTGTGTGCACTAGAGGGCTGGACCGGAATAGTGGTGTCGCGTTTTGCAAGTCAGCATGGCCCGCCGCCAGGATGTGCTATTCGAGCCAATAGTGATCACTGTCAATTTTCGCGAGCAGGGAATCGGCGCCCCGATCAATTCAACCAACCATTTGGGAGGATGACCTTTTGCCTAGTGCTTACCCTGACACTGGAGTCACAGGGCACGGCTTCGAAATGTGCTGTTCCAACGTCAAGCAGCATCCCGACGTTAGACATTGGCTCCAACACCTTTTTATGCAGTAAAACTAGCAATAACTTGGGTTGGAACGATAGGGTTTGAAGCCTGCTTTGCTAGCTCCATTAGACTGAAAGACGGTGTCGGGGCGAACCTTAGTTGAGCTGTAACCAGGCACAGATGATTGAATAAGACGGCGACTACATTCGACACTAGCAAAGCCGCTAGGGGTTCATATGACCACCACGCGCTGTCGAGCCGGAGAGCCCTATGACCCTGGTCACCCAAGACCATCTGAATCATCTGTTGCATTTATTCCATTAAGCAGAAATGCAGGGGTTATACGCGATACCCGAGCCTGCTCAGGGGCCGATTCTGGCTGCCTAGCTAATTATTCTGTCTCAGCTAGGCTCGCGTCAGGCTGACTGCGGCTGGCTGCCAACACCACACCACAAGAAAACTCCTGATAAATTAAGGTTCTCTTCGAGGCTTTTCCTCTCGCAAATAGCGAGGGGCGAGGTCGATCATCTCCGATGCTTCGACAGATGTGATTGCTCACGGCCAGCAGCAACAGATTAATGATGTTTGGTGCATGCTTGTCTTCAGGATGGTGTGCTGGCTGCTTCTGCATGATTTCCATGCTAAGGATATTCAGGTTGAAGAGAGCGAGGTATTTGGAAGCCGTCTGCCGGTTTATATCACATGAAGGAATGTCGGTGGGTGACATAACGAATTATGATATAAGGGAGAAAGTTGGAAGAATGAATCTGTGCACTGCTTGGTTCTGAAGCTGTCCATTGTGGAGAACGGCTACTTCAAGTTCTTTTGTCAAATGTCTCATGTGGTATTTCAGCTACTATGTGGACTGACTATTTACATGAATGCATTCCGTCGCAAGAAAGACACAAACGCTCGATTATTAAATCTTCAAGCCCCGTTGGTGCCGTTTTCGCGCTTCTTCAATTCTTCGCGGACTGCAGGTAGGATATAGCGACCGTAATCGATGGCATCGTTGAGGTTGTCGTAACCACGGATCGAAATCAGCTCCGCGCCAAGATCGACATAGTCCAAGATGGAGTCGTTGATCGTCTTGGGAGATCCAACCAGCGCCGTAGAGGCTCCACGGGCGTTGGTCGCAGTGACGGTAGGGTACCACAACGCCCGGTCCTGGACCTCGCCCTTCTTGGCAATGTCGAGCAGACGCTGGGAACCAACATTCTGAGGCTCGGGACCGTTCTGGCCGGGCTTGCCCTGTCCAGCAGAGATGTTGCCCTTGAGCGCGTCGAGCGTGCGGTGCGCCTTGGCCCAAGCAAGCTCATCCGTCTCGGCGAGGATGGGACGGAAGGTAACCCAGATGCGGGGCCGGTCCTTGCGGCCGGCCTTCTCGGCCTCGGCGTAGATGCGGTCAATCTGCTCCTTTGTCTCCTTCAACGGCTCACCCCACAGGCCGAAAATGTCGGCGAGGGAACCACCGATGCGGTACGCCTCGGGCGACGAGCCGCCGACGGAGACGGGAATGGTACCCTTGGTAGGGCGGACGCTGCTGTGGAAGTCCTTGAAGGTGTAGTACTTGCTCTCCCAGCTAAACGGCTCCGGCGACTCCCACGCGCGGCGGAGAATCTTGATGTAGTCCTCGAGGCGGCCGTACCGCTCGTCTTTGGAAAGGAAGTCGCCCTCCTTGGCTTGCTCGGCATCGCTACCGCCGGCGATGAAGTGCACGACGACGCGGCCCTTGCTGAGCTGGTCGAGCGTCGCCAGGGCCTTGGCGGCGACGGTGGGGTACAGGGTGTTTGGCCGCAGCGCGATGATGACGCTGACGTTCTTGGTCACGGCGGCAATGGTTGCGCCGATTGTGAAGGGGTCAAATGAGTTTGAGCCGTAGGGGACGAGTGTGTAGTTGAAGCCGTAGTCGTCCAGGTTCTTGGCGTAGCGGACCAGGAACTCGGGATCAACGCCAGCACCGGGGATCGGGTTGATCTCCGTTGAGGCGTTGGGGAACGTTACGCTGATGAATTCGGTCGGCATTTTTGCTTTGTTCTGTTTTTTTTTCTTGGGCTTGGGTATCAATACTGCAGATTAGTCTCCTTTGCAATCATTCAGTCTGTGAAGTAGGTATGTCGTCGCCTATATACATCCGTCGCACGATATGACGACAACTGCAAGATAATCACGCCTTACACCCCGAGCCGATTTCGGCAAGGGTTTCCCTAGTGAGATGTCACCATAACCCCATCTAAATCTAGCACGTTTTATCAATGGGGGAAAAGAGCAGCATCTTTTTCGTTAGCTGTTTCGGAGAGCCTCAAGTGAAAATCGTCGGTTCTTCAACGCAGCTTGCTGTCGGGCGGGCTGCGATCGGTGCGCGGGCACTTGGCGACGCGGGTCCAGACCGGGGCGAGGGATATGCCTACCAGACCTTGCATCAAGTCCAGTACTCACAACCAGAGAATGACATATCAAGTGATAGCTACTGAAACTGCCGAAGACATCTATCAGCACCTAGCTACCCCGCTCCTAGCAAACACGCAATTCTCAGGATCAGTTCCACACATCCACAACTTGGGGCCCAGGTCGGACATACCCGCAAGCCTGAAGCCCCGAACGCTCGATATTGGCTGATTGGAGAGGCGCAGTACTCCCAATACGGATCTTATCGTGCCATTTACTTACAAATCAACGATTGTGCAAGAGGCAAATTATTCTGCTGATTTGTCAACGAATAAGGAAACGTATGCCGGATGCCCCTCCGCAACCTTCGGGCTCACCACGGTCGGCAAAGCCGGAGTCGCCCCACGGACAGGCCCCCATTCACGGAAGAAAGATGACCCAGGTATTTTAGGTTAGGACATCATCTTCAATTATGTATTCAATCATAGTAAAGCGTACTGGGCGATATTTTCATCAGCGACGGGCATCTGCTTAAGCCTCAGACCGAGATAAAAGACTGATACTTCCAGAGAGAACACGCGTAACAGCTTATAGAACGCCCGAGTGATTCAAGAACTGTGGTCCTTAAGAAGATTTCTTCTTAATTTTCTATATTTTCCTGGATCCAATTCAGCTATTGTATAGTATCCAGTGTCCAATGCGGATCAAAGTGCCAACTCAGAGAGAAGATGCCGATTTCATATCAACACATTGCAGTAATCTTTTGACTTTTTCAAGAATAAAATGAATAAATAAATCGGATGCTAATTGAGAACCATTCAGCCTTCTAGAAAAGCGGCTGAACGACTGAAGAACCCCTTCGACGGCTTCCGTTCTTCAAGAAGTAAAACTAGGACAGCTCAAGTCTATGGAGTAGGAGGATTTCTTCTTCCGAAGCTAAGCGAGCGAATGCTTGTTCGGCACCCGAGCCAGCCAGTACTGCGACAGCGCTGCGAACAGGTTGAAAATAAATCAGACACACATTGGCCTGTACGACCGCCATTCGCTGTCGTAGGACGTGGATGTGGTGGTCAAGAACATGTTTGTCGTAGATCGCGTACAGCACTGGCAGACGTCGGTGCTGTTGGAGTCATAACTCTGCCGACAATCATTTGCATGTACGGCGCAATGGAATCACCGCACGTGCTTGTATTTGCCCGAGGAGGACTGAACTGTAACAACTCGAGTTGAGAGCACTGGACGTTGTTGTGCGCAAGACTTGTTGACAAGAGACCATAGACAAGGCAGGTCAAGTGTGAGAAACGATATATGAAGTTCCAGAAACCCGGGAGGGCGTCCATCGGGGCAATGACACTCTTAATCAGTCGGTTACAGGTTTACAGGCTTCAAGATACAAATTGAATGTCTTGGAACTTACCCGCAATAGATGAGACACAAAGTAGAGAGTAGAAGAGAAATCTTCTCCAATCTCCGCCGTCGGCACACCAGCGACAACCATGTCGGCAAAAGTCGATTTAAATAGCATGAAAGCCCAGATGAGTAAGAACTTCAGGACACCACGCTCCGTGACCGCATCTATTGGGACGACATTTGTTTACATGCCGACGAGATAGTAAAAGGGGAAGACAATGACGAGAAGGGCTAGAGCGATGCGAGGAATCTCAACAATAATACGAAGAGTACGCCCGAGAGGCTCGTTCTCTTGCCTCGTATTTTTCGCTTTGCAGGATAAATTTGAGCATTTTCAGATAGATAGAGACGGCAAAAACCACCAACAACTTGAAAATATTCGGCTGTGGAGGCCTTGCATCGTGAATGTTGAGTTGTGAAATCACACCCCGATAAACAAGCCCTACAGCAACGTCATTTATAGACCTGTGGGACGTCGATAATCTGGGCTGGAAGCATATCGTGCCAACAGGCAAGACCAACTTGGAATAAAATCAAGATGGCGCGTGCCAGTCAGTACGGCTGAAATACTCGCTCAGTGCACAGCGCCAGCTGAACGTGGAATGGCGCGGAGTAAGAAGACATCTCATCGGGACTCGTTGCAGAGCCGCTGATCGCCACCCCCCCGCTCCAGACACTCGAGCTCCCAGCGCGTCTCAGCACACTCGTGGCTCTCATTCCAGTTGAGGTCTCGGGCCAGTTCCTCTCGGCCTTGGAGCCCGGCGCGGCGCCGATGACCTTGAGAAGCCAGTCGGCGGGAGTTTCGCCCTGTCCGCAGGGAGATGCTCCATACTGCTTAAAGGGACTCCTAATTACTCTGGAGTTCTCGCCAATGTCGCCAAAGTAGACTGTGTTTCCGCCATGTGTTAAGAAGAGAAGACGGTCGAATTGTGGGAATAAGAGGGCAGAAGGTTGGTAAATTATGAGGAGACTGGCCTGGCCGTTTTCGGAGGGCTTCCAGACTGGGGACGAGATTGACCACGTGGTTTAGCTGTCGAGACCCGAAGTAAGTTGTCGAGAAAGACCAATGAATAGGTTTTGGCGGCGAGCTCGACCCCAGTAGTCAGCCTGTCCCGTTGCTCAACAATCAAGCTTGGAGCAATGGTTTAGTGAAAGACATGGCTTGATCGAAACACGAGGATGAACCTTCTCCAGATACCCCAACAACAGCGTCGGCATATGCCTCCATCTCTAAAAGCGCAATTACCGCTTCGACAAAGGCATACTTGTCCTGATTAGGTGCAGACAGATGCTGGCTGGCGTAACATGGCACTGAATCGTAAAGCTTCCCTGACAGTGGACATCTTAAGATGGATCTCTTGTTGCTGCACGTCGCTGGTCTTTCTCTGGAAACATTGGTCTCTGGGAATGCCGTTGACCAGTATATATCTGGAACCCACGCCCATGGCTGCTCTATTGGCTAGTACATCGAGCAGCGTAGTTCCACCAATGCTAGTAGAGCCTGGGGATAATAGTCAGCCGAGAGCCCTTAGGAGAATGAAAATCAACCTACTATCAAAGCAGTCACAGTCCTCGGCATTACCTATCCGCTAGCTTTATATAGGATCCCGCGGTTGTAATATTCGATGGAGACGTCGTAGTAAACACATGCATCCTTCTAGTGGAAGACCGACTGGCTCTTCTGGATTGCAGCTTACTTAATACCTGACTGGGTACGATGTCTGTCAGAATTTTCATGTTGATAAACACGCTGGGAAAGACTGATCTCTTCGTCGTGAGGGACCTTTGCTTGTCTCGGAACCGGATGACCGCGTCGGAAGATCAACACCTCGTCCTTGGAGCGATCTGTGGTGATCTATTGCCCCGCGAGCATGTCAACACACATGAAAAAGATGATGAAGGTGATCAAGAAGCCAAAGTTTCTGAGCAATCCGCTAATATCTGTACCAAACCTCCACACTTACACATGACGAAAATGGCATGCCTCCAACTGTGAGACTTGTAGTGATTATTTGAAAGCAACGTCTAGGTCGACAAAGTCAGCACCAGGCGCAGCGCCGGCAACCGAACATGTCACATTCAGCGAGGCGTTTGGATAATCTGGGAAACCGAGGAACAGGGGAACTGCTGGACGGTGAAATCATTGGAGACCAGGCTCTCGAACACGTAGGCGATGGGGTTGGTGTAGTCAATCCAATGGAGTCAGCTCCTAATATCGCGAACATCACTCCCCGTCCACACGGTTGCTAGACGTTAAGAGCATTCTTCTGGTAGTTGGTACAGTGCCGTGTCTATGAACATTCAAGTCATGATAAATTGATTCAGCATCGAGTCTCGAGTAGCCTTTGGGATGATGGTGAGAGTGCTGAAGAAGGGTTCGGGCCCATATCTTGACGTTGAACTCCTCGCGACAGCTCGGGTCCAGTGCTGCGTGCTTGGCCAGGAACGGATTGATGCCAAGGTCAATTCTTGACGTCGAATGAACCAGGTCAAGACTATAATGCCGAACCAGCTCGTTCACTTGGGCATCATTGGCTTCGATGTCCATCTCATTTGTTGGTGGTCGTGTTCCTGAACGGCTTTGGCATGCAAGGGGTCATCTGACGGCTTGGACATGACGTTACCGCGTTGATCCTTGGGCGCGATTCTTTTTTTGTCTCGTCTTACTTCAAACCAGATTAGATGAGAGATTCAAGAAAGCAGAAAAGTAAGGGCTCAAGCAATATCAGACAACGGAAATCAGGGGTGAATTATAATCAGATGGGCCTCCCAAAAGAGGTTAAGCCTCCAGTCGAAAGTAAGTTTATAGCAAGCATGAAGCAGACACGTGAATTTTAAATCCAAATACGCTCTGCGAGCGTCAATATTGCAAGCGAGTCGAAATGAACGGGGGAGAAGCCAAAAAGGAGGGTCCGGATCACTAGGTTCACGTCACCAAAGCTCTGAGGAAAGAGCAAAAGAGCACCGCAAAGATCTACGTTGCAGATCCCGGGGTGCCGGCGTCATGATGGGGTCCGATGGGTGCGTGGAGTTTGCCCGATCGGGCATCTCGGGGCCGAGGCACCACACCCAAATAGCGACCGAAACTGTCCAGCAGTCAAAGGCAGCCCCCCACTCCCCAAAAAAGGCAAAAAAAAGTGAATGCTCTTTGTGTCTCGGTCCATCCACCCTCGTCTCCGACCTACTCATCTTTATCTGTCGGCTTTTCTCGTTCTGCATGATTTCATCCTGTGGGAGCCGAAGATGACTGCTGATAAGCCACGCAGTGCTCCTGGTTTTGGGTCTCGAACACACAAGTCCTGCGACGCTTGCAAGTCACGCAAAGTCCGCTGTCCTAGTACGTGACTGGAAAGAGAGCTTGTTGCATTCCATTCCTCGCTCACGAACAGGCGGGCTAACTCTTTCAACAGGTAACGGACCGCCTGGACCTTGTGCGAATTGCATTGTAGGTCAAACCCGCTTCTACTTCTCTTGAAGGCCATGCATGCCCGTTTGCTCACAACATTTGCACTGAGAAGCGTCGAAAAGAAGAGTGTCGCTTTAGCGTAAAAAGGCTAGCCCACAGGCGTAATGGTAAGCACGAACAGCAGCGCATACAGCATACAGCATTTACACACCCCTCGAGAATTGAGGCCACCACATTTTTGGACGAATTTCCATGGCGACATGGAGAGATTGCAATTTGCTAAGTGAGCCCTCAGTTGCCGGGCAGCTTCTCCCGACAAACTACTCGCCGTCGAGCAACCGAGCTCCCAGTCTCCCAGACGCCCAAGCCGTCCTGGACTTGTCGACATCCGATGGAGAAACCAAATCTGTAGTCCTACCGGACCGCTCGTCGCCAAAATCCCCTCCTCACCGTATCCAAGATCTCCACGTCGATCGCGTCCTCGCACGGGCACAGAGACCAAAGATCTCTGCCGGAGGAGGCCAAGAGGAAGCCATGTTTGTACCGGTAAGCACATGCAGTCAGGGGGCTTGAATGTTCAAGTTGCTTGCACATGCGAGATTCGCTGGAAGCTGACCCGGGATCGCACAGCGCAATGGCATTTTTGGTATTGAAGCGCCACATCATAACCCTCAGTGGCCCCGCGCGTAATTACTGACAGATTTAGGGGGCCGAAACAGCCTCACGTTCTTCTCCGACAGCAGGCTTCTGTCCTTGTCGACGCGTCTCCAGAATCGAAAGGTAAACGACCTCGTGGGACGAATTTCGGCCGTTGTCAATGGGCGGTTACGCCGTATCGACTCGACCACGACGAATCCCCGGAGGGCTCAACCTCCCGACTTGGGCACCGATAGAACCCGCGTGGCCTTGTACATCCGCCGTAATCATTTCCTTTCCCCTTTTCCACGACACAGAATGAAGGGGACGCTAAGCATGGCCAGTCTACTTTGAGCGGGTGCATCCCATGTTCCCGTTCCTCGACCGCACGACTTTTGAGACCACAGTATCCAGTCCAAACTTTCCCGACCTTCTCGAACGGAGCAAACCTTGGTGTTGTCTCTACCACAGCGTCCTTGCCTTGGGGTCTCAGTATGCCGATGGCGGCACATTCGAGCCTGGCAAGGGCGAGTCATGGCGACTATTTTCTGTCAGCTTGAGCGGCTTCTCGGAGCTTCTGTTGCTACCTGATTCTCTCACCATCCTGCAAGCACTGACGGCCATGTCGGTGTTTGGGCTAGGAGTCTCTGGCTTGGCTGTCGAACCTGTCATCATGTCAGAGGCGACAAGACGGGCCCAGATAATGTCGAGTCATAGCTTTAGTGGCCCGACGGCTCACGCTTATCAGAAATCGTTCTGGATTTTGTACGTAATTGAGAAAATTGCAAGCTTCCACTTTGGGAGGAGTTCTGTAAGTAACCATGATACTCGGCCCCTTACCACGCCTTATATTCCGACGGATCCATGCTCCTGGTTTCTTGTATAACGTCTGTTAACGATGCCAAGGGATTCGTCGACAGTGACATATCATGTCCCATCCCCCTTGTGCCCGAAACAACGACGGGAGACTTCAGCTGGTTCTTGCACTTTGTGCGCTTCGGTCGCCTCCTATCTCGCGCCTACACATCGCTTTTCTCGGTTGGCGTCTCGGGCAATTGCAACTCGTATTACCTCGACGTAATTGACCAGTTGAATGGCGAACTAGAGCAGTGGAGAGCGTCTCTGCCCGACAACGGCTTTCGTCCGGGCGGATTCATACGGCCGCAAACCGTATCTGGTTCTAATAGGAGATCGCTGGCTGTCATTGTCCATTACCTCTACTACAGCCTGTTGTTAACGCTAGCAAGGACAACATTGTGTTACCTGCCTGTCCCGGAAACCGCGGCGGTAACGGCAACAAAGGATGACAGCATGAAGAAAATTTTGAACGCGTCGAGGGTCATCTTGGAGCTGACCACAATGATCGAGGTTGAGCCATACACGGTGGCATGGTAAGTAGGAGTGAAGTCCAATCTTCTCGTCTCTCTGCCGGGCTTTCACTCACCAAAAGCATTATAGGGCTCTTGCTGGGATTCCCATCACCGCGCTTTTCGTATTATTCGACCTTGTGATTCACGACCCTCGGCAATCGGGCACGAGCTCCAACCTAGCCCTGCTCGACGTGGTTGCTGGCCACTTTAGTAGGATCGAGTATGCCAGTGGTGGCACGGTGCCCGGTTCTCTGATTGCCGAGTTCGCAAAAATTGCACGAGATTACGTGAAAGAGATTCAGGATTCAGAGGCCGGCTTGACGGACTCTGCGAGTGCGAGAGGACCCATGAGTACGGTTACGATGCCAATGGTATCGCAGTCGTCTGGGCTTGATGCCGAGAAAAGCAGGCAAGCGCCCAGACAAACGCACATGACCCTGGACCTATCAGAGGTGAGTCGACAGCCCTTCACCGTGTCATCAAGAAAATGCCTTTCTAACCGGCGTTTATAATGAAGGCTATGGCGAGAGATGCCATGATGTCTGGCCCGATGCAGCAACCGGGATACACCGACTTTTCTTTCGATCACGGGATGAGTCAAATGTCTCCTAACGCACTCATGGGGACAGACGTGATGGGCATCTTTAACTATTTTCTGCCTGATCTGGACCCCATGTTCTACCAGGGGTTGACGCAAGAGTACGATCTGATACCGAATCAAGGGGCCGTCGGCGTGGAAAAGTGAATGCGGACGGGGTGCAAATCTTAATTTCCGTCCGTTGATCAGGACGGATGCGGCATGACATGACATTATTTTCGGAGCTATATTAAATGCCATGGGCCCCTCGCTAGCACGTTATGTTGCTACCACTCCCCGTATCACAATCGTCAAGGTCGAAATGTCGTACGGATGGATTCAGTCACGCGGGCAAAGAGATGACAAAATGCTTATTAAAGCCAGAATCGGAAAGGTTCATGTTAGCTGACTGCCGGCCCCAGAATCCAAAAAGTAAGGTGGGCGATCACTCATTCTCGGTGGGATTGGCCTCCGGGATCCCGGGCTTCGCTCCGGTCCGCAGCAGGGATCAGCCGGGTCCCGGGCGGTCCAAAGTAGCCTAGCGTCTCCACCAAAGTCCGCGCCTGTGGATCCCTAAATGTTGCAGGCCCCTGTCTTGTTTCCTGCAGAAATGCGCACGCTTTAAAAAGAAGACTGGGCCGCCTGGGGCAAAAGAAAAGAGGGCATACTTGTCTGGTCATGCGATGAACGTCAACATCTCAACTCTGACTCTGTAACAACTTCCCCCCTTCAGAACAAATTTCTTCGGTTGATCTTGATGGCACCCGAAAGCCCAGCTTCGCAGGCGAGTACTCCGGCAGGCGATAAATCTCGCAGCGCGTTGGCTTGCGTCTTTTGTCACCAGCGCAAAATCAAGTGTGACCGCAAGTCCCCTTGCGCGAACTGCATAAAGGTTTGTTTGTCAGCACCTGGACCCCCTCCCCCCCTCTTTTGGCCGAAAGACCTGAGGTCTTTGCAAATCCACACCACCCACTCACACTCACACTCACACTCACACTCACACTCACACTCACACTCACACTCACACACACACACACATATGTACATATACGAGCACACTTGACTGATGCACGCGCCTAGTCTGATCAACCGTGTGTCCCATCGACGCGAGCACCTCCCGGAGCGGGTAGAAGGCACGTCGTGAAGGACTTATTGGAGAGATTGAACCAGTGTGAGAGTCTGCTGAGCCAAGTAGCTCCGCGAGATACCGATGGACGTCCCGTCAATCCAGATACGCCGGGGTCCTCACGCGATGTGGCCGACAGCCCTACAATGTCGTACGTAAGCTACGAAGAGGCCCGGAAACAGCCCAGCTCGAGGCCCAATGGCAAGATTGTCTGCGATGATGGCCGACCTACGTTTATGGAAAATCCGTTCCGTGGAGACGTTCTTGACTACGTGAGTGCGCTTTTTGAAGTCTACCGTCTCGATACAAGTCTTAAGTCAATCCCAGCTTCAATTTTCCAAGCTCGGTCTTGAAGACAACGACACTGAACAATCAACGAATCCGTCCGGCTCCACCAGTGTCTCGGAAGGCGGCGATGCTGTTCATCAAAAGCTGATGGATTTCGATACGCTGGTCCTGGGACCAGTCGAGGTTCTGCGCCTTTGGCAAATATTTCTGGAACGCGTCAACCCCATGATCAAGGTCGTCCACGTCCCTAGCCTGGAACCTCTCGTCTTCGAAGCAGCAACGGACCGCTTCAACCTGAGCCCGGACCTAGAGGCGCTACTCTGCTCCATCAACGTCGTCGCAATCATGGCCCTGTCCGAAGCCGAATCAACGCAGATGCTCAATGTCGAAAAGCCAAAGGCGTTGCGCAATTCCATGTTTACCCTAAAGAAAGCAATGTCCAAAGTGGACATTTTACGAAAGTATAACATGACCACTCTGCAATGCTTAGTGTTGTACTTGGTAAGATTTCTGTCTGATGCATTAAGGAACTCTCACTGAACCGCGGGCTAGGTCTCTCTCCAGGGACAATTCGATCGCCATGCCGCTTGGGTTCTGACCGGCATGCTCGTCAGGATAGCGCAGAGGATGGGCCTTCATCGCGACGGAGACCTCATAGGCCTACAACCCTTCGAGACCGAGATGCGTCGTAGGATCTGGTGGCAGATCATAATGCTGGAGACCAAATACGCCATCCTCGCCGGGTTCGGCGACACGCTGCTCCCGCTCAACTGGGACACGAAACTGCCATCAAATGTCAACGACGCCGATCTTCTACCCGGGTCGATGGAGCCAGTAAAGTCCCGCGACGGCGCAACCGAGATGGCCTTCTGCCTTATGCACTATGAGTCGCGGGCCTTTTTCTGCGACAACCCCATGCCCGAATTCGAAGCAGTGGTCCTGAGCGGGGAGAGAGTCAGCCCCGAAGACTCGAAAAAGTTCTCCGGTCAACCGCTCGACAAGTACCGACTCCTCGTCGACCAGTACGACGAGAGGCTAGCGGCCGCAGAACGGCGGTTCTGCAACCCGACCATCGGCGGCATCCACATCGTGGCGAGCAAGATCCGCTCCTTTACCGCACAGAAGCTCCGCGACATGATTATGCACGCGCGGGAGCCCGGGGACGACAACAAGGACGGCGGGGCCAGCCAGCAGTCCTTTTTCCGGGCGTGGGTGATTTCCTTTGAGAGCGACGTCAGCTGGTACGATACGATTGACGACAAGTTTCTCTGGTACCTCAAGCTGCATTTCCAGTCCGACGCCTTCTCCGTCATGATTGAGCTCCTGCAGTGGCAGCCCGTCGGCACGCTGGTGGACAGGGCGTGGCGGGCGATTGACCGGCTGTACCACCACCACCCGGAAATGTACGACGTGAGCAAAAAGGACAATATGCAGCGCGCGGAGAACTTGCTGGCCGGCTGGACGAGGCGGGAGCTCGCGTTTCGCAACGTGGGCATGTCGTGCGACACGCCGCTCGTCGTGGCGCGGTTCCGGAGCAACGAGATCTTCAAGGAGAGACAACCGGGGGGCGGCGTCCCTGTCGATCAGTGGCTGGCGCCGACGCCGGATACGGCGTTCTTTTCCGATTTCAGTCCTGCCGACTTTGAGACGTTTGACGGCGGTATGCCTGGAGATTTGCATGGTTCGAGTTTTGGTCTTTGGGGTGGAGGGGGGCCGGGACAGCATGCTTTATGATGACGCCTGTGTGGTAATGGTACTGCAGGAGAAGGAAGGGGGGGTGTGCAACAAGAGCGCAAGACATGACTTAATGACACATAAGCGGAAGACGGCCCAAGGAGACACTGTGATCCAAAAAGGAGCTTATCCCTCTTTTTTTCTTTTTTTTTTCTTTGAGAAACATTTGGGTTCCTGGACTATGAATCTTCTTCTCAAAAATCCACTGATAAACATTCTGTTCTCCATTAGTTACAGTTTCGAATGTTGCTATTCAAAAGGTGTTTCCATGTGCTACTGATTTCAAACGAACACTCAACGGGATTCTGTCCCACAAACCGAAAGCTCTCTGTTTCTCTATCCAAGGCCCGTTTCCCTCACCCAGTTGAAGATCAAAATCATAAACAATTCGTGCCAAGATCAATCTCATCTCCGCATACGCAAGGCTGTTTCATTAACCATGTGTCAGTGGCAGTAATACCTCAATAGCAAGAGGAAACTCATACTTCTTCCCTATGCAGTTGCGAGGGCCAAGGCTGAACGCTTGCAGGGCGTCCAAGTGGTTATGTTCCTCTTTGTTCACGTCCAAGAAACGTTCCGGTCTGAATTCCCATGGTCTTGTCCAGTTATCAGGACTGTGGTTTGCCGACCACTGCTGAACCTCGACGAAGGTCTTGGAAGGGGTCATGGTTAGTTATTGGTCTTCGAATGAGTAGGCCTATTGCGGAAGAATACTTACTCCTTGCGGCACATGCTCCGAGCCAATTTGGTACCCACCTTCCGGAACCTCCCGAACGAGGTTTGAGGCTACCGGAGGATACATGCGCAATGCTTCGTTTAGCACAGCGAGCATGTATGGCAATTTGCTCACCGAGTTGATAGTAATCTCACTAGAACTGCCAAAGGCCGAGCGTACCTCCTCGTTGAGCTTCTGCAGGACCTTTGGATGTCGCAAAAGTAAATATGTCGCGCCAGATAATGTTGTAGCCGTCGTTTCAGAGCCTGCAAGCACCAGAATGAGACCATTGGCTGACAGTTTCTCGAATGAGATATTCTGTCGATGAAGACTACGTTTAGCTTGTATCATTTTACGCCGAGCGACTGTGGGCTCTTCATACCCATTCTTCCTTCTTTCTCAAGAGACCCTCAAACAGGTCCTTTCGGTCCGGGTCCATGTCTAGGCGTGACTGCATCATTTCATCAGTGCTTTCGCGCAATTGCTTCATCGCAGCGAGGCCACCGATTTTGAAGATGCCTTGAACAATGGGATCGAGACCAATGTATTTCATGGCTGTCAAGATGGCATTGAATCGAATCGTTTTGAATATGAAGGCGATCCATGGGTGGTAGTCAGAGCGATTCAGACATTCAAAGGATTGCGCAAAGATGAGGTCGCCAGCGATATCGAATGTCGTCCAATTGTACCAAGCTTCGATATTGATCGGCGCCTCTTTCCTGTCGCAGTTTTCATGCAAGCAAGAAATCAGCTTGTCGATATACTTAACAATGATGCCCTCTTGCGCTCTCATGGAGCTGTCTGAGAATCCGTGGGATAGCGCGCGCCGGTATCGCTGGTGTTCTTCTCGCTCGGCATTGACGATGCTCGTCGGCACCGTTCTGATCGTGGTCGTGAACAGTCGCGACTTGGGAATCTCGTTCTCGCTGAGCTCTTTGCCGATTTGGAAGCCGTAAATGTCCTTCCAGGCCTTCACATCGGTGAAGGAGAGGTGATTGGGGCTGATTCGGACCACGGGGCCATATCGGTCGTGGAGGCGCTGGGTGCGAAAGGCCTGGTAGCCGGTGGCATGTTGCCAGGCCCAGATGAGAGGCGAAGCACGTTGGAGGACGGGCCCGGGAAACCTTCGGAGCGGATGGAGGAAGAGGTTGTATCCGGCTAGAAGCAGTTGCCAGAGGACGGCCTGGCAAGTCAGCCTCACAACTTCAGTCATCCGCTGTGTTTATGTGTGGCAAGCTTCATTACTCACTGTTCCCAAGGCAATTGCGAGAATATGAGAAGGATGCTCTAATAGAATTGTCAAAACACCCGCCATTTTCGTAGTTGGGTCATGGAGATCTCAAGTCTTGCGCGAGTCTTCTTGCGACACGATCAAATAGCAACCCCGCATTGACGTTGGCGCGTCGTTTATGTAGTATATTTTCCCGAAAACGAGGAGCTTTTTGAGCTCCCTTGGCGACAAACCTTTTCCGTTTACTGTCCAATGAACACATCAGTTGGTGCTGCGCAAACTTTCCTTCCTAACCTTGACGCGGACGGGCTTATCTAAGCGGTAGAAGTTTGGATTTATCAGACGTTTGTTTCATTACCACGTTTTTTCCTCCTGACCAATCCACTGTCCGAGTTTGCAACACTCATGCCTGCAGCAAGCGCAAATGTGCGCGGGGAAGGCTGGGATGACTGATCATCAGCGGGCGTTACTCCGCAGTGGTGTTGCACGACCTATATGCTGATTGCTACAAACAATGAACTGTTGATCGAAGGAAGATCATGGCCAAGTAGATACCCTGTCTATCAGAGGTCCCTCTATTTGGATTGAATTGGAGTGAGTTGCTGAGGGGTTGGGCTGCACTATTCAAAGGTCGACGCTATGAACACTCCCTGGATGTTGACCAAGGCAACATTAACAACGATTAGGAACGTTTCCCGCAGATACATGACATTAATAAATGCCGCAAAGTCAAAATCCCTGCTTTATCTGCGTTCAAAGGCAAGGGTAGTCTTCCGCGACTGAGAGTGAGTTGATTCTACGGGAGGCAACGTGAAAGCCCCCTTTGTCGACAACACTTTTAACTACATCATCTCAGATTCTCATACCAATCATCACAAACGCGAATCTTCTCAATTGGGGAGGGATGCTTCCAGAGACGCGGGTTTCGGCCAGAATTGCTCTCATGGTCTACATCAGTGAGATGAGAACATTGAGCTCAGGGGTTTGATGCAGAGATGCTCGCCGGAATAGACAGCGTGAAGTGGGTCTTCGCGATGAGAGCCGGCCGAGACCTCCATATTTCCGGCAGTTTGCCATTCACAATTACGTCATCAGAGGGGTTACGCCGCTACACGTCTTCACCATCACTCGGGCTTCATCATCGCCACCAACGTATCTTGATAGTTGAGCTTCTGCGAACAAACAACAAGCCGGGCACCAATCCCTATTACCCTGACCACCACCGAGTTCGACAAAGACTACTCGCAACATGGCAAACGTGGATACGTCAATCAGCGCCCGTGCCACCGGTGCCGCAGCCGACTTTGCGGCGAAGCACTCAGAAGAGCACCCACTGAAGCTATACGGCGGCTGGTTCTGCCCCTTTGTGCAGCGATCATGGATCGTCCTCCACGAGAAGAATATCCCTCATCAGTACATTGAAATCAATCCGTACAAGAAGGATCCCGAATTCCTCAAGATGAACCCTCGGGGGCTCATCCCGACCTTGGCCGTCCCCGTAGACGTAAAGGGCAACGAGCAACGGCCGCTCTACGACAGCACAGTGGTGTCCGAATACCTGGAAGAAGCGTATGCCGGCAATAACCACGGCCCGCATCTTCTTCCTGAGAAGGCGTATGACCGCGCGAGGTGCAGGCTGTGGATCGATCACATCAACTCGCGCATAGTGCCCGCGTTTTACAAGTTTATTCAACACACGCCGGAGAAGGCGTATGGTATCGAAAAAGCACGTGATGAATTCTTGGGCCACATCAAGGCATTCGTCAATCAGATGGACCCCGAAGGTCCCTGGTTCTTGGGCAAGACGTTCAGTCTCGTGGACGTTATGATAGCCCCATGGGCCGTGCGTCTGTTCCTATTTGATCATTACAAGCCAGGCGGGCTTGGGATTCCCTCTGATGGGGAGGCTGGCGAGGATGAGACGGTATGGAAGAGGTGGAAGCAATGGTATGATGCTATCACAGAGAGGCAAAGCGTGAAGGACACACTCAGTGACCGGGATGCCTATATTGAGGCTTATAAGCGGTACGCCGAGGACAAGACGGACTCTGAGGTCGGGCAGGCGACACGAGGTGGAGGCAAATTGCCGTAAAAAGAGCTCTCTGGGCAAATGGTAACATTCTGACCGCTTCTTATCTCCTCAATTTGGTCAAAGTAGCCGGCGAGATTTGTCAACCCCACTTGGTCCGCTTCGTGGCGGGGGACCTCCCGTTCAGCGCCGGTGTGAGGGGTAGCACTCTTGACTAGCGTAGCCGAAGGCTGGACCAGAGGCAAGCTGGAAGCTAAGATCTACGGGAGCGAGACAACATCCGAAAATGCGGAGAGTCGGGCTTGGGTCGTACGGACGCTAATCAACATTGCGGAGATGGTCTCGCAGTCTCTCGCGACAATTGAGATCCGAGGGGCCGGCCGAGGAAGAAGCCGTAGTCCCTTAAGCTTGGTGCATATGGCCAACGCCTTCCTCGTCTCTGTTCTATATCGATTCTTCATCCACCGCCTCTATACTTCACACTGATGTGCTACGGATAGCCCGTGATAGATAGCCATTTTCCAGTTCCAACAATACCTTCAGGTTACTGCACTGTCTTTGCTTGGAATCCATCTTCTAAGCAAAAGCTGAGAGCTGAGCCCCATAACTGTACCGATTTGTCTTTGCCGTGACGCAGTATTTCTCTGGATATTCCAATCAGAGCCCAAGAGTTTCGCAGTATAATCGGACTTGTCTCCGTGAAGCCATCGTCGACTAGATAAACACACCAATATGAGAGGTAAGACTCAGACCGCGGTAGGGCAAGGGGAAAAAACGCCGCCGGATGCCACCCTCAAGGTCTTCAACCTCCAAATATGCGGGGAAATGCACCGCGACTCCGCACTCGGCGGGGACCCTGAATGGAGATATCGGCAAGGCGTCCGAGACCCCTCCGCTCCGGGATCTACCCCCGTCCGATCTCGGTATGGCTGGCAAGATGACATCGATTGCGGCCGTGATTGGTTCATGATACAATAGAGCTTTCGGGAGCTTGACCGGTCCAGCACAGCCATTGTCAAATAAGACGATGAGACTGCGAAGCTGTCGCACACACCACGAGAAAGCTCTGGAACGCTAAGCTAAATGGTTCAGCAAAGATAATCCTTTTTCGAGAACGTAGACGCAAGCTCCGTGTACTATTTTCTACCTTTGAGCGACTTATCCACTGCATCAGTAAAAATGCAAGTCCATAGCGTCATGAGGTCGACGAGACCAGTTGGATCTTTGAGATCAGGATTGCGCCCTACCAGTGCCCCCGCCGCTGTGACGCAAAGAAGAACGAAGGCAACTGCGCCGTTCAGACTACCTGATCCTAGAAACGAGCCCAACGTAAGTTGAGAAAACAAATCGACTGATAAACCTCGTGCACTAGTTGTCTGATAATCGCTTGACAGCCCACATACACAAAGAACTCCCCAGAGCGCGCAAAGCTCGAGGAGGCCCTCAGGAAGCTGCGCGCTCAGCTACCAGCCAAGAGCGATCTCTTCTTCAACGGCCAAACCCAGGCGGCAGCCAAGTCCCTCGACACCGTCCTCCCTTCCGAGCACAAGACCAAGTTCTCCAACTTCCCCCTCGCGTCCAAGGAGCAGGTGTCGTCCGCAATTGAGTCGGCGTTGGAAGCCAAGGAAAGCTGGCAGAACACACCGTTTGTCGACCGGGCTGCCATCTTCCAGAAGGCGGCAGAGCTCGCCGTGACAAAGTACCGCTATGAGCTCATTGCGGCGACGATGCTCGGCCAGGGCAAGAATATGTGGCAGGGAGAGATTGACGCGGCTGCCGAGTTGGCCGACTTCTTCAGACTTAACTGCAACTTTGCGGCAGAGATTCTCGAAAAGCAGCCCACCCGTGGCTCTGACGGCATGTGGAGGTACGTAAAATGGCAAGCTGTCTGTAATGACTTCTTTGCTCACAAGAATGGTTAGTCGGCTGGAATGGCGTCCTCTGGAGGGCTTCGTCTACGCCATCTCGCCCTTCAACTTCACTGCCATCGGCGGCAATCTTATCTCCGGCCCCGCGCTGATGGGTAACGTTGTTGTCTGGAAGCCTTCGCCGAGCAACATCTACGCCAGCCAGATCCTCTACAACATCCTCTTGGAGGCCGGCCTGCCCCCGAACGTCATCCAATTCGTCCCCGGCGACGCCGAGGAGGTCGCCGACATCGTCCTCAGCCACCGTGAGTTCGCCGGCCTCAATTTTGTCGGCTCCTCCGACGTCTTCCGCTCGCTGTACGCCAGAATCGGCGAGGGTATCGGCAAGAAGACCTACCGCGAGTTCCCCCGCGTCGTCGGCGAGACCAGCGGGAAAAATTTCCACCTCGTCCACCCATCCGCCGACATTGAGCACGCCGTCAACCACACCATCCGCGGCGCCTTTGAGTACCAGGGCCAGAAGTGCTCTGCCACCTCCCGCGTCTACCTCCCCGAGTCCAAGGCCGAGGAATTTCTCTCGAGCTTGACCTCCAAGGTCAAGGAGATCACCATCGGAAGCCCCGACGGCAAGCTAGACGCCTTCATGGGACCCGTCATCCACGAGCGCTCCTTCAACAAGATCAAGAACATCATTGACGAGAGCAACAAGGACTCGTCGCTGAAGCTGGTGGTCGGCGGTACCTACGACGGCTCCGACGGGTACTATGTCAACCCCACAGTCTACCTGGCTGACTCTCCGGACCACCGTCTCTTCAACGAGGAGATCTTTGGTCCCGTCCTCGCCGTCTCGACCTACCCCGACGCCGAATGGTCCTCCACCCTGAAGAAGGTTGACCAAAGCGGAGGCGGCTTCGCCTTGACCGGAGCCGTTTTCGCCAATAACAGGCGCGCCATCCGCGAAGCCGAGGATGCCCTGCGTTACTCTGCAGGGAACTTTTACATCAGTGAGTCCACCCCATGTCCGAGCCCCCCACCGAGTTCATCATGTACACTAACCCATATGCTCTCCCAGACTGCAAGACCACGGCTGCCGTGATCGGCCAGCAGTCCTTCGGCGGTGCCCGTGCCAGCGGTACTAATGACAAGGCGGGAAGCGCAGACGTCATGCGTCGCTTCGTCAGCCCCAGATTGATCAAGGAGGAGTTCTTCCTTCAAACCGAGTTCCTGTATCCCAGCAACAAGTAAGTAGCTTCTGTGGAATGCCGATGAGTCGAGGTTACGGTTGCATGCAAAATGGCGCAAGGCGTAACTTGGGGATAGTCAAAATGAACACGTTTTTAACAGCCATCCCCATCACTTGAGAATTACCATTTGCGCATCAAATGAAATTTGTTGCTTAGGTACCCTTGTTATGCAATGAGTTTGGTATTAACCCTGATACAGATGCGCGGGTCTAATGTGACTGCTTGAAGCTTTCATCGTCCGACTGCTAGAGGAGGACAACGTCGCCTATGTACTTCTATTTTTGGCCCGCAACTGTCATTAACCCTTGACGTAGATAGAGCTGAGTCGGAGTGTCGAGGTTATCACAATGGCGGTAGTTTGATTCTAAAGATGTCAAGTATTAGGGCCACAATCTTACGAGTCACAATGGTACAAACTCAAGCGCAGTGACCAACAACAAATTAGCGGGATTCTGCGGACCTTGGGATATCATTATCGCTATTCCAATGTTTTCCGCATAAATAGTGTCCGAACATGACTATAGAGAAACAAAAATTATGTCTTGACGATAGGGTGGCCGGTTGCGCGACCGGCGTGGTACGCCCGGTCCACTTGGGACACTTTGACCAATAGAACGAGAGCAAATGACGGGTTGAGCTCCCGATGTCTCTTGGACTGATAGTCGGCTCACCGTCCGCCTCGATAAGTGTAGACCCGACCTAAAGCCACGCCTCTGCGCCACAAGCAAGCTCCAGGCATTTGAGTTTCCCAGTCGTGTGGCACGGCAGCACGGCATCTCACATCTCCGCTAGGCGCGGCAACGCTAACCAAATACCCTTGAATGGATATTGTGCCATGAGTATCTCCAGCATCTTGGAATCTGAAGCCGGCGCAAGGGCCCGAAGCAAGCCAGTCCTGGATAGATCATGGAGGCCATATACGACTGTTGGAGAAACTACACTTCAATGGCTAGTAGCGCTGCTCCAGGCCCTGTACTCATACCGACTCAAGAGTGTACTCATGGGCATATCACTGCCGCCCTCATCTCCTACTGTCAGCTCAAATATGGTCTCTGAAATAGAAGTAGTGTTATTAGGAGCAAGTAACTATTTACTGCTTTAGCGGGACGCTGGCCGTCCTCGATTGACGCTTGGGATGGCTCATTGGTGCTTCGGCTTCGCTCCTACCGTTTGGTTCTCTGTTGAAAATCGATGATGTAGATAGAACAAGCACGGCTAGTGAGCCGGGACAAAGCGAGTCTTCTTACGCTTCAGGGAAGAGGTCCCTTTTACTTGCCCTCTGGTGACGACAATTCTGAATCTCGTTTGTCAAAGGTCCATGACTGTTTGCGCTTTCCACATGCATCGCATGGCTGGGAAAATGAGCATTTGATTTTCTGTCGCCGACAAGGCACACAGCTGTCATCGAGGCACAAGTCTCGCTGCCAATAAGAACGGGAAATCCCAGGGTATAGCCTCAACTGTGATGTGACGTTTTTTCGCGAAAGCAGAACGCGGAGTAGTGGTCCTCTTCGAACCCTCGAACAAGAGGGTTAGCTTCTATACATCTATCTCAGTCTCCTAAAGCTATCCCGAGATGCGCAAGCAATAAGTAGGCGTCGGCTTTCCAACCAAGATGCTCTGCATGAAGACTAAGACCGATGCCAGAATGCTGGCGGCCAGCGGGGACTTGGCTGCAAGATACATAGGCCGCGTTGATAGTAGCCATGTTCCGTGAAGGCTAAGGCGGTCTAGAAGGTTGTCACATGAGATACGGTCTGAACTTTAGAGACCTTCCATACATCGCTGCATTGCGTTGTCAGCATTGTGTTGACAGGTTTCTACATGTCGGTGGACATCTCGAGCGTCTGTCAATGGGGAAATTAAGCGCAGTATCCTCTGTGACTGCGAGGGATACGACGATTCAAGTGACCAAGACGGAAAACTCCCCCCACGCTATCAAAAGCCCGTGGGTCTGTAGATAATTAAGCACCGAGAAAGAGGACTGGGGGCTGACTTTGCAGTTTGTTTCGCGGCAAGAGAGCTCTGTTTAGGCCTATCAATTACCTGGTGTCATACTTTATGCTCTGTACTAGTCGATCACTAATTACGGGCCGTCCGAATGCCTATTCTGATGTAGCCCTTGTCCCCAGGTGGTTATCAAATGATGGGCAATTTGTCGCCGAAATGCAGGTTTGCCCGCCATCCGGGGAATCTCAAACTCCTTCTCTCTGGGTCCGGGGTGGCAGCAGTATGGATTGTCTGAGAGTTCCTGTTGCTAACGGGGTGGTGCGATTGTCATCTCACGTGGTCTTGATTCTCCCCGTGGGGAAGCGAAAGTCAACCCAACGTCTCGAGGCAAGAATCCCCGGCATCGACAACGTTGTTGCTGCACGAGTGACTAAGAGGAACTCATCGTTACATGGGCTTTGGGATGGATCATGCTCTGTTTCTCTCTCGAGTCTCACGCTCTCATATGCCGGCTTGTGGACGTGAGGTGGCGTGTGCGAGAGATGAGGGGAAAAAGTCAAGTCAGTCAATTGTCGGGATGACCTCCCGACTTTGCCAAGATGGGGCGGGAGGTCTACTGGGTGAGGATCCGGCGGTATGAGTTTGAAACGGAGGCTCCGCCTAAGCAGGGATCTATGCAGCGAAACTATCCTTGCCCCAAAGGAAGTTGTCCGCGAGTCGTGACGACGGCGCCTCCGCTTGCGCGACTTCTACGCCAAGTCCAAGTGTCTCTGTGGACAAGGGAAGAAGAAAAAAATTGGCCCATTTTGTGTTATTAAACCTGTCCATGTCGCATTCTACTCTTGCGACGATCCTGTGGAATCCCGAAAGTGCAGTGGCCTTGGGACTTGCCAACTCTTATCCGGCCTTTCCGTCCGATCTATCCCACGAGCGTGCTGAGGGTCAATGAACATTCGCGGACTCGGCTGAAGTCTAAAGATAGTAGATAAACAAAGTTACCCGGTGAACACCTTTTTTTTAAACAAAAAACGCAGCATTGATGATTAGTAGAAAGATATTAGGATGGCACCCTGTCATCCCATGGTAGTCGAGCCTTCGACCCTCCCTAGTGAGGCGTATTTTCCACACCAACATTTCTTCGAGAAATCCCGCGCGAGTCATTTTTCTCCCCCTGAACCCTTGGGAAAGAAGGCATCGTCCCGCTGTGACGTAGGGGGCCCCCCGTTGCGAGGCAGTCTGGGGAAAATATGGGGTATGTTCTCCCTAACTGGTACGTAATCTAAATCAAGCGATAGCCGGCTCTCTGAAATTCAGTGCAGGACGAGGCCTGTCAGGCCGATGAAAAGACAGAATCTTGGCAGCACATCCCGGCTTTTCTCCTGGGAGTTCGAGGCTGTACGAGGAGAAACCTCGCGCTTGGACTGGTTTTGTACAAAAGCGCATCATTCCCAATCCCAACTTGGGAATGAATCTTCTCGTCACGCCTCTAGGCTATCCAATCTCTTCAGTGAGCAATATTGGCAGTTTGTTTTAGTGTCAATGCATTTCATCGTTTGCTTGGCCATTCATTCCTTGTCTCAAGCTGTCTAACGCCATCAACAACGACAACGACATATGACTTTCCTGTTGTCCTTCAACTTTGACTAGTCCAAAAGACGCTATCGACGAATTCCTTGCTTCACATGTGACCTGTGTCTCTGAAAGACTCGAAAAGTCACAGTGGACTGATCGACCGCATACGAACCAACGTTACGTGAAAAAACAGCTAGGCTTCATCAACTGTCAAAATGACGCAAATGAAGAAGGAGGATATCGAGGCACTGGGACCCGTCTCAACGCACTCCCAACAAGGCCAGGTCTTGGAAGACTTGAACACGTCCTACGATGCCGTTTTTGGTGAAATCAAAGAGGGTGGTCCCAACTACCGCAACGTAAGGACCGATTCGGAAATTCTCGGCCAGGACGCCTGCCCCCCTCTCGGATACTAATCAAACTCAACTAGGTTGGCTGGAAAGGAACAGTAGCCCTCATGATGAAGACTCAAATCGGTCTGGGTGTCTTGTCCATTCCCGGTGTCTTTGATGTCCTTGGCATCGTGCCAGGCGTGATTGCCCTGTGTTGCATCGCCGCCATCACTACGTGGTCTGATTACATTGTCGGTGTCTTCAAACTCCGCCACCCCGAAGTCTACGGTATCGACGACGTCGGACGCCTCCTCTTTGGTCGTGTTGGCCGCGAATTCTTCGGCGTCGTTTTCTGTCTTTGTGAGTATCTTGAGGTAGTTGATTGCTTGAGAGAACCACGCCGAGACTAACCAGATTTCTCCCACCAGACTGGATCTTCGTTGCCGGCTCTGGCATGCTCGGTGCCTCAATTTCCCTCAACTCGATGTCTCTTCACGGTGCATGCACCGCTGGCTTCGTCGCTGCGGCCGCCGCCATCGGATTCTGCTTCGGCAGCATCCAGACCCTCGGAAAGATTACCTGGTTCGCCTGGATTGGCCTCATCTGCATCATGTCTTCAAGTAAGTTTCCCATTTTCCTCGGCAAACCTTCAATACGTGGAACACAGATCCTAACCACGCCTACGCAGTCTTCACCCTCACCGTTGCCGTGGGTGTCCAGGACCGACCGGCTGCCGCGCCCCAGACGGGCCATTGGACGTCGGACTACAAGATCGTCGGAAGCCCAACCTTTGCCCAGGCCTCCTCGTCGCTTTCGACCCTCGTCTTTGCCTTTGCTGGCACCCCTGCCTTCTTCTCCATCGTCTCTGAGATGCGTGACCCTCGTCACTACACGCGCGCTTTGATCATCTGCCAGACCGGCGTGACGGCCACCTACATTGCCATCGGATGCGTCGTGTACTACTTTTGCGGTTCCTACGTTGCTTCGCCAGCTCTTGGCTCCGCCGGTCCGACCATGAAGAGAGTTTGCTACGGTCTCGCGTTCCCCGGCCTGGTTGTTACCACCACTCTGGTTATTCACGTGAGTAGACTCCTCGGCCTTCTGCCCCCCTTTATGTGTACCGCTGGGCATCGTTACTGACATGAATGATATCAGCTGCCCGCCAAGTACATCTTCATCCGCTTGTTGCGTGGGTCCCGTCACCTGACCGAAAACACCATGAAGCACTGGGGCATCTGGCTCGGATGCACCGCAGGCATCACCATCATTGCATACATCATTGCCAGCGCCATCCCCGTCTTCGACGGCCTGGTGTCCCTCGTCGGTGCACTTTTCGGCACTCTCCTGTCTTTCCAGCCAATGGGCTGCATGTGGCTGTACGACCACTGGGCCGAGGGCAAGATGGACAAGAGACCTCGATGGATTGCCATGGTCTGCTTCAGCTGCTTTGTTGTCATCAGCGGCACCTTTTTGATGATCGCTGGAGCGTACGGCTCTATTGTTGGTATCATGGACAGCTACAAGAAGTCTGGCGGATCGGCCGCGTTTTCTTGTGCCGACAACTCCAACTCCGTATCCTCTGCCCATTAGCGTCTTGTTCGCATGGTCACTTGGGGTTGGGCGAGCATTTTTTTTCCGCGGGAAAAGATCCGCTGCTCGTATCTTGCAAATATACCCACTATGTTCTGTTCCTGACCAATTTGCAGACATTAGTATTTCGCGGTGACATGCTTGCAAAATTTACCTGCTTGGCTGTGCTTTGATTGCGCCCATGGCACACATTATGATGAGCAGATTTCTGGCCGAGTCAAACGCCGTTGAAGAGGCAGCAGCTGAAACGCAAAGTTTTCTCGAGAAAAACGGGGCAAAAAACTTTCGCGGATCACTTGTCTATTAAGTTGTATAAATTATAATTGACATGCCCCTTAGCCCCATCCCTGAACCCTTCCGGGAATAGATCTGTGGGATGCGGGAGGACTTGTTTGAAAGCCGTTATCCAGGGCGTTCCCTTCGCCACAGGAATAGTAGCATCATACTCCCCAACCTTTACCCCACTGTGTACGGTGTGTCCGATTCGAAGTCTGATAGCGGTTCCGTGAACTCGAGGACACTGACGCCCCAAAAATCTGCGCCTTTTGGAGTGTACCGGGCTCGTCTGTGTTTGAACTGCCGTCTTGATCCGTTCACCAATGTCGGCCAATTTCCTTTTCGTTTCCAGTCTTGGTCTGTAGACCAACTGAGCTTGTGTCGACCAGCGCAAACAACAAGCTTTCCCACGTCAGGGTTCTCCTGGCAGGCAGACATGTGGGAAATATACCCGGAGTTATGGCTCAGGCGACGAGCGCCGCTGGTAGAGATCACGCGAGGAGGGGGGCTGGAAAGACGCGGTCCTTGTTGACAATCCCGAGATAGCCTGCGCCTAAACACTCTGGAGAGATTTGATCATTACGAGCAACGTCGCAGCGGAGTGCATCGTGGAGGTTGGAGAAGGTGAAATTTCGCGTAACCAGGGAGGGAGACAGTATGATGAGGTGACATGATGGTGAAAGACAACATGCATGGTACAACTCAACAGGAACACTTGCGTCCTGTTTCGGCAAATAAAAAGCAGATACCAAAACTTTAGGACGTGCTACTGCAGGAGAGGATCAGCTTTCAAATGTAAGCGCGCCCACCGACTAGGCCCAATTTGCATCGCCCAAGACAGCTTGCATACCTTTCCTGGCTATGTGCTCTCTGGACTTCCGAATCTAGACAATATTTGTAGAATCCCATGCTTCCCTTCGTATAGCTCAGATCTCCAACTTGTTCAAGATTCACCGGGATGAATCACCAAGGCTAGGCAGTGACATACCCAGACTGGCATTCCAAGACAAGGCACAAGTTTGACTATAAAGAAGGGTACTCTCTCCTCCGTGTAATCTCTTCTCCTCATGAACTCAACACGCACATCATCACAACTACCATCCTCATCACCAGACAAAAACCACGTCTCAAACCTATGAACCTCTTTCAACATGCTCTTCAGCAACATCCTCACCCCCGTCGCCACCACCACCCCCCCCTTGATCCCCCCGGCTCTGGCCGACGACATGACGGCCAAAAAAACGCGGCAAAACCAACTGCTCCGACGGCGGGGGCAAAACCAGAGGGTACAATAGAGGCATCTGCCACGCCCTATACGAGACTGACCACGGGATAAGAATCATCGACTACAACACTAATTGCAAGAGTAAGACGCAATCATTTCCAAGTCCCCCGGAATCGAAGCATCTATCCAAAGCTGCCTTCCTAACTGTCATGCTAGTGAGAGGATACCCGGATGGGAACTGCAGGGGTAATGTGGTTACGGCTTTTAGTACGAGGCAGTGCCACTCGTTAAAGGGAGTTTGGTCTATTCGGGTCGAATGCACTTGATCAGACAACACATCCACCGGAAAAATCATTAGTAGATATACATGTGCTTTTGGGGGGTTCAGAGCTAATGTCATGATAATACATGATTCACAGTGGGGGTGACAGAGAGTGGCTTGTAACCAGGTAACCAGAGAAACAGGACCTATGAATCAATAACGTCATACGATATTTGTATCGTGTACACTATCACTTCGTCGTATGTGCTCAATCAACCTCCTGCCTTAAAGCCTTCATGTAGACACACTTTCACATCCCATGCCTGCCACGACTCCGTGCGTGTTTGGCCGAGTTTCGAAAATTAAACATACTCCGCCGTCACCGTGTTGTACCGTTGGTCTAGGGAGAGTCAGTATCCATATCAAGATGCACTTTGAAAAGTAACTCACTGTTATAGAGCAACGTGTACGTGGTTGAGGCCGAAAGATACACGGCCTCGATCTTACAGTTCAGCTCGTAATACCACTGGCCATCAAGTCCCTGGCGGCGGGAGAGCATATGCTCAGGAATGTGTCCAACATCAGCCTCGACATGGACAAGCATTGACACATTCTCGTCTCGGGCAACAGGCGCCATTCGTTGGTTGCGATCTGCGTAAATATCCATCTTGATCTTTTTGATACGGCCCTGGCTGACCAGACCAGTCCACACAAAGGATGTGTAAAAGGGCTCGTTTTCGGAGACGTTATCGCCGCGTTGGATGAACCACTCCATGGTGTACACTTTGTAACAACCATCCAAGCCGCACCAATGTCGCTTCTGCTCGAGATGCTTGTGCGCCTTTGCGTCGTACTTGCTGCGCCACTCGGTGCCGTAGTGCTTCCTGGCCTTGCGATTCTGAACCCTGACTTGCGTGAGCTTGTCGGGCGATACTTGAGCCAAGCCCTTCATGACGGCGCCTTGAACCACAGCCTGCCAGGCGTTGGGCGGCTGCATGATCTGAATGCTCTTGTCAATAGCGTTGCGCAACCGCTCCTTGAGGTAGTTGGATGCGCCGAAGCCGCCGACGAGGAGAATAGCACGAATCGGCACATTGCTTGCTGTGATCTGGTCCTTGACAAGCTTGATGCACTCCAGGACAACAGGTTCAAAGATGGTTTGAAGATCCGACGCCTTCAATGAGAATCGACCGCGATTGATTCCGAGCTCTTTATTGTTGGCAAGACCACCGACTGGAATCGTGTAGGTATCATCAGGAGCGGCGCCGAGGGTGAATTGTCGCTTGACCTGCGCACCATTAGTCAAAGAGCTCTAATCAAGATGATAATAGGGATCAAAGTATTGACGAAGGTGCACACTTGCCTTCTTCTCGAACTGTTCCATAGCTTCGGCCATGATCTCGTCGTCGAATCCATCCTCTTTGCCCAGCTTTGCCTTTAGGAACTTGGCAAAGCGCATGTTGAGAAATGTTGATCCGCACAGCGCACCAGAGCCAGGAGCAGCCTCTTGAACTTCCAGGATGGGCTTGAGACTTGTAATAGTGTAAGAGATCAGGTCGACAGTGCCGCCTCCAGCATCAACCACTACCACAGTGTCGTCAACCTTGAGGCCATGTGGGTCGAGACCATGCAATGCGTAAATCGCAGCGGCTTCTGGCTCGGAGACGAGGTGGATGGGAGCGACAGCGTTAGTAGTGGTGTTGAGACCAGCTGCCCTTTGGCAGGCTTGTTTGGTCTTGTCCTTGGCGAGATCTGACCAGATAGCAGGCACTGTGACGACGAACTCCAAGGGAGTGGTATTGACAACCTGCTCCCCGAGCTTCTCCTTCAGGGTGTACAGCAGATGGTCACCCAGAGCCGAGATGTAGTCCGTCACGAGCTTGTCGACATTGCGGCCACCTCTAGCCTCTGAAGATACAGATTGACCCATGCTTTGAAGAGAAGGATCGAGATCGCTGGACTGGATTAGCTCCATTCCCTCCAACATTTTGCGAACCAAGTACGCCGAGAAGATGTCTTGGTAGGGATAAAACTCACAGCTTGAACCACTCGACGACTTCATCTTGCGGTGCAGTGACGGGGATAGAAAAGCCCCATTGAACTTGGTCGCTGGCATATCGAAGCTTGGTAGGGACTTTGTCGGAAGATTCGCCCTCGCGAATAGTCTTGCTGATGGGCCAAGTGGTGATGGCAGTTCGTCGGTCGGGACGTTGAGTTTCTGCCCAGGCCACTCCGGAGTAAGTGGTTCCGAAGTCGATGCCGACAATGATTTTGCGCTCGCTGACGGACAGCTTCTCAAAGTTGTCCATGGCTAGTGATTGCTGTGCTGTTGGGTATCGCTTGAATTTGAACAGGGTATCAAGAGGTAAAGGAATAGTCGCGGATGTATGTGAAAGCAATGTTTGAATATCGTCCGGATGATCAGCCGGCAAGGGAGGTCAGGACAGAGGGAACCTTTGGTATCGATATGACAGAAAGCAAAGGCTCGCTTCCCGAATGAAGCTGTATCCGATTTGGCTTGAAGCGCCTGAAGCTGAGGTGAAGGTAGATCCAGTGGCGAGAAGACGAAAAGTCCAAAGTAAACAGAGACGGGAAAGAGGAAGTAGGTGGATCGCAGAGTGTAGGAGGGAGGGCGATGTCTGAAGCTGGTTCTCATCAAGCTCGGTGGACAAGAAGTGCTTGGGTAAGGAGGTAGAGGTCAGAAGACGAAGGGAAAATCTGCCTTGATGAAGCTTGGGTACAGGAGTTGAGGGCGCAGGGCAGTAAGAGGCACTGGCTGAACCTTTTTGCTCTCAGGTTGTGGATGGGCCGCGCCTCGTGCAAGGTCGGCAGGATGCTTGCTATTCGAGAATACTGTAGGCAGCTCCGCTTGAAGCATACAAACGACCATCAAATCCAGACAACCAGCCCTTTGAAGAACTGACTGCCTCATGCGTCAAGCTCATGCGGGTCCTGGTTTGTTAGATGCATCTGGATGCATCTGGGTGAAATGCAGCGGCCGCCCGCGTGGTAGGTCTAAGCGCCGAGAAAGTTGTCCTTCATGCCATGTCTGGTAGCTCAGGCGTTCTGACGGAGCATCACTCGGTCCGTACCATGTCCCTCGAAGTCCAGGGCGTACAATTTTCACTGCTTAATAACATAAATCAATGTATGTAGCTGCAACACAGCTTGTTGGACTAGGTACTTTGATGAAGTAGATTAGTACTTCCCACGTCAAGGGGAACAACCAGGGTGTTCAGCCTTATAGGAACGTACCTCGGCACTGCCCCACCTTACCGTTAGACGCCCCCACTTTGCGGGGCAATGAGGGCAGGCAGCTTCGAGGTGACAGTCGACCTTCACCGAAAGCTGCCTCGGATTCAACCCGATGTAGAAGCTAAGGTCAGGTAATTTGCCTCACCTTAGAATTCGATCAAGCTGAATCAGGGAGGATGCTCTGGCATCTTCCCTATTCTAGGTTACCTTCTCCAGCCTCGGGCTTTCATGACACCTTGGTCGGGGTTTAATGGCCTTGGCCACCAGTCCCGGGCATGAGAGACGGCATTGTCAGGTACCTTTACCTTACTCACTCGGTTCTTCATGGCCCCCGAACCTTCCATTCTTCGCCGTGCACGTTTCCCCGGGCCTCTCTCTCTTGCGGCAACGTCTCATCTCAGTTCTTCCTCCAAGTCGTTCTTCTGATGCACAGGTAGACTCGGACCTCTTTTTCGTCCAAACTTCCCCTCCGTTGCTACCGCCGTCTGGCATCCCTCGTCGAAAATATGGAAGATCTTAGACAGGCAGACCCGACTCTTCCGCAGCATCGCGAGGGTAACAAACCCCCCATTCCGGACAAGAAGCCACTCGACACTGACGCCGGGTCCATTGCCCTTGACGACATGGGACTTACCTACAGTCCCGCCCCCAAGAACCAAGTCACTGTCATCATAGAGCCGGCTAGCCCGTTCGCGAATTCTGAATCTGACATGATGGGCTTCACCAAGGTCGAGATGCCTGCTCCGGAGAATGGTGCTCAGAGCAGTGGCCCAAGGCAAGCTCTGCCCAAAGGCCTCGTTGCCACTCGCTTCAATAATTATCCTGCCTCCCATTCTTCTCGTCAACCCCTATCCCCTTCTTCGACGGTGACCTCTTCTTCCTTTGTTGAATGCGATCTCATCGACCTTGGGACTGACGTTTCCTCGCCTTCAAGAGAATTTTCCGAAAAGGACGTCAACACCACTGCACGCGACGGCGAAGACGAAACAGAGGTCAGCCAAGAGTTACTCCTACGCCGTGAAATCGAGGAACTACGTTACAGACTCAAGTCAACAACGGCTCGAGCCGAGATTGCCGAGGAGAAGGTTGAACGAGCGGAGCAAAGAATCGGCGAGATCAAGTCTACCGTGACCTCGACCGTTACAGAGATCAAGAACGATACGGGGCCTCTCGCTACAAAATTCGATGAGCTCGAGACGGAGAACTCAGCTTTGAAAGAGCAGCTCAGGGACGCCCAATCTCACATCTTCAGCTTGCAGCCCTACCGCAAGGAACTCACACCTGAAGAAGTCGGGCGCGTGAGTACCCTCTCGCGGCCAGCACTGATATTGTTTTAACAAGTCTCCAGGAATACGATGATCTTATTGAAGGCATCAGCGATTGGGTAACCAAATTTATGGACCCATTTCTAGATGATCATGAAAAGGGGGTCGAAGATATCATGATGACTGCCCGCAGGAAGCCCACCGACGCTCTCAAGTTGAAGCGGATCATACATCTATATCCTGACCTTGTTCATGGCGCAGTATTCCCAGAAACGGACGAAGATATTGCTGTCGCGATTATCATGAGGTTTCTCAACGACAACATTTTTCAAAAGATTTTGTACGGCGCCATCACCAACTACGTTGAGGTCCTCAGCTTCGTGGAAATAGCACTGCAGAACCACGTTGATCCCAAGCGAGGTACGAGCACTCTTTGCCCTACTACTCTTTGGATTTTCATACTGAATTCTTGGGGCAGACCTCTTCGCGATCAGAACATGGACAGCAGAGGCATACAACGCAATCTTGAGCTCCCGGGAGTTCAAGGGCTGCCGGGAGAAGAAGATGCGTGAACTCACAATCGAGCTTGCGGGCATTTTCAGGATCTTCAATCGGAAAGACAAGATAGATGGATTTTACAAAAGCTTCGAAGAGCATTGTATCAGGCCAGCCATGCAGCTCTACGAGAAAATACAGGTTTCCACCAACCATTTCTATTTCGACATCAACCCATACATCATGTGGGGCGGGGACGACGAGATGCAAACGTCGACCGACTTCCTCGACAACTTGCACGATCTCGACTGCAAGAACATTCTGCAGAACCGCAAAGCCTTCAATCTGGCCAAGATCGACCCGCAGCCTACCAAGAAGGAGCTGTATCACCACCTGCTCAACGTTTGCACCCTCACACCGGCGCTCTACATGCGACAGATTGGTCGCAAGGACGTCATCAAGGAACCGCAGCTTGTGCGGCGTCAACAGATGTTGGTGGCGTGGGGGCCGCAAGACAAGCGTGACACGTTCCAGGAGAATGGTGATCGTACGCTGCTGAGCCAACTTTACTACGCAAAGAGCGATCGAGAGAGGCAGGAGGCCGGTGGATGGACGAACTTCCGTTGGGGAGGCTAGGGGCATCGCAAACGGGTGGTGTCTTTCTTTTTCTCCCCAGGCCAGCATTGATCTTATAGCACATTCTGTATATAGGAACTACCAGACAATGTGAAACTGCACGTACTCAATGGTGGCTTTGGTTAGTAATATACCCGCTAAGGGACGAGGAGGTGCCGATGGCAAAGCTGATAATCTCCTGGGGCACTGCGTCCTAGCCTTGGGTTTTCCTTCAAAGTGCTTCGTATGGATCTATCCTATGCATCGTGTACGAATCCATTGCTCAAGACCCATCATAATACCCGGTCAGCTTGGAAAACCAGAGCCTCTCTCAGGAGACTGTTAATAGATTAGCCAACTAGGTAATTTCGTACGCTATTGAGCTAATCATTTGCTTGGAGCTTGGCGTAGGCGTTCTGGAACTTGAAGGCCCCCATCCGCGCAGTGAGATACCGATGAATCCAAGGAGACGCCTATTCCCAGTGTTTGAGGTTGAGCTTAGGTGATGTATAGGCAACTTAAGTCGTAAATGGCCAATGTCTTCCAGCTGAGAGCCCACTTTACCTAAGGTATAGTAGGTAAAGGACCTTACCTTGTTGGACCCGAAGTCTGCCCCAAGAACGCTGGCGGGGTTCAGCAAGGCTTCCAGAGGGAGCGGGTTGCCGCTAAAGACGGGCAACGGGGCAGTGACAGGCAAACGGGCTCTAGCGAGTGGGTCCTGGCGGCGCTGCTCCCCTGCAACGTGCCGGGCGATCTGTGACTTCCAGGTACATCCGCCAGTACATGCGGTACGTACCGGCCCATTCCTCAGAGCAAAGTGGAAGAAAGGCAGGTCCGGTCCGCCTTGGAGCTGTCTGACCATGGCATGAACCACTTGGACGTCAACCTGGAACTACTTCCCCCTTCAAGATTCGCCATCGCCTCTCGTTCGGGCTCATCTGATGGTCTTCCAGTTCGTTGCCTCATGCGCCCGCCGTTGTCGTCTACCAGAAACGGCATCACAAGGCAGAGCCAAGCTGTGACACCTCTTTTTCCGCCTCTTACCTTCTACCACGATTGTCGCATTGCAAATATCCCGGCGGCAACAGGACGGATGTATGTATGCCATTGAGCCTAGGTTCTGCGTCTCGCCCTCGTCCCAGAAAACACCCGCAATTACTGTCGCCATCTAACGATGGTCTGGGCTGAGTCCTGACATCGGGTTCTACTCATCCTTAACTTTCTTAGTTGGTCCTCTTACGGGAAAGGGTACTTGGCTAATGGAACTTTCAGCTACACTACGAGCACGTTGTCTCGTGGCCTTTCTGCATCAGCTATATGCTCGGACGATGATGCAAGGTTAAGGTCCGAGTTGAACTCCAAGCAACCAGCAGGGGCACCCCAGCCAGCTTGCCGCCAATTCGGCATGTTTCGATCTCTGAAGGGAAAAATTATTGGCGCATTCCAAGACAATCCGCAAATAACAAACAGTTCGTCAGAATCCGAACCACAGCTGTCCATGCCTCCCTCTCGTTGGTCCCTTCCTACAAGCGGGCGACGGCCAAACACCGTCACCGAGGAGAATCATTCCACCTCAATCCTTAGATTCGACTCTCCTTTCCCGAAATCGCACACAAAGATTACGCCTCGTCTTACTACGAGCCCCTCGACGTCCCATCTGTTACCCGCGGACTTTCTCATTGACGGTACTCCAGAGCGCTTCACAGAGGTTCCGCAGGTATCGGCGGCAACACAGGAAGCTATTCCAGCAACCGTAGCATCTGAGGAAAGCTCTCGCAGACAGCAGACAGGCACAGCCAACGGCTCGGAACCGAGATTCTCTTCACATGTCGAAGATTTCTCCTTGACGAAGATGTTTGCCTCTCCCAACAACGGACTACCACCTAGCTATCAATCCAGTGCCAACCCCTCTCTGGTGGGAGGTTTCGGTAGCGATGGGCTCGATCCCGCTCCGGCCTACGACTGGGGATTGGCGCTGGATGTTGACGGATCGAACAACGAGCAGCAAACTTCAGCACGGCGTGTCAGTCATGATCACCACCAACCGCCAGCTTCCTTACCTGAGGTTCCCCGTCGAATCAACTACTACCGCGCAACAAGCGCCGATATTCTGGCCGACTTTGACTTTCCACTGCCCGTAGCCAAGACTTCTACCACAATAATGGAGGCCACGATGCCTTCTTCTTCCACCCCACCGCCACAAAGAGGCTACCTGCCAACACCAGCGTCCATTCTTGAGGATTTTGACGCGGCGCCCTTTTCGCCTCAAACCACCGGCGGCAGCTCAAGCACTGCAGCAAGTACACCGCCAATACTATCACCGCCCTCACGCCCAAGATCAACATCAAAGCTAGCATCACTGTTGTCAAACAACCCATACCTTGAGATCTTTGAACAGAAAGAGCAAGCAATGACGGTCGCATTTTTGCGCAGTCAAGAAGCAGTATCTGGATCTCGCTCCACGGATCTCGCAGCTGATGACTTTAGGTAAATATACACCTTCAAGCTCAGATCGACACCGTCTCTGGCTTGACCCATGTGATAGACCTTGCCTGAATTGGGCTTGACACCCTCTTTTTACTAAGCAATGCCTCTCAGTTCACCAAGTGCTAACAAATAGCAGCTTCGGCCAGAGGTATCACAAGGCGGCAGACACAACAGACGTTGTCGTTACTAGGCAAAGGCTACCGGCCAACGACCTGAGCGGTTCCCGAGAGTGTCCAATTTGTGCTGAAACAAGAGAAATTTCAATGTTTCCGGTCCTGAGTGTCACCCCGATGTGCACGCACCCGCCAGAGACGTGCTTGGCGTGCCTTCAAATGTCCATAAAAGCAGATCTGAACAGCAAACTATGGACTGATATTCGCTGCCCTGAATGCCGCGAGCTGCTGGAATACGTCGACATTCAGAAGTATGCAGACGAAGACACATTTGCCCGGTAAGCCACCCCAACTTCCTTCCAGTATGACAAGGTTGCTGATGGTATCCAAGATATGAGGCATTGGCTCTTCGAGCTGCTATGGCTGAAGCCGACAACTTCATTTGGTGTACGGCTAACTGCGGCTCTGGCCAGCTCCATGACACCGGCGGCGACCAACCTATAGTGACATGTTTACATTGTGGCCAGCGGTCTTGCTTTAGTCACAATGTGACGTGGCACGAGAACTTGTCGTGTGAGGAGTACGATGCGCTGCTACAAGACCCGGAGAACTTCCGCTCGCGTATTGAGATGGAGTACGACGAATTTGACTCGGCGCGACGGGCGCAAGAAGATGCCGATCGAGCGATAGCGCAAGGCCTTATGGCTGAACAACAGGCCGAGATTCAGGAGCGGGAATTCAGAGAACGCGCCGAAAGAGAGAGAGCCCGCAAAGCGGCCGCCCTAGCGAGGAAGGTTGCCGCTCGTCGAAAAGCGGAAGAAGAGCAGAGTCGAGTGACTGTGAGCCGAACGACGAAGCCGTGTCCTGGTTGCGGATGGGCCATTGAAAAGAACTCTGGCTGGTGAGTGATCTTTCGCCTACTTCGGAGCTGGGCCTCAAGCTAATTACAACATGATAGTTCACACATGACCTGTAAGTCTCGTCGTTCCTTTGAGTTGTGTCTAGACCCTTATTTCATTTCCCTGTCCCTCGCTCAAATTTGCTGTATTGTTTGTCAGACTCAAGCCAACATCATCACAGGCATCAAATGCCGCTACGAGTTTTGTTGGGGTTGTTACTCTACCTGGGAACGGGCGCACAGCGTTCGATGCCGAGGTCTTGTGCCTCCAGTCTAGGCCAGGTAGTGGGCTCCAGCATGCAATGCAAGCAAACGGACAAACGAAAAGGAAGCGGAAAAGAACAGAAACCATCTAACCTGGATGACCAATTCCTAGGTTCCAAATGCAAGCACGAGTTCTGCTATGAGTGCGGGGCGGATCATAAGCATATTTTACTCCTTGATAACAGCATACATGGCGACGACTGCCGCTTTCATCCAAACAACCTTGTCGATTGACGGTTGACGGCGCAAGACGGTCTAGCTTCGATACGTGAGATGGACACAGGTAGCAGGCATGTCACCTGAGCTGCTGTGGTTGTAGACTATTTGTATCTAGTGCAGATGGCAACTGCTATTTCACATTTCCACAGCAATGGGTTCTGATCAATTTGGAGTTTTGTATTTGCGAAATGCATTCAAAGTGGCAGATTGAACCATTCGAGGGGATCAGTCGAGCGTCTAGAGCATATGGATTTCCCATGCCTGATCTGGATGTTGCATGTTGCACGCTCACGCGTGAGCTGGATCAATGTGGGCGAACGACTGTTCATTTATTGAGTTGTGTAATTATTCTTTCGATTTGCCAAACCTGTTCTACGCCGTATCCTCTGTAGTGTTGTGTCTACCAACATTTGTGTACAAATTTGCGGGGAAAAAAAAAAAAAAGGAAATCATCAGAAACCATCCAAGTCATGCTTCTCTGCCCTAGAAATTCGCCTCCCTTCCCAACAAGCGCAGAAAACAAAGAAACATGCACGTTGAAAACATCACTGGTGAGAGACCCCTTTGGATGGGAACAGACAGAGCCCCCCCACCCCCCATGTTTACGCGGCACTCAACTCGGCAATACGCCTCTCAATCTCGGGCACCTGTCGCAGCAAGACCTCGAGGTCCTCCTTTTCGTCCTCGAGCTTCAGCCGGCGGTCGGCGTCGAGCTTGGTGAAGACAAAGTTACCCTGCCCGTCAAACTGGAGGATGCGGCTGTGGTACTTCCACAAGCTGCGACGGTGGCTGACAGTCATGAGGGTGATGCCCAGCGCCTTCGCGTTGTCGTACATGACCTTTTCCGTCTCGAGGGTGACGCTCGAGGTGCACTCGTCGAGGATGGCGTAGCGGGGCCGGTGGTAAAAGAGCCGGGCCATGGCGACGCGCTGCTGCAGGCCGCCAGAGAGCACGTCGCGCCACTCGGCCTCGGCGTCCCACCCTTCCGGGTAGAGTTCGGGGAGGTGTTCTAGGCCGAGGAGGGAGAGGATGGAGAGGAGGTCCGCGTCAGTGACGGATTTGGCGCGCATCTGGCGGAGGGAGTCTGGGTAGGTGATTTGTTGGCGGAGGGAGCCGCGGGAGAGGTAGGGGCGTTGAGGGATGTAAAAGATGTCGGAGAAGGGGGGTTTGTGGACGGTGCCGCCGTAGACGGGCCAGAGGCCGCCGAGGATACGGAAGAGGGAGGATTTGCCGCAGCCGTTGGGGCCGACGACGAGGAGGTGGTCGCCTTGTTTGAGGGAGAAGGAGAGGGCTTTGATGAGCACGTCGCCGTTGGGGGAGATGATGGGGCTGTTTTTGGAGGTGTTCGTTAGTGTTTGTGAGAAAAAGGGGGGAGGGGCGAAGTTAAGTGCAGTAGATGATGACTTACACGTTGATGAATTGAATATCCTTGCTCTCGACCACGGTACCACGGCCCTTGAGAACGGCCTCGTTGTCCTCAGTGCCCGAGCTAGAGACGAGCTTCTTCTCAAAGCGGCCGGCGCGGATGTCGTTCATCACCTCGAGGAGGGAATCGACGCGCGAGGTGTAGCCTGCCAGCTCCATGATCTCACGGTACGAGAACATGATGCGACCAAAGGCATCCGAGGCGGACAGCAGCATGCGACGGTTAGTGACGAAGCTCTCGGTGCGGTCGCCCATGTTCATGGCGATGTGGCCGGGCATCTTGACAAACACAGGCACGGAGCAGAGCAGCAGGCCGAGGGCACCCCAAAAGTACTTGATAACAAAGTCCTCCATGAAGCCGTGGTAGAAGCGGCGGCGGAGAATGTAGTTTACATGCTTAATGAGGGTGAAGTAGCCCTTGTCGAGGGTGTCCTTTTCGGCCTCGTGACCAGAGTAGAGGGCCACCTCTTCCGCGTGGTCAATGAGGCGCGAGTGCTGGAAGCGGAACTCGCCCTCGAGGCGGGCCTCGTCGGCGACGTATTTGCCAAAAGGCGGGGTGAGTGCGCGCATTACGTTTGCAGAGAGCTGGACGAGGAGGGCCATGGAGACGACGCCTTCGCCTCCTACACTACGCGATAGCGAGTGCGTGTAGATTGTCTACCGACGGTTAGTCTTTGGGTGAGACGAGGTGATCAGAGAAAGGGGGGCTTCTACCATGTCCAGAACGGGTTTCGCGAGGTTGCTAAAGAGCTCGGCCAAGCTATTTGAGAATTTGGCGACATCGACGGCAATCAGCTGGTCGGGGTTGTTTATCCGGTCGTCGAGGGCAGATATGCCGTAAAAGGTGAGCTTCGACAGGTACTTGTCGTGGATGTGCTGCGTCAACCGCGTCCGGTATTTGAGCGACAGCTCCGCTTGGTGGTAGGACAGCTGCCACGGCATATTAGCTTGACTCTATCGGCGGGTATCAGGAACCAACGCGGACGTACCATTGAGTTTGTAAACGTCGCGGGGATGGCAATCAGCATCCACCACACGATGCGCATCAGGAATTCCCGCCCGTTACCCTTGACTAAACTCTTGACAATGGCGCCGTCCATGGCCGCGACCTTGAGACTGATCAACGTCCTGACGACGAGGAAGAAGGAATGGCTGATGAGCAGCCTGGCCTCCTTGCTCCGCCATCCCGGTATGACAATCTTGAGCAAGCGCAGCAGGGAACGGAAGAAGTCGCGGTTGAGCTCGACTTTTTTGCGCTTCTTGGTCATGTCCTCATCCGAGACGGCGACGGTGGCGCGGGACTCGCGCGCGGCGGCCTCGCGGGCGGAAGCGGCTTTCTGCTCCGAGATTGCGTGGCGAATGCGGTTCGCGAGGGCGAGGAAGAGTGTGATCCAGACGGCGCGGGAGATGCGCGAGCGGTTTTGGAGGTAGAGCTGCGTGAGCTGGAGAACGAGGTTGCGGACGGTGCGGTTGGAGGGGAGCCCGACGAGGGAGACTTTGGATTGAGAGGCCATTGTGGGCGACTGTCCGGAGGAAAGGGGTGTTTGCGCGGGCGCGCCGCTGAGTGGGCGACGATACTCTGACTTCTTTTGTCGTCTTGCGATATCTGTCGAAGGAGAAGAGGGGTTTGTCGCAGTGTGGTGGTTCCGGTGCTGGTGAAGATGGACGAGATGCCGCGGCTACGTCACACCGGCAGCTGTGGGGGGGACGTCCGTCGGTTGACGCTGGGATTGAATCGTCAGCGCATTCGTCGCGGTGTTTCGATATTGGTTCGTCGGCCGCAAAGGGGGGGTCTCGTGGGGAAGGTTATCCAAGGTATTCGCAGTCAGTCAAGAAGGTGAAGACGGCGGTGTTGACAACGGCCATGGCTGATGGCGGGTGGAGGTCACACGGCTGGCAGGTCCTTCCGGACAAGGCTTTCGGTCGGGGGTAGTACCAAGTCCAGTCCCCTTCCGCTTCCAGATTCAGCGGCCAAACGTTAATTCAGCACTGGGGGTGGGATTTGGGGCTGCTGGGGAAAATGGGGGAAAGCTGGGCGCTGTGTTCTTTGTCTCTGTCCCTCGGCTCCCCGGAGTGACACTGTACAAGGGTGCTGGAGAAGGGCGGCCCGTAGCGGCGAGTGATGTGATTGGCGAACCCCGGAAAATGGTCTTTTGGTCCGTTCCCATGTGAATTGGATGCCGATGGCATGTGATTTGTGAGGTTTGGGGTGTCAGGGTCACCCTTGACCCGTGTGCCTGAGGCGCAAATGTGTAGTCAGAATTGGAGTCAGATGTGGCTTGGGAGAGAATGTACATAGTAAGACACTCACTCACCAGCCACATCGCGGGGCAACCTCTCCATCATCTTTTTTCTCTAAATTCTTTTTTACTTTCGGCTCGCCACCCCTCAACCTCAATGACTCCATCGCCGCCATCCTAGTAAGACGAGATCACGATCCTATTATTCACACACGGCCACACAACCACAAAACCAAAAATGGCCGACGACAACATTTCCATCTATGACGAGATTGAGATCGAGGACATGACCTTTGACGAGGACATGCAAATCTACCACTACCCCTGCCCCTGCGGCGACAAGTTCCAAATCGCCCTGGCCGACCTGCGCGACGACGAGGACATTGCCGTGTGTCCCAGCTGCAGCCTCATGATTCGCGTCATCTTTGACAAGGTACGGCTTTCTTCTTGCCAGTATCGAGCTGCAAAGATTCATATAGCGAACGCTGTTTGTGACTGACAAGGAGTCGTGATTGCAGGATGACCTTCCCGAGGACCCCGAAGAGGACCCCGAACCGGCCGTCGAGGAGGCTTCTGCCCAGATTCCCATCGCTGCTTGAATAAGAGAACCCTCAATTCAGATTTCTTTGAAGAGCTGCTGAGCCACCGGAAGATTGCCCAGTAAGGCCGCTCCGAGAAGCACCTCAACATGGTCGCCGCAGCCAAACCAAGCGCCGAGCCCAGCGCAGACACAGGCGCAGAAGCAGGCGCAGAAACACAAGCGCCCTTACCCGACCGGCCCTCTACCATCGCTTGGCGGTACCAACGAGGCACCCAAGCTCATCTCAGGAGGAAGGGAGGCTAGGCAACTATTTCAGAGGAAAAGAAATTCACCAAGTCGGACAAATACTCTAGCAGCCTCGCGTATCACAAGGCTCGGTTGACTTGTCACGGCACACGTTAGCCTACACGTCTGCTGCGTTGCCTCCGCCCCGGCTGAACCCCTCCCGCCCCCCTTTTTTTCATTCATTGTGGTTGAAGAGGGAAATTGGATTGTGCCGCAGATGTAACTGTCGAGCAAACATTTCTAAATGAGGATACCACCTAGGCAAACGCCGATTCAGTGACAAGCCACTCACTGTTATTTGGTCAAACAGAAAAATTGGTGCCACGCCATTTTTGTTGCTGGATATACGCTGCTCATGAGTCACGCGGTACGTGGACAAACCATGAGATGCCGCAGTTGCCAAATCATGGCCGGACTGGCTGAATCGGCATGCGTCGAGAAGGAATCTGCTTGCCACCATGGATCAAGTAGTCGAATCGAAGAAGGGAGGAGGTAGCTTATAGTGAATAACACAAATCATAAGAGCGAGCAAAGGGTATGTGAAACTATTTATTTATTTCATAAGATTAATTAGCGGTATTAATGCTATATCGTGATGACCGTTACTCATCATCGTATGCAGAATATCCAACGCCGTTGCTCCAAGCCGTGAAAAAGTCATCAAACATGTCCAAAGCAGCCGTTTGCTTCCTCATGGTTCCGTTTCAAGTAGTGTTGTGAAGAAATTTCAATCCCGCCCGCGCCTCTTCCCGCTTTCATCATTCAAGCGTAAAAATTCCATGTCCCCGCGACGCTTTTTTTGGTATGGTCTCTTACAAAAGGAAGAAGCTCGCAATGCCAAAGGCGATAAGGCCGGCGGCAGAGCTCTTGACCTTGTCGGCAGCAGCGGTGGGCACTGTGACGGGGCCCGTGGTGGTGGCGTTGGGGGATGAGGTGAAATAGGTCTGGGTGAAGGTAGAGAGGGTGGCTAAAAGAGCCCATGTTAGTTTGCTTGTTCTTTCGGGATTCGGGGCCAGAGGTAAAGAAACTCACTGTTGATCAGAGGAGGGATGACGACGGTGATGGAGGAGGCCGCTGACTCGGTGATGGTGGGAAGGGTCACGACGGGGCCGGTGCCGGTGGGAACGACGATGGGAGTCGTGACGGTGACGGGAGGGTCGCTGACGACAACGACAGTAGTCGTCGTGATGCCGCCCGGGACAGTGGTGGTGCCCTCGGGGATGGTCACAGTGGTGGAGGGCGAGGGCTCGGCAGAAACGGAAGAAGAGACGGTGACGGTGGTCGCGGGGACGGTAGCAGTGACGGTCTCGGTAGGCTCAGGGAAGACCGGGAGGGTCACGGTCGCCGTGATGCCGTCCGTGATGACAATGGAGGTGACCTGGGCGGCGGCGAGGCCGGCAGCGGAGAGGATGGCAAAGGAGCGCATTTTGGCTTGTTGTTTGGGTTACAAGGAGGAGGGGAGCTTAAGAGCCGTTGAATGGAGGTTGAATCAAGAGATATTAGTGCCGTAAAGGGAAGCGACTGGTTTCACTCGAAGGCTGAGGCTCTTGTGGACAAGTGGAGGCGGGAGTAGTTTTGAGATATGCTGAACTTCTTGTTGTGGATGAGACATAAGAGTAGAAAGACTCTGTTTGGAAAGGAGACTGGATGGGAGATATATAGTACGAGACGGAAGTGAGGGTCTGCGTGACGAGCAGAGCCTAGGCCGTACGACTACGTACGACGTATACAGAACATTGTGTGCTGCGAGTCGGTGACAGCAGTGATGCCAAGAATGGCGATTTTGCACGACATCATCTCGACGAGGGGTGCCGTCACTGGGGGTTGAGAAAGCAGAGGGTTGGTAGCCTGGTTGCCGGGGGTGGTATTGGTGGTGAGGTGGGCAGCTGTATGCGGGGCCTGGGCGAAGCAGGGAAACGCGACCTGGAAGCCTTTTGGGCCTTGAACCGTCTGCCGACCTGGACCAGACCAGACCAGACCAAACCAGACCAAACCACATCATGTTCGCTTGCCTGCAAGCACGTTGGTGCTGGATCCGGACTGGTCGCGGACAAGGGTGGGATGAGGTGGAAGCAGCCGAGCAAGGCGAAACAGGGTTGTCGTCCATCGACCCAGGAAACCAAAAGTGGAGTTGGGTGGGTAGTTCTTCGGGAAGCACAAAGTGAATGAAGGCTGGGATGACCGTGGTCAACTCTGATGGGGTGAATTGTGCCTAGTGAAATGGCTGGGGATGGCTTCACTTGCAGCAAAGAGCAACAACGGCGAAACGCAGGAATGGCACAATTGATGAGCCACAACAGACATGCGTGTTTCCCCCACCACCTCGATTTTCGTTTCACGTTGCTGACATGCCGTCTCACTGGCAGATCCAATGCACATCAGCTTATTATTCCCATGTCAGAGTTTTGACGAATACCATATCCCATGGGTATGCGCCATAATACGAAAACGCAGCAATCGGTCGCCGGGATTCAAGCCCTTTTGGCGGTCATCTTTCAAGCTCGTCCACAAAGCAGACTTCTTCTGCCCTGATCCCGGGGTAACTCACCAACCCAGGTCGACAGAACTCGACAGGAAGAGATGAGTGACGCTTACCAACGGTGTTGGTCTGCCGAGTTTCCGCAAACCTGCACACTCGCACAAGAAGCATCTCGTCATTTCGGCCCAGGATCGAGGTTGGGTGACGGAAGGCGCGCAAACACGAGAAATCAAGTAAGCACCCATTTCCCCGTATACTGCAGCTGTCCCGGGTTCTTTGCCAGTAGCGCTAGCAGGAAAGTACCCGTACCAGAGGTCGGGGGCCCAGATCAGCCAGAGGATGGCCTGGGGGAAGACCAAGTTGGCGATCCTCCGTAGCCGATGCCGTGCTCTGTTGCGTCATACGTCGACGAGGGCCAGCGGGTGCTACAGCTGGAAAGAGGAGCAACGAGGTAAAGAGGCACCGTAGCAACCGGAGACTCGTCCCGCAGAACGACCCATGGAATTCAGAGAGAATCGAGATTGGTCCAGTGAAAGTGTTGCGGGAAAGAAGCAAAAGCGGCTGTAACGGCTCCCCCCTTGTGCCTGGATTGGCCGGGCCACTGCATGGTATTGGCAGGCCTTTGGTGACGCCTCTCGAGGGCAGAGATCTCTCGCCATGAATCACATCACGCTTACCCGTTAGGGCCGTGCTGAGGATTCCCCAGGGGTCAAGACTTGAGTTCTCCTGATGGACATGGGGTGGTGGTGGTGGTGGTAGTGGTGGTAGTAGTCGGTGGTCGGGCTCGGTGCCGAAGCCAACTCGATGAGATGAACATGGCCAGTTCCCTGGAGTTGGAGGACGGGAGAGACGGTGAACGGTGAAAGATCACCACGGAAAAGAGGGAGGCAGGGACCGGGGTGAGAGGTGTCGACGCAGCAGGGGTGCCTGCCAGGTTTTCCCACCTTCGCCGGTTTCCTCATCCAGTCACCTCTTTCCCTTCCAGGTTCCTTCCAGGTTCCTTCCAGATTTTTGACATCCGTCACCGCATCACCCCAGCCACTTGCCTCCAGGCGGTCCACAGCCGTTGCAGCCAATCAAGCCACAAAAGAGACCCACCAGCCACTATTTCCTGACCTTTTTCTGTGCGACTTCAACGGCCTTCTTAAGCAGCACCGTTGTTTCTTCCACCAATCAAGGAACAATCAAGGAGCTCATCCGCGCATGGCCTCCAAGTGTCGGCCACGCCTCCGGTATGCAGATGGTTTGCGCTGTACTGTCACACTCTTTAAGGTACCGCTTGACAACACACGCATTCCCTGATTTCCTTCAAGCCTCGAAAGCCAGGAAAGCCTTGCTTTCAGGCCGCAACCCAATACCACGGCCGAGTCCTAGTCTTGCTCCATTCTCCATTCACCATGCAGTCTTCTCCCTCTGCGGAGAAGTCTACCAGCCTCACCGGCAACCCGGCTACCTAAAGCACCTACCTAGCTGTCCACCGACGGAGTCCCAAGCCGAGTCCGGCACTAAACCTGCATGTCCCGGTCTTAGATCCATACCATACCCCCTTTAGTCTCAAGTTCGAGAATGGAACAAGTTGTTTGATATTGAACAAAAATCGTCATCATTGATATCGGACTCTTCTTTTGTTTCCTTTTCTCGCCCTACTAGGCTAGACATCAGGATGTGACGAACTACCTCAAATGGTACCGTTTTACTCTCAGACGCTGTCTACCCCATACAACTTGCTGCTTATGATGATTCAACATTGGCAAACAAAAAGTTGGGAGCCCCCGGGACCGCGCCTTCGGCGTTGGGTGCAAGACTCTCCTCCACAGCCCCGGTAACCAGATCCGTGCCCTTCTTGCCACCCTCCTCCACTGCAACAATCTTCACCTCGACAAGGTTGGCACTGCGCTTGAGACCCTCAACCATGTCCACCAGCACTGCCTTCTCGTCAAACGCCAGCTTCCGCTCGAGGACGGCGCTCGCCGGCTCGCCCGTCTGGAGACGTCTCTTGAGACCCTGCACGAACGGCATGGCCTTCTTCATCTCGCCCATCTTGGCAATCTTGCCGTTGAGCGCCTTGTCGTCCACGGAATTGGTCTCGGGGCTCCACATCTCCTTGAGAAGGTCAATGTAGGCCTGCTGCCATGATGGGAAGTTTTCGCTCATGAAGACGGTGAGCTTCTTGGGCTTCTTGGGGTCGAATGACGTCTCCTTGCCCTTGGCCTTCTTCTTCAACTGCAGAGACTCGGCAGAGTTGACGTTGGAAGCCGTGACCGCAATATACTTTCTCGCTGCCGTAAGAGCCGCGTCGGTCTCCGGAATCTCGGGGAACGTCGCCTGTTGGATCGATGTAGGCTTGCCGAGAATTTCGATCCAAACTGACTCGGACCAATGGGGCGCGATAACAGCGAGGAGGAGAGCCTGGAGCTCGATGTAGCGCAGGACCAAGTCAACGTGCATCTTGGACAAGGCACTGCTCTCACGGTAGAAAGATAGGGCGTTATTGAAGCTATTGGCACATGTCAGAATTACAGGGCGTCGTGGTACTCGCCAAACTTACTCGTAGAAAGCCGCCTTCAAAGCCAGCTTGTAAGAGGTGTCGGAGTACTGCTGGATAGCCTCCTTGGCAATGACGTTCATCTCGTTGTTGAAGACCTTGTCGAAGAAGTTCCACTCGCCCGTGCGAAGTTCGCTCTTGTTCTTGACGACATCGTCGCACCATTCTATTGCTGTTAGCATGATACGCCACATGTGAGAGAATGAACATACCTCTAAGAGTGTGGAGACGGAGAATGGCTTGGTTAGCAACATCCTCCTCAAAGTTGCTGTCTCCGTTGGTATCACCAGCGTCGGCCAAACCAATACGGGCGGCGTCGGCACCAAATTTACGAGCAACGTCCTGCAGAGTCATAAAGTTACCAGTCGACTTGCTCATCTTCTCACCGTTGAGCATCAGGTGACCGTTGGTACGAATGCCCTTGGGCCAGTACTCAGGGGCGAAGATGGCGAGATGGATGTAGAGGAAGAAGGTCAAGTGGTTGCCAATCAGATCCTTTCCAGAGCTGCGAAGGTCGAGAGGGTAGAAGTACTCAAATGAACGGCGCATGCTCTCCAGGGTCTCCTTGGGAATCTTACACTCCGCGACAAGCTTCTCGTCAAGCTCGCGACGGCAGAACACGTAGTCCCAGACCTCGTCCTTCATCTGCTCGGGGGCAATACCGCCAGTGCCCTGCTCTCTACCAAAGATGTCCTTGTGGAGGTAGGGGGCAATGGTGTAGTATGCCATGTAGATGGTACTGTCACTCAGCGACTCGACGAGGAACTGGGGGTCCCAAGGCAGCTTGGAACCAAGACCGTACGATCTGGCACAGGCCCATTGGTTGAGCCAGTTGAGGACACCCTGGAAGGCGTTCTTGGTCTCAGGGCTGAACGTGTTCAGGCCCTTGCCATCAGTGTTCTCGACCCAGTCGAGGGCGGTCTTCTTCCAGGACTCTTCACCGTAGTCAAGGTACCACTGGTCCATAAGGGAAACGATGCAGTCGTCGGCGGAGCGACTGACGACCTTGCGCTCCGGCTCGGAGTAGACGAACGCGAGTCCCTGGTCAATGAGGGACTGGCGGACCTTGGGCTTGGCGGACTCGACAGGCTCGCCCTTGAACTCGCCAATGTTCATGGTTCCCTTGTAGAAACCCTCAGAGTAGGCGGTCTCCTTGGCCTTGTCAAGCTGGACAGTGTCCTTGGGGGAGGCAATCTTCAGCTGCTCGACCAAGGTCTTGGCAATCATGTCACCGGACGGAGTGTTGATGATGGAAATGATTTCAAGCTCGGCCCACTCCTGCTCAATACCGTAGTAGGCGGCCTTCTTGCGCAGATCCATGGTCATGACCCAATCGGCGGGACTGTCAGAGGGGACGGATGTGACGACACCAGTACCTTTCTGGGAAATGTCAGAGATGTACAGCACAATGGGAAAGGCTCATACATACAGTGGGTAGGATAGACTCCATGGGAAGAACGCGAACGCCATCCTTGTGGACGGAGAGGGGGGCGTCGACACGGGTACCGATAAGGGCGGAACCGTCAATCTTGGTCGTCTCATCAACAACTCCATCCGCGACAAAGAGGCCCTGGTAGGCCATGTTCCGGGCGGCACGTTCAGTCATAATGTAGTAGTCCTTCTCGGAGGCCTTGAAGACGCCGTACGTGATCTTGGGAGACACGAAAACGGCGTTCTGACCATACATTGTCTCGGGACGGAGGGTGGCGGGGATGAGGAAGACGTTCGCGTCCGCGGGAAGCTGGGACTTGAGAGCCTCCTCGGCTTTGGGTGCCCACTCGAGGACCTTCATCTTCAAGCCGGTGTACTCTTGAGGACCAACACCTTCACCCTCAGCTCGGTCGTGGTCCATGCAAGGCTGGCCATCCTTGATCGAGTAGATGGTATATCTCTTTCCAAACTTGATCTTGTTGAGCTCCTTGAGACGGATCATCTGCCAGCGAACGAAAGCATCAAAATAGGGGTTAGCCTCGGTGGTGATGAATGATCTCCGCCAGTCTGAGGCCAGTTAGCTGATGCCGTGGCTAGAGCCACCCGAAATGAGACTGACCGATTCTGAAACCAAGACTTGTGAGATCCTCTTGAGCCAGAGGGGGGAAGAAATCAAGCCAGTATGATGCATCGGCAAAGAGGTGGATCTCCTGTCTGGGGATGCCCATGGCCTCCATGATTTGGAACTGCACAGCTGTCAGTATTAGGCGACCTAGAGCCAAAATGATCGATGCACACCTGGTACTTGGCCTTGATAGTCTTGGCATTCGCTTTGCTCTTCTTGGTGGAGAATTTGGTAATGTCCTCGCGGGCCGCCTTGGCATCAGCAGGCTTGTCGTCAACGACAACCTCTTCCTCCTTGTAGCCCTCGAAATCACGGCCGAACCAGGCAACCTCATTCTTGAGCTTGTCGGCAACAGCCTTGATGGGCATACCGGTTGCGTGCCAGCCCATGGGGAAAAGAGCACGCTTTCCTTGCATACGCGCGACCTGGGAAGAATCATTAAACCGGTCCTCAATGCTTCATTGCGAGACTTCTCTTACACCAGCGGCAAACTCGACCTTGCTCACGGAGAACAAGTGGCCTGCGTGAAGTCGGCCGTTCATATAAGGGAAGGCCATGCAGCCCATCCTATATTCTCGTCAACTATAACCCTTTAATTCCTAGCCAATTGCGCCGTACCATTTGGGCTGTTGCTCGCGCAGCTCGGCGGCGGTGATGGAGTGCAGGGGGACCTCCTTGGTGGAGGGGGCGTCGACCTCGAAGATCTTGTCCTCGGACCACTTGCGCTGGTACTTCTTCTCGAGAGTGATCAAAAAGTCACGCTTCTCGGTACCCTTGAGCTCCTTGGTCTTGGAGACCTGGAGGGCCTCGAGGGCCTTGGCAGCTTCGTTGGCCATAATTGCGGGTTCTCGTTCGATTCGGTCAGGAATTGTCGGGAATGCAAACACGCAAGGCCAATTCCTGGCGGACCAATGCGTATTATGTGTTTCGACGGTGACTCTTTCGCCGGGAACTGAGAGTCACGCTGGATATCGCGCGGTCGCTTCTGCTCCTTCGAGGTAGTCGCTGTCGGGGATACTGAGTCACAGATCCAAGCGTGGGGGAGATTTCGTTGCAGCTCCGGTGTTTTTTTCGAGGCTGAGTGTGCCCCGCGATGGCTTTGGTGGTTATGGCGGGGTACTGTCGGGTCAGTGGTCACTGACCGGTCCTCTGGCATTCGAGCCAACCTTAATCGGTACGTACCCATCGAGCTCTGACCGTTCGCCGGCCCCTGTTGGAAGTGTGGCAAGTACTGCACATACATCGAATAGTGTGGCGCATGTGGCTGAGTATCTCGATGAGCTTCTCCAGTCGCGCAGAGCCCAGGCGCATATTCGGAATCCGCCTTGCCCATGCCGTCCTGGAAGTCACCAACAGCGATTGAGACCAAACCATCCACAACCATAGCCTGACCGCACCGACAATGCTTCCCACGATTGCCCGGCGAGCAGCCGAAGCAGCCGGCTCCAAGTTCACAGTCTTCACCAACCCATACCGAACGAAAAAAGTCTGGCCTCCCAACTTCACGAACCTGTCTCCCCAGTCACAGCTGCGGTTTGAGAAGAAGTACAAGAGACGCCTAGCATTGGTTTATGCGCGCCCGAGATGGAACAAGGCTGTAAAGCTTGCTCAGCTTGCCACTGTGATCGGTTAGTAAAGCCCTTCGACAAGCTTCTTGCGCTACATGCTGACCAATTCCAGGTTTTCTTGGCTGGACATTCTTCTTCTCCGAGCTTGAGTTCTTTGGCAAGGAATATAGACCATCTGAGGAGGTATATGACCTCGATGACTCCGGGCCCTGAACGATGCTAACTATGCTCGCCAGATCCGAAAGCGTGTCCGCGGTCTCTTTGGCACGATCGAAGCTGACAAACGATACGAACGTCGCAGAGATGCGCCCGAAGCACCCGCTCCCGTCGAGACGCCCAAATAGACAGACCCTCGGCCGATTGAAAAAGTACCAGCATCTGGTGGAGTTTATGGCGTTTTGAATACCCGGCGAAAAAGCCATGTGTAAAATATTGTTCGAACACAGAGTCATTTCCTCTCAGAAAGCGAACCGTCTACATCAACGTCCATGCCAGACAAAATTACCTCCCATGCCCAGTCCACTGCCCAGCCCTGCGCTACGCCCTTCGTTGACCGGTCTCTTGGCCACGGTACCTTGCGCTCGTACTCCGGAGACAATGCGATCGAGATTTGTCTCAATAACCACTCCTCCCACAATCATCTCGCCCAGTGTTGAGTGTAGCGTTTCGAAATTGAATATGAGGTCTAGCTCGCAAACGTTTTCGAAAAGCTTGTCGAGGGCCTCGACGTAGACTTGTATCAAGTCGATCAGGGCAAGCGGTGACTCTGTGGATGTGGAGATGACGATGAAGTAGAGGGTTGCATAGTTGCGGTAGGTCACGAGGGAGGGAACGTCGTTCTCCTCTTCCGACGATGAGTGTGAAGTGCCCGAGGCAGCGAGCAGCGGAGGCAGCGGGAGGAAGTTGCAGGATCCGGCCGGCCGATTTGAGACGAGGGTGAAGATCTCGGAAATCAGACGTTGCTGCATGCTCGTCTCCTGTGTAGAAACATTAGTTGGCGACGCCAGGTTCGCTCAGAGTGCTTGCTCATCCATACCAGCTGAGTATAGAACTTGGTCAGCCGAGGCTGACCCTGGCCGTTAAAGACCAGAAATGCGTTGATCATTGTGTTCTCTTTTGACGGAGCATCCCGACTTGGCGGTCGTTGATTCCGTCGAGTAGTTTCGCAGGTTGAGTTGTCCAGGTCCTTCGCAAGACGACCAGCTAATGTCCCGCCAGCCGCAAAACGCATACACACGCACTACCTTACGCTTCGCGGTGTTCTGGCTTTGGTGGGGTCAGTGCCCAGCCTTTTCCCGTAAGTGCGAATTAGCTGCCACTGGTCCGCCACTGCCACTGGAACCTTGAGATGCACGGCTCGCACCTGCACATGACTTTCTGATGTAATCATCCCTGCCGGGGCCGCTTCCTGGCCCAAGCTCGTCATCCCCTTGACCATAGATGGGAGCTCCTGCAGCTTCCGTCACACCTGCAGCAAACGTGGGGAAGCAACGGAGCTGCCTTTCACCTGCCGTCTTTTACGAAGCAAGCCACTTCTGCAATTCCCTGATCTACAACGGCCACTCGAACTCCTCTTCCAATCGACCACTCGACATCTTGATTCCTCCGCAACATCACAATCGAGTCCCTGTCCATCGCTCATCGACACCCAGAACTACCTACCATGGCTCGCAACAGCATCACAAAGCTCACCGGCGCGGCCACCCGCACCCTCCGTGCTTTCTCGCAAACCCGCCTGGCCGTCCCGCGCCGGTCTGCCCTGCTTCTCACTGCCTCAAAACCTTCAGTCTCCGCTGCTCCGGCTCGCAAGCTCTTCACGACATCGGCAGTCGCACATCGTGGCATCATGCCCGACACTGATGACCCTCAGGTCAAGGACACCCCCAAGGAAGAGGTGAAGATAAATGTCGTCGAGCTCTCAGATGCCGAGTATCATGAGTTATCCGAAAACTACCTCGATACCATTGTCACTCGGCTCGAGGAAATTGCCGATGCCCGTGAGGGAGTTGATGTCGAGTATGCTGTAAGTTGACATCCTGATCTGACTTTTCCGTTATTGTATCCACCGTCGCCCTTATGCGAAGCTCAGGGTTTGTCTAAGCAACGAAGCGCTGACTGTTGATGATACAGGCTGGAGTTCTGACCATTACCTTCCCGGATGCTGGTACCTACGTGATCAACAAGCAGCCCCCGAACAAGCAGATCTGGCTCTCATCACCCGTGTCTGGGCCTAAGCGCTACGACTGGGTTGTCGTCGGCGATTCGCAGAACGACAAGGAGGGCACTGCCTCTGGAGCCTGGATCTACACCCGCGATGGCAGCAGTCTGGACGAGGTTTTCCTCAAGGAGCTTGACATCGACTTCAGCATAGCTCCATCGACCTACGGCGAGAACCAGTCCTAGTACGGCAAATGCGGTTCCACTGGGAACGATGTTCACCAGATGTGAACTCATATAGGGGCAGAAGCCTTTTTGTTTCTCTTTGACATGGGCGTGTGCAACGCATCAAGCTCTTGAATGTATTCTAGATGACAACAAGGAGTTCGTAGGGTGGTTTTAGCTAGGGATTGGCAGCAAGCGCCCTCACTGAGAGGAGGCGATCCCGAAAGGTCGACATCTAGGCCTTTGTACACAAACCTGGTAAAGTAGGTGCTCAAACGCGCAATCCGGCCCAGGATCGCGGTGAGGCTATGAAGTGCTGTACTTGAAAGGGCGTCGAATGTGATGTGACAGTGCAATGTGCCAAAAGTTGCGTGAATGTTTGGATTGGATCTCGATCTATTTACGGTATAATCATGTTCCCGTTCAATTTCTCATCCATATGATTTGGTTGTAAAATGATAAAAACCGCTTCACTGCTGCCCTGTTCCAAACTACCATCTCACGTATTATAACACTATTCATCATACTCATGGGCAACAGTCTTTGCGGCGGGAGTCTTTCTCACAGAGTCCGACTCTTGGTAATAATGCGTAAGCGAAAGTACGGCTTAGCGAGGGTATCGTGGGTCTCATTCCAATTTCGTTCATCAGACTCGGCGAGGCGCCATCCATTTCGCCCTTCGTCCTCACCCGCCCCGGCAGCGTCGCGGCGTTGGTGTTACGCGGGCATCTCGTGCCGCTCAACGGGAGCGGGAAGTTCCACCGGCGGGCCTTCCCGTGTCTCGGGCATCTCGTGTACGGCTCTCGGTGCTGGCAGTTCGACGGTCTCCCCCGTGTTTTGGGCCATCATCATGGCGGCGTCGTCGGGCTTCTCCGGATCCTCCATGACGGTGTCGAGTGCTTCATCGCGAGCGGCCAGCTTTCGAGCTCTCCTCCTGTTCCAGAACCAGACGAGGGCGACGACGAAGAAGACGAGGCCGGAGGTGGCGCCCACGGTGATGCCGATAATCTGCCCCGGTGCGAGACCGGACTGCTGCAGAATGTTGTCGGGGAAGGGCGACGAGTCGGAGGTGGTGCCGCCCGTGGGCGTGGGCGTGAATGTGACGGTTCGTCCTCCTTCCGTCACCGTCACGGCGGTCGGGACCGTGAAGCCAGGGCCGAACCTGGATGTTGGGAATGGGAGCGACATGCTGGGCCGCACAAAGGTTAGGGATGGGAATGGCTGCGCCAGCTTGGAGAAGCTGGTGTGGGTTGTTTTTTGTTTAAAAAGTGGGAAGACGGAGGAGGATTCATCAGAAAAGGAAAAAGATGCAAAATTAGAAAGCTACGCTTTGCGAAACTTTTGCCCCCATTTCCTTTTTTTTTCCATTCATTCATTCCCTCTTCTTCTTGGTTTTTTTCGTCGCCTTCAAGCCCTCGGTGTCATGGGCGCGGGAGGCGCAGACCTTTTTGATAAAGTCCCCATGTCAAGTCCGACGGCCATGGCGTAATTTCTGGGCGTTTTGGCGCCCCGGGTTTTGGAATGGGGTAGGACATGCATATGCAGGAGCGAGCGAGTGAGAGGGAGAGTGAGAGTGAGATGAGGTACTGTGCGGTAAGGTGAGAGGTGACTTGAGGTGAGGTGAGGTACGCGAGGTGGTGTGGTTGAGCGCTGCACCGACTCCCGGGCGTTCTGGCCGCCAGGTGAGACGGAGGGGGGAGAGGACCACACGTCAGATCGCGAGGCCGTGTGTTTTTTTCCGTCACCTTTAGCTTCCTTCCCCCTTCCCTTCCCCTTCCGCCCCCAAAACATTTAAAAACCTCTGAGCCCCTCCCCCAGACCCGAGTATCCGACGTACCGCATCCCCGGCGTGTGGACGAATTGGCGCAGTTTCTGGGCGGTTTGGCCAAGGCAGCGCTGCGCTCTTTTCTTGTCTCTTGGGCGACTGCGGCGGGTTCGCTCCTGTCGATGAACGTCGGTGGCGGGCGGGTGTTGGGAAAAATGTTTCGGACTTTGACGTCCGGGTTTGCTTAGTACGGCGGGGCGGGCGGCGGCGCAAAGCCCGAAGTTGAGATGGGGAGGTCTTGCGCTCCCTTACCCGCGCACACCCGCATCCACAGACCATTTCGTTCCATGTCCATGTTTTGAAGTGTTGTTAGTTATTGCAGTTCGTCCGGATATTCAGATGCTGGCTGCGCTTTCTGTCGCCCGCCACCGGCAGGAACAAGCGGGGATGGATGACTACAGACGTGCAGTTCTTAAAACCGATCTATTTCTTCCTTCTGATGCAGGACAGAAAGAGAGAGAGAGAGAGAGAAGGCTCCCTGCGCAAAGGGTTGATGTCATTGTGGCAGTCGCAGGAGCGGAGAGGTGGGCCGCGAACCTTGACCGGCTTTTTCTTTCCGTTTTCTTTCTCATCAAACTTTCAGCCCGCATGCTCCTCGAGCGCCGCCAGAGGGAAGGCGAGCCACTCTGACCAGTAATCGCCCAGGTGCGCCGAAATGGAGCGGATGATCCACTGACCGGCATCGCCAAAGACCCAGTAACTGCGGCACCAGTGGAGCAGGACGGCGTAGAAGGCGAGGATGACGAGGGCCTCTGGCCGGCGCTGCTTGACGACGTCGATGAAGCCGGTGGTGACGCAGACGCCAAAGGACATGACGGACGCGGACTGGTGTCTGCTGTGGACGGCGATGCTGCGGAAGATGACATAGGACTGGCGGAGACTCTCCGCGGCGTCGCGGCAGGCCTGGAGGGAGGCCGGGCCGAGGTCGGCCTGGTCGAGCATGGCGTGGAGGACGTCGACCTCGCTGGGCTGCTCGCGGGAGGGTTTGTTGGCCTCGAGGAACTCGATAAAGGGCTTGCAGCCGGACTCGCGGATGATGTGCCAGGAGCGGGCGGTGACGGTGCTGACGCCGCGGTGGAGGCGGAGGTACCAGGCAAACTGGTCGAGGAAGCCGTTCAAGTCGGCGCGGTAGCGGCGGAGGATGTCGCAGAGGACCGAGGCGCCGAGGGTGGAGGCGAAGAGGAACATGGGGATGCAGGTGTCGTCGTCAATGTCTTCCTTTGCGTCGTTGAAGAGGGCGAGGGCGCGGGTCTGGAGCTGGGTGGCCTGGTGGTTGTACACGGCGGCGCGGGCGGGGTTGAGCTCGGCCAGGTGCTGGGCGGCGAAGCCGAGGAGGACGTCCATGAGGTACGGGGCGTTGAGGGCGGCGGCGAGGTTCATGTCGACGATGGGTTTGATGAATTGTTCGGCCGGCATGAAGGTGTTGGAGCTGGTCTCGAGGTGGTGGAGGAGGCGCATATGTTCGAGGGTGAAGAACTGGCCATTGGGGGGGCTGGCGATGTTGTGGTCGTTGTCGTCGTCGGTGCGCATGACAAAGTCGTTGACGACGGCGGTGACGGAGGGGGAGGTGGCGGCGGTCGTGGTGGCGGCGCTGTTGCCGTTGCTGCCGGAGCTGGCCGGGCTGTGACCGGAGGAAGGGACGAGGGCTCGCTTGGCGACCGGACCCGTGCCGCCGGCGCCGGCGCCGGCTTTTGAGCGGGCCGATGCCGGGAGGGAGTCGAGGTAGGAGCAGTGACGCTCGGCCGTCGCGCAGTTGACGCAGCCCGGTCGTGTCTCGTCGCACTTTACATGGCGGCGTTTGCATTCTTTGCATCCGTTGCGTGATTTCCTGTGTGCCCGACGAAGTTTGACATCTACTGCTGCTGATGTTCCTCCTCCTGCCGTGCTGGTGTCGCCGTTTGACGAGCCGGTGCCGGGGGTAGGAAAGTTGTGTGAGAGGTCCATGCTTTTCCAGGTAGAGAGTTTGATTTGTCCAAGGAAAGGGATGGGGAGGGGATGGGAGGGGAAGGCAGGGGGGTGTGGCTCAAGGTGATGGATGTGTCATTGAGGTTTCTCGACGATCGGCCGAGTGAAATTCACGCGTAGTGTGTGGGGCGGATGAGGAGAGTTTGATTCTTTTCATGAAGCTGGAAAATGAGAGACATGGACGATTTTGAGGGATGCGAACCCGAGGAAGCTCAGCCTTTTTTTGGTGGGGAGTGGTCCAAGGTGACTATCCGTACAGCGGCACAGCAGGTCCACGGCAGCACTGGTTGGCGTATATACGGGGGGGCGGAGAGGGGTTGCTCGCCTGCTACAGGAGCTAAGGAACCGGTAATGTACCGAAACCTGACCAAAAGGCCCTCTAGGGTGGTAGATGGATGCTGCGCCAGCAAGGTCCACGCGGCTGTTCCCCTACCCCCCCTCCAAGGTACGATACTCTTACTAGGTAAGGGACTCAGCTGCTTCGAAATGCCCCGGGGTGGATTACTAGCCACTCTGTAATTTATTCAATCCTGACCCGGTCGAATGCGCCGAGAAGAAACAACATTTGGTGCCTATAACCTACCTAGAGTGGTAACGAACATGAACACGAAATAGTAAAAAATCAAGAAATAATTATACTCAAAATCCCGGCCAACAGAACAACGATTTTCCCATTCGTCATTCCAGTGCCCCCGCTACCCACCTTTCCGCGGCTGTACCTATCGCTATTACTACTAGGTACATACGGACATCTCGGTGCTATCTCCGCTGACTCCAGACGCCCGAATCGCCTAACGCCTCCGGACGATCATGACATGGATCATTGCCCTCCAAACTCTGCCAACTCTGTCTTCCAATCATACAATGCGAAGCTTCCATGAAGAATTTTTCCACAACGATAACACAAACTAACGAGAACCAAAAAAAAGGCCTCTCATCGCATCGTCTTGCGCATCGAGCCGCGCTGCCGCTCCTTGCTCTCCACCGCCAAGTCGTAATTCTCCACGTCCGAAGCCGACTGCGAGCCGCCCTTGCGAATCTGGAACGCAGCCGGGAACCGGAAGCCAAAGGCCACCATGACGAAGAACATGAGCGTGGCGTCAAACACGTAGAGCGTCCACTCGTGACGGAGCGGGTACCCGTCGCCGCCAAGGACGTACTCGATGAGACGGAAGACGGACCGCACCATGATGCACGCGCTAACGAAATAGAGCATCCACAGGCCCGACCTCCACGGCGAGGCGCCCGCCAGGGACGCCTGCGTGGGGTTCTTTGCGAGACGCGCGTGGAAGACGACGGCGGTGACCCAAAAGAGGGCAAAGAGGAGGATCTGGATGACGAGACCGGCGACGATGAGGGTCTGGCCCATCTTTTGGCTGCCGTCCTTGACCATGAGCCCGCCGCCGGAGGCCTGCACGAGGAAGGAGAAGCAGTCGCCCGCGACAAAGATGCGCGTGAGCCAGTTGATGCGAATCACGGACAGGGGCTCGCCGTGGACGCTGCGGATGATGCGGCCGAGGGTCATGTAGACGGAGGCGGCGAAGAGGGCGGGCGCGATGAGGATCGTGAGGGACTGCATCACGTAGGGGCCGATGTCGCCGGTGCGATCGCGCGCGATGGCTCTGCCTGCATATCCGACGATTTCGACTAGGGAAGACATCGACTGTCAGTCAATGATCTCGAAATCACAGAGGGAAGCGAACGAGTTTGGGGATGGGGATCATGGAGACGAGGTCGGGATGGCGGCGAGCACTTACGTATACCGCCTATGACGAAGACGATGCAGAACCACGTCCTTGTCCTGGCAATCTTGTACGCGTGGAAGAGCGTGGCGAGGACGAAGAGGACTTCAAAGATGATGGCTGCCACCGAGCTGGGCACGTAGTGCCAGAGGTAGTACCCGTTGTGTGACTCAAGCGTAGGCATCTTGTGTAGTCTGTAGGTTTCGCAGGATTACCGATTCTCAATGGCCACTTTTGTCCTTCAATCTTGTGATGATATCGAGTAGCTATGCTTGTGAGAGGATTGGATCGCGAGATTGGACTTGCTTCTGATGCCGGTGGCCTTTAGGAAAAGACGGATGGATTGATGTTGGAAATTCGTTCTGGGATCGCGTTGGTGATTTGGCGTTGTTGGAGCTGAATCTGTTGCCAAGGTCCAAGAGGGTGTCTCGTAGCTGTAGCCATCTTTATATCCTTGGGACTCTGAGGGCTACCTGCTGCGGCCAGCTCATCGTATACGTGAACTCGAAAATTGCTCTTTGACGGCATCTCCATACGCGTTTGTCCTGGGATAACACCTCAGGCAAAGGTCTAGATGAACCGTGTCTGATCTGGCTGTCGTTGTGCCAAACCACAGCCCCGCTGAGCTTCCCCATAAGGATGTATACGCGGAAATATCGCGATTTGATTGGCTTCTTTGGCTCTACCCCAGCTAGCCCTCCAGGTGGATACTGCCGGATCGCTCCTCGGGTCAGCCAACCATGTCTCGTCCTATACGCGTACAGAGGCTTGGGGTGGGGAATTGTGTACAAAATCACAGTGGCTAAGGCATGTTAACCTCGCTATCCCCCAATCATGAATCTTTTCTACGGACATGCATGCTACCTACCCATCTTCCCTCCCGTCTAATCTGCTGCAGGGATAATGCCACACTTGTTAAGGGGATATCTCCATCCGCAAGCTTACGTACCCTCCCATCAAGCTACCGTTACGTGTATTCCCCCAACATAGTTGTCCCCAAATACGAAGCAGGTCTCCTTGTGGTTTGAGACGCCGCTCTATATCGTCACCTTTGGGGCTTAGCCGGAGCCCGCACGCTCCTTCGGGTTGACCGGTGTCTCGGTTTCGGTTTGCCTTGGTCTGCAGGGACCTTTGTTCCCGCGCGGGCGGAACAGAACAGTCTTCGCGGCGGACAAGGCAGGCTGGACGAACCTTGAGGTTGAGATTAACCTCGCGTTGGTAAACTTTGTTAACTGATATAGAAAAGGGATGGGTAAAACGTGGTTGGAGATATTCGAGTGGGTTGACTACCAAGTACGCGTGCTGTTCGAATTTCCACACCAAATACCAGTAACACCACGGCTGACATGGCGGACGTATGTGTATTATGTTGGTCCCCTAGGTCTATAGCTTATATAAGTGCCTAATTGCCCTGCCTCCCGTGTGGCTTTGACGAGGCATGCAGGCCTTGCCTGAAGGCGTAGAGACAAAATTTGGTGCTGAGTTCCTGCCTTGCATCGACATGGAGACCAGTCTGATATTTTGATTATAATACTCTTCGAGATGATTTCGGACGTGAGGCCCGCAGTGGGCCTAGAACTGTTGGCCGCAGTTTATTCCTATGTTTTTTTTTTGTAGACTTGGATGAAGCGTTCTCTGTACCTGACTGCCTTCTTTTCCCAACTGACTGCTCGAAACTGGTAGGTTTCTGACGGCCTTTTTAATATACATATTCGGGGATGGGTCCCGGAGTACCAAGATCCAGATACATCATACGTGGAACCCGGGTACTAATAGTGCCGTAGCACATCAGAATCTTTACTCACGTTGTATAAACTCCCTATATTTAGCAGCTTGAGCCAGCCCAGGAGACTGGGATTACAATAACGTTCTTGGTCGTACGTTGTGTGACTTTATAAGGCTGGGTCACGAACCCCATGCCAGCGTCAGACTCCAGTTGCTTACTAGAAATCGCCTAAGACCATTCACCCATTGTTTACTAAGGTGGATTCATTTGCTCAAACAAAAGTTTGCTATATATATGCAACATGAAGACATCGCCATACCGCCGATAAGAGACTAGGGGCAACAAGGCCCGAGCTTACAGAGATACTTCCAGTCGGCAAGTCGGTTATGCCACCTCGCCACCTTTTATTCACTTATCCGAGCCCGACGTCACTGCACATGTGCAGCAGATCACCCCGCCACGCAGCAGGGATGTTGCGAGAAGAAGGCAAAACGAAAAAAAAAGCAATAAGCGAATGATGTCAGTGATGGACTGTGGCTGCTGCCCAACGTTCTCGACTTCCTCGATTTCTCAATTTCTCGATATCGAATATCCCAAAACCTTGCCATAGTCCGCAAGCCAAACCCTACCCAGAACGGTCAGACCTGCACGACTCGCTACCAGAGCCAGGGCAGTAATCGACTCCATCCTACCTTGTTCATCGAGAGCGTTCCCGACCGTACGGCACAGCACAAAGGAACTCTCCACACTCTTCATGCCATCTCGGCACTCCGAGCTCCCATCGACATTGTTCCATTCTTGCACGGCCACCACCGCCGCCGCCACATCACATAATGTCTTCCCCGCCAACACCACCCGCGGCGAAGCAGGCAGAGGAGCAGAAGCAGACGCACAAGGACAAAGTCCTCGCGCAGGCGACCGCGAAGCTCCAAGAGGCACAAAAAGAGACGGAAGCCGCGCAGGCGCTTCGCGAGCGGGCCGAGGCGACCGAGGACCCGGAGGAGAAGAAGAAGACGTTGGCCGAGGCCGCGGAGCACGAGAAAAAGGCACAGGGCTCGGCGAAGCAGTCGAAGCGGCTGCAGAGCGGCGTGTGGCAGGGCGGCATCGGCGGCGCGGGCATCGGGGCCGGGCTCGGGACCGGATTGGGCGCCGGCGTCGGCACGTTGGTGGGGGCCGTTGTCGGCGGCGTCACGGCGATCCCTACAACGGGGCTGGGGCTTTTGGTCGGTGCCGGGACCGGTGCGATTCATGGCCCTTGGTACAAGTTGGAGCAGGAGAAGAAGGAGGCTGAGGAGGCAGAGGCCGCTGGGGATGGAGAAGAGGATGGAGAAGGCGCCGAGAAGGACGTCAAAGCCGGTTGAGAGCGCGTCTGCATATCTGCTTTTGTGTTTTTTTGTTTCTGCTTGGCGAGGATACCATCTGATGAGGGCTGTATGATACACGGGTGCCAGCTTTTGCTTTTGGGATGCGACGGAGGATTGTGGTTTACGACCGAAAACGACCATTGCATGTTTGTAGCCTTGCTTTTTCTTTCCCTTTCCTCTTGGCCTTTCTCCTTTTTATTATACCTAGCATAGCAACAACAGTTTGGGTTTTTCTTTGGGTTTTGGGTAAGAAAAAGAGCGTTAGGAAAATACGAGTTATACGGGTGGCCTTTTGGGAACGATTCTAAAGATTCCTATGTCAAATGCCATTATTTACCACCAGGTTTGTCGCACTTGTGTAGATGCTGACTACGTGGTGGCTTTCGAGGGGCTTGATGGCTCCGTTCAAACTATTTCACCTGTATTAGCTCATATTCTTCATCAGGATGACTTTTCAAAAGTCAGATTTAGAACCTGGAGCAATGCTGATGTAGTATTTCATGATCAGATAGGACAAATAGGCTCGCTTAGCTGCTAAAGAACATTTGTAGTACATTTTTATTAACAGGTTCAAAACAGTTTCTCAGGGTAACACAGATCCTTCCAGAAGTGTATACCTTTAGCTTACATCGTTTTAACTTTATCATGTGGAAGAGAAAGCTATCACGCTCTTTTCCATGGACTGTCCTCTATCAGCTATTTTCACATCTTGAAGCCATACCAGAAAGAACATGACAGGAATGAATGCTTCTTTTATAAGTCTTCTAGTGTTCATCTGAAGCCAAGGTGTGCTTGGCACGAAATTCGGTCAGCGGCCGTCGGGCAACTGAGTCCTCGGGGTATACCATGTTCGTTCCAAGCATCGAGATTCCAAATCGTCTCATGATATTTCCTAGTTTAAACCATGAATAATACAAGCAATTTCAGTGTGAAACTGGATGAGAACACCGTAGGTAACATGCACCTATTTTCAAAGCTGGAGGATCTCGCCTCTTCCCAGTTGTAGAGAAAGCCGGAGCTAAGGAAAAGCATTTAAACGGATTCAAGGCTAGACCGCATGACAAACTGACATGCGCCACGCTCAATAGTCACCATCTAGATTGGGATCGGGAATGAAGTTTAAAATTAGGCGCAGTCAGCGTTCATCTCAGCATCGGGGGCGGAGTCTTTGGCAGCCAGCTCAGCCACCGACCAACCAACTAGCCTCCGCGACGAACCGCACGCGCCTCGATCAGACGCCAGTTCCGCCGTCAGCATGCTCTTTGTTTCCCAGCTGCGCGGCAACGGACCACTCATGTCGCGGCTCTCGTTTCCTGATCGGAATTCTAGCGCCAACAAGGATCCAGTGCCAGCCCGGGTCATCACCATCCCGGCTTGCGGACTGGGCGATGAATGATGGACAAGGAAACTTCTTCCACGGCTCTCTCGCTGTTTCAGCGGAGCTGATAGTGAGCTCCCAGTAGGAGCAAGTGGATCACGTTGTAGGAAAGGATGATTCCGCAGGGCTGTACAACAACACCGTCAGCTGGGCGCGATGACCAAAGCAACGGCATCACACGATAATAGAAGTTGTATATAACAAGAAGGACTTTTCACCCATCTGACAGTGTTTTTTTATTCTTTCCCCATCATACAGTCACTCAATTCATCAAGCCAATCTTCCAGCTTTTCCCTTTTTTTCTTCTTCCTATCTCTTTCCTATTTCCTTACTTCCTAGATTCATCTCTCTGTGTGTGCTTTTAAGAACTTTCTCAAAATAACACTTATAAAACACCAAACCAGTCAAGATGTTCTCCATCAAGACCATCTCCACCGTTCTCCTGGCCGCCGTCGCCACCACCGTCTCGGCCGCGCCCACCAGCACGACCGGCACCAAGACCCCGTCCCGCACAACCAACCTCACGGGCGTTACCCACTCCGTCGTTGCCGGCCTCGGCGGCCTCCGCTTCGACCCGGACAATGTCGTCGCCGAAGTGGGCGACGTGGTCGAGTGGCACTACCTGCCCCGCAACCACTCCGTCGCCGAGTCCAACTTTGGCAACCCGTGCAACCCCCTCGCCGACGGCACCTCCTTCTTCTCCGGCTTCAACTTCTTTACCCCCGAGGGCCAGGCCGACAACGTCTTCCAAATCGTCGTCGAGGACAATAAGCCCATCTGGTACTACTGCGCCCAGAACGCCGGACAGCACTGCAAGAACGGCATGGTGGGCGTCATCAACCAGAACTTTGACAGCCCCGACTTCACTCTCGCCAAGCACAAGGCGTTGGCTGCGCAAAAGGGCGACGCCGTCATCCCCGCTGTCCAGCAGGGTGGCTCTGTCATTCCCAATCCCAACCCCCTTGGAGGCTTCAAGCTCTAAGCGCTGGCTGGATCCTGCTTCTGTGGATAGCACTGGGCTGTCGTGGTGGTGTTTGCATCATAGCGGTTGGGGTTTTTGAATGGGAACTGCATTGGGCGGCGTTTGACTTTGGGAAACTCTTTTACTCTATGTAACCCTCACTCTTTAGCTTAGCTTCTTTGCATGAAAATGCATGACACTCATTCAATTTTATAGCGACTTACATTGTCGCGCATTGACGGTGGTTAAAGAACGTTGCGACTTAGTATGACCTGAATGTGGCATATTGTACGACTTGTAGCGGACGAGTCGTGTGTTAGTTTACTTATTTGACGACTCGTGAATTACATTGATGTTCTAACAGTAATTTTTCTAGCTACCACTTTCAAAACGCTACTAGCAGTATAACTTACACCTCATCATGAAAACCAAAGGCGTGGGCAGATGGATTTAGGACACGATGAAGCACGGAATAAGCTTGACCACTTGACTACCTCGCTACGACTAATTACTACTTCGGGACCAAACTACATCGGGACCAAAGGGATGATCGAGGTTGGACTAGCGAGGTCGCATTTCGTCCAAGTTTTAATTTATTCCTCCCGACTTGAGTGACATGTCCTGTTCGGTTCAAGCCACGCTGCTTGCCTGCATCAATTGCTGCTCTGGATTGTGGGTTTGAGGCATGCTCAGCACTGAAAATAACTCGTCCGAGGCAACGATGTGGGATGTCGCGGATATAGTCGCACACTTCATGTTGGTAAGAGAGAGTCGGATATCGGCCGGATCCCGATGCAGCTAGCGGAAGACGTGATCAGTGGCCGAGATAGAGGAATCATACCCCTGCAAGAAAACCTTACTGAGGCCAAATCTAAATAAAGTAGCGGCCAAACCCAGCCGACCAAAGGTGCTTGACTTTGATTCTTGTTCTCATCATAGCATCAACTTCAAGGTCGTCGAGGAGGAATCACTCGACACAACTCCCACAATCAACGAAATCATTGCGCTGTTCGTAACCCCAGGTAACCCCTACAATCATGATGCAAACCAGATCTGACCCTGAACAGGTTGAATGTAGAGGCGACGACGCCCGCCACAACGATGGCAGCGAGCACACCGTCGCGGGCTGGCTCACCGTGGCCGGGTCGTTCCTTGTCTACTTCGTGTCCTTTGGGTACATGAACAGCTTTGGGTTCTTTCAAGACTACTACCTCGAGCATAGCCTGGCCGGGTACCCGACCTCCGTCATCGCGATCATAGGGTCCCTCCAGCTCGGCCTCATGAACCTGATTCAGCCCATCGCTGGTGGCCTCGCCGACTCGTACAGCCCGAGCATCCTCTACGCTGTCGCGGCCGTCGGGGCGATTGTCTCGAGCATCGGCGTCTCGTTTGCCCAGCCGGGCCAGATTTGGCAGTTCATCCTTGCTCAGGTACGTGGCCTGGATCCGCGTCCAACCTCTCGACTTTGTGGAAACTAACGTCCAACGGCAGGGCGTCATCTTCGGATCGACCGCCGTATTCGGCACGGCGGTCTCCTTACCCCTCGCAAGCCAACATTTCACAAGGCGACGCGCATTGGCCATTGGCATTGTCGCCAGCGGGAGCAGCGCTGGAGGCGTCTGTCTTCCCATCATGTTCTCTCGCCTCGTGCCGCAAATCGGCTTTGGCTGGTCTCTGCGGATCGCCGCGCTGGTTGCTCTAGTTTGTTATGGCATCGCCATACTCATTTCGCGGCCCAAGCTGCCCCGAAAGCCCGTCAAGTCCATCTGGTCGATTGCGGACTTCAATGGCTTTCGCGACCCCCGATATTCCACGTTGGCGCTTGCTAATGTGGTTGGCAATTTTGGCCTCTATGTGCCTTTCTACTACCTAGGTTCGTTGACATCGCACTTCCAATACGCATGACTCCCGACTTGTGAATCGGACTCGAATCGTACATGTAGTTGTGTCGTTTTCATGCCTTGCATCGCAGCTCTCCCAGCATTCACAAAGAGGTATGCGTAACATGTACAACTACGGAAGCTAACCTGTTCGTCAGAGCCGTACATCGCGGTTCACCACCCAGGAGCCGCGGTGAGGAACTACCTTCTCCCGCTTATCAACGGATCAAGTTTCTTCGGTCGAGTGATGTAGGTTCCCGGGTATTCCAAAGCATCACGAGTGCAATACTTACGCGACACAGTGGCGGATACGTTGCTGATCACACTGGTGGATTGAACCTCCGCTATCCATTGACGGCAATTTCGGGCATACTCTGCCTCACCTTGTGGCTCTTATCCACAAGCGTCAGCATGATCATAGCTTTCGCCTGCTTATACGGTATGTCCGTCCCATTGTTCACTGTCACACAGACCACGTATGCAGGAATTGAAGTCGGCTAATCACCACGTAGGCTTCTGCTCGGGTATTTTCATCAGCGTCACGCCGTCCGTAACCGTCAGACTGTCGCCAAAAGACAAGATTGGGGCCCGGCTGGGTGCTTTTTCTATCTGGAGTGCAATCGGAGTCTTTACCGGCACGCCCATTGGCGGGGCCTTCGTCCGGCGAGGCACGCCAGAAGAGTATCAGCACCTGATCATTTTCACGGGTATGTGCCTGACTGCTTCTGCTGTTTTGCAGTTTGTAGCTCGCGTCCTCTGCGATAGAGATCTGCGCAAGAAGTGGTAGAACACCGGTAGTATCACGAGGCGCACTGGCCAGGCATCATGAGGTTGGCTTCTCTGGTAGACAAGTATCCGAGGATAGGGTCTGGTCTCTCAGTCGAAGATCAGGGGGGATTTAGGAAGGAGTGGAGTGACAACGTAGCTTGGGAAGGATATACTACAGGCAATGGAGATGGTACTTGAGAGGCGGTGTAGTTGAGAGAAGGTGGCAGGGGCTGTAATTCTAAATACTTGCATCGCCATGTATCAGTCCTTTGTTTTCGCTTGGAGTCTTATGTTACGGAGATGGCATCCGCTCGACGCGGCGAGACGGACGCGATTATCCGATCCAAGTAGAAATTCGAAGCATTCTGTATAAAGAGAGACGTTGTGCATCCGAATAACCCACGATATTTACAACTCCTGGTCCTCAGTCCGGTGGATAGTAGAAAGAATCCCTGGCCGACGTTACCTCGGAGATGGAGACTCACGACAGGCAGTCCCGCAACCTCATGGCTTTCTAGTGTTTAGTCGTTCACAACCCCACACACCTGATGAGCGATAGATTTGACTCTTTATCATCGCTACATATGAATTATTCGAATTCTACCAGAGAATGAGGTAGCCTTAAATATTTCCGTTGTGAAACCTGCGGGGTAATGACCGGACCAAATTAATTCGTTACCGCAAGGGCTCTGCGTTAGGGAAAACAGACAGTAAGTTTGGCAAGCTTTGATCATTTTATTAGCCGTGACGATCTTATCATAAGTGGAATCATATCGCCCTGTACGAAGGGTCGGTTATAGATAGCTGATCGTCCACTATTGATAGCAACCCGCACAACTCGTAAGTGCATTCTGAATTGAACTCTTATTCCGATTACAAACTGCGACTGGGAGAACGAAACCTGCACTGTCATCGACAGCGAGGACTTTGACCTGGCGGCAGATTCGGCAGATTCGGCGTGTGGGTCTCGGGAGAATGCCAGCATGTTCCCTGGGTAGTCGACACAAATCGTCCCGCTGCAGTGCGGCTAGTTTCCGGCTGCCACACGAGTTGTGGATAAAAGCAACAAGCCTTTCCCTCCATCAAAGTAGCCTTCGGCGAACGCTCATATTTCTGCTCCGATTTGATGGGTCATTCCACTTTTTAGACAAAGCAGAATGAGGCCGAACCAAATAGTGAGGTGGCATACGTACCGTCTCCATTCTCCCATCACTCAGGGGAAATACAACGTCTTGTCATATCTGACGTGTTGGAACCAAAGGCATCAAGCGGTTAAAAAGAGTTGTGGGACATAACTTCATTAGCCTCCGGGTGATATTTCGGGGGATATTTGTTCTGCGTGGCCGTCGCGAATGGAGAATAATCGTTGGCCACCCGTCACATCGGCGACACTTTTGCGCTGCACCAGACCCAACTTCTCTCCAAGCAATCTGAGCGGACGTAGGCTAGAGGGACATGGAAACATTTAGAGAAACAAGTGTTGTAGCAACAACGACGGATCGGCTAGTAGTACGCGCTCGGATTGACTCCGACAACGTTTAACTCATCAATGGGCCAAGAAACAAGTCGAAAGTTCAGCTTGGAGCGAGCTTACCAAGTCATCGGAAAGAAGAAACAGGAAGTCATGAGGGGGTTGATGGGGTAGTGGTTTCGTCAGCTAATGAGCTTGGGCAGAATGAGGTTAATTCACGCGAGATGAAAGCACCTTTGGAAAAGTAAGTTATATTGCAGTTATGTGTAATAAGAAAACTAGATAGAACCGGGCCACTGCGTTCTCTCGGGCCGTGAGACTTTCTGATTATGGAGCTGACTTGCAGGCAGTAAAATGAATGGGTTAAACTCTGATTAGATGATTCGCAGCGCACGAGACACGTGTTGTAAGGTTTCCGACTATGATTAAGAATATTCTGCTGCCACGAGAAGAAACGCCAGTACCAAAAGATATGAAGTGGAAAGTTTATCAAGTTGTAAAAGCAGAAACCTGGGGAAGTTTTGGTTTTCCGTCGCGCAAAAACACACCTGGGCCACCCCGATCTATATCAATTGACGAAAGGCTTGCGTCAACCTTCCTTGCGGCTCATCTCCCAAACACCACTCCACAGCTTAGGAGGCATACTATATTCGAGACAAGCTTATTTGAGTAGCTCTTCCGGGACCAATCTCTAGGAGTGCGAATTCGAGATAACACCATAATTTCTGCCCCAGAAAAAGGAACATCTTCGGGTACCCGGCGATGGCAACCCTTGCCGGAGTTTGTTCTAGGCCAAGCTGGATTGCTGGAAGGTCCAGTTCCATCTTATGTTTGACTCACTCGGCCTGCTCGGCCTGTTGTCGCCCTTGTTCTCGATATGTCACGGTGAATACAAGCTTTGATTGACGTGCTGTCTTGGCACAGCCCTGCTCGAAATGCCTCCATTTGGGATATAAGCCAAACATTTCCCACTAGACGACTTTAAAATATCTGTATTATCCTTCGAACTGCCATCAGCAGATCTTCTACTTTGACTACCACTATCATTTGGGCTTTGGCTCGTCCGTTCTTTTTTCGTTTACTCCCTCACCCTGTACTTATCGCCTGAGGGCACTAAAAAAAAAAAAAACTTGTCTGCTTTCAACATGCTTTCTATTCTTGCCCTCGCTGGCCTGGCTGCCACCGCTCTGGCTGCGCCTGCTAGCCAGTCTGGCTGCACTTTCACTGACGCCAACGCCGCCATAAAGGGCAAGGCTAGCTGCTCGAACATTGTCTTGCAGAATATCAGCGTCCCTGCTGGAGTCACTCTTGACTTGACTGACCTCAACTCGGGCACCAACGTACGTCGATGCCCCAACCCTCCCCTCTCTCGTGGTCAATAGGCCAGTGTCCACACAGTAGGGTTTACTTACCAAACCAACAGGTCACCTTCCAAGGCAAGACTTCCTTCGGATACAAGGAGTGGCTTGGTCCCCTGATTGCCGTTTCGGGTTCCAATATCAACGTCGTCGGCGCCCCTGGCAACTTGATTGACTGCGGAGGCCAGCGTTGGTGGGATGGCAAGGGCGGCAACGGCGGCAAGATCAAGCCCAAGTTCTTCGCTGCCCACGATCTGCAAGACTCCAACATTCGAAATCTCAATGTGCTCAACACTCCGGTTCAGGCCTTTTCCATCAACACCTGCACGAACCTTGGCATCTACAACATCATCATCGACGACTCGGCCGGCGACAACGGACCTAATGGCGCCCACAACACTGACGGCTTCGACGTTGGTTCTTCGAACGGAGTTCACATATCTGGCTGCATTGTGAAGAACCAGGACGACTGCCTCGCCATTAACTCCGGCACCAACATCACTTTCACCAACGGCACTTGTATAGGTGGCCATGGCCTCTCCGTTGGATCCGTTGGTGATCGCAAAAACAACGTTGTTGAGACCATTCGCATCATCAACTCGGTGATTACCGAGTCTGTAAACGGCATTAGAATCAAGACCATCGCCGGTGCTATCGGTTCTGTTACGGATGTCTTATACTCCGGCATCACCATGTCTGGCATCAGCTGTTTCGGCATCATCGTTCAGCAGGACTATAAGAACGGAGTCCCGACCGGAAAGCCCACCAGCGGCGTTCCCATTACCAATCTTAACATCACCGGGATCACCGGCAACGTCAAGCCTTCTGGAACAAACATCCAGATTCTGTGTGGATCGAAGGGTTGCAGGAACTGGAATTTGAATGCCATTAATCTGTCGGGTGGTCAGCAGTCCGCCAAGCCTATCAATGCCCCGCCGGGCGCGCTGCAGAGCATGAACTCTTGATCGGCTGCTGACACCATTATTGACGGCATCAATTGAGTTGGGTCCATTTCTGTGCATGTTGGACCGGGCTCTGGCTACCGATCTCGATATGGCTCATGAACTTGCCACAGAGTGGTGTCTCACGGCCAGCGGACTACAAATCTTCTTTTTTATGGTCCTATTCAAACATGTTGTTTTTCGTATCATGTTGCTGGCCACGACTTCTACAACAAACCTTCAACCGAATGAAGAACTTTTTCATCTCACATGAACTATCTCCTGCCACCGTTCCAACCCCTCAATAGTCTCCATTCTCTCTGGGCCTGTAGGTCTACGCATCATGTAAAATGATGATGTCGACATCCTAGTTGCATAAACTACTCAGCCTTGCTGAACGAATCGATATAAAACCTACTAGGGGAGGAATTTTAGCCTAGAGTTCTGTCTAGATTTGCTTTTTGTAGGAAGAGTGTGCTGATTAGCTCCCTTAGCTTTTCTGGCTCTTGGGAAGATCAGATCATGGCTGGGCTGCGTCTTTGGGAGTTCGCTCTCATGAAAATGGCATCAACCCGATAGGCGGTAGACTCACCCGCTGCGATCAGTTATCGAAAGGATAGGATCAAAGGCAGGCCAACCAAGTGCATTGCAGTCTTTCAAACAAGGAGTTTTGCTTGGAATAGGGACAAGAGCAAGAGCCCGCTGACTTGCTATCGATCAAGTCATGCAAAGTTACTACAATGCCGAAACTCGCAACCTTTCAGTAGGCCCCCTTTCTCTCCACCCACTTCGGCTGCGGTGCCGGCGTCACATTTCCAAAGCCGGTCGCACTAACCATGCCAACCTCCCACTTGAGTCCCTCAACCTTGGCGCCACCCTTCTCCATGGCCCAAAGTGTGATGCCGAGGTGGTTAGATCCCTGGTAGTTCAGAATACCCTCAGGAATCGGGAAGCGAGCCTGCGGGCCGATATGGTGAACAAATTTGCCAAACTGGTAGCCGTTGACAAAGATCTGAGCCCGGTAGGCGGAGACCGTGGTGTTGGCGAACGTTAGAGATAGCGGTACATCGAACCCTACGGGAAGGTCGAGATCAAAGGTCGCGGAGTAGTAGGCGATACCGGCCTTTTTGATTCCTGCTGCGGGACCCGTGCTGTCCTCCCAGGAGGCCGATGGAGGTTCGGGCCAGTGATAGCCCTGCCGCTCAATGAACAGGCCACCTTCGTTGAGAGGGCCGCGCACTCTGTCGGCGTAGTCTTCGCCGCCCAAGTTGCCAGTAATCTTCCACTTGATGTCAGATTGCTCATGGCCCGCTAGGTTGTAGTTGAGGATGCCTCGTGGATTCTTCTGCTGCTCCTCGCCAACGACCCAGTTGCCGTTTAAACCCATGTGGTCAACCACGACCGTGAAAACGTAATCTTTGTCCTTTGTCAACTTGGGCAGGGTGAACGTGCTATTATACGCGGGCGAGACGGCATTTCCGACCCAAGAGCCGATGAACTCGTCGTCCAGCCACACGGAAGCACCGTAGGCGTTGCCTCCCTGGGTAGTGATGTTGAAAGTCGACTCATCGCCGTTGGCAGTGAAGTGACCCCGATAGAGGAGCGAGCCGGTGTGATATCCGTAGTCTCCCCCGTACAAACTGGTGGGGGTCTTTAGCGGATTCGCGGTGTTGTACGTTTTTTCGAGGTCCGCAGCCGTCCATAGTTCGTCAGAGTAGTCCGACTTGATCTCTGGTAGACTATCGACATACTTCCAGCTGAGCTGGCTGATGCAAGGAAGCTTGATTTCGGGGGTAGAGAAGTCAACTCTAGCAGTCACAGCTCCGTGGTCATTCTGCTTGAAGTCGAGAGATTTGCCGTTGAAGTTCAGGGTCTTCAGAGGGGCAGGGGCACCACCGATGATTTCAATGGTGGTTGTGGTGTTGACATCGCCAGTGAAGCTGATGGAGTCCGCATTGACGGCAACGTTCCGGATGAGGTAACCGGCCTTGACGATGACATCAGAGGTTCCAAAGTCGCCGACAATGGGAGGGACCCAGAAACTGTAGGCCTCGTTGCGGTCTGGTGATTTTGTGATCAGCCAAGTGAAATTACGGATGCGTGACAATGACTTACTCAGGAGATAGACGTAAAGATCCTCGTGTACGCGGACGACCTTGCGCTCGTCCGAAACAGCCCAACCCAGGACCGTGTAGCCATCTTTCTGCTGGATTGTAACGTCCGAGCCCTCAATGATGTTCTCATCGGTGATATCGGCTTGTTCACCCTCGATAGCCAATTCATGATGCTCATCGGCACCTCCATAGACGACTAGCACGGTCTTGTCCGCGTACTTCTTCCTGGACGGATGTAAGCAAAGGAATAGGGCTGCTCAACTGAGGTCACCTACCAGGTAAAGATCTCAGCCGTAGAGTAGACCAAGTTCTTATTGCCGATAGGGTAGTCGCTGACATGAATCTTGGAATCTCGTCTAGTCAAGTACAGGCTGTCGCTGAGCTGAGGTACTTCGATTTCTCCGTACTTGACAGTCTTGACCTTCAACTTATAGGCGGTTGTCTCAAGAGCATCGTACTTTGTGTGTCTAGTATACTGTCAGTCGAGAGGTCTAGAGCATGGTCCAGGGAGGTATGATGACATACCTGGTGATGTAGAACTTGGTGGTGTTGGTTGTGGCTGGAGTCACGGTGATTGCGTCGTTGTTGGTCCACTCGAGAGAGGAGTTGAAACGATCAGCAACGAGGTAGGCAGGAGAAACGTGAAGGAAGTTGGACTGCAGCTTGGTCTCGCTGTACTTCTCTCGGTTGACGAGACGTTCTTCGGTGATCTGCGCGCCATAGTCGTAGGACGTGTAGCCGTCAGAATATCCGAGGTTGCCCCAATTCGTGCCACCCCAAGTCTGTCAAGAGTTAGTTCGGAAAACATACGTTGCACGTACTGATATTCTTACCATGTAGATATTGAATATAGTGACTCCAACGGCGTAGTTGTTCTTGTAAAGCACACGCTCGAATTCGTGGTTGAGGAGAGCTGCACAATACTCGAAGCCGGCACCTCCCCACGGCTGGAAGCCTCCGCCTTGGAACTACGAGCTGTCAGAGCGGAACCAATCCTAGCGCCAATATCTTGCTGTCACATACCTCAACAATCGTATATGGGGTAGTCGGTGCAATGGCATTATTCGTCGCGAGCCAATCAATTGGAAGACCATTCTCAGGCCAGACGGTAGGGTTCCAGCAATCGAAGCCCAGCGGATAGCTATCGTGTCCGTAGATGTCGACCTTGGCGGGCGTAAGCGCAGTGATGGCGCCCAGCTGCCAGGCCTCATTGTTGACGTACGGCACGACGACGCCCTGGCTGCGGAACTGATGATCGACGTACTTCCAGTAGTCGTAGTCGGGGAACGGGTACGGGTCGACGGCGGCGTTGTACTCATTTTCCATTTGGAAAAGGATGACTGGTCCTCCATTGGTAATTTGAGCTTTGGCGATGGTGCTCCCGAGGGCGGCAGTGTAGCTTTGGATGTTAGTAGACGAATGGCCAAAACTTGCGCGTTTTCTTCGCTTTGTCTTACTTGTCAGTTGCCTTTAGGTAGGCCTCGTCGCTGGTCCTGAGAGCTCCTTGGACTCTCTGGAGCCAACCAGGGAAACCTCCTCCGGTGACTTCGGCGTTAATATACGGTCCCGGTCGCTCGGCTTCGGGTTAGTTTAACATCTCTGCAAGCACCACGGCGATATACCCACAGCAAAGAGATAAAGCCCGGCCTTTTTGGCTGCTTCGAAGAGTGGCTCGAGGGCAAAAATGCCCTCAGGACGAACCTCTCCAGGTTTCGCCTCCAGGAGTCCCCAATTAACGTAGAATGAGACCGAGTTGTAGCCAGCTGCCTTGATCTTTTGGAGAATATCGAGCCAAAGAGATGGAACCGGCATTCTGTCGTACAGTGTCAGTGTAGGTCCCGCCTGAGTCTACGCCAAAGACACTACTCACCTAAAGGCATGAAACTCGGCGCTGAAGATCATCAATCTCTCGCCATTGATGAACAAGCTTTTGTCGTCCCATGTAACCTACATGTTACCATTTGAGCTGAGCTCTTGGGTGCTATCTCGAAAAGCCATTGGGTGTGGGAAGGTCTTGGTCAAGTCCTCAGTATCCCCTTAGCTATAGCCGGGGGACTCACAATGTCTTGCTGTCTTCCATTGAGGAGCTTCAAATCCGTTCCGATAGTTCTGGCACTGACTCCATTAAGCCAAGCCAAGCCCAGGAGAGAAAGAGCCTTGAGACGTGAGATCAACATCTTGAATGCACACCAGCAGCACACTCAAAACTGTGCTTGGACTGCAGCTAGACAACATCAAATGGGATGATGCAGGGACAAATATTGATGCGAAGTGAGGAACTAGCTGCTATTTGATGCAAGAAGACATCTACCCGGCCTCGACAAGCGACGGACCGGAAATGCCACCATCTCCAACCTGGGACTCCACGTAGCGGCGGACTCATCGGCATTGCTGGGATGTGAATGGTTGATCAGCACCTGGTAACGCAGCGCCATCATGGCAATCTCAACCGGGCCAGTTTCCCCCTCTTCTACCCCAACCCTGCATGTGTGCTAATAACTCCATGGGTATGGGAAGGAATGGACTGGTCATGACGTGCATACATGCAATTGATCTAGAGACTGGAACCGGTAGCGACTGGGTCTTTTCCCTCGTCTTCATCCGAACCCCGAGTCCAAGTTCTTCCCCACTCCTAAACCCCGCGTTTGTCGGCTAACCATCTGTTCGTTCCTTGTCTCCCAAGACGAGCTAAGACGAGCTAAGGTGTGGTAGGGTTTTCCGTGCGGGGGCTTGCGCCACTTTCAACGGCCCGCGCGTCCGGGGTAGCCCAGGAACGCGTCGAAACTTCCGTCCACACGAAGCCCTGCCTTGAGAGCCAGATGGCGGTGGAGGAATTGGTCAAGTTCCTTCGTCTATTTTCTTTTCTTTTGTGGACTTCAGAGGACTTACCGGAGTCCTCCGCCTACGTCTGTCAATTTCCCCGGTTTATCCAAGACAATCTACTTGATGATAGGGCCGTTTCTAGGTTCGAGGAACTAAAAGCTGTCAAATGCAGGTGGGCAATTTGAGATCTGCCAAGAGATAACATCTGCTGGGTAAATTACGTCACGGAGAACCTGAGCAGGAATAAACGCTCAACTTGAACAAGAAACAGCAATTTTGACGCGACTGCGCAGTGGTTTACTCGACGGCCGATGAAATGTCATTCAGCAATTTCTCATTATGGCGTTACTTGCATGTTTGTACTTAGCCTGAGCATAGGGCATGTCCTCCGAAACGACAACTCAACCTTTATTATTTGGAATATTCTCCATCACTTATGCCTGCTCAAGGCCTAAAAGCTCAGTAAGCTTGAGCATGCTGACAGTAACCTTGTTGGTAGTGCTAGGAGGCAGGACACCGGCGCCCATGATGAGCAGGTAATCGGGGTCCTCCTCCATGATCCGCAGGTTACGAGTGTACGCACCAGGTTCGGGAGAATCGTACGCAACCCACGCGCTCGGGTCGCCGCCCCGGCGGTTGATGAAAAGAGGGGCGCTGTTACTTGACACGACAATGGTGCCGTTGCAGCCGCCGACGGGAGACCAAACGACATTGGGGCTATTGATGGGGAAGACACCGCCGTTTGTGCTGTTGATGTAGAGGTCCGTGGCGTCGGCGAACTTGCGGGGGTCCTTTGCGATGCGGTAATAGATGGGAAACGAGTAGGTCGGGATGATGTCAGCGCCGCCCCATTCAAAGGTGTACATATAGTCACCGTTGGCGAGCTGAGTGACGAAAGGCATGCCCGGGCGGTCGGTGTATCTGGGGTAGGAGACGTCGGTCACCACGTCGGACCAGGTCTTGAGATCCTTTGTGGTCTGGTGAGAGATCTCCTGGCCGTGCTCGGATGAGCGCTGGTCGGCGTAGTAGAGAATCAGGTCGTCCTCGAAGATGCTATATTCGATATCAGTACCTTGGATTGAATAGATTATATTTCAGTTTGCTCAAGACATACAGAATAAAAGGTTCCCAGACGGGAGTTTCTCCATTGTTGGGAATGGCACGACCACCGCGCGCGACGTGGGAGAGGAACTCCCAAGTGCGGCCCTTGTCCTGAGAAGCATACAGGTCGATTTGGGTCTCGCTGAGGTCCGTAGGAATGCTGTTACCGGCCAAGAGAACAGTCCCGGCAGGGTAGCCGGCAAAGTCTTGGCGCAGCTCGTACAGGAACGGCTGATAACGCAGGCCCCAGTTGTTGACTTGATCGTGGACCTGACCGACTTCCTTCCACGTGAGGCCGCCGTCAAGAGACTCGGAGATGGGGAACCAGACCAGAGGGGGCTCTAAGGAGTAGTTCTCCCAGGTTGCCAGGAGACGACTGTCGTTAAGCTGCACCGTGCGAGGGTACAGGACACGAGGGTCTGTGTAGTTATCAGGCGGCTGGAAGATGAGCTTGCGCTGGAACGTCTCGAGAGCAGAGGCAAGCCCACAAGTGAGGGCGGCTACGGCAGCGATGAGGGCGGACCGGAGCATCATGACTGCTGCTAAGACTCGACGACCTCTGCGGGACACGACGCGTCTGAAGAACAATGAACGAGACCGTGAGGGCATATCTCCACGGATCGGGTTCTAGAGTATCTTTTTATAAGGTAGCATTGAACATTGAGTCCTTCACTGCTGGGCCCATGGGGTTGGGTCCAGAGGAGCAATTGAGCTGGGGTTGGTGACCACGGCAAGCTGCACGATGCGACCTTGCCTGAACCATGAGCTTCTTCTCGGATACCTCGGCCAAGTGGCGACTCCCCATAACGATATAACATCCTAAACTCTGGCTCTGCTACCCAATCTGGAGAAGCCTGGAGAACCACTGCTGTTTGCAAGCAGGGTCTGGATGTCAAAGAGGAGTTCCCATGGTGTGAGGCAAGAGTTGACTGCATATGGTGACTGGGAGCACCGCTGCGCAGCAACTGTATGCGCTCCAAACAAACAACCGCCGGTCGTCGTTAATGATTAGAGTCGCGGGACTTGATGACAAGGTTGCCGAGATCAAGAGAAAATAAGATTGGGGCTGCGGGAGCCGGGACAATGTTATCTCGAGGTGCGCCGTGCAGACTTGCTCGTTTGAGTCGTTTGCGGGGAAACCCAAGAACTTGGGCTGTGGGGTTCGTGCGGGGGAATGGAGTCAAATACTAGGTGCGAGTGGAAGATGCGCACCAATAGTGTGAAACAATCGCTCAGTTGTTGTGTTTACTCTTGGTGTAGCCCGGCCTATTTGCCTGTGCCTACATCTGGGTTGCGAGCCGTTGTCGACGAGCGGAGGGGAGGGGAAGTTGTGGATTGCCAAGCTGCCTAGGCTCGATAATGTCCCGGAAACACCTTGCTTGTAGTGCTTTACTCCCGTTATTTTCCTGCTCCGTCATCTCATCGCCCCTTAATGGCCGTGCTTGTTCTGGAGTTGTGATTATATCAACATGTGCCCTCTCGTCTATGTGTGTCCTACGACAAGACACTTGAGGCACGTGGTTCCTCTTTAATATCCTAGCCTACCGCGTGATTGACCAAGCATTAGTTTTTAATTCAATGACTTGCCGAGCTCTGTAATTTACATAAGTGGAGACGAATACGTTGAACGAGTAAGCATATTAGCTACTTTGCGTTCAATGCGAATTGGAATCACTGCTTATCAAGAATTAATATCAACTCCCAGGAGATGTTGAATGGCCAGAGTCACTCATAGTTTCCTTTATGATTCTATTCTTGAATTATGTTTTGACCACTTTACGAAAGAAAAGAGAAAAAGCTTGTAGAGATCCCTCGTCTCATAGAAAGAAACTTGGGGGAACGACGTTCATCCGACATGAAGCAGTCACCCCGACTGTTAGTTAAACCTACACTACATTCGCAGAGTTGACTGGCAGCTTCAGGCTATAACACTTTCACAGAGCAATTTATATGTGATAGGTCAAAAACTCTTCCCTTAGTCTTCTGTGGTCCATTGGAACCCTTGTTTACATTTAATGAAAAGAAACCGGGGCCAACTTCCGCACCAACCTGAAGGCATAGAGTGATCTATGAAATCTCCATAATGATTTCGTCTATCGAGCCCTACAGCTTGAGACAGGCCTCAACGCAAGGGCAAACCATCGCTGTGAGGTTAACCAGCTGTTTGCACCTATGTGCGTGCATCAAGATTGAATGGGAAGCGCGTTGTGATATACCTTGTCTTTGCCACCCGCCTATAGATGGCTGATCACTACATCTTCAACACCGAGTTGGGAGGATCATTCAAAGGCGTTGAAGTTTCATCGCCTTACGCAGAACGGGAGTGAGTTCCCGGGTCTCTGCCGTGTGATATCTTCAAAAACTCCCGCATTTAGACTTCTGCCTTGGCATTCGAAGTTTACGTTTATCTGATAAGATCATCAGCCAGCTGTATAGATCACGCGATAATAAGTTCTATACCTGGCAGGTCTCATTGCGTGATTCCAAGGTCTTCCAGGAATACGAGATTTGACCTCCCCTCACCGGGCTGAAGACGTTTACGGTGTCGGACTATGACATATAAATTCCAAGTGTGCTTCACCAAAAACTAATCATCTGGCAGAAGAGGTGGAAACGACTGCTTATCATTTCAAAGAAGACCGCTGATAAATTATTCCGCAGGTACGGAGGCTGCGGGTGAATACGAGACTATACCAGGGTCTGATCACATCACGACAAGCTCAAGATGCAATGCGAAGTTGATGTACTTTAGTTTTCCAACGACGCCGCGGCTCCCAAGATGTACTAACGGCTGGCTCCTTTCCCTTTTGCATCAATTATCAACTTCCCAGAAGACTTCACTGTCGATCTTGGTCCAGGAGAGAGCAAAAAGGTGTGCGTAGAGTTCCTGCCGCCACAGGATCCACGGGCATTCATGAACTCTTTCTACTCGGGCTTCAACGCCATCGCCTCCGACAGAACTGATAAGCTCTCTATCCCCTACCAAGGCGCCGGGTACCACTTCAGTGCGGCCCCTAGCTCGGGAACTTACCCTGTACCGCCGAGCGTCAGCGGATCTGCAACCGAGTATCCAATGTTTGGGGCCCCGCAGCTGGTTCAGGCCAACAACTTCGAATTAGAAAGTTACATCAAAATTGACCCCGACGAGCTGACTCTGTACTATGCCGGCACGCAGTCCGTGCAGATTGAGCGGCTGGATGTGGTGCGCGCAGACACAGACTTCAAGCTGAGGTAGTATGGACTTAACCAGAGCCCCCTGAACTACAATAAGACGGCACAGCCCGTGCCGGGTGCCGACCTGTCGGGAAACTTGTACGTCAAATACAAGTTCGCGCCAGTGAATAGTTTACTTGACTCCTGGCCAGTCCCGATCTTTTGACATGTTGATAGTGCGTCCATCCGCATCTCTATTTTGAAGGGCAGATATAGACTGCTGGTATCTCACTTGAAGTATGGAGTGGATGGGAACAAGCAGAAGGCCTGGTCTGCTTGGATGAATGGTGTTATAGTCGTCCTGCAGGATTACTATGCTTTAGGATATTCTGTGAGCAAAGCCATCATTCTCTATTATTAGTACGCGCAGTCGCCGATTCAATTTTTATGGCGTACTCCTGCCATTCCTCTTTTCTGCCCACGGCCGGATTGACAGATGTGGATCCTCAGTGATGTGCTTTACCGCTGGAATCAGATGAGCAGCTTACGAAGATTCGCGCATCTTGCGACAAAGTGCTGTCTAGGAATGGTATAAACTGAGATTCGGTATGGGCATAATTTCTGGGGGCGAAACCATTCAACGCCGCAGGACCGGCTGGTGGTCGTTGTCGATGAAACTATCAACTTGGAGCTCGGATCAGACTGGAGTAAAGTGGGAATTCCAAAGTTCCTCTTCTTTGTCAGAAACCAAAATATAGTAGGTACGCAGCCGGCTGTCTTGGCAAAGTGCACAGTACGAACTACATGTATGGGATTGAAACATCCACAGCATGCAACGCGGCAGTATAAATCATGAGCATGACCTCATTCTCTCCATATCCACTGCCTAATTGTTCGATTACCGGTATTGATTACCGGTACATGACGTTGTGGTCATATGCGTGGTCATTTTGAGTCTGCCAGAGGCGCCGTGGCGCTGGAATGGGACGTTGTGCTCGACGATGAGGCGAGAGTGAAAAGACTTTGAGGGTATCGGATTAGGATTACTGCGTACATGTCTGCTTGTACTAGAGACATGGGTATCACAACTCATTCAGTCCAGCTGCTGCACGGCCAAACGGAAACCTTACCACCACCACCATTTCTGTTGCTTCTTGATCCATTTATGGACCGCGGCAGCGATGTCAAGATTATTCTTTTCTAGATGCATGAAGTGGCCATTGCTCTTGATCCCAATTTCACTAAGCTTGATCCACTCCGGCTGGCCGCCCACCTATGCTGCTTCAGGTAGTTGATGATACACTGATGGTAGGTAATATGTATGCTAGCCTCTCCCGTCAACGCCAGATACGGGACGCTGGCAATCTTGGGTAGTTTCTGTTCGGATTCTCTGTGCAGGTAGCAGTTGCGGAGAGCCAGCTACGGCTCGCCCACGGATTCGACCATGGCGTTAAGTTCCGCCGTGCTAAATGCTGCTGGCTCGTAGTCGACGGGCGTGTTCGTCAGGCCCCACGGGTTAGCCGCGTTGCTCGTCAGGCCGTAGCCGTACGCGCGGAAGGGGATCGTGGAGGGCTCGACGTTGAAGCTGCCCGCGAGGTGCTGGGGGCAGTCGTTGGAGATTCCGACTGGAAACTTTGCGACCAGCGAGTGGGAGACCAGGTAGGACTGTGCGCCAACGAGGGAGAGGAGCTCGCACCAGGCGGCGCGCATGGCCAGCTCTTGGGAAGACGTAGCTTGTCGTGTACGGAATGAAGCTCTGCTGAAACTGGTCAAAGAAGGGATCGCCGCGCATGTCCGTCCCCGGCCACCTGGGGGTAGGTGTTGTAGTTCTTGACGCCGGTGAAGCCCTTCTCGACGAATTCGGCCGACATGCCCACGGCCATGGAAAAATTGGTCGCGGTATTGGCAGTGGACCAGCCGATGCTGTTGGCATCAACGAGGTAGACCTGGTTGCCTTGTGGAAGTAGGTCGCCCAACCGGGACGATTGTCAGGGTTGTTGAGCCAAGTGGTCCCCGGAAACCCGCTGCCGTGGATAAAGACCAAGCGCGTCGGCCGCAGCGTGAGGACGGCTGTGAGCTTCTCAATGTAGAGCTGGCCAATGGTGATGTTGCCCGTGGGGTCAGAAGCGCTTTGGCCCCCGACGTAGAAGAACTCTCAGAGTCTCTGAAGGTCTATATGTGGAGCTGACAGCGTCAATGCCGGTGCAGCTACTGTCGGCATTGGAGGTGGCAGTGACCGCTATTGCGACGGCAACCAGCCCGAGCGCGGAGGAAGCCGCGAATGGGACCATGATATGATGGCTGGCGTGGAAGTTGGAAGTTGGAAGCAGTTTGACACACAAACCAGGGAGGGTGGCGCGCCAGATGCGCACAGATTTATCTGGCTGGGACACAAATGGTCAAGCACGCAACATCAGACAAGCAAAGAAAGGGCGAGAACAGGTTCTAAAGCAGAGCTCACGAGCGATAACACCTGTTGATATACGCTAAACGACCAGAGCGAGCGTGGTTTGCTTCTGCGTTAGTCCGAATCAAGCCAGACAAGTCTCTCCAAATTGCAATCCTGGCGCAACGAAGCAATCTCGGGGAACTGGGCAAGACGGAGCCAACACCATGGACAGAAGAGGTTTCCCCTCGTCAAACGAGTCTCCTAACCGTTCACAGCCAAGCCCGCTGCCCGCAACCTGCTTCTCGCCGGTCCATCTGCGCAAGGCAGAGACGTGACGTGCTCAAGGAGCAGGATCCTCTTTTCAGAGTTCCTCGCTGCAGCTTTGAGCTTGTCCGATCTTTGACGCCCAGGGACCCCGTGCCGCGAACTCGCAGCCCTTCCGGCATTCATGTCGCAAACTTGGCTGCCGACGGCATAGGGTGAAGGGGGCCCATGACTCGAGACCGCCGCACCCTCCACTTCAGCTGCACGCTTTCAAGACAACCTTGACCTTGTGCTTATTATACTAGCTAGAGGAACACGAGCTAAAACGTCGGCTTCTCCTTCCCCTTATTGATCTCGCGCTGTTGCTGCGAAATTCTTGCAATTATACTGGGAATAACCACTTTTGAACCCATTCCACTATGGGGCTAACGCGAGGTGATCATCACTCACCCGGGAACATTATCTTGATAATGCGATATGAAACCAACCTAGACGGCGCACCAAGATACTCAGATTCTCCGCCAGGCTGCTACCATTCATCTGTTCGATGTCATTCCATAAAGCCGCCCAGACTCCTCTTCCTTACGGGTGATCCATTCCTCGAGTCCGACCCGCCCCTGACCTCCACCCAGGCCCCCTTTCCTTCGCCATGTCGAACGCAACGACCTCTGCGAAGGTTGGAAAACCACCAAACAACACGAGGGACTACAACATCATCAGGGGTATATACCGAGAGTATGGCGTTACGACTCTCGACCCCAGTCTGGGGTACCTCTTCGCCGCAAAAGAGCCCGCCAACGCAGTTCACGAGTCCAAGCAAGGCGCCATCATTGCAGGAATGATAATCGTCCTGCTCGCCATCGTCGTACCGACAGCAGCAAGACTCTGGGTCCGAGGCCGCGGGGCATACACCAAGTTTGGATGGGACGACTGGGTCATCATCGTGGCGGCGGCTCTCGCTGTGGTGTATCCGGTCCTGCAGATCGTCGTCGTTGTCGATGCAGGAGGCGGCACGCACACGTGGGAAAACACCTATGACGACTACCAGGTCTACTCGTATTATCTGACCATCTGCCGGCTGCTATACTATCCAACGGTCGGCGTCATCAAGATTTCCATCACCCTCTTCATTCGAAGGCTCGTCGACACGGCGTATAGGACGTGGAGAATTCTCGCCGACATCTTCCTCGGCACATGCGTCGCCTACGTCCTCGCCGCCATATTCTGGAGCATCTTCATTTGTGACCCGCCGCGAGCCGTCTGGGACAGAGAGTTTGCGGGAGCCTTGACCGAGCCCGCGACGTGTGGAAACCAGTTGCTGAACACAAAGGTCCTCAGCATCATCCATGTCGTGCAGAGTGTCCTCCTCCTAGCCACACCCATCGTCATCTTGTGGAGCGTTCGTATTGATAGGGGCAAAAAGATTAGGCTCTTCATCATCTGGGCTTCGGGCGGGCTCACTGTCACCGGCGGTCTTCTACAGCAGTTGCAGCCATTTACGTCTACAGACATCTTCTGGGACTACACCATTATCTTACGATGGGCGGTGCTCGACATAGCCATGGGCATCGTAACCGCCTCGCTTCCGGTGCTGGACGCAGCAATCATGGGATCGTGGCACGTGGCAAAATCTAGGCTCGGGCTCTCCAATTCAGACAAGCAGAATGGCCGAGGGAGCAAGGCGACTAGAGGGACAAATGTCGAGACCATCAGTTCTGGGCCGCGAAAAGTGTATGCCAGCTCGGCCGAGAACATTGTGGGCAAGGACGACGGCATTGAGATGGACGTCATTCAGCACAACGGGCCCGACGAGCCGGGCGACAACCACTCGATTCCAGATACTACGGGCCATGACAGACAGCACAGGATCAACAACCTGGTATGAAGAAACGAAAGTAGATGATTGAAGTAACATAATGTAATCCACAAACAGACAAAGATTATCGAGGCATTGCTGTGCAACACAGAAAAGATCGTCCATTCATCTCCCACGGCCAACTCCCGAAACCCCCGACAACCCGGCCAGGGATCAAGTGTAAGCGCAGTCCGGATGTGGCAGCATCCCGAAAAGCCCCCTGGTTCGGCTGTAAGCGACCCCCGAGATGATGTGCCCGGGGTTCATAGGTGACCCCCCCTCAAAGGCTGGCAGAAAAGCTCACGCAAATCCTTTGATGCACCCCTGAGGCTTGTTTGGCGAGTGGATTGTCGATCACCTCGTCCGTGCTTGTTTGGACTCCTAGTCGTGATATAGATGGCGTGGATGAGTCCTTGATAACGCGAACAACGACCCATTTTTTTACCCTGGGGACTGACTCGCGGGACCGAGTTTGGCGAACCCTTGACACGCTCTCTTTTCGATTACGATGCCTCTTGCCGTGGTTTCTTGATACGTGGGCGGCCTGATCGAGGCGCTACGGCTGCTGACGGGGCCCGTATTGCCACACGTACTTGATCCTTTGAAAAACCAGTAATACTGACTATTTGAGCTTGCGGAAGGTTTGCGTCGTTATAGAGGGTCCGTATACGCTGACGTTCAGCCTCAGTAAGGTGCTTCGTCGTACTGCCTTTTGGGCGGGCCATAGTGGTGATAGATTGGTGATAGATTCAATTGGTAGTAAAGTTGGTGGGTATGTAGGAGAAAGAAGTTGAAATCTGGTAAAAAAAAGGTCGGGCGGTGCCAATTAGTGGGGCGAACTGCGAATCAGGCTCTTTGATTGGCTAGAACCCTGGTGGGGTAGTGGCTTGGACCATGCCCCACCGGCACCTAACAGGGGGGTTAAACTTCGGCCGGGTACCAATAGTTGACCCGAGAACCAGGAAACCCGTTTGCTGGACCGGCAGCAGTCTGGTCCCACATTTACCGTCGATAGTATCAAGAATCTGGATTGAAACCGTGCGCCGGAGCCCGGTTGCACTGCAATCTGAAGAGAAGCTCTAGATGTGTTCCGCGCGCCTCACCCTTAAGGTAGGCTACGGGGAGTACGGATGTGAGATGGCTGATATACCGGCTAACGCGGCAAGGACATGAATCGTCAGGAGATATCAACCGGAAAACGGAGAGTGTTGTTAATATATAAATGTGGCTTGAAGACTAGGTAATATGAGGGATCGTCGCCGGTCAGGGCTTTGCAGTGGCTTGCCTCAAAATTCCGCTAGGCGAAGTATGACAGCCAACTCTCAGGCACCTATTCAATTGCTTCAGATGCAAGGAAGACAGAGGCACGACTACATTAGTTCTGCCCGAGAAAGTAATGGGACCCAGCATTTTACTCCTTGACGCTTATTGCTGAGGTGAATCTTGAGCGGGTAGAGATGATCCCTTCTAGCCAGGATGTTTTCAGTACTTGCTCCTACGCTAGCCATGCCGACATGGATTATTCGCTGCAGTCGCGACACTTTCGGTGACAAGATACGCCTATTTTACTACCATGGATACTGCAACGATCAAAACAAAAATGATAAAGCAACAATAGCCCAAGTCAAGTCATCTTCATGGTTCTTCCTTCGATCAAGGTTGAAGGAGATTTCGATCGTCAGCTTCAAAAGCTTGGAAACCTGTTTACGAGACGTCTTCATTACGTGCTAAGATGCCGCCGTGGGCAGAAATAAAGCAGACACAAAACTGCCGCCGGAGTTTCCTGGCCACATGCACTCTAATATTTAACCTCGGTCAAAAGAGCATCTTGTCCAGAAGGTTCGAGTAATATCAAAGGATGACGTACATGGCATGCAATGAGAGTGTCTCTTCTGGGTGAAGAGAGAGGGAAAATCTTGGGTGATGCTTTAAAGACAGGATACACCTAGAAACAATTCTATCCCATGCTTTATCGAAAATTGTGGCTGGGTCACGTGGCCGAGGTAAACCTGGGATGAACTCAAAATACTGACGGAAGCGGGATGTATTCTGGGATCATTGTTCCCGTCAGCTTCGCTAATTGCAGGGCGCACGCGGCGACCTGTAGGCAGTGCGGGATCACATCAGCCGCCACAGGCCCCGATCTCAAAAATACACGTTCCAATTGCCCGGAACTTGGTCTGAGCTACTTTGAGTCTCGATATTGCTTCTCGGCCAAACCATTGGTGTGAGAGTAGCACGATTCTTCCTCTGTTGAAAGCTAAATTGATTGTGAGTTTGCTTTCCCCGTCATCAGTTGCGTATGTCATCATTAAGACGCTCGCGATGAGAAATCTGGTGGCCAAGAGATCCATATTAAACTCGGATTATCTTACGTTTGATGATATATTGGATGGGACACAGTGATACATCTTACGGCTAGCTCGCTGTTGTGTGGCTTCTTCAAGCTTGCTGTTTGAATTGTTGTATTCTAGCAAATAGACCAGAATCAGACGCAGCCATTGTCTTCGCCATTATTCCGTTGCAAATAGATAGTACCTTAGGGAGACAAGAGACAAGGGGCCTGCGGAGTTGAGGTGCAGAGGAGGTCGGGCATCAGACTAAGAGATGTGAGACATTTCTCAATTTGAATTCGACTTCGCATGTTGAATACGGTAAGCACAGTTCAATGTTGACTCAGAGGACATCCTGGCAAGCGTGCCTGGAATTCATTCAAAATCAAATGTTTCCTACGTGCCTCGAATCGGTGGGGCAGCAACGGCAAATGCAGGGATAGATGACGCTGAACTGAAGCACACTGCGAGGATGGCGGAAGCACCCTGCAACTTGAAGGGCTGGCGTGCTGGCGTTAAAGTACAGTAGAGAGCGCCAAATTACGATGGAGAGGTAAATGCCGAAGGCATCCCAAAGGCGCATTGAAAACTCGAATCTCAGAGGAGTAATGGATAGGCCAGCAGACTCAATTTGATCTAGTCCAGTCGCCAACACACCTTGGCAATCGGTTGACCACCACACCATCTTCTGACAGCTCATCCGTCACCATCGCCTTGGATTCGGTCCGTTGCGACGAATTAAAATTGTCATTAGGGTGCAGATTGATACCAATTATTAAGTACAAAAGACCATGCTTGAGTGAACACAGAGGATGTTGGCAAAATGGTTGACTCGGATCCCTTCTATGGTCTCGACAGAGTTCGGCAGGCGGGAGAAGAAACTGTGATGTCGCGAAAGCAGGTAGAACAAAAAAACTGCAACGGATATGCAACACTAACTACCTTTAATCAGTAGGTTTTGATATTTGGTTCTCTTCGAATGTATTTCATTTGGCACAGCGAGTGTCATGATGCCCCCAAGGTTAGACGTGCCACCACTTAAAGTAAGCGAAGTATCCCATAAACGGACTTGATAGATTACCTAGAGCGTGAGAAGGGATGATGCAGTCTTTTCTGGATTTGCATTTCTCGTCAATGATGGCAGCGGGCTGAGCAAAGGTTTTCTCGGAGGTACTTAGCTCAGAGATGGTTCCAAACATTCTCAGCGCAATTCATGGCCTTATGGTTACTAAGAATGAGGGAAATGACTATATTTTCTGACGAAGAGTGCAATTCGAATGTCTGAAATATTGACAGAAACCAGGGGTGATGACTTGGCAAAGCTAAAGGTACTGGTTAAGAGCCACGACTGTTCACAAGCTTGGAAAGCTCCTCTCCCCGGTCCACCGCTACGAGCAGCCATGTGGCCCAGCATCAAGCTGTGCGCCAGCTTCTTCACTGTTGCTCACTGGGTGAGGCTTCAAGAAACTTATTGCTTTACCATTCTCAACACAAATCTCGTCCTAAAATGCCAGGCATGTACTTGTGTGCTCGCTGTCCAAATCTCCAGCTGCCACTTTGAAAGCCAAGCCAAATAGGCACACCTGACCAACCACAAAATCTTCGAGAAAATGTCATTAAAAAGATGCTGTCTCAGAATGCTGGTTTTATTTACGTGGCCCAATGTGACCCCGCGTCCACCGCGGGAGCTGTGCTCCTTAGCCACCAATGGCGAGATGAGTTGGCTTGCTATTCATCAGCTGTATGCACGATGCGGATGTTTTTCGGCAATTTTCATGATTGCCGCCTTTTTTTGACCTTCCTTTCACTTACCCTCCACATAACTACCTCGGGCCTTCTATGCAAGTTTTGAAGGTGTCGTGAAACGTCATCTGATCGGTAGGGCGGAATGTCACCTCAACTCCTTAAGACTCCGCACAACTCCGCCTCAAACGTATTTTTAGGGTATCATTGATCATATTTCTGGGTCAGGAACCGTTTTGGTAAACTAGCATAAGCGGCCGAGTCCAAGTCGTATAGGTATCGCGGGGTCAGCGCGTGCCGCGCACATGGTGGCCACACACCGGGCCTATTCACCCCGCGGTGGTTGCCAGTTGGAGATATGACAGCCGGCACTAGGATGACTTTGCTACCCCGCCTTCACCTACATATCATTTGGAGGTGCCCCGGACTGCCAGGATGAGTTTAGGTCCGGGGACACGTATGCGGGTAGGGCCGTCTCGGTTGGGGGTACTTCGGCGTTGCTCGTTTTGTTCCTTAGCGGTGGGAGCAGCATGGCCAAGATACATCGTGAACAATTCAGTAGCATCATGGAAGCATTTGAGTTTACCATGAGCTGCGACTCGGTTTGGCAGTTGAGGTGAGTTTAGGCATATAAGGCCAGGATGGTTGCTCTCCGAGTTTGTGAGAAGACGTAATATCACTTCTAGTGACCAACTAGAGCTTTGTGTATTATACACCCAAATCAACCCTTCCACAAGACACCTACAAGCCCCTCACCATGAAGTCGTTCACAACCTTGGCGGTTGCCACATTCATCTCCTCGGTGTCCGGACATGGATATTTGACAATTCCGTCCAGCCGCACGCGCCTCGGTGCTGAGGTGATGATCCAAGAAATAACACCAAAGAATTTCTTGGCCTCGAGCTAATGTCTTGTTCGTAGGCCGGCATAGATTCGTGCCCCGAGTGCACCATCCGGGAGCCCGTCTCCGCATGGCCGGACCTCACGGCCGCTACCGTCGGCCGAAGCGGGCCCTGCGGTTACAACGCCCGCGTCAGCGTCGACTACAACCAACCGGGAAGCAGCTGGGGTAGCGTCCCGGTCGTGACCTACAGTCGCGGCCAGATCGTCGACGTACAGTGGTGCGTCGATAACAACGGCGACCACGGCGGCATGTTCAGCTACCGCATCTGCCAGGACCAGTCCATCATCGACAAGTTCATCACGCTGGGCTACCTTCCCACCGATGACGAGAAGCAGGCCGCCGAGAACTGCTTCCAGGCCGGCACCCTCAAGTGCACCGACGTCTCGGGCCAGAGCTGCGACTACAACCCGGACTGCTCCTCCGGCCAGACGTGCTGGCGGAACGACTGGTTCACCTGCAACGCGTTCCAGGCCAGCAACCGGCGCGCGTGCCAGGGCGTCGACAACAACGCGCTGGGGTCGTGCTACACCTCCATCGCGGGCGGCTACACCGTCACCAAGAAGATCAAGATCCCAGACTACGTCTCCAACCACACCCTGCTCTCGCTGCGCTGGAACTCGTTCCAGACCGGCCAAGTGTACCTCACGTGCGCCGACATCGCCATCAGCGGAGGAGGGGGAAGCACCTCGCCGTCCTCGACACGCACGACCAGCGCCGCGGCAACGACGACGAGCGGCACCTGTGCCATCGCTAGCACCGTGGCCGTCACCTTCAACGAGATCGTCAAGACGGTCCCTGGCCAGACGATCAAGGTCGCGGGCTCTGTTGTCGCGCTCGGCAACTGGAACGTGGCATCGGCTCCGGCGCTGTCGGCGGCACAGTACACTAGCTCGAACAACCTGTGGACCTACACTGTCTCGCTGCCGGCCGGGACGGCGTTTGAGTACAAGTTTATTAATGTGGCATCGGATGGGACCGCAACGTGGGAGAGTGACCCGAACAGATCCTACACTGTGCCTCGGAGCTGCTCCACTGCGGTCACAGTCAGTACCAACTGGAAGTAAGATAAAGGTGGCTGTGCTTGGAGAAGGGCTTTCGTAGCTATCTTTTTCGATTCTCTGTATATACGTCACGTTCAAGTATTGTTTTTCTCGATGAGTGGTATCATGTAGAAAGTACATGTAATGGATATGAAATTGTTGGACCAGTCTTAAGCCAACCTGATCCTCTCCTAAGCAAAACAAGGCAATTTGTAACAATCAGTTGACCTCAAACCTAAACATGTACGCGGTCGGGCACCAGTTGAAACCAAGTGAGTGTGTTAGGTGAGTTGGATGCAAACATGGGTCGTTGGGAACGCGGGCTGTGCTACACGTGTTCTATTACAACGACCCTAAGCTCTATCAGCTTTCGTTCCCCCGCTATTCTGTGCTCTCTTATGTGGCGCTGCAACGCTTGGAGGCTTAGCAGGGGTTGAACAGGCGATTGGCGCTTCCCGTCCCGCTTGAAGCCAGCGGAAATCCATGAAATACTGCGGAGCTGCGGGCAGTGCTTGTCTGCCTGCAGTAATTAACGGGACTTTGGCGTTGTTTGGCTATCTTCCTGAATCCTTCCTGAGGCCTCTGTGGAACTACCGTTCCGGCTTCTAAGCACCACCTCAACTCTTTTGCACGCTGGAACATTGACCATGATGTGTTCGTTGAGGACACGTCGTTTGCTACAGATCGGCAAATGAGCAAGACGGCCAGCTATGGCGGCCTGAATCCTGACCAAAAGCTTTTGATGTGGGCGGCTCTTCTGCCTTGCAACTCTAGTGCTTACATCGCTCCCATCTATTGGCCTCTCCATTCGATCAAGGCTTCCGCAGCGAACCGTTCTTTGTAGGCAGCAATATGTTCTCTCTCCCAGACAGAGGCTTTTGCGTTTCGCATTCGGCAGCTCTTGAGCCGTGTACAGGGGTGAGTCACTGCCACATGCCATGCACATCAAAGGCATCAATCGATCAACCCCTAGTGAGGCAGCCACTCGAGCACGATGCCGTGATGCCTGGTGCTTTGCTGGCAAGTTGGACGAGATGGCAAAAGGAAGACTTTGCCCAAGACCATTTTCTAGTGTATTTGCAATGGAGATAAATACATCCGGAACACCATCTTCAATTCGAGAGTAGTTTTGATATCCATACAAAATTCTTAATTCCGTTGAACCAGAACATCAGAGTAATCACAATGGCACGCACAAGCGCAGCAGCAGCGGCCGCCCTCGGCCTTAAGAAGGTCGACGATTCAGCCAAGGAGACCAAGACTCCAGCTCAGGAGAAGACAACGAATGGCACATCAACCACAAATGCCAAAGAGTCAGACGGCGAGTCCACAAATGGCGAGACAGCTGAGAAGGACGAGACATCGGCAGAGACCAATGGCGACGAAAAGAAGGAGGAGGATGAGGAGAAGCCCAAGAAGCCCCTTGCTCCCTTCGGTTCAATCGCCTCGACTAAGAATATCTACAAGTCCGCCAAGGACAGCGACGGAAACTGGACGTGGGTGGACAAGTACCCCGAAGACGTCCAGGAAGCCGCTGAGAACGAGGAGACGGAGCAGTATGCCGTCGTTGTGCGCAACGTTAAGAGCAACGACAGCCGGAAGAAGCTCGAGGCCGACTCCATCGTCATCCAGAGCCCCTGGCTCAAGAAGGCCTTGGGTGAGATCCTGGACGGCTACACCGGCGTCGCCTGCGAGCTCGACCGCCTAGAGTTCGCCGCCCCTTTCCGCCCCTTTGTGCACCGCTGGACAGAGTTCCGCAAGTACCTGGGCAAGGCGGGTCTCGATGCCAACACCAAGGAGCACCTCACTATCCTGCACGACATCCTTCAGTACGAGATTGGCAACACCATCAAGGCATTCGAGGATTACGTGGCAAAGGGCGTCATTACATTTGAGCATCTTTGGATGATCTTCCAGCCCGGCGCCATCATCCTCTCGGCCCACAAGGGTCCTCTGTCGGCCTTTGAGCTCGAGGAGACCGAGTACATGGAGAACAACTGCGGCAAGTTCCTCCAGCTGCGCGCCGACTGCGTCGACTACAGCGGCAAGGAGTTTGGCCGGTACGGTGAGCGCATCAACATTTCCGAGTTTCTCGGCACCAAGAAGATCACCGGCCTCAACGCCTACCCCTGGGCCTTCCACGCCCAAAAGGACAAGCTGCGTGCGGCCCTGATCCAGCGCGGCAAGATCTTTGAGGAGCTGGCCGGACACAACTACAAGCAGTACTCGGGCACCGCCATCACCTGGGACAGCGAGGGCAACGAGACGCCCATACAGGTCGAGGGACGCATCGTCGTCGACATCAACTCGTTCAACCGCTTCAGCCCGTACCACAACCGCTACCTCGACGACTGGAACGCAAAGGACATGGAGGCGCTCTCGGCCTGGAAGCGCCAGCACGGGCTGGGCAAGGACGGCAACCTCCAGCTGACCCCTTACCACCAGATGCTCGCGCGGTCTCGCACGCGTGGCTACTCCCTCAAGCTTAAGAAGTGGCTCGACTTCTTCGTCGAGCAGGTCAGCGAAATTAGTTGGAACACGAATGCCTTTGACAAGCTCGTCCTGCCTGAGGACCAAAAGGAACTCATCCTCGCCTTCTCCGAGTCACAGCTCGACGGCTCTACTTTTGACGACGTCATCTCCGGCAAGGGCAAGGGCATCATCTGCCTCCTTTCTGGGCCCCCGGGCGTCGGCAAGACCCTGACGGCGGAGGCCGTGGCTGAGAACCTCCGCGTTCCCTTGCACACCCTCAGCTCGGGCGACCTGGGCTCAAAGCCTTGGGAGGTCGAGCACGGCCTGTCCCGTATCCTGGAACTCGTGGCGCGGTGGAACGCGATCCTGCTGCTGGATGAGTGCGACGTCTTCCTCGAGGCGCGCTCGACGCATGACCTCGAGCGCAACAAGGTCGTCTCCATTTTCCTGCGGACGCTCGAGTACTACGAGGGCATCCTCTTCATGACGACCAACCGCGTCGACAACATTGACCTGGCGTTCCAGTCGCGCATCCATGTCTCGCTCGAGTACCCCGACCTCACCCCGGAGTCGCGCCGCCAGATCTGGAGCAACTTCTTGCACGGGGCTACGCTCAAGAGCGAGGTTTCTGATGAGGATGTCGCTGAACTCTCTGAGTTAAAGCTCAATGGTCGGCAGATTAAGAACATTCTCAAGACGGCGCAGTTGCTGGCTGCTAGGAAGAAGAGTGCGCTCAAGCGCAGTTTCATTGACATTGTTCTCAACATTGAGAAACGGCGACCTGGGGGCCAGGCTTCTTCTTAGGGAATCCGATCTGCAGGGGACTCGCTTTTAGTACAATGCCACAGTTCTATTTACATCTAGTCAGAAGGGATGGCTCGGAGGTTGGCATACCTGAGATACAATAAATAACATTTGATGACCAACATCTTGATGCATTTGCATTTGTGGTTTGGGACATGTCCGTCGATGACACTGAAGTCTTGCTGAGCATACACAAAAGGCTCGGTACAAATGTAGTCTCGACAAAAGAACTCAGGTGCTGAAGTTTAGGTTCACTCACAGAGCAGGTGACTCTTGAGATGATGAATAGATCGTCAGGGTACCTAGGGTAACACATCACTTCTTCCTCATCTTTACATCGTTGCGTCATTTGCTCATTCTCATTAAGATCAGGCTATGGAGGGAATCTTCCTCAGCAATGCAAAATTACTCATTATCCCTTCTTCGCCCATCTTATTTTTGCGTCATCTGATGGTCAGACAGATGGCGGAGCAAGGCGGGGAGGGACGGAGCCGACAAGCGCCGGGTGGCTCCGGACCAATAAACCCACTTTCCCCGGTGTCCGACGGCGTCTGCAACAAGGTCTCTATCACGAGTCGGATCAAGGATATTACGTCTTGATGATGTCTGCAGCCCGCAGGATACCTCTAGCAGTCTTGGAAACCCACTCTTCAGCAACGGTGAGGTTTCCCTTCCCGTATTGGATGCCTTCAGTGATACCAGGGAACAGAACAGCAGCGTATCCTGTATCCAAGCCAGGGGCAGTAATGACATGCTTGTAGAACTCCCGATCAGGCAGACCGCCCTGGCTGATGAACCCCCGCTGGAAGTCGCGGTACTTGTGGTTCACGACCGTGATGAGGTCCGCGTCCCCGGTCGCGACGGCGAGCTGCTCCAAGGCCTTGACCTCGTCGGCCCGCGTCGCAAAGACCTCGATGGCATCGGACAGCTCCGAGAGGTCGATCTCAGCGCCCTCGGATTCTGCGTACTCCTCGAGGTCGGAGAGGTAAGCGCGCAGCTCCGTGGCATAGTTGGGCACATCGATGGGGAGGACCTCGTCATCGGCGAGGTGGAAGGCGAGGAGTGTGAGGTATTGGCCGATAGCGGCGTGGACGAGGAAATTAGGGTCGCCAAAGTTGGCCATCCAGTGGTAGGTGTCGTAGTTTGAGTGGTAGTGCCAGATTGGATCGGAGGCGCCGTTGTTCGAGCCGACGTCGAGCTTGGGCGGATTAGCAACTATCCCACGGGTCACTCCCCTCAGCAGCGCGTCTCTCATCTGCGGTACTCACCGAGTTGATGCCCCGATGTAAGAAGCCAGTATAGTCACTACCGCTGCCCAGCGACTCAACGATTCCTTCAGAAGACTCCAGCCAGGCGTCGTAGAGACTGATGTTGAAGCCGCCAAAGTTGGGGTAGATGATCTTCTTGAAAATCTCGGTACCGACGGTTTGTAACTCGGGCGTGGTTGCGAGGGCGGGTCTCGGGCCTGACACTGCGACGTCAATGTTGAGATATGCCACGGCCGTCTCGGTGAGCCAGTTGGCGTTATCCTCGACCCATTCGGTGCTGCCGATGAGGCCATACTCTTCGGCGTCCCATGACGCTATCACGCTGGTCATATTAGAGTTTATAATCACCCTCGGGGGAGGAAGTGACTTACATGTTCCTCCTCGGCGTCCAGCCCTTGGAAACAAGTACGTTGACGGCTTTTGTGAACTCAACCAGGATAGCAGATCCAGAGTTGGGGTCGCCGTTGCCTCCAATCATCCAGGTGTCGCGGTGGTTCCCAATGACAATCGTCTCGTCGGCATTGGTGCCGTTGATTCGGCCAATGACGTTCCAGATGGGCGTGATCTTACCTTCCATCAAGTTGTCAAGGTGCAGTGTGACGCCGGGGGTCGGGCCGGAGCTGTAGTTGGCGTTCAACGCGCCCGCCCAGATTGTGCGGTTGACTTCCTCTGCGGACACTCCGAAGCCGTCCAGGGCCTGCAGGAGAGGCTCGGCGGACGCGTAGGAGATGGGGATTGAGGGAATTTTGGGCGTGACGGGCGAAATGTCTGCACGTTCGACGCCCTCGTGAGATGGGTAGCCTGGGGTGGTTGGGTCACCGGGGTGAGTGGAGAGGAACAGGACGGAGCCCTTTTGGACAGAGCTGGGATTTCTAGCAGGACCGTCTGAGTGGTATTGAATTAGCAAGGAGCCTTGAACTAGTCAATGAAAGGTATGAAAACGTACGTGGATACGCCTCGTAGCCGTTGGCCACAGTCTGGTTCCCATCGTCACCGGGGTCGGTAAAGATGACAGCACCGATCATGCCGTGGTCCTGCGCATTCTTCACCTTCAAACCACGGAAGAGTCCACCGTATCTGGCCAATGCAATTTTTCCTTCGAGCTCAACTCCAAGTTCGACGAGACGATCAAAGTCTGCCTGTGAGCCACGTCTTCGCTGAGAATTAGCATGGCAGAGCACATCCAAGGCCACCGGTAGATACTCACCCAACGTAGACGTATTCTCCAGCTACATTGCCTGACGCAGAGTAACCGTGAAAAGTCGGCTGCCTGTCCTCCCGCCCCGTCACATCGTCCTCCTCCAGCACATCCTCATCCAGTCTGACATCGCTCGTCGTGCCATTGGCGTACGTGATTTGCAGCGAAGCATGCACCGGGTAGCTTAAATAAACATGATACTCATTGAGATGTGCATCGAAGCCATTCTCGGTCCACCGATCCGCCGTCCACTGCGCCGCTCCTTTGCCGAGGCCCGCGAGCTTGACTTGGTGGCCGTAGTAGTCGGACCACTCATCGACGGTGACATTGTCAAAGGCATTGACCAGGATGGTCTCCTCGTCCGACAGCACGGGCGGCCACACGTCGTCGGCGCGCTTCGTGATGGGCTTGCGGTGCGTGTGCCGCTTCTCGACGAAGAAGTCTCGCTGACAGGCCGAGGCGAGGGCCGCGTAGGTCAGGGCGAGGGAGACGTGATGACAACGCATAATGGGCTGAATCCAAGCAAAGGTGCAGAGATTCGACTCAATAGGGTTTTCCGTAAACGGTCAAATATTGAGAGAAAAAAAAATCAAAGTCTCTGCCAAGAACCGCACCCTCGGGATGGGCGACGGAAAGGTGCAGCTGGTGTTATAGCTCTCGCCTGCAGCCAGCCCGCCCACACCCCAATCGCAGAAAATATGCCCAGCAATGGTCACTCCGGGGACTAACTGTCGGTGAGGCCGGTGATGCCATTGAATGAGACCTTTCCGCCATCTTGCTTGGCAGTCTGGAGCTGTTCGCCTTGTTCTAGTGGCATTGGCGATATGCAGGCCGGGAAGAGGGGAGACTGGCTGCTCAGACGGAAAGCAATAAAAACGACGCACGTCGTCATATCTTGCTCCAAAGATCCGGTACTTTCGGGAAGAAGCTGACCCGATTCCAGGAGGAGACCAGGGCCTCTCTAAAGCTCGATACCCCAATCTGTTGGTTGGGACCGCCGGCAAGTAGTAAGACGGCGTGGGAGAGAGCTCACCTGCTTGGAGACGTGAGCGACCTGCCTTGTTTGTCCTAGAATTCGATGTATGCCAAGCAATGCCGGCGGGGGTAGCTTTGTCCATCGTGGATAAGCTGACGGCACACATCCTGGGTGACATGAGTCTTGACGTGAGGTGGCATGAGGAAACGTCAACGAGCGTCGTTTTTCTTTACACTCCTCCCCGCAAAAAACAACAGCTCCCTGTTCCTTCCCCCGCTGCGGGAGGCTGAGTGCCCTGGTTGTATGTCACTGGCACCGATTCGAGCCGACGCCGAAGCCGATCCCGCCACTGCTTCTCGGGCCCTTTGGAAGGATCCATTGCGTGCCCTAGTCACACCATCTCTCAGAATGTAGTAATGACGGACTCATTCTGACAAGGGGACTTTTGAGCGTGAGAGAGAGGCCTATCAAGTGCTGCCAGAGGTCCTGGATGGGGTTCCCGACTGCAACATTTGACGTGACAAAACGTCGGATGAACCACTGGCTCGAGCACAGACCATAGAGCAGCGACTCGGGCAACAACAGGACCATATTACCATATGACTATGAGATTGCCTTGACCAACGGTTTTCACAATCTCCTTTGCCAAAAATGTGTTTGATGGGTGTTTTCCGCCAGGAAGCATGCCAAGGTCGAGCATCATCGTGCCCCAAGCTCCAGCAAGTATTGAGACGATGAGAAGTACGGCTGGTTCCGGTTTACCGCCGAACTCAGTTCCGCTGTCATGGATGAGGTTCAGGAATTTTTCAAACAAAAAGTATATTTATTGGGGTACAGCGACAAGCTCCTCACCGCTCATAGACAACAACATGAGCGGTCTCGTAAATTGCAATATGCGTTGAAGAGGCAACGCATTTATCTCGCAGTTTTCTCACCAGTCTAGTTCATTGGAGGTGAAGTAGGTCTTTGCTGGACCTCATGGAGCGCCGACTTGCATTGTGTCTAAAATGCCTCCATGTAGGCCTTGCAACGGGTATCTCGAGCGGCGATTGCACGTCGGCGGGAGTTCTCACAGCAGCATGATGCTCCAAAAATTATCGCCGAGTAAGGTAGATTACGACAGTTCCCTTGACCTTGGTGTTACACGCAACCAAAAGTCAGTGGTAACCCAGAAAGCAGCATCGTAGAGCTTGAGAGGCTCTTGAGAGGTCACTATCGCAAAATCAAATTTTCGGAATAGCTCCAAAAAGATCGCCGTCAGCCGTCTTGCACTCCACTTCAGACATTGAACTAAACATTCATGAACAAAGGCAACTCACCTCAATGAAGACTTCGTTCAGCTCCACAGCCGCAATAGTCTTCCTAAGACACTAAAATCGCCCATGTCCAAATGCAAGGTCAACGACGCCACACATCGCCCCAAAGCGCTCTTCGTCTTCGGCAGCTTCCAGCCAGCACTCCGGCCGGAACACGTCCACGTCACAGCCAAACGCGTCCTTTCCACACTGGCCGCACCAGATTAGGAATGGAGCATTGTTGTGCGCTTTTGTGCGGCGAAAATAAGATGATATATTTGATAATCTTTCTATTTTATAGGGATTTCCTGACGAAATCTCCTAGATATACTGTCGAAACTTTTGAGGAAACCTCAGGGAAATCTCAAGGAAATCTAGGTATAAATTATAACAATTGCCGCTATATAAAAAATTGATATCGAGCGCGAAATCTCTGTAAGTAGGATAATGTATAAGTTGAGAACTGTAGACGGCGGATACATGTGCAGACCTTCTCTAATGACGGCTTGCAGGTAAGGTAGCTGGCGGGCTTCCGAGTCGCGGATCGGGGAGCTGATGCGGCCTTGGGCGATGCCGTTGTCCATCTCGCGGCGCAGGGCGATTAGGGATGCCGGTATGTTGAGGAGGTAGAGCATGGTTATGCGTACCGCTGTTGCAGTAGAATCTGAACCCGCGATCGTCTGCTCGACTGTTAGTATATTCGTATAAAGGTATTGGCTGGTAGTTGGTATTGCCTTACTCAAGGAAGATCTCTGCTAAAAGCTTTTTGTAAGTTAAACTGTTACGAAGATGTAACTGGACCATATTATTCTTATCTGCTCAGTCGGTCAGCTTCTTGTCTGCTAGACCTTTGGCCATCCTGACTTTAGATTAGTCCCCGTGAGCTATCTACGGCTTTATGAGGGCCCAGGAGGTGTGTTTTGACTAACCCTATGAGCTTGTCAAAGCCAAAATCGTCGCTTAAAAACGGCAAAACCTTGTTCAACGACTATTGTTGTATGAAGATACCCACCCAGGGTACTAAGTATGTTGAGCATGAATCTAAGATACGGAAAGACGAGGTTATTGGTCGCCACGTAACCGAACAAATACTCGTTGTTGGCCAAGAATCCGAGTGCCTCTCCGAAAGAAAGCTCGCTGATAACGTCGAGGGCGAAGTATTGAGATTTATGCGAAAACTCCATCGGCCGGAATTCGTTCGATGTTGACATGTATCTCGACTCGACAAGGCTGACAAACCGCGCAACGATCTTGTCGACACAGGGTTCGAAGCCACCGTTTTCGCAACCAGCACACTCAAAGTAGCGTGAGCTCTGGATTCATATGGTGAGTATATGTATGATTCGATACGACATACGCGGGGACTCAACTTCTCTCTATACTCCTTGCGCAGGTCATCGTACCTCATCGAAAACAGGTTGTCTTGATTGGGTACGACCGCGGTGAGAGCATACCAGGGACCTTTGGTAAAATCGGATCGGACCGCAGAGGTCTTGCGATACGTATCTGCATCGCCAAATAAGACCTCTTTTGGACTGACGCGAACCAACGGCCGTATTTGATTCACGGTAAGCTGTGTCAAGCAAGAAAAGACCAGTTTCAGAACCTCACCATATTTGTCTCCCAAATCCTTCAGTCTGAAACTTAGTTTCCCACCAATTGTCATGAGCTGCATGGGTAGAATTGAGAGAGAGTTGATGAAAGGACATGGGATGTGGCGTAATCGGTAACACGACCAAAAATACCACATCGAAAGCGAAATGAATGCTAAAAGTGCAACGCTACCAAGCAATGAGGAGGGCATGGGCCTATAATCGGTGCCTCCCAGATCGGAAATTTGATCTAGAATAGCCATTGCTACATGTACTCATCGTGCAGCGCGACTTATGATCGGCGGTCTGTCCACACAGACGAGCAACGACGATGCGATGGGTCTGCGCTTGCAAAGCTTCCAGACTGAAGGGTCGTTGATTCTGGTGTCCGTGCCACTAATTGATAGTCCAGCGCGTCTGGTGCGGGGAAAGCCCCTACATTCTTCTTGACGTTTATGGTTGGTGGCGCGCGAGCCTGTTCCGGGATTGAACCCTATTGTCTTCGTGACAGCCAGGGATTGCCATGTATATTTGCTTGTTTGCTTGTTCATTCAACGCCAAGTTTTTGGTTACAAGATGTCAGGCGGCCAACCGACCTCCTTGTCGCCCACCAATTGGTGGTTGATAACGTGAACTGAAGACGAAACATGATGCTTCGAGGATACGTTCTGCGACGGGCCGATGAGTGATGAGGGACAGCCAATCGCTTGACTGGTCGGACTCGCAGCAGACGACGGGGTTGGAATTCCAGCACTGAAGACGCAGTATAAGACTACTAAGGTAGCGTATACTTGCCTCGCTGGCGATGATTGACATCGAATATCAAGCCGTCTGCAAGCCCGGGGTACCGAAATTGAAAGCGTTGTTAGAAATGCTGCGTTCAACGAAGACTATGCCGAACCCTGGGTAATGTGAGGGTATTGGACGCTATGGTGTTCTTGGCTTACTGCTCATAATGGGTCTGTTTCATTCAAGACATTTTCGTTTGATGGGCGTTCAAGAAGTCGAGGAGGGAAACCGGCCGTTACTAACGAACCATAGACAACGAAACGGACAGGCCAGGAACTCTTTACTGATGCCCATGGTTTTGTTCCGGACCCAGGCCCGCCGTCTCGGTATCGGAACGGAAGCCTTCTTTGGGACCAACTGCCGCCGAGTCAGACGCCGACCAGCTTGCCTACATCCCGCATCCTGCATACTGCATCGCTGCCGAGAGAGTCTGGAACGGGGACTGTTGAATCCTTCGCTCAGCTCCTCCAACGGCGGCACACCATTGGTCGCGGATCCAAAGAAATGGCGACACCAAGCACAAAACCAACAGTCCAACAATTGAAGAGCTGCTGTGCTGTGCCTCTGCAGCCACGTCTTAGCGTGGTCCCAGGACACGGGTGTCAGCACAATGGGGACCAGAATGTTGCGGCTGGTCCCAATCCAACGGCGTGGGAAAGGGGGGCTGGAGGCCGACATGGGTTCGATAAGGGTTCAGAATGCACATCCCTAGGTGCCTAAGTATGTACAAATGTTCCACTGGTCCCCGAAAATTGGGATGGATCATGCCAGTTTATTTTCCAAAGAGGAAAAACTCTGATAAAGTAAGGTTTCTGGTACCCATTGATCAACGAAGAGACGGTGGTAGCGTTCGGACACGGAGGAGCGAGAGGAACCCACACCCCACCGCCGGGCCAGCTGGGATTGATTCCGGACGACAGAGAAAAAAGGACTGGACGAACCGGTTCCTACCACGGAAACAAAGATTGGAACGCTTCAACCACCCTGCGGTCCTCGTCGCCGCGCGCCGCTCCGCCTGCGGCAAACCGCAGAAAGGGATTCCTTCGCGTGGCCAAGCAGCAGAGCAAAATAAGACACAGCCACGAGTATTACTGTGCTCCAGAAAGTCCAGGCCGTGACCCATCCGACTGCGGGGAACGCCAACCGCGTGGAAACTTTCGTGTATCTTGCTTATTGTGGCTGCCTGGTGGCACATGCAAGGTCAATTTGGTGTGTGTGTGTGTGTCTCGTCTCTCTCATGGGACTATCAAGGGGGGGCTGAAATTCCAGCTGGATCTCATCCAGCCAAAGACATTTGACAGCAAACATGACGTTGCCGCCCCTCGGTAGCTTCGATCCGCGCCAGCAGACTAGCGCATCCTCCGTCTCCTCCTCGCCTCCTCATCACCCTCCTCAACACCCATCAGCAGCGGTGTCTTCCGTGTCACCAGAGTCAACAACTTCTTCTTCTCCGGCACTGGGATGGCACGCTCGAACAATCTCTATCCCTCGCAAGCCCGTGCCGCTCTCATCCGTATTCGCACCGAACAAATTCGGCCCAAACGTTCATGTCACGGAGACGGCGTCCGCCGCCGACAACGACACCACCACGACGCCAAAGACGACAACCACCAGCGGCCCGATGGACACGCATGGTATTGACTTGAGCTCGCTTAGCGGATCGGCGCATTACCGCACTGATCTCACGTTCCACGGCAGGGACTCGCCTGAGGATGCCTCAGCAGATTCAGATGAACTTCACCACCACCACCACCACGGCAGCGACCAGCGCCACGATTCGCGGGCTGGTCTGCTTCAGAATGCGCAAGAATCGGTCTACGATGGGCATAGCCCACCTCCTCTCGGCGCACAGCAGCAGCAGTATGAGCATAACCATGAGCAAGAGCAGCCGCCCAAACCGCCGCCGTACGTCTCGGCGAACTACCTCGGCCCGCCGAATGAGAGGAAAAAGATGTTCCGGATGCGAACGGCTCACTGCAGCTGGCACTCATCATGGAACATGTACCTCTGGCTCTTTCTCGGCATCGCCTGCGCCATCGGCCATCACGTTTACTACTACTCTCTGGATGGTCAACCTGCAGACGACCAGGTGCGGATGCTGCGGTACGGAACGATCCTTGCTTTCGCGGCCAAGGCGAGTCTTGGCGCCGCCGTGATATCGGCTTTCCAGCAGCGGATTTGGACGACTGTGAGGTCGAGGTTCATGAGCATTGCCGCCCTGGATTCCATGTTTGCTGCCACTGAGAACTTTATCGCTTTGCTGAACTGGGAGTTCCTCAAGGGCGCCAAGGCGGCCGCGGCTTTGGCACTGTTTGTATGGTGAGCCGTCTTTAGATGGGATGACAAGAATCGTCGATCACGGCATGGTGCTGACCGGAGTCCACAGGCTTTCTCCTCTGGTAGTCATTCTCACAGCCAACACTTTGCTGGTTGAGCCCAAGACCATCCTTCAGAACACAACCTGCCCAGCCGTCCGCAGTCTGAATTTCGCAAGAGAGGACACTCACGATTGGCGGAACCCCATCAAGATTGACGGCCGTTATGAGATGCCGCTGTCCATCTGGAATTCCACCAAGCCAGCGGACTCGGACCCGGAGGGCTGGTTCGACTACTACACCGGGCCGAGCCCCAACTTTCAGCAGACCGCGACCCTCGGGGCTTTCCTACAGGACGTCGTCGCGCGGAAGAATGCCTCGGTGGAGGTGTGCAGCAAAGGCTGGAACTGCACCTTTGAGGTAGACTTCACGGCCCCGGGGTACAAGTGCAGCGAACAGGCTAGAGGCATCGGTTCGACGCCCGCGAACCTCACGCAGGAGTCGGGGCAGGCCAAGCCGCCGTTTGGGACAGATCTTCTCATCCCCGACGGGCCCTACGCGTACTACGCTTTCACGAGTGGGGGAGAGTATTCCACCACGCAGATGAAGGACGTCGAGATTGGTGGTATTCCAAAGACGGACCCGCCGTACCCAGAGCACATGGGAGCTCTTCGCACGGAACCGGTCATCTGGATCGGTCACGTCGTCCCGCCCGACGCCGAGCATCCGGCTTCTTCAAAGGAAGGCGATGAGATGATGCAATATGTCCCCAAGATCTTTGCATGCGAGCACTACGTGACGGAGTACACCGCCGTTTTCAACTACACCGACACCACTCAGTCGGCCTACATGAAGACGCACAAATTCACCACGCCAGTCATCAACACGACATACATCCCAGGCCTCGACGCGGATGACGGCACGGCAGACAACGTGACCGCGATCCCGACAGAAAACTACGTTCTCCCCCAAGACGTCGAACGCTACCGCCACATTGCCGCGTATCACTCCCTGGGCTTCATGCTACGCAAGTTCCTCAACGGCACCGTGCAGATTGACAAGCAGTCCGCCAACCCCATGGCCAACACGGAAGCCATCCAGACCAAGCTCCTCGACCCCCGCAACAACTTCTTCCCCGTCTTTGACCTGCAGGACATGGTGCAGGAGTTTTACGAGGACCTCATCCTCTCCATCTTCTCGACCCCGCAGTTCCTCCCCGTCGTTTGGGCCGCTCACCCGGCCGAGGTCTCGGGCGGCCTGCAAGAGGGCGGCGGCGCAGGAAATCACTCGGCCTACCGGTTCCCCTGCCAGCGGTCGCGCATGGCCAATATGTACAGCTACCACGCCCGTGACCTGTGGATCGTGTACGCCATCGCCATCCTGCTTGCCACGGCGGGCGTCGCGGCCGGCGCGCTCGCGGTGAGGGAGAATGGCGGGGTGCTGAGGAACACGCGCTTCTCCAGCGTCGTGGCGGCGACGAGGGGCCCGGCGTTGGAAAAGGTGAATTGGGAGGGGCCGGATCGGGATCGGGGCGATGTGCCGGGGGATGTGAAGCAGTTGAAGCTGGGGTACGGTGTGATGGGCCAGACTGGTGGGAGTGGAATGGCTCCGGATGGGAGATACCCAAGGGCCAGGGATAGCATGTTCTGGTCGCCGAGCGAGATCAGGTGCGGGTTTGGGTTGGAGGGCGACGTTAATCAGAGGCGGAGGGAAGGGTCTTTGTTTCATCGATAAGTAGCAAGCGTGTTTTTGTCAATAATATGATTAGTATTCAAGGTTATAATCGGGACTCTCGAGGTAATGTTCTGAAATTGAAATTGTACCCTCTACCCGGAAAAGTCCCTTTCTCATTTGAAGCCAGTTGTGCATCGACGACTGGTGAGACCGGAATTAAGAGTTGACTGTTGAAAGTTTGTTACGAACAGAGTCATCCATTCTTGATATTTCTCGCATGTACGCTAAGCGAACTTGCATCTCGTGTTCCTACATGTAAACAATTCAGAATCCAAGAGTTTGTCCCGCCTCCTTGGTCACAGCAGCTTTCACATTGGCAGAGCCGAGAAGAGAATACGAGTAAGGCGGGCTGCTGGCAGTCAGCTTGCCAACTGATGCAGTGTTTTGGCTTTCACCACCAAGCACAACATCAATAGCGACGGCGTACCTGACGGATAGAGTGTTAGTCTCGTGACCCTGCTAACTAGATATCATCCTGCCTGGTGGAATGGACTTACCCAATCTGCTTGCTTGATTCGCTAAAGATGGCCTTCTTCCCAACATTCTCAAAGACGGAGCTCTGAATGAGGGCTTGTGCCCCCATGCGGGTATTGAGGCCAGTATCCATGGTGTTGTAGAACTGGTTGTAGATGTGGGCAGTCCCAAATCGCAAAAGGGGACCACGGCTGCGGACGTTGTAGAAGTGATTATTAGCATAGGTCACGTGGAGAGTCCCGGTATCCTCGGCGGCGTTGTTGTCAGAGTGACCGACGAGAGAGCCCTTGGAGTGGTCGTGGAAGTATGTGTGAGAGATGGTGACCCAGTCTGCAGCATGAGACAGGTCGGTCAACCCATCGTAAAAGTCCTTGTCGCCGTCGCGGGTGGCGGACAGATCGCAGTGGTCGACCCATACATTTTTCGAAAGCTGGATGGTGATGGCATCGCCGTAGTCTGCCTCCACCTTGCTGATCTTCATGTTGCGGACGATGACGTTCTTTTGACCGAGGATGGTGAGGCCGATGCCCTCGAGAGCTGCAAACGGAATGATAAGTTCTGGGTACCTGGGCCGAGGAAATTGAAGCCACTCACAACTGCCTGTCTTTCCCACGATGGTCTTGTCAGAGCCAACCTGTACTAAAGCCTTGCCGACAATGTTGCCTGAGACGATGATAATTCCTGGACCGGATGCATTGGCTGCAGCGGAGAGCTGAGCAAGGTTCGTTACAGTGGTTGAGGTTCCTCCAGCGCCACCCTTCGTTCTGAGTATTACAAGTTAGTCTCAAGCTGCTGGGCAGAAAATTGGAAACCTGCAATATTACCCGCCATTTTGCGTGGCATAGCCAATGTTTGCTGCATCTGTGATGGCAGCTCTCTTGTTCAAAAAATGACCTTCAGGGTTCGTCGGAGTTGGTGTAGTCGATACAGCAACAGCCAGTATAGCCCAAGACGCGAGATCGGACAGCTTCATGACGATTGGATAGAGAGAGACAGAGTAATAAAACTGAAAAAGTTTCACAACCTCGGTGGAGCGCTGAGACTTAAGCAAAAGTTGTGATGCAAACATGCGGACAACGATCCATTATATGGCGCTGGCTGACCGATGCAGCAGCATCATGATGGTACTTCTCTGCTCCATACCCGTCCCTGGCCCTCTCCGACTCTCTAGATGAGTTACTGCCAAGGCACGAATCAGAGGGAAATGCCACGGCTGAAATAGTACTTTCTTGGCATTGTGGCATCGTCTTCCTCCAATACAAATAATTCCCATGCTCTCGAGATATCCTCTTAGGTGGAATTGCCGGGGTCTATCTATTCCCCCGAATAAGGAGTGAGCTTCGAGATTCCAATCCTTGCTTCAAGAGATCCGACCATGGCTGCTCGGTAGAAACGGAAACTTACCCAAAGCGTAGCAGGCGTAACGTGAGGTCTTCATCCATTGGACCAGCAATCTATTCGTTTCTCTTGGTCTACGGGACTCTGGATCCCCATTCACATCAAAGGGGCATTTTGCGCGGAGAAAATTGTCGTTGGAGGAAAATTGCCGGGGTCGCCCCAAGTCAGATGGCAGAACTGCGCATGGGGGTCCGGAGAAAACGTGATCAGGTTCCGGGGGCTGCATAGGTCATCTCCACTTTGCCCCGGACTGATCGGGGCCGGCACGACAGCCGCATCGGCGGATCATTAATAGCGCCATCTAGCGTCTGGATCATCCTTCTTAATTTTCAGATTAAGACGATCAGCATATCTAGCGCCGATCGCATTTCGATTGACAGATGAATAAATTTGGTAAACACGTCGGCGACAGACTGACAATGGGGCCCTCACTGCGACTCAATACGGGTGAGACGATCAGCGAAACTCCAATACTGGATCTATTGGCTTTCATGATGGGCCTATTTCAGAAAATATTCAGACTTCACTTTCTGGTGTTCCAAGGCCAACTCAGCCCTCAATTTTCATTCCGGGTGAAGACACGGCCAAGCTTCGCGGTGGTGGGTGTCTCGTACGAAAGGGCTGGGCAGCAGAGAATCACGGCCAAAGCTTCAGTCTTTGAGCGCTTTTCTGCATCGCATGTGGCTGCATGGAGGAGGCAGGAATCCAAACCCAAAACGGTTCGTCCTGCATTCCAGCACCATGGGCGTTGGAGGTTTCCGATGTGAAATCCCGCCCTGGTGTTGCTACGCTGAGAATGAGTGGGAGAAGTTGCTCCGAACGTTCATTCACCTTGTACTCAGTCCACACTTGACAGAAAAGAAAAATGAGATGTTTCTTACTTTAGACCATCAAGGAAGCTTTGGGTCCATTGTGGGGGGCTGTGTCACCTGAATCAATGCTCGACCAAAATACACCGATTGGCTGTCGAAGATTGACAAAATAGAGCTGAATCAAAACGCCAAATAGAAAACAAGTATTCAGCGGTATCTAGCGGCACGATCCGGAATAGCATAGACCCTTCGAGCGTGCCGCGTACACTCAAGTTTCATGGCAACCTCAATGCTTTTCACAATAAGGCTCGAGGCGGACAGACCTCGTCCCTTATCTTGCATTCATCTCAAATTATCAGCTTACTTGAGGCACCTGTGACGTCGGTTGAAGTTGCTCTCCTCCTCACCATTGGTATGTCGTCGGAACCAACATGCTTTCTAGTCCAACTTGAGCAATCATTTTTTTCCTTTTTTGTATGTAGCGGATCTACTGGAATGTTCCATTTCAGCCTGCTATCTTCATGGCTCGTACTCTCAGTCTTAACCACTCATTCGGTCTTTTGAGTATCCGGAGAAATGCCACACGAGCCAGCGCAGTATTGTTTCAGCTACCAGGGTGGTGCTCTGTGCTGGTTGGATCTCGAGTAACGACGGTACGTTGGGCTACTTAACTCTCGTAACACTTACAGCTTACTAAGCCGAAGCAACGCAATAACTGACAGGTCTGGCAGACTTAGATCCACAACACGGCAGGCTTCTCGTCTTACATGTGCTCGGCACCACCCTCACTTTGCCGGCAATATCTTAAGTGGCCAAACGGTTCCAAGAGGAAGAAAACATATGGTCTAAGAATCGTCACTTCAATGCTTGGCAGCTACCAAAAGCATGAGCCAAAAATCCGAGCCCGTGTTTCGGCTTTCACAGCTGTATTTTTGCAATGGAATGAACTCAAGCCCTCTGCCCTAACCCCAAATCTGTTTCGCCAGATCTCTCTGGAACCTGCACTGGCCTCAAGGTGAACAACCAATGGCAGAAGCCGACGTTGACACCTCACCCCTGAGCCGTCTCGAGTCTATCGAACGGAATCCCCCGGCTCCGTTTTCTTGCTCCTCGGAATTGTCCCGAGACGACTGTTCGAATCATTATGAGCGGTAGCTTGAGCTTTCGATGCAGGGACAAATGTTCGATGGACAACGTTCGAATTCTTCTGCGGCCCATACTTGTATTGTAGAAAGCTTTTGTCAACTTGCCGCTCCCCAACTGGCGGTCTGCACGAGCCGTTGGAATGCCAGTCTTCACACATATTTAGAGCTAGTGAGCTGGGTTTAGGATTCCAGGCGACCACAAGCTTATGTGGCACATGAGCTGGTGGTGGATAAGTAGGTTGATAGTCACATCAGGGATACCAGGTCTTGAAGCTGAAGGTGCGCCGGGGTATGCCGACTTCTCCGGAGAGTGACTTTGTCAAACCCGCCTTCTCCAACCTCATCATATCACCCAAATTGGACGGTTGTTACGGCTCTTGACGCATTAAAAGAGGGTATCCTAGCAATCTCGATCGAGATTCCGTAGATCACCGCCCACTTTAGGGGATTTCTTACAGAACTCCAACTGGTCGTTTTAATCCGGAAGGCTGTTTTCACTTGTCCAATCTCACGACGAACCAGCCACACCATTTTGACTCGACGCAAACCACCGGATCGTGTTGCCAACTCATTGTGACCGGTGACTGCCAAGAGGGGGGAACTTTTACCACCCGTTTGACACAGCTCTCCTGCTACCGCTGTGTCCGCCTCGTCGCCGATGGGGCAGAGTGTCGTGGCATCGGTGGAGATGCTGCAGTTATCTGCAGAGACCTGATTGAGTTTAGGTCACGAGGCCAGCTGTCTTGCAGCAGAAGTGAGTGAAGGGATTCCCACACCTCATACAAGCTTCCAACTCGACCAGAACCTAGCTAAGTGTTCTCCTCAATGCCCACGTGGACTCTTCGCAAAAAGATTCGGGCGTACTTTTTATCTGCCACACTTCCTCCCGGAAAATATGGAGAAAAGGGGCTGGCGCCCGCCAAAAGTCAAACCTTTCATAAGAGAATTCACATTGATTCCATTACCCTATCATCGCTTTTCATGGACAGATGACAGCCTGGAGCTATTGGTAGTTGGAGGGGTCACACAGATGTGAGGACGGGAGTTGTCATAAAGCCATCGGATGTCCGACGTGGAACTACGTAACGCTCTACGTACTCGATTTCGCAACTCTCTCGGCGAGGAAGTTTTTCGGCTTCAGAGCTCACACATAAGAGGGAGGGCGGAGTGCATAGAAACAAGGATGTCCAAGCTTTCTCGGGTTGCGGTGAGCGAGCGCAGGGCATGGAATGCTAGACAACGGGCTGCAGAATGTTAATGGCGTTCCCACGTTTAGGGTCGTCAAACGACCTTCTTTCGAAATTAAACTAAGCTTGAAGGATCTTCGAGCTTGAACGGCGAGATGCAAACGGAATGAAAATAGGAGTGGTCATTTCCTCGGCGTGTGGCACGGTGCAATCGATGAGCCTGGCAAGCCGTAATTTTCACAGAAAGATTGACGCCCGGACATTTAACGGAGTTTCCTTTTGCACTAGAGCCCTAGTTCGCGACATGTAAACGCTTGAATTTCCAGTCATCTTTTTGACTCCAGCGAGTTGTCTGGAACCCAGCCAAGGGGAGGAATCAACGGTTGCTGTGACTAGATATCCCAAGAGAGAAGACGCTCGCGAAAGAGGGTGGCAGACGTACAGACTGTGCACGCAGAGCCCACAGGCACCGTCCCAGGTTTTCATTTGGCGCCGTCCAGTCTGCTTCTCATCCGAGCCACCCCATCATCGGCTCCTCTTAACACTACGTTTGTGTGAAAGCTGCCCATTCCGAAAGACAAGGCCAAGACCACACATATGGCGTAATCTTCACTCGGACCTTTCCTTAGATTTGGGCGTTCATCTGCATGAAGGGTGAAAGGCAACCCGGAAAGCCAAAAGAATCCCTTGGTGCTGATGGAGCAGTGCGGCGTTCTCAAACCCCAGGCGATGGATCGTCGTCCTCAGATTTGGGCCCTTCCATGATCCAACAGCAAACTCGATCCCGACAACCGGTGACAGGCTGTGCCCTCTATTCGTCTTGTTCGGCAACACTAGGTCTTGAGACGGAGAGGAATACCCTAGATTCGGGCCCCTCAGCTCATATCTGGAGTTGTTAATGGGTGTTCTAGAAGTGGCAGGTTAGCGTCTCCCGATCTTTCTGGGATCTCGCGCCAGAGGGCATCATCGTGAAGCTGTTATACAAGGGTACTGCAGTCGACGTGTCAAAGATGGTGCACTAGCGCCTTGGGTCTCCTGAGTTTAAACGTCGATGATCCCAGCTCCGAGCCCGTATTAACGCCCGGTTTTATAGCTCCAGACCCCAGCCACACAGACGCCGCAATGCCTCATTTGCCTCAAAAATTGACCCTCGTTTCACCCTGTCACTTCAGCCCCTACACACTTGAGTTGATATGATCCCATCGCCTTCGGTCTGATTTTGACGTCACCCGGCCGGGATCTCGGCTTCAGTTTCCCCCCACCCATAACCCTCGCTCTCGCCGGGGCACGCCAGCAAGCCTTACCCGGCCGCAACATTCGCTTTGCATGAGATCTGCTCCGGGATCATCCATGGGGTCCGCCCTCCGCATTGCCTGGCCTGCCGACCACTCACGTCCATGGGATCGGTGACCCCCGCGAGCCCCAGGCAGGCAGAGCACGATGGAGGTTCAACGGTCCCTTGTCGAACCTCCCATCCCACCAGTGCCTATTTCACAATCCAATGTCCCCGCGGTCCTTGTCGAAACTAAGTCGGTGGCTGATCAGACGAAGGAAATCAAGGCCTAACTAACCGATAAATGCGGTGACGTCGAGATATAGAGAGGGCTGGTTGGGCATCCATTTGAGTTTGAGAAGAGAGGTATATTATGCCTTCGGACACCTTCGGAGTGCAAGTTATGGTGCCCTCCAAACATCGAGTCCACTTCAACACTGGACGACAAGACGCAAGCCTACCCGAGAGTCAAACATCTCTCGACAACGTTCTCACGACGGCGGACTCAACTATTCAAGTCCCCCCCCGCTCTATAATACTTCCTTCCTCGTCTATCCGCCTGACACGCGACTTCGATCGAATCATGTCAGCTCAGCAGACAGGAACACTAAAGGCCCCTGAGGGCGAACCCTCTCCAGTATCACCAGCAACAGCAGTCGACCCCAACGCATTCTCAGACGACGAGGACCGAGTACAATCACCAAGATTCGTGCCTTCACACTCCCAACAACCCTCAAGAGGCGGCTCGCGTTCCATCCCGCTTCGCCGCACCAACACCCAGACTCGGAACAGGGAATCAGTAGACGACCCCTTGCCCACCGGCGCGTCTGCAAAGTCCAACCGTCCCCTCCGAGACAACTCCCGGTTCGGGGACTACGACGACGATTCGGAAACGGATCGCTACTGGGGCACCAACGACCGCCATCCAGACTACAGCGGCGGCCGCGCACCGCGGACGCGCCCACCACGCGCGCACCTCAACCGTCCCCAGCCGTACTTCAACTACGACCCCCAGACAGAGACCAAGGACTACTACGAGGAGACTCGCTCGTACGAGCCCGGTGACTACGGCGGAAGGCCGCCATCGCGCAGGATGTACGACGAGGAGATGGCGGGCTACCCGCGCGGTGTGGCCGTACGCAGCACCAACGGCGAACAGGCGCGCATCGACTGGCACAACCTGTCCAGGGAAGAAAAGGCGCAGGTGATGCGGCTACCTCTCACCCAATGGATGAACTCGGATTTAAAGAACCACTTCGTTGCGAGTTTGGGCGAGCTCGTCGGCACCACAATGTTCCTGTTCTTCGCTTTTGCCGGTACGGAGGTGGCCAATATCAAGTCGGCTTCAAACAACTCTAGCAACCCGGCAGACAGCCACTCTACCACCGGCGCCTCCACCGGCTTCAACACGGGCACTCTCCTCTACATCTCCATCATCTTCGGCTTCTCTCTCATGGTCAACGTCTGGATCTTCTTCCGCATCAGCGGTGGCTTGTTCAACCCTGCCGTCACCCTCGGCATGCTCCTCGTCAAGGCCATCCCTCCATCCCGCGCCGCCTGCTTATTCGTTGCCCAGATCCTGGGCGGCATGCTGGCTTCGCTGATTGTTCGCTTCCTGTTCCCCGAAAACTTCAACGTCCGTACGACGCTCGGCGGCGGTGCATCGCTGGTCCAGGGCGTCTTTATCGAAGCAATCCTGACGGCCGAACTGGTCTTCACCATCTTCATGCTCGCCAAGGAGAAGCACAGGGCCACGTTCATCGCTCCCATCGGTATCGGTCTGACTCTCTTCATTGCCGAGTTGGTTGGTGTTCAGTTCACCGGTGGTTCGCTCAATCCGGCACGAAGCTTTGGACCCTGCGTCATCACGGCAACCTTTGATCAGGAACACTGGATCTACTGTAAGTTTTGCCCCCTTTTTTTTCTTTCTTACTTTTTGATGTCGTGAATCGCGTAGCGGAAAGCTAACTTTGTATTGTTTCTAGGGGTCGGGCCTTTCCTTGGCACTCTCCTTGCCGTCGTTTTCTACAAGTTCATCAAGACCTTGGAGTATGAGACGGCCAACCCTGGCGCGGACGGCGACCCTTTGAACGATCCTACTCAGAACCCCGCGAAGATGGCAGAGCTGCGCATGTCTCGTGTAAAGTCGGCCAAGCAAGGTTGAAACCAGACAACGAAATCAAAAGAACACGACAAAAAAAGGCACGCTAATGAGGGGAATGGATGTGGTTAATGATGATTTTTGATAATGATTTGCGACGTGTCAACAGGAAGTTATCATCTCCTGGCTGATTGATGACTACTTCTTATTTGACGATGAGAGACCTGATCAAGGAATGTCCCGCCACGGCCGGGCACCGACTGGGGAGTCTTGCTGAATGAACATATAGAAATTGGTTTTTTCAAGAAACTACTTGACGAAACAGTATGCATCATATCTTTTCATAGCCTCATAACTAGGTAGATCGCTTTGCAAAGCGGCTTACAACCGATTACTCAATTCTTCTAAAAACAACTTCTCCTCCGGCGTGATGAAAAGGCCTTCCGGCACAACAACTTCTCCCGGTCTCACAATCAGCACTGGATCCTCTCCCACAGTAGAATCGCCTTTGCTGCGCGCATCAATCTCGTCGTGTTTGGGCTCCCCCTTGCTTTCCACATCGTCCATGTCCCCACGGCGGCGCCTGCGTGGCACGCGGTGTAGCCGAAGGTCCTCGGGCGCCCACCAATACTGCGGGAAGCGCCGCTGGATATTGTTAATGAGTAATGCGACGACAAGCATCAGGGCGCAGCCGAGGAGCACAACGGGCACCAAGAACCACCCCAGGTGGACGACGCCGTCATCGACGACCGCGAGCAGCGCCGTCGCGCCAGCAGGGGGGTGAACCGTCTTCGTAAGCGCCATAACGGTCGTCGCCAGGGCGCATGACAAGGCCCCTCCCAGCCAGCGTACGGAATCAAAGTGCGGGCTCAGCTGGAACAGCTTGCAGATCGCTACCCCTACCACGGCGGACAAAAGTTGGCCGAAGACTGAGTTACGGGGCTGCGAGAGGGGCGATTCGATCGAGTAGAACTCTAAAACGGCGGCTGCGCCCTGCGGTCGAGTCAGCGCCGTGCTGGACGTCACTCACTCTGGCCGGTGAGATGCCGGCGCGTGTGTGGTCGGTGTCGTCACTCGAGAGGTATATGAAACGGGACGAGGGAGATGAGGTCCGAGCCTCCTCCTCCCAATCCCTGACGGTGCTTCTCCGTATGCCATTTTCGGTGTGTGGAAGGTGTGGGTACAGGTAATGTGCGCAGATTCAAGATGAAAAGGGGGAGGGGATTAACTTACAAAACTGCCCACAATAATGGGCGCGCCATGCTCTCTGAACGACGGTATCTGGCGAGAGACGATGGAGACCACGGCGACGCCGCAGAACACGCCAACACAGGCCCAAAAGATTGAAACGAGGTTGCCGACAGTTTCAGGCTTTGACTTGCGGTAGCCAAAAAAGTGAGAAATGGGATATGGAAGGTGTTTCCAAGGCGGAGGCGGTATGAAGGGATTGAGGAATCGATCAATGTCGACGTCCCACTTTCTTGGGTTGTAGCCCAACATTGGGTGTACTACCTTACGTATGCGATCGTCGTTGCGCCAAGTCCGGGGTAGGACTAATTAGAGAGTCTGGGGAGGCGGAGCCAATCTGCCAGGTGATGGGGAAAAGTTACCCCCTCAACGCATACAGAGTGGAAGCGTAACTCTTGCTTCTTTTAGCAATACTGCCTTTGTTGGTCTGACAAGTTGAACTCGAATGTGCCCATGTACTGTTCGGCAAGACTTGTCGAATAGTAGATGACTCGGAATAAGAGCACAAGTCGGGACAAGAGTAGTCGCGCCACGCACTGGTGGTCGCGATGTCGTGCGAAATGTGTCACACAGCAGCGTGGTGACAAGAGACTGGAACACCAACAGACGGGTTGACAAGTGACAGCAACATGGCCCTGCACATTCATCCAATTCGAGCCCATCTTAACCTGCCACGAGATCTGGGATCTCGCATTCCCTTTTAACGGCCCAGAGTGCCGCGGAGATTCAGCATCTACAGCGACCGGCTAGCTGTGCGTTCTGGTCATGACCGGGGTGCGCCACGTCATATTTGGTAACAAAAACGCCAAAAGAGGCTCAGGTGCCGGGCCTGGCGGGCTGCCACGGGGCATAAGTGGATCCTAAAACGGCCTTTCAAGGCTTGAAGCATCACCAAAGGCAAACTATTATCTAAGAGATGGCAAGTCGCCCATCCGATGACCGTCTCCGTTCAGCCAAGTGAGCTCTCGCACCGTCCTGGCGCACCTGGCCTAGACCCGGTTTTGTCGTTTGTCGTGGTGTTTGCTTGGGGGCGGCCTGTTGGTGGGGGAGAACTGGTCTTTATGCCTCCTCTTTTCCGCTGTCAATGTTGATAAATCTCCAGAATCCCGGGACGGGTTGCTCCTATCTCAGAGTTGCCGAGGAATCGGCCAAGATACCGATTAGAAGAGCGGAGTCTACAGATTTTGCCGTAGAAATTGTTCAGATGTGAGATGCCGACGCCACTACATCTGGTCAGCTCGGTTTCGAACCCTCAAAAACTGATGTGCTAGGGCCGCATAGATTGGAGTTCTCCCAGATACGGCTTCATCATTTACTCTTCCTTCGTCACCCAAGACGGCCCCCGCCGTTTTGCCAGTCAAGCCGGGCTCAACCCTTGTAGATCTCGAAATGACGCCTTGTCGCCAAGAAGCTTTGTGGCGCACCGAAGCATTTACCACCACATGTTACACAGTGCACCCCTGTGCCAGTTGCACCGACGCCGTTGGCAAGCAGACAATGGGGCACACAACATTCAAAAATCGTGCCGGATTGTGTCACCAAAAGATATGGTTTCAAAAATTGGTTGCTCCTCCCCTTGTAATCACGGTTGCAATCACAACATAACCCACCGGTGATACTAGCATAGACGTCAGCCATATCGTACGGCTGGCAACAATAGCCGATTCCCAAGGGTTCAGCCAAAATGACAAGGCGGTCAAAGCACGACAAATCGCCTGATATTTGTCCTGAAGCTCTTGGCGGCCTTGCGGCACCCAAATCAGCGCCCACGATCGATTGTTTCTCGACTTGTTTGTTTGTGTGTTTGCTTAACGCTGGTTCCGCCCGAACGAGCAAACTGATGGCTGGAAAGGTGAACAAATATAACTGTAACAACGTCGGCTAAAACATACATGTAGGCTTCGTGACATGATCAAGCTGCATTCATACATTTAGTAATTCTGCGTCACCACAAGCTTGGCAGCTCTTCTTCTTGGTTGTGTAACCCAACGCCGAGCAGCTTTTCAAATCATGCTGTGCGTACGAGCTTTTATACGTCTGCTTTGTTGCCCATACAGAATGATCCATATGATATCATGGAACTAATATCAATATGTTTGGGAGTTTATCCAATGCGAGTACTGAGTAACTGCTTCCAAGCAAAGTAGCATTAGAGACACATCGATCCTTTTGTGCCATAATGTATTGCTATTGGGGCAATATCTTGCATTGAAATCACGGTAAGACGCAATTTCGAGTGCTGGCAAGAGAGTTTCATAACAGCCGAGGTAATTTGGGCAGCCAAGACAATCGACTAGTCGTCATTGTTGACGTATTTTGTCATTTCCCCCCTACTTCTACCTGTTCTCAATTAGAATTGGCGAAAGCTTCTTACACGAACAGTCTGGTGCGCTCCAAAGCTTTATTAAATACCGGTGCCTGTTCCAATGCCCTCGAATGTCCTCAATATAGTATCCCGAGTTTTGGATGCAATTTCTTCAATCTCCTCACTCGTACTGGTATATGCAGGCGCAAGCAGGACATGATCACCCAAGACACCATCCTTTGTTCCGTTTCCAGGATACAAGCTAATACCAAAGTCGTTGAAACCAATCAAGTGAGTTTTGTTGGCAATGTCCTCCGATCTTGGAAACGGCTCCTTGCTTTGTTTGTCCTTGACAAACTCAATCTAGAGATGGAAATTAGAGCGCAAGTTCCCGTTTGACAAAATGTAGCGGTAGAGGTAGATACTTACCCCCCAAAACAGGCCTTTGCCTCGGATATTGCCAACTTGAGGATGGTCTTCCAAGTAGTACCGCAAGCGTTCCTCGAGAAGATTGCCCTGCTTTCGGACGTTGTCGATGAGGTTTTCTTCACGAATAATCCTTTGGACCTCTAGTGCAGCGGCGCATCCCACCGGGTGACCTTGATAAGTATGTCCATGGGAGAACGACCTGTGGTGTGATGAGTCAGTGACAGAGGTACAGGTAGAAGAAGCAAGGAGATCCCGCACCCGGTCCCGTTTCTGAGGGCATCCGCCACGCGGTGGTTGATCAGCATACCCGCCATGGGCGCGTACCCGCCGCCGAGGCCCTTTGCAAGTGTCTGAATATCAGGGACAACGCCTTCTTGCTGCCAAGCGTGTAAGGAGCCGCAGCGACCCATGCCCGACATGACCTCTATGTGCGTGTCAGTATCCCGTGCAAAATTTTTATTCGCGCGTCTCCGCGTTCTTACCATCCAAGATGAGAAGGGCGCCGTACTTGTCGCAGACCTTTCTCATGGCTTGGAAATATCCAGGCACAGCCGGAACACAACCTAGAGTCTGCATGAAGGTTGCATTAGAACAAGAGGGTTACTCAATGAGAAGGGACCGTAACGTACCGCGCCAACAACAGGCTCTGCAACGAATGCGCAAACGGTATGAGGGCCGAGCTCTTGGAATTTGCGATCTAGTTCATCGGCCAACTGAGCAACGTACTCCTCCACACTCTGTCCCTCGCGCATACCGCGATACGGGTTACAAGCCGATACCCTGGAAATATTGGGCAGCAGCATATCGAGAAAGAGACTCCGCCGCGCGACATGTCCGCTCATGGACAGCGAGCCAAGAGTGGTGCCGTGGTAGGATCCTTCTCTGGCAATGAAGTTGACTCGCTTAGACTGTTGAGGGGACAATTCCATAAAGTACTGCCGCGCCATCTTCATGGCGGATTCCATGGCCTCCGAGCCTGGCACATTGCAGTGTTAGTTCCAAAAGGCTTCGTATCCTTTCAAAAGAGGAAAAAGGGGTTGAGAAGTGTACCCGAGCACATGATGTACGCTTTTGACATGGCACCATCCGTGCCTGCAATGAGTTCATTGGCCAACTCCTCTCCAATTTCGTGGCCAAAGAACATGGAGTTGCAGTAAGCAAACTTATCAATTTGCTCAACCATGGCCTTCTTGACTCGTTCATTGTTCGATCCTATGCATGCGACTGCTGCGCCGCATGTTGAGTCTAGAATGGTCTGGCCATTGGAGAATGTCAAATACTTCCCGTTTGCCGATACGACGTGCGGAGGTGCGCTTTTGAGTGAGCGATGGAGGACTGCGCTCGCAGCGGGGACTTCTCTTTCGATAATGTGCGAAGCAGTTGCCATTGCGGCGAGAAATGTCTTGGATACTATGGGTTGGATGAGGTAGGAATCGGAATATGTCGCGTTGAGGCTTGCGTGAGGTGCTTGAAGACGCATGGAACTAGCGGGGTGCGAGTTGAAGATACATGTATGGTTCTATGTGTTTTAATCTACGTCGTTGTCATCTTCATCTGAAAAAGTGTCCGAGATTAGAGGCTGACACGGTATCATGTGGGTTCAAGGCGTATCTGCATGGCGTATCTGGCGTGTGTTGGGGCCTTGCATCATCGGCTCGGCTCCGGCTAAGGCGGGGTAGGAATGGATTCCGATCACGGTGGTCGTCCTGGATTTAGTTGTGAGCTTCAAATCTATTGGTTCAGTACTGCTCTCCGATTCATGGGCCACAAATACCTAGTCGCTGACAACACGCTCGATACAGCTAGTGTTTCTTTGAGCAATTTCTATCATTCTGACAGACCCACGTGGATCAACACCGATCCTCGAGTCCCGTACCTAAGTCAACAAAAGGTGCTCCCCAGTCTCGTCTAAAATGTCGGTCCAATCTGGTTTCTCAATCAAACCCGAACCCTTCCTTTGCCATACTTCTTCCAATATCATCAGAGAGCGAGAAATATTCTGGAATCGCCGTTTCTGCAACGTCATTTGCAATCGAACACGGACAGCATCCATATGTTCGTCTTCAGTGGCCTCGCCACCAGCAAGGAAGAGAGGAAAGAGAATTGCCGACTCGGTGTGGGATCCAACCGGAATATCGGATACGTGCCGGAGGATATTAGAGACCTGCGTCCGTATCTTTGTCGGCAGCATGCCCCATCGTGTTGCACTAAAGCTTTCGTCTTGAGTAGACCCTTCCTCCCAGCTCAGCCGATCCCTGATCAGTCGGAACAGAACTATCAAGACTGCGCTTCGAAACGCATGCGCCAGAGCAGCCAGTTCTGGAGCCGCGTCTGGCGTGCACCGCCACTCCTGCAGCTCTTGTTCGACTTCTTCGCAGGTGGCGTGAAAAAGCTCCGTTCTCCTCGTAATTTCCTCTGCTTCCATGCCACTATCGAGCCTAGTCTCTTCGTCGATGCTCCTCAACGTCGCGACATGGCGCAGAAGATCCATGGCAACACCAATATATGTATCGACGACGTCTGTGATGCCGTCCAGATAGCCGCAATCCAGCAAGGGTCGTCTTCGCATCGTAATGCTGCCAATCATGTCGTGATAGGCAAAGTTTCGAAGAATCCACTGGCCCTCGGAGCTCCTCTTGAAGACTTCCGGACCACGTAGAGTCACCCCTGCGCTCGACTTCGTCACGGCCGATTCAATAATGTGCTTGGCGCCGTTGAGGTGGGCACACCATCCGTCGTTGTCTCCCACACACACCTCGCCAATCATCAAGGCCAAGCAGGTTGCAGCTTTGGTCTCGTACCAAGCGCTTTCGTGCTGCGGCTGATTGAGCGCCGTGGCGAGGTTGGTGATTGCTGTCGAGTGTGCTTTCAAGGCTGAGACCTTATATGACTCATTCGAGAGTGATAAATGTCCCGACGCAAAAGATACTAGAGCATCGTAAAGCACACTCGACTCCATAGCCATGGGTAGGAAGGCTTGAGTAATTTGATCGTCAGCCAACAGATCATGAAGAAATGGGAATATGTCTGGTTTGAGTGAGGGTGAGAAAGTGTCAACGCACCCGAGAGAAAAGAGTTGAACTGCTCGCTTGCAGTCAGGTAGTGACTCAGCACTGTGATGTAGTACCGCATTACGTGCCGCTTCTGAGGTGGCTCGGCCTCATCCATACCAGGCGGTGAAGCAAGCAAAGGAAAACATGACGATAGTTGATAGGAGTTATCTCTCGGCGGTGATCGCGGCGTCTGTGGTATGCTCTTTTTCTGCACAGCCCAGGTAGTCGGTACAACATCACGAGCTGTCGATCGGACACATTTCAGATTCAATCTGGAGCATGTTCCGCAAATGGGAAATACGTTTTCGACGCATTTTTTTCTTCTGGACTCGAGAACAGCTTATCAGAATGGGAGGTCCGCGAGTGAGACAGGGTATTCGGTAACGGCCAGCTTACCGATATCGGCAGGTCAGACATCCCGTTTTGTCGTGTTTCGAGCCCTTGCGACGCCGTGTTTCTGACTGCGGAGGTGAAGAGATGACAACCTCGGTTTGGCCTTCCATTCTATGAGCCAAGCGACGTTCTATGATGAGACTCGGGCGTGTTGGGCGTAACAAGCAACAAACACGTGGGGGGGGGATCTTGATGTCAAGAGTGTGAAAAACAGGGACCCCTCCAATGGCCAACGCACGGTGAGTGGATTGCAATTTGCAGGGAGAATGAACGGAAATTCCCATGCAATTACGGTCCGTATTACTGGGACACTTGCCTGTTTTGGTCTAGCACCGCTGTGTCGGTACAAATGTCTTTCCCCGCGGACGACCGTCATTGGACCCTCGCTACTTTCTTTAGTCCTTCGACCGGTGCTTATTCGCTGATCTAAATAGAGAGACGTATCTCTTTTCTCTTCTTATCTTATCAATTACCCAGGGTTCATCCAGGTTTTTGGTCATTATCTTAATTGTCAGCCAATTACTTGCGTACATGACTCAAGCTTGGAGCCAGGACTAAGTAGCCACATAGAATTGCCAGAGGTTTCTCTCACCCCAAAGGTCACTATTATTCCGGAGTAGTAGTCTTCGCTCTGAATGTGCTACGTAATCAATCTCTTCGATGCTCAACACACAGTTGTCTCCAGCCTCTACGCCACAATTGCGCTTCAAACTCCAACACCAAAGAGGCCAGGCCCTCAAGCACGCTCGCCACTATCTTCAACCATTGTAACATGCGACACGCCCTTCACTTCTTCTTGTTGCAACTGCTCTTGGACGTCATGCCTGACCTTCTCATCTTCCGTGGGGTAAGCACGCTTGAACATGGTCCAAAGGGAGTGAGCAAAGAGATCGTCCATGGATTCGATGCTTCGGCCCTTGAGTTCGGGAAGACAGAAGAAGACAAAGATGACGCCAATGTACGTCATGATGGAAAAGAACAAGAATGTACCGTATTTCATGGTGCTCAGCATATGTGGCGTGGCGGAAGTGATGCCGTAGTTGACGATCCAGTTGGTGAAGAGGCAGCACGACATGCAAACCGATCGAACTCGCGAGGGGAAGATTTCAGCTGCCACGACGTAGGGGGCTACTGAGTAGCCAAAAGACCAGCCAAAGGCGTAAAGGTAAATCCTAAAAATTGTTCAGAAATGGAGATTACTGATGTGGGCCTTTTCCCAACTTACATGATGATGCCTACAATGCCGCCTGGGGTTGTTCCGCTGCCAGGTTCAACATCGGAAAAGCGAAGGAAGAGCCCGATGTAAAGCATAGCAGTTGCCTGGATAGTAGCGCCAATCATAAGAGGAAGGCGACGTCCAACTCGATCGACGATGACAGTGACGTAGATGATGGTCGTAGCAAGCTTCACAACTCCGTAGACTCCAGTTGTCAAGAGAGAGCTTGACCCTTTGGGAACTCCAATCATGGCAAATATTTGCGGCGCAAAGTAGTTTAGAGAGTCAGTACCTGAAGGCGCACCCTGTCAGCTTGCGAAATCATGACCTGGAGAGTATATGCATTAGCAGTACCTGTGAGCTTATGAAAAAGGAAGAGCATAACAGCGAGGAACAGTCGCCGCCGATTACTGGCGTCGGTGACGATGGCTTTCACCACCACCACATAACCATGGCCTTACAAGCGTGAGTGAAGAATTCTCTGGTCTTGATTTTGACACATGACCTACCCTTGGCTTGGCTCTGCTCGACTTCCGCCTGTGCCAAGATTTCCAGATACTCTTGGTGTACGTATGGGTGCTCGGCGGGCAAGCCTCTGAGCTTGCACAGATTCTTGAGGCCGCGCTCGTGTTTTCCTTTCGAGATGAGGGCTCGGGGAGTTTCGACGACGACTACCGAGATGTTTCAGTTAGCGTCATGATCACCGGCAACTTGAAGGTGCTGAGGTGCGGCATGGACTTACACCAGATGAGAGCAAAGAGGAAGAAGCCCGGTATCAACTGAATGCCCAGAGCGAGCTGCCAAGCCTTGTTGTTGTTGGGGTCCTGATTAGGCCAAAGACTGACTGCGTAGTTTACCCAAAACGCTATTGCGAGCGCCAGAATGATCATCAGGTTGTAGGATGTTGTAAGAGAGCCTCGAATCGACTTTGGGGAGTTTTCTGCCAGGTACTGGGGAGCCAGCTGTAGTTTTCCGCGTCAGCAATTGCTCGATTACTCCGAATACGCTGGGGTCCAAGACTCACCATAGAGGTCGCACCGATGGCCACTCCAGCCAAGAGTCTTCCGGCGTACAGAACATCCAAGTGGGGGACTTCTTGCATCGAGCATCCAACAAGAAACAGAGCAGCCATAGATGTCACGGCCTTCTTCCTTCCAAGAAAATCAGAGAGAGGTGCTGCTAGTAGAGCACCTGCAGTGCCACCGGCAGCCACTAAAGACGTCATGTTAGAAGTGGAGTGTTGACTATTACTCAAGTTTCCTTACACATGGCTGCTATGTTACCCTCTGTGTTGAGCTTTGGTCAGTAGTGGTTTGATTTAGGCCGGAAAGCAATGGCGGAATGCCCTACCTCGTGTGTTTGCTTCTTCCTCGCTTATAGCATCAAACCCAAAGGCCCGACGAAAAGACGGAAAAGTCAAGATTCCGCCGATATTCCCCTGGTCAAAGCCATACGAGCATCCCGCAAAGGCTATAGTGATGCCTAATAACAGAAGCTTCGAGTTGAAAATCTCCTTTGGATCCTTCTTCCAGTCGGGAGAAGCCCAAAGTGATGTTCCGCCGCCCATTTTGGAAGAGAATTCCGGCGAAGCTGATAGGACTGTGTATTGTGGAAAGGCGAGTTCGTCAGACCAGGAACTTTGTCGGTAGTTTTAGAACAAGGCAATGTAGAAGGTTGTAAACTGTATCATATACTCGGATACACTGACTCGATCACTTCACGACTGGGCCTAGCACTCAACCTCCCCCTACGGGCAGCAATTCCAACAGCCGAATTACCCCGCGTAACCCACAGCATTTGTCGAGCCATGGGTGCATGGTGAGTCCCTACGAGAACCAACCAAACCTGTAATCGGGGAGAAGGCCGCTGTCATGAGGTGTCATCAGGTTGCATCCAGTCGTGTTACTATTTGAATGTGATTGATCGCCATCTCTCAATCTCTGAAATGGGCCGCATCCAAGAGGCCAGGGCCTATGTTGCCTTTTCCGTGGACGTTGGCTGTGAGTGTTGTATCGTCCGAATAAGATGGAATAGGAAATTCGGAGACTTGTCCTGGCTCGTAACCTTCCAAACGCCTGTGACACGGAGCATGGACGGGGGTCTCGGGGGTTTTCCGGGAGGTTGTGAATTGCGGGGCCGGAAATCGTGCCGCCGGCGCTTAAAAGCGAGGGGCTGAATGCGGGGAACCATGAGAAGGAGACTCAGCAACATCCAGGTTGCACTTGACAGACGTAGTTCGACTCAATACATCAATAGGCCCCAGCCTAGCTCTGCAAGGTCATGGTACCGGTGAAGGATTGATAGCAGCTTGTCTACCAACACGCCTCGGTCAGCTTCTTGCTACTATTGGATTAGACAAGTGCCCCATTCTCTGAGTAGTAAGACCGAAGCAACTGAACCTGCAATGACTCCAAATCTGCAGACTGCCGCCATCCCCGCGGCAACAGTCCAGTCGCATGCTTCTAACCTACTCCAACTATCCGATCAGACACTTCTATGCGCGTGGTTCGGAGGGTCACAAGAAGGCCTCCCGGATATTAGCATCTGGCTATCTCGGCAAGAGCCCGGCTCAACTTCCTGGTCGGCTCCTCAGAAGATCTCTTCAGATACGAACCGAAGCTGCCAGAATCCGGTGCTCTTTCAAGCATCCGAGACAGGAGACATCTGGCTCTTCCATACGTCTCAAGATGCCGGAAATCAAGATGGAGCTATCGTCATGGCCCGTACATCAAGCGACAATGGCAAAACGTGGTCATCGCCCCGCTACCCTCTGAAAGGCGTCACTGGAGTGTTTGTGCGCCAGCCTCTTGTCGTTCTCCAGGATGGGACTTGGGTCCTTCCGGTGTTCCATTGCCGATCGACACCGGGCCAGAGGTGGATCGGCAACAACGACATCTCTGCAGTGTTTTCCTCCAGAGACGAGGGCCAAACATGGACAGAGAACGTGGTCCCTGACAGCATTGGCTCCGTACACATGAATATCGTTGCACCAAAGAGCCAAGGTTCCGAATACGTCGCCTTCTTCCGCAGCCGATGGGCCGACAACGTCTACCGCTCGACATCGCCTGACGGGCTGAATTGGACTCCTCCCAAGGCGACGTCTCTACCGAATCCCAATAGCGGCATCTGCGCGGCACGGCTGCCTTCAGGCAACCTGGCCATCGTGTTCAACCGTTCGGCCGCCGAACCCGACATGGCCAAGCGAGAGGGCCTCTACGATGACATTACACCAGAAGACGATAAGCGGCCGAACCAGGCATCGGTGAATGGAAAGAATGCGATATGGGGAACGCCACGGAAGACGTTGACGGTGGCTGTGTCTGGCGACAATGGCTTGACATGGAAGGGAAAGGTCCTCGAGGACGGCGATGGATTCTGTATGACGAATAACTCGATCGAGAAGACCAATCGAGAGCTGAGCTATCCCAGCATATTCATCGAGAAGGAAGCTGTGCATATTGCTTTCACATTCCATCGCCAGTACATCAAGTATGTGAGAATAGAAGACATAGAGGGTTGGCTAGATGAGGCTTAACTTCTTGAATTCCAGGACATCATCGCTGCGCATGCATAGTGGTTGTCTATTGAACCACTTTTCAAAGACGACAGAGAGAGAGAGACCACTTGTTTGTGACACTCGCTTATTAATACCCAAAGCACTTCGATTCTCGCCACCTTATCTGCGACAAGTTGTGTGTGCTGGATAATTGCAACATGTATCACGACAGTCTTGAGTACATGTACTCACTTGAGTACTCACCTACCGATTCTGCAGGAAAAATAATAGTTATTCAATTGCTATTGACATAAGTCACAAGGGTACGGATAATCGAGTTGATATGATGCATTTGTACATGGCTAACGTCTGGTATGATATGGAGAAAGGCTATTTGCTCCACGATCTTTGCTTCTCCGTCTCCCCAAGTACACCCAGTGTCTCCACAGCCCATTTCTTCGTCGCCTCACCGAGCGGTAGATACGGCCGTCTCATCTCCCAGGATGATTCATCAGTAATCCCAATGTCCCGACCGAGGAAGTGCCAAGCACCGTACTTTGTCAAGGCGATGCCCTTTTTACAAGCCCACTCCGCATTCGCCACGTCGTACTGCAGCTTGAGGGCCTCATCGGCCTTTCCGGCCTTCCACAAGTCGAATACGGCCGATGTCGAACCTGGAAAGATGTTTCCCATGCCCGTCACGCAGCCACTGCCTCCAGCCTGTAGCGTAGGAAGGAGATAGTCGCTGCTGCCACCAAAAACCCCAAACTGTTCATGCGTAAACTTGCTGGTCAAACGAGTCACCTTGCCGACGTTGCCGCAGGTCAACTTGACGGCCACGATATTGGGGTGCGACGCCAAGGCGGTCAACTGGTCCGAATCGAGATCCACGCCGGACGTGACGCCGGGAAAATTGTAGATGACGATCGGGATGGGAGAATTATCCGCAACGTCCCGGTAGAACCCCAATATCGCATCGTTGGACAGGGCCTTGGCCCAGTAGCTGGGCGGCAGCAACAGACCGAAATTCGCGCCCGCGGCGCCGGCGTCTTTGGCGTTGAGGATGGCTTCGCGGGTCGACTCTGCCGATATGCCGGCCACGATGGGGTAGTCTGGCTTCTGGAGGTCTCTGACTGCGCGCACCGCCGTCTCGACAATCGCTTTGCGCTCGTCCGCCGTGAGAAGGGCGAGTTCGCCGTTGGTGCCCAGATAGACGAGGCCGTGCATCCCGGCACGAACCAAGGCCTGGCATTGCTTGTATAGTGCGTCATGGTCCACGGGTTGCAGAGGATCGCCGGCTTTGTAGATTGTGACGACGGGGGTGTAGACCCCCTGCGGGAGGGGCTTTGACTTGGGTGCGATGGTGCTGGAAGGCATTGTGAAGGTACTCATGAGAATGAGGGGGAAAAAAAGAAAGGAGATCAGGTCTAGTAAGAGCACTCTGCCAGTGTTCTTGGGATGGGCACGAATAGTTAAAACTAAGATGACAGACGAGCAACTTCTCTTCCGGTTGAGACAGTCAACCCCTCCATAATATCCGACTCCAATTCTCAAGATGCGGAGACAATTGCGGAGAGCTTCTCGACCAGCTTGCTGCAAAGAATAGCGCACGGCTTCCGGGCCGATCACGCAACGAACCCACCTTTGTCTAGCCTAGGAAGCCTTTGGCAGCTTCGTCCAGTAGTATCAGCCATGTTTGAAGATTTGAACACTCGTGAGGAAGAATTCATGTGGCTGCAAGGCAGGATCAAGTCTTGCCGGCCATAGTCACTGACCATGTCTGTCCACGACCCACATCGGCGAGAATGCCGAAGCGTGGGGAACGAGCTTGCGGAGCTAACAGGGGTGGCAAAAGCGGCGGCCGGGAATGACGGGGATGTCGCGATCTGTGAAGGCGATCCGTGTTGCCCAGCAGGGCTCAGACAAATGCGGTGTAGGGTTGATAGGGTTCGACCGTGGCCGTGGCAACTTTGGAGAATGTGATCTAAACAATAGGCTATGCCAATTCGTTTTGCCGAGCTAGATTCCTTCTTCCAAGAGATCTATCTCTCTTGCGGTCTCCAGATATTTGGGACGTGCTTGTAAACCAGCGAGGGGCCGAGTCCAAACACATGTGAAATCCAAAAAAACACAATGACGACAAAGACACTGGAGAGCGAGAAAGCCACGATTAGTGTGGCTGATCTCAGTAAGCACAACACCAAGTCGGACTGCTGGATAGCAGTGCATTCCAAGGTCTGGGATATCACAGACTTCATCAACGAGCATCCGGGAGGTCCATCAGGTTAGTCTAGCCTACACCTGCTGGCTAGCTTTGGGAATGTCTTGCTGACAAGCGACCGACCCCTCCCAGTTCTTCTCAAATGCGCCGGCTCAAATGCCACCAAAATATTTGATGAAGTCCATGCGCCAGATATCCTTGAAGAGCTGCCGGACGAGAAATTCATCGGCATACTGAAAGATGCCACCCCAGATGTGCCTGCAGCTGCATCACAGCCAGAAACCAAGAATGGGGCAGTATCTGCACCGGCCGAGACTGCGCAAACATCCTCTGCCGAAGAAGACACCATACCGCCCCTAGAGGCCATCATCGGCGCCCCGGATCTAGAGGTTGTAGCCTCCAAGGCCATGACGCCAAAGACGTGGGCTTTCTACTCGTCTGCCGCCACCGATCTGATCACACACAAGAACAATAAGCAGCTCGTCAGACGCATCATGATCCGACCAAGGATTCTGAGAAATGTGTCGCACGTCGATATGAAGACGAATATCCTTGGACTTGAGAGCGCGGCTCCGTTCTTCATCTCGCCTGCTGCCATGGCGAAGCTCGTGCATCCAGATGGTGAGCTGGCTCTCAGCCGCGGCGCAGCAAACGAAGGCATCATTCAATGTGTAAGTTTCCCAAAGACGATCAATAGATAAGCGGGTGAGCTGATTATAAGACTCAAGATTTCGAGCAACGCATCCTACACCCTCAAATCCATCGTGTCCGCCGCTCCGCCGACGCAACCTTTCTTCTTCCAGCTCTACATCAACTCAGAACGTCACAAGACGATCGAGATCCTCCGATCCGCGCGCGCACTCGGTATCAAGGCTATTTTCGTGACTGTCGATGCTCCTGTCCCTGGGAAAAGAGAGGCAGACGAGCGTGCGGCCCAGGCGGGTACGATCCGAGCTGCCATCAGCGGCGCCGAAAGCAGCAAGGACAAGAAAGGCAGTGGGCTGGGACGCTTGATGGCGCAGTACATTGACAAGTCGATCACTTGGGAGGACCTCACCTGGATCAGAGAAGCAAGTGGGGTACCAATCGTGCTCAAAGGCGTCCAAACTGCCGACGACGTCAGGTTAGCAGTCGAGTATGGGGTTGAAGCAGTCTTCCTGAGCAACCATGGCGGTCGATCTCTCGATGGGTAAGTTGGCGAAACTCGAATACTGGACCTGTGATGAACCGAGATACTGACAACGTTTTGGGAATAAGGTCGCAAGCCTCGATCCTAGTCCTGTTGGAGCTGCGAGAACAGTGTCCCGAGATATTCGAAAAGCTAGAGGTCTACATCGACGGTGGCTTCGAGCGCGGCTCAGATATTCTCAAGGCTATCGCTCTTGGGGCTACTGCTGTAGGTGTTGGAAGACCGTTCCTGTACTCACTCGTGTACGGCCAGGACGGCGTAGAGCACCTCTCTCAGAGTAAGTACCCGGGCCCCCATCACATGTGTATGAGAAGTGTGAGCTAATGTTTGAACGCACACCAGTCCTTAAAGACGAGTTGGAGACTTCGATGAGACTGTGCGGCATCACTAGCCTCAGCCAAGCTACGCCCGCGATGGTGAATACGCTGGATATTGACCACCTGGTGGTTTCCGAGGATCGAGCCCGGCAAAAGAGGCCCTTGAGACGGCCACGATCGAAGCTCTAGCCGTAGCCGAGATATAGATAGGTGTATAGATTGATACCATGGCAATAGCACGTCGTTCATTCCGGGATACTGATTGTAGAACTGTTCGCATGATGTAATAAGATTGGAAGACTGTGTTGATATAGCTCAAAGCATGGTATCGATTCATCAAAGACGGGTAGACTCTTTGTTCTGCATCAAGAGCGACTTGGTAGCCCAAGTTGTAAATAGGATAGAGACGCATGTGATTAGAAACTTTCTAGCATTTGTTGGAAACATTGGAAAAAGTTTGGTGGATTTCATAAATATCATACGGGTCTGCGTGAACCAATCTATCCTGAGATCATGCCTTCAGGGTCTTTGCAAATGCCTCCACAGCTTCCAAAATTGTTCCGTCAGGTTCCAAGCCCAAGCTATACGCCCTGCTCACATCGAATCGAGCCGCCCACGTCTCTACAATAGCCAAGACGGCAGGGTCTCTCTTTTCTTCGATCAGGGCCAGTGCCTCCTTACCGCCAACCTTTTCCACCGCGTCAAGAATCTCCTGCACTGTGACGGTGATGCCGGGGAGGTTCACGATTCTCGATTCTCCAAACTTGTCTTTTGGCACGTCCTTGACCTTGACCAGGTTCTTCACAACCGTAGCGGGGCTACAGACCCAAACCTCGAGATCACGACCCACAGGCAACACATTCTTGATGCCCTTGAGAGACTCGCGAACGATACCCGACGCGAAACTCGACGCCGCCGCAGACGGCGCGCCAGGACGCACCGTCACCGTCGGAAGGCGCACGATGCGCCCGTCAATGAGCCCCCGTCGCGAAAAGTCCTCCACCAGCAGCTCGACAATGAGCTTCTCCGTCCCGTACGACGTCCGCGGCTTGGGCACCGTCTCGCTCTCGATGACGGGCTGGCGCGGGCCGTACACGGCGCACGAGCTGGTGAAGACGACCGTGGTGCCCGGGTAATTCTTCCGGAGGTGGTCGAGGACGGCGCGGACCGAGTCGAGGTTGACTTTGAGGCCCAGGTCGAGGTTCGCTTCCGCGCCGCCGGACATGAGGCCGTGCAGGAGGTAGACGGCGGAGAACTGCTTCGAGAGGAGAGAGCTCACCGCGTCCGGGTCGGTGAGGTCGGCTTTGAGGGACTTGATTTTGCTGCTATCCTCCCCTGCCACGTCGGCGGGGATGGGAGGTACGACTACATCGGTGATTGTCAGGGTTGTTGAGGGGTCGGATTGGATGAGGGCGGAGACGAGGGCCTGGCCGACGAAGCCAGCGGCGCCGGTTACGAGGATTTCGTTTGACATTTTGACTTTCAGCATGTGTCGATTCGACGTGAAGGGAGCTTATGAAAACAGAGTTTACTGTCAGAATTGTGTTCACGCGTCACTTCACAAACGAGACGCAATCGTGTTTCCCTCGGCTTTAACTGATCCGATCTCGCGGTACCCCCCATGAGGGGTACAGATCGCCAGCAGGATTGGCGTCGTCGGGGGTTCTCCTCATGCCTTCGAGAGTCACCGAACATAGCCGGCTGCAGATGGACGGAAATGCTGCCATTTGCGTGGTTCCGACTTTAGACCATGCAAGTCGGACAGGTCACCGATGCAGGCTGTCTAATCCGGACATCGGCGAGAATGCCGATGGCCCCCCCGGTGGATCTCCATCCGGGAGCTTCCCCGCACCATGAGAGGGGGATCGCGCAGTCGGAGGTTACAGGGATGATGAGTGATCCTGACGGCAGAGTTGGCGCCGATGAAGTGACGCCGAAGAGCGAGATGAAATGACGTGATGGTACAAAACAAAACTCCAAGGCTCCTTTGGGAATGCGAAGTGAGTGTTATTGCAGAGCGCTGCTAGTTTCTACAATCAAGCTCAGTCTATAGAGGAATCTCTAGTCATCAAGATTCGAAGCCGATATGGAATACGTGAGGTTAGTACTGCCATGCGCCTGAAATCTATCACTGCCTCATTACAATCTACACCCTCAAGTATCACCCGAGTGAAGCATCTTGAGCCTCTTTACCAATCTTCCCATAGCTAATAAACATCGTCCAGACTCGGCAACACAGGCCTCAAGGTCTCCAAGATCATCCTAGGATGCATGACCTTTGGCTCCTCCAAATGGGAGGGCTCACCATGGGTCCTCGACGAAGAAGAAGGACTCCAGATCCTCAAGGCCGCCTACGATAACGGCATCAACACCTGGGACACCGCAGACACCTACTCAAACGGAAAGTCCGAAGTCGTCATCGGCAAGGCCCTGAAGAAATTCAACATCCCGCGTCAAAAAGTCGTCATCCTCTCCAAGATCTTCAACCCCGTACCGGACGACGACTCCAGACCGGCCAGCGTCAACGACGGTCCGCTGGTCAACCAGATGGGTCTGAGCAGGAAACACGTCTTCCACGCCGTCGACCAGTGCCTTGAGCGCCTCGGCACGGATTACATTGGTAAGTCCCCAAGGAGCAAATATTAAGACGCGGGGGCACCGTGAGCGAGATCTGACATTCCACAGACGTCCTCCAGATCCACCGCCTCGACCGCGAAACACCGCCCGAAGAGATTATGCGAGCGCTCCACGACGTTGTGCAGTCCGGAAAAGTCCGCTACCTCGGCGCCTCGTCCATGTATACATGGGAATTCGCCCGCTTACAATACATTGCCCGCTCCAACGGCTGGACAGAGTTCGTCTCCATGCAGCCGTTTTATAATCTGCTCTACCGCGAGGAGGAGCGAGAGATGCTGCCGTTCTGCCGAGCGAGCGGCGTGGGCGTAATCCCGTGGTCGCCCATCGCCCGCGGGCTGCTGGCGAAGCCCCTCGCCAAAGACAATGAGGAAGGGACGACGTCGCTGCGTAGTCAGACGGACAAGAAGACGCAGGCGTGGTTTGCGGACGCCAACCTGGACATTGTCAACCGTGTCGAGGAGGTTGCGAAGAAGCGGGGTGTTAGTATGGCGCTCGTGTCGACGGCCTGGGTGCTGCAGCAGGGCTGCTGGCCGATTGTGGGCTTGAGTTCGGAGAAGAGGGTCAAGGAGACGATAGGGGCACTCAGGGTGAAGTTGACAGAGGAGGAACTCAAGTACTTGGAGAGCGAATACCGGCCAAGGAATATTCAGGGTATGTAAACAGTTACAAGAATACGAATAATGAGTTTGGAGAGACAAGGAAGAGCTGTACCATTTTCCCTCTCAAGGTCATGAGCTGGGCCTGGTCATCTGATAGTCCACGTTTGCAAAGTCTTCTTCCACCAGTGATGTGCTATCCGCGTTCAAAGCCGTCACATCAAATTGAAACACCGGGGACAGACCGAAGCTCATGTCATAATCGAAGAAGAACTCCCCTTCGGGACCCATCAACGTCCCGTCAGCGCTACCACCGGCGAGCTGGGGATCCATCACCCCTTGCGAATGAGCCCCGTTGACCGGCTGCGCCTCCAGCACTTGCGCCGACGCTTCTCCCCGGCCGCTCTTCAACGTCCTGGCCATGCGCTCAAGACCTGGCGCCATGAGGTTCGCCAAATGCCACCGGCCGGCGGGTAGAGAGCGGAAGTGCCGCACGAGGTTCGTCGTCAGGTTCCAGACGCGTTCCGGCTCGATCAGGTCGCCGCCGTACTTGACTGCCACCTTGATGAGGAACATGCAGGCAAAAGCCGTCATGCAGTGCAGGTACGACGGCATGCCCACCACGCCCGCGGCAACGTCCGGGTCGGTGATGATGAATTCAATGGTCGACGTGGCCACAGAGATGGCCGTTGCGGCACAGTCGAGGAAGTGGTGTGGGATCGGGCTGTCTCCCGAGAGACCTCGGAAGATGTGGGAGTAGAGATGGAGCTTGGCAAAGTGGAAGTGTAAAAGGGCGCCTTTGCGAGGGAAGCGGCCGATATGTTGGTATTGTTCTGGAGTGAAGATTAGTTTATCGTCATCTGACACAAGTAGAGTAAGGAACCGACGCACCTGACAGCGTTTCTGACCAATGTTTAATCCAGTGATCGAGTTCCTTGTTGAAGTGAGTGATTTGGTGCACGTAGGCCCGTGGCGTCGGTTGACCCTTGTCAGGCCCGAATAGCTCCCTAATACTGCCAATGATCCCCAGGAGGGCAACCTGGCTTGCGAGACGCTTGTCTTCCTCGGTCGATATCGGTGACTCGAGGAAGCTTTCCCACTGCTGCATGGACGAGTCCTCCTGCACAATCGCCGGCCTCCCATACAACGTGGCAAGATGTTGGTCGCAAATGTTCAAAATGTACCACAGCCGCGCACCGTCCGCAGCTTCTTCGCTCTTCTCCTGGATGGCGCGAGTATAGCTGTTGTGCAGGTTGCACTCCGCCGCTCTCCTGATGGCGTACCCCGACAGCATCCACGACATGTCGGAGAGCCAGTACGATGCCACGCACATGGCGCGGAGGTAATCCCTGTTGACTCGCCTGTCAAACATGGACCTCTCAGTGAGCCGTCGGAACTCGGAGCTGCAGATGCCGTAGAGACTGTTTGCTCGGGGATCGTGCAGCGCGGCGACGGTGAGGGTCGCCGCGGCCAGAATTGGACTCTTGCGCCGCAACTCATCGAGCTGCTGGTACTTGCACCCCACGCCGTACATGAAAGCATCGAGACGGTCTCGGTAGAGACAGAAAAGGCGTTCGGCGTCGTCCAGACGCAGGGCACCGCGGGCAATAAAGTCGTCCTGGGCCGGGCTCGAGTGGCCTTCGGGCGCGTCTGGCGACCTCAGAGCTCTCAGCTTGGTGAGGGCGTAGAGTGAGTGAATCGGGACGTGGGGGAGGTTCTCGTCTTCGGGGGATATCTTGGGCGAGTTGTCGCACGACGGGCCGTGGTTGTCCTGCCCGGGGACGCCGAAACGGGTTCCGTTCCTAGCCAGGCCGGGACCGGAGCGGCTTTGCTGTGACGGGGATTCTGCCGATTTTTGAAGGGTCGAACTCTGCAGTGCCGCTGGTTCGGGAAGACCCATCTTCTTGGTGACTTCCCTCAGCGTGTTGTGCAGGTTTTCAATGTCTTGTAAGACTGCCTCGTTGTACCTAGTGACCTGTGAGTTACGTGATGGTTTTACTCATTTTGGGGATTAGGTTTTACTGTGTTTTTTCGTCAATGATACTCTGCAGGTTCTTGCCCAAGACGCAGCCTAGGTTCCTTTCAGAACACCGCCGACACGGTGGCCCGCTCTCGTCCATTAGACATTTGATCTTGGAGGCTCAGTTAGACTCGAGACTCTTTCATCATAACAATCCGTTAAAGCCATGCGTACCTTGTGCTTCCTACAGGCGGCACATGCCTTGATTTTCCGAGATATTTGTGGAAATGACTGCTCCCCATTGCCGGCGGTCATCAACTACATCGAGAGTATCAGCAATTGCACATGTCATCTGCACAAGTCAAGCAAAGAACATCAATCCTACCGTCATAAACTCCATGCTGTCATTCGCATCAGACCAACTCCTTTTCGCCATGGCTGAAACCTCGAGCCTCCCGGATGAGGCTGGCTACAGAATCTCACACTCAAATCCGAGGTTTGGATGATTGGAGTCGTCGGCCGTGAGGAGGGAGTGAAAAGAGGAGAAAACTCGGCTCCAAAACACGTAATGGCCCGCGCGAAGTCGATCGCGTGGTCGGCACCTGTGCGGAGAAAGATCAGGAGGCTAACGCCGTCCGTCGAAGTGTCGAGGAGTGTGTGACAAGGTCCCCCCGCGGCAGCTTAGAAAGCAGTTGGAGATGATTGAAGGCTCAAAGTTGGCCCCGCTTCCCCGCATCCTAAGGGGATCTTGTCCCTCAACATTGTCCCACATCCGCGGCTATGTACATTCGCCTTGGTTCACACACAAGAAACCTGAGATCTCTTCCTCTTCACTGAACCCCAACAAGGGTAGATGAACTGCGCAATGAAATCTAGCTCTTCCAGAGTGCTGACTGCAAGATCTTTTGTCTACAGAAGCCCTGCTTGAACTTTGGTTTCGTTACAGCAACGACTGAGCCTCATATGGAGATGTAATCAAATACCCGTTTTCATCGGGCTTGTAGATTCTAGCTGTCATTGGTAGAAGTCTGTTTGTTTGTTTGATTGTTTAACGCCGGTTCTACCCGTGAGGATAAAGGGCGCCTAATCAGTGCAAAATTATACGCATTCACACATCCTAGCTCAGAACAATTCTGGTCACGATATTGAACGGATTCGTGGTCGCTGGATAAGGAGCCGATAGTTCCCGTCAATCTTCAATGGGGCAAACAAGCTTTGGGGGGCTGAAACAATGCGCCGACAGCTATCCCCATTCTTCGCCGTCTTTTGGGCAAACGTTCTACAGCGGAGGCGAAAGAAGCTTTGCCAAGCCATTCGGCCATGAACCAATTATGTATAGTAGGACCATTTTACTGGCCCCATGTTGTATTTCTGCATGCTTCATAGGCCCTCAGCCCCGCAACCAACCCTGGTCGAACGCGACAAGAGAATGAGCCACCTGAGCCCAAAATCACAAACTAGGAATGGCATCGCATGGCACTGGCTTAGAGAGAGCCAGGATGGTCAACTCACAGACCTCTTTTCCTAGGGAGCTTTCCCATGCTGCCGGAAGCTTGGGGTGGATGAACTACGCGTCGTCCCAAAACTTCCACGTCCTGTGCAACCATGTCCCCGGGCTCCCTCTTCCAGAAGTCTGATGTATAAAGGAGTCCACAGAGGGACTGATGAGGCATCATGTCATGCGCATTTTCTTGCACCAGCCTCTGCCAGCTGATTACATTTATCGCAACTCACCATCGACTCCATGACCGCGCGACGATGATGTTCCCAGTGCTCGTGGCGGCTTTTGCTGTATCACAAGCTCTCGCCAGCCCGCTGGCTGAGCGCCCATGTGGGAACTCAACTTCGAAGCAAAGCCATCGGAATCTTTTATACGTCACCAATTATGGCATCTATGGAGCGGGCTACAACCCCGATAGTCTTCCCGTACGTGACATCACGCATGTCTTGTACGCTTTCGCGGACATTGAACCAAACGGAACAGTGTAAGTCCAAGAATCTCCTGCAACTAGCCGAATAATACTAATTTCCGTCTTTTATAGAATCTCTTCGGATCCATGGGCGGACACCGGAAAGCCCTTTGGCAACGAAAGCACCACAGAGCCCGGCAACAACGCCTACGGCCTAGTCAAACAGCTCTACCTCAAGAAAATGACCAACAGAAACCTGAAAGTCGTCCTCTCCATCGGCGGCTACAACTGGTCCCCCAAATTCGAACCCGTCGCCGCAGACGAAACCCGCCGCGCCACCTTTGTCTCCTCCGCCATCAAGCTTATGTCCGACTTTGGCATGGACGGCCTCGACCTCGACTACGAATTCCCAAACACCACAGACAAGAACGAAAACTGCATCAAGCTCCTCTCCGAGCTCCGTGCCGGCTTGGACAGCTACTCGGCAAAGTACGCCGACGGCTACCACTTCACCCTCGGTTTCCCCGCGCCCGCGGGCCCCCAGAACTACAAGGCCTTTGACTTTAAAGCCATGGACAAGTCGCTCGATTTCTGGTCGCTCATGGCCTTTGACTTTGCGGGCGGCTGGGAGAACACCACGGGCCACCAGTCCAACGTCTTCCCCAGCACGCGGAATCCGCAAAGCACAAAGGCGAGCGTCGAGCGGGCTTTTGCGGACTACGTTGACGGGGGAGGGATCTCGCCGGCAAAGATCAACCTCGGCGTGCCTCTCTATGGTCGCGCGTTTAGCAACACAAAGGGCCTCGGGAAGACGTACGGCGGGTTGCCAAACGGCACGCTCGGCCAGGCTGGGATCTATCTCTACAAAGACCTCCCTCGGCCCGGCGCGACGGTGCACTGGGATGGCACAGCCAAGGCCACGTATTCGTACGACAACGCGACCCGGGAATTGGTAACATTTGATGATTTGAAGAGCGTAAAGTATAAGCAGGCCTACATCAAGAAGAAGAATTTGGGCGGTGCCATGTTTTGGGACGCGGCGGGGGACAAGGCGGGGAACGAGAGCCTCGTTCACCGTATGGCCAAAGGGATGGGCAAACTTGAAAAATCGCAGAACTTGCTCTCGTACCCGACTTCTCAGTACGACAATATCCGCAACGGGATGAAGAGCAACTCTACCAGGGCACTGTGAAGTTCGTTGGGATTCGCTGAGAGCCGCCTTGCAGGACTCGTGCTGCTTCATGTCCGCCATTCCACTCTGATGCTAGGGGTCGAGCTTACTGTACGTGCCAGTACCATGGTACCGGACGGTATTCTTCTTTTCTTCAATGTACATATTCTCACAGGATAATTCCTGCTTCTCTAAATTTCTCAAACGCCTCCAGCCAGCCCTCAATGGGGTCTCTTTCTTCCGTGAACCCAACTGACCTCAGTCTCTGCAAGCTCAGTTGTCGGTCAAAAGACAACCAGTACCCGACACTGTCAAGCTGGACACTTCCACCGCCTACACCAGCAACAGCGGCCCTGCTGCGGCCCTGCTCTTCAAAAATGTGCTTGTGGATCCGAACATACTCCCCAGGTTTCTCTGCCCTGTCGTTCTCCTTTGGTCCAACTCCCACTAATCCAAACCAACTCGCCAGCACAGGCCAGAGGTCACTACACTTGGTAGGCTGCTCTCTATCCGCCATATTGATCACCTTTCCACCGCACTCGTCACCGTGAAGCGAGGCGTGAATAGCAATGCGACCAAGCTTTCGAGAAGAGACGGGGGTGGACAAGCTATTGTACCCCTCTCGCGTTCCAGGAAACGGGACCTCAATGTCGGCCTTGGACCGCCCGTCCACCGCGTGGTTGAAGGCGTAGAGGGAGAGGTACTGCGCCCAGTGGAGTGCCAGCGAGAAGCCAGACCCGTTTGGCGTGAAGCCGATGACCGCGTCCGGGCAAACTTCCGACCAGGTCCACGGCTTGCCTTTGCTCGCCTCTGCGAGCATCTTTCTCCACCAGGGGTACGCTACCGTCTTTGCGTAGTCCTCGGGGAGGTTGTCCGCCATTGACTCCTCCAAGGGGGGCTTGAAAGTTCCGCCGGGCGTGTAAATTCCGTAACCCTGTGTAACAAGGGTCAGTTCGACGTATTCCAACATGAGGAGTCAGGATGGAAACCACAGACTCTTGTTCCCCCGGCGTAGACGAATGCTTTGAGATTTGTCGATAGCGAGGTGACCGCCTCAACAACCCTCTGCATCATGCCACAGTTCGTCTCACACTCAACAACATCATCCCCATTGCCCTGGTTAAAAACTGCAGGAGTGATGAAGAATTAGTCGCGATCGCCAAACCATGGTGTTGACACCCTTCGACGTTCAAAAAGCTTACCGAAATAGAAAACATGAGTGACCGTCTCTACTGCATCGATTTTGCCCTTCAGCTGCGAAGTGAGATCATCCAATGTCCCAGTCAGGTTGACACCCGATGCAAGCTGGAGTCTGGGCCTATTCGGCGAGTCTCTTGGCCAGAACGAGTCGGACTCTGACAGCGGGCGGTTCATGACAGCGGTGACCTTGTCAAAGGAGCCTTTGGCGGGGTAGTTTGAGAGCAGCTGCTCGACTGTCGCCCAACCGAGGAGGCCAGAGGCGCCAAAGACGATAGCATGGTTCGATTCTGACATAATCAAGATTGTTTTTTAAACAAAAGTTGCAGGAATAGTTGGACAAGGAATGTACTGGAATGCCCGGGATCTTAGCTGGATATAGAGGTCCTCGACTTTCTTTGAACTGTGCTAAGAGCGGTACTGGCACGTGCCAAACTAGATCTTTCAGGGATCAAGCCGATCTGCTAGTGCTCTATAGACCAATGAGAGTCGACAATTATACTGAGCCATGATGATTCATAGTGGGTTTTCATAGTAAGTAGAAAATGATGTCTCTATACTATGCAAGCCGCCGGGTCATCAGAGATCCGTTCTATGACTTTTATGAAAACCTCATTATCGGGGGGACAAACAAACTGGCTGCGTAACAGGTCACGGGGTGCCTTTCATCTTCTTGTACGAGTACCATGCGAGCACGAACACCTCAAACTTTGTCCCACGACTCATTCGGCGACATCGTTCGGCCTTCAAGCGTTTCAAAAATTAGGTAGCCAAGAATTCTCTTTGTGAATATCGTGTATCTAGGAAATCTCGTCAATGAGATAACTGACTCCCTAAATGAATGTCCGCAAACGGGACGACAAGGACTTGTCAGTGGGGAGAAAAACACCTGAGACAGGCTCATGAACATTGATTGAAATGTTTGTCCCGGGTGCATAATGTCCGAAGTATCGGAAAGTAAGAAAAGTGACTTGATTTGGGTATCATAATTGCATTCATTTTCAACACCACGCTACGCGTATTCGACACCCTAGTCCAATGTTCAAGGCAAGTCCGTATTCAAGACTGAGTGTAGGTAGGATGCATTAGGTCTGTAGAATCCGGCGTCATTTTCAACATCTCGTCCTGTCTCCTACCCGCCTCTCTCTCTCCCATCCCTTACACCTCGCCCCCTTCATGTTACCACCATTGACCGAGACGACTGTTTTTTCCCTAAAAAAGAATCTCCTCACGGCATGGTCATCCAAATCCCCGTCATAAAAAACAACGCGCCCGCACACACAAAAATAATATTTGTCGAGATATCCAGCGGCGCAGCAGGCGGGATATTCGAAAACTGCAAGACGGTGCGAATCGTAAAATTGTTGGCAGCCTCTTGGATCGCCAGCGCCGTCAAGTTCCCACAGGCCTCGTTCAGGGCGCGGTCCATGATGACGCTCGGCAGCTTGAGGATGGCGGTGTCGAGGACCTCGGCGTTGAACTGGTTCCCGTTGGGCGAGGCCTCGAAAAAGGTGGCGCGGTAGGTGCTGTTGGCGCCGACGGTGGAGAGGTTGGCGATGCGGGAGTACTCGCCGCACGACATGATTGTCGACTGGGCGGCGGGCGTCGTCGGGTTTGTTTGGCGGACGACGATGGCTGGGCCCGGGACGCTGATTGCTTTGCCGAGGGCGGCGGTGCTCATGAGGGAGACTGCCAGGAAGATGTTGGTGAGGATCGACTGCTGCATCTTGGCTTTTGGGTGTGCGCTTCTCGTTGTGACGTCGGACTCGGACGGAAGAGATGAGATTCGAGGGAGGGGGATTAGTCGATGATGTAGTATCAGAGGGATATCGGGAGACGAGGGTAGTATCGAGAGATGCTGCAAGTTAACTGTAAGGACCGCGACAGAAACCAGCCGATACAAGTTGACAGCCCAAAAGTTTAAAAAAGTGGCCGGCCACTGAGAAGTGAAGGAATACACCCCGAAATCAGGAAAGGAATAATGAGACAGAAAAGAAGGATGACTCGGGGAAAAGGAGGGAAGAGTAGCAGCAGACGACTGAAAAAGAATGACCCAGGAAGTCTGTGTTGTGTTATATGTGCCATAATTGGCATGGGGGTGTTCCTGTCAGTGCAAGGGGCTGGAGCGTCTGAGACGAGATGACACATTTGGGATCTCAGATCAGACGGTCTGTTGTCTTGGGTGAAAGCCACACCAGAGACCAGACTTGGGATGCCGCGGCTAGCTTTATTCTTGGAGCTACTTCAATACATTCGGGGCCGCTGGATTCGCCGATACTTTCTCTCCGTGTACAAGACTGAAGTTCAAGAGAAAAGAGTAACCTTAACCTCCTGCAACACGGATATTGTGAATAAGAATAAGCTCAGCAGACGGAGCAAACCCAAAGGCTTAGGATCACCAAGCAGAATGTCTCACAATTCTGCCCCCTCAAGCACAGACCAATCAACCACGACAAAAAAGACGAGAAAGATGTGGTTCGGCTGTGGCCCCCTCCTGTTTGATCCTCCCTCTGGCACGACGGTCGATGTTTGTGGTCGCCATCAGCATGACGAGCCCGAGGAATCGGGCCAGCGACATCGGTCAGACAGGAAATTTGGCCTGGTGAGCCGAGAAGCAACCACCCGCCGTTGCTTGGTTTCTTCCTCCCTTTTTATGCTTTCTGACGTCCTGCGTCATGAGACCAAAGACAACGAGAGACTGATTGGGGGACTTGGCTTTGGCAGGTTACCGGGGTGGCTAGGGCCACAGCTAATCATGCTGCCTCACTCAAAAAGTCTCGCGTGGTCGTCCAGTGTCATTATCATCATTCGTCAACGGCCTAACGCCATCCCATCGTTGCCGGCGTCTACGTGCCGACACACCCGTCGACTGCCGGGTCTAGACCGGAGCGAGTCTCCGATTCATCACTCAAGGTCCAATAATGTCTATCAAGCAAAAACTTTCAATGTCCTCTCAATCCCGCATAATACCAATCCAAGCAACCTTAGTCGTTGTCTCCCACCGCAGACACAATTGCTCTCCTAGCCCTCTTCCCCTTGCCCTGAACCGGCTTCTGCATCTTGCCCCCCAGCCCCCCCAAGCTCAACGGCTTCGGCTCCACAGGCACGACGCCACACTTGATGCTCATGCTCGCAAAGAACCCGCCCACGGGCCTCACCTCGTTCTGAAAGACGGCCACATTCGAAAACGAAGTGCACCGCTCCCCGCGGAACAACTTCGCCTCGCACCCGTCCGCCTTGTTGCCCATGAACACGCCACACTGCGCCGTCCCCGGCAGATTGTAGCACTGCCCGTCTTTTGACGTATAGATGGGCTCCGTCGATGCGTTTAGGGGCAGCGCCATGTCTACAAAGGCCGCGCCGCGGCAGGTTTTCACGCCGGGGGCGCTGGGGAACAGACGGACTGTGATGGGGACCGGCGGCTTTTGTTCTTGGAGTGGTGGTGGTGGTGGTGGTGAGATGGCATTGTTTGGCTGGGACATGTCGACTTGGTCGGCCGTCGCGATCGGTTTCGGCGGTGGTGGTGGGGAGAGAGGTGGATCGTCCCGGTCGACGACTTGAGGCATCGCGAGGGTTGCTGAGGCGAGCCACGCGACCACCAGGGTGGCCCGTACGAGCGGATTTGAGGATATTCGCATTTTTTTTCTTGTGCTGTGCTCGACTCAATGAAGAATCTTTGAAGTTGTAGAAGCAGAACACTACACCAACCTTCGGAAGTTGTCCCCGTTCCCATCAAAAGTTGGCGCCGCGCTGGTGAGACGACTGGCGAAGGCAGAACGCCAAGATGCATCACTCTCGTTTCAGACCGCCTCCTTATGCCAATCCGCACGGATACAATGCTGAAACACCGCTCTAAAGGCCTCACGAGTCTCATAGACCTCGATTATAAATATCGTCTGTACCAAATGATGGAATGATTGAATTAGAAGGTGTAATCAGGGCCTCTGCCCAACCCCCAGGGCGGTATATGCAACAACACGACTTGGTATCTGAATCTCTAAATCTTTGAACAACACACACAACTATCACCGCCCCTCCCTCACCAAGCACCATCGTACATGTACATATCATGGACACTTGACCAACTCTAACCGCTCTTGAGGACTGACTCAGCCGACGATCTCTGCCCATCACTCTTGCTCTCCGCATTCAAAATCGCACTCTCCACAGCCGCAGCAACATCAATATGGAAAAAGGGCCTATTCATACCCTGCACAGCAGCAAGCGTCCCATCCCCGCGTCCCACAACCCGCGCAACAGCACCATCATGACCCTTGCTCGACGGTGAAATGACATCCTGCGCTTCCTCCTCCTGATCGCGGCTACGCTGCGACGTGACGCGCGGCGCGTGGCCAGACCCAGAGTCCACGGGCGCGAAGCTGTAAATGGGCTTCCACCGGCCAAAGTTGCCCTCGTCCTTGACCGAGGGGAACCCGAAGCCCGCGGCGGCGAGGGCGCGGCGCGTCCAGCGGTTGTTGACGTTGGCAAAGTGCCACTCGACCACCTCGGGCTCGGCGTAGTGGTCCAGCGCGTTGCGGACGTCGATGAGGCCCTGGATCGAGGTGACGTCAATGTTGTTGACGGCCGAGCAGTCTAGGATGATGGCGCGGACGATGGGCCGGGTGTCGTCCAGGTCAATCTTTGCGCCGCGGCGGGGGCCCGGGTCGTTCCAGGGACGGTCCTGTTGGGTGTTTGTCAGTATCAGAGGTGATGGGGGAGGTTTGAGGGGTGTGGAGTATGTTCACTTACACCCAGCTTCTCGTAGCGATCAAGGATTGTCCGTCTGGCGTGCTTCTGCACAAATGCGACCAAGCCATCCATGTAGTGCGCCTGGTTGGTGTAGTTGAAGCCCTCGCCGAACCGGTACACAAAGACACCAGGGTACGGAGTCTGCACGTCGATGCTGGGGTTCGAGCCGTCGTCCTGCTCGAGAGGGATGTACGTCTCGCGGGAAGGACTCTCAACGGCCTCGCCCTGGTCGTGGAACGGGACGCCCCCGCCGGCGGTGTCCTTTGTGGCGCGGTAGACCTTGACGCGGCCGAGGAAGTGGCCCTTTGCCTTTGCGAGGCGCACCAGCAGGAGGGCGAGGGAGGCGCACATGGTCAGGTAGATGCCGTTTTCAATGGTGGTGAAGATGGTGAGGAGGACGCCGGCGAAGAAGATGACAACCTCGAGGGGCGAGACCTCCCAGAACTGGTACACGACCTTGGGGGGCGTGATGAGGTCGCCGACGGCGTGGATGATGAGGCCGGCGAGGGTGGCCATGGGGATGTAGAAGAAGACCGAGGTCAGGGCGTACAGGGCCAGGAGCACAATGACGGCGGTGAAGATGCCGGCGAGCGGGGTGCGGACGCCGGCCTTGGACTTGATGGCCGTTCGGGAGAAGGAGCCTGTGGCCGGGTAGGCGCCGAGGAAGGGTCCGAAAAGGTTGGTGAAGCCGACGGCGACGAGCTCCTGGGAGGGGTTGATGACGTAGTTGTTTACTCGTCCAAAGGACTTTGAAATGGCAATGTGCTCGATGATGAGGACGATGATGGTGACGGGCAGATCGGGCGCCACGGCACCCAGAAGCTCGGTGTCGATCTTGGGGGCGCCCGTGTGCTGGAAACCGCTGGGGACCTTGCCGAGGATCTTGAACTTTGCCTTCTTGGCATCCCAGTTGACGTGGCGGTTGACGAGCCAGCTGATGAGGACGTACAGGAGAATGACAAAGGCCATGCGGAGCGTCGACACGAAGAACCAAAACTTCTTGCGGTGGGGTTGCTTCTCCGACAGGAAGTTGCAGAACCAGCGGATAAAGTACAGCAGAAACAGCGCAGTGAGACCCATGGCGGCGTCGAGTCTGGCGGTGGGCAGCGCCTTCAAAAAGTCAATGATGACCTGGTACGTCGCGTTGCGCGTGTTAACGCCCTGGAGACCGAGGAGGGCGGGAACCTGGCCGGCGGCGATGCTGATAGCGGCGCCGGTCATGAAGGAGGTGATTGCCACGAGGGGGATGAACTCGACGATCCAGCCGAGACGGACGAGGCCGATGAACAAGAGCACGGCACCCGAGATGACGGCCAGGGCCTGGGCGATTTGGGGCCCGTCGTATTGCGGGTGGGAGTCCTTGACCCGGAGGACGATGTTGCCGACGAGTTGGGACATGACGGCGACGGTTCCGATGGTGATGTCCTTGGAGGTTGCAAAGGCCCAGTAGAGGATGAAGCCGACGAATGAGGTGTAGAGGCCGTACTCGGGGGTCAATTGGGCGAGGAGGGCGTAGGCCATGCCTTGGGGGATGACTACGAAGCCGACGGTGACACCTGCATAAGATTTGATGTTAGCGAGCAATACACCTTCTCTGAGTGGTGGAATAAGAGCGCGGATGTGGCATCGCGAGAGATATCACGGAGTGTACGCTGCGTAAAATCCAATGGTGATACACGAGGAAAAAGACATACCAGCAATAATGTCTCCCAAAAGCCAAGTTGCATTATAGTGAAAGATCCAGGACCAAAAGGGGAACAAGCTCTTGATGTAGTTCACGACACCATGAACCGTAGGCCGGTGGTCATGGAGGAACTCGGCGACGGTAGGCTCTCTCTCCTCGTACTGCTCGACGGAGCGGAACGAGGCGGCGGCGGACTGGACGGCCTCGGTGGGCTCGTTGCGGTACCGGGCATCGACGTCGATGCCGAGGCCCCTGGCCAAGGTCCTTCCGACCTTGCTGGACATGGCGAAAGGCGCGTCCGGGGCGACGTTCTGCTGTGTGAAGTGTTTCCCAAGAGGTCAATCCGAATGACTTTGTGTCCCAGGAAACAGATAACACTCGGTGACGGGAAGATGTAATATCTTGTGATGAAGAGTTCAATGGGAAGAAACACCACAGAAGAGAAGGCGACGAGGTCGACTAATAAGATTTCTGCCTGTGCCGAGAGACGATACGACACAAACGAGGCATATTGGGGGAAGGGACGCCCCGGGACTGGGAACCTTATATGCGGCGACGACAAGAAACTGACAAGAAACGACAAGAGGCCCGCGATGATGCTATTCCCCTCTTGGAAGCAAAGCTTGGCCGCGTCGCCAAGAAGCATGGCTTCGGATCGTCCAGGCCTCGCCAAGGAGCCATTCGATTGGGAGCCCTGCGATGTTGCACTCCTCCCACATGCCGCCAGGGTAAGCGGGTGTGAATGTGTAATATGAGTAAAGAGCCAGTTTCTGACGACAGAATCGGTCTTGATGGCGTCGGCATGAGATATCAACACCCTTTCATTCCTTCTTTCTTGCTCGTTTCTTGAGAATCTGGGCAAATGCGGTCGAATTCTCTACAGTCAACCCAGCCCTTTGGGTTGGCCCCCAAGTTTGGCGTAGCATCGTTTTTTTTTTTTATTAAAGGCGGTGGTGGGCCAGGCCACACCGGGGGGGGGACGGGTCTGAAGGCGGGGGAGGACCACCGCTCTCCCCCATACGCTTATTAGACCGAGCTAAGAAAGGGGGTCCTTTTCTGTAGTGAGAAAGCATGTTTGGCTGTTTTTTACATACTTCTGCGTGTAGGAAATACGTACATGCACAGAGAACCATGAGCTGGTGTGTGTGGAATGCGAGGATTCCGTGCCACCACTCTCGCAGGACTGTCTCGCCTGTCCACGAGCTAAGCAGCCCAACGCAACTCGATGCGATGTTTCTCCCTCGCCCGGCCGCCGGGATCCTGACTCTCTCGATTAGGCGTGGGGGGGGGCGACGCGGAAGAGCTGTCAGAAAAGCAAAATTCCGCGGTGCCCAACTCGTCGCGCGCCGGGCTGGCCTTGATTCGGCATGTGCTCCTGCGCGGCTAACGTGCGCAGACACACCGCGGACACACAAACACACAGGCCTGGGATGTAGGTACAACCGATACGTGTGTGTTGGTTAGTTTCTTCGACGTGTGGACCTGTCTTTGCCCCCCTCGGCTACTCGATAGCTGAGATCGTTCTTCCCTTCTGGTGTAATTAGTGTGCTCTCCTCAGCTTCTTGCCCATCGATCAGGGAACAACCGGCGAGGGACACGGCAGGTGGCACTGGGGGGGGCTGATCGGTAGAGCGTAGACTACTGGCGTTCCAGACCATCGAAGAGGGTATCGAGCGCGCGGGATGTTTGAGACGTTGGAAAGGCTGGACAAGACGGGTAGTCAAAAGGTAGTGTAAACACTATTAGCAGATGCGGCCGAGAAGAAGAAGAAGAGGATGGGATCCAAATTGGACTTCTCCGCGGTAGTAAGCGGCCGTGAAAAGGTTCATTCCCAGTGGCTTACACTGACTGGACCGACGTCTTTATGCACGCTTTCTCTGAGCTCTTCATTTTCCCAGCATGCCGGGTCGATGCTCCTCTCATTAAGCTTAAATGCCAGACGGGATTGCCGGTTACTGCTGTCAGGTTCGTCCGCGATGCCGTGTCTAGCATAGTCGACGTCCTGTGTGACCCAGATGTCCTGCCGAAGACCCGAGATGGGAAAATCGACAAATGCCACTCTTGGGAGCACGCTCTCTCTCTCCACCATCACCACCATCGCCACCATCCTATCTCCCATCCCACCCCCAGATCCCACAGCGGGGGCAACGAGGCAGCTGAACCCCTCTCCATTGAAGCCCGGTCCTTGCTCTATCATTCACTTTTCCTGGGACTGAGAGGTTGAAGGGTGTGATATGGGAGACGAGAACATGCTTCATGCATGGGGTGTATTGTTGGAGGAAGAAAAAGAAAAGGCGGGTCCCGGGACGCATATTGGACGATGGTGTTGAGCACGCCATTCTTGGCGTAAATGAGACCAGCGTTAAAGGATCCTCCCGATTCCAAGGGACTCGCACCCGCGCCAAACAAACACAAACAAGAGTCCACCCAGCTTTTTTCTCTCTTTATGCAGCACGCGAGTAGGTACTCTCGGTGCCATTGTCTCTTTTGGGGGGTGAAGCCAGCTTGGCAAAACTAAAATCTAAATAATAAAGAAAACTCTGGTCCTGTATCGGAGGTTTCGCGGTTGGCATGGTCTGATAGTAAAGTTTTCCCGGTAATTTCTTATGTTTCTCTTCTCATTCGATTCTTCCCATACTATCGGTGCCTCCAATCCGCTGTTCCCCCGTCCATCTTCCCTTCAGGCCGCGCCCGCGCCCAGACATCGAAGCTTCCCTCCGTGAGAATCCCGATGCCGGTACCATGAGCTTGGTGTTGCTTGTTCAGTCTGGGCACCCGCGGGAAGACACCCATCCAGCCAGCCAAGAGTCCAAGGCCATCTCAGAGAAATCTCTTCACCGGAACAAGCCAGATTGATAGCTGGGCGGCGTGTCTTGGTAGTCTTGGTCTCTCCACAAAGAGCAACTTGATCACGCGATGTGAGAGGGGGTGGGCGGAGGCGAAATCGAGAAGATGTGGGGGGGTAGGGGATGAGAATGGGGGCAATAGCCGGAGCGTGTGCAGCGCTTCCAACTTTGATATGTCTTGGACCCGATTCACTTTGAGTTCATTAGACGGCAGAGTTTTTCTCTTCAAGTGGCTGCCGGAAGTGATGCTCTGGCCAAGAGGACATACTTTGGGACTATTACGAGACCAAATCGAGGCGATTAACTGAGACAGCGTGGGGTGTCGTGTGAGTCTTCATATCCCAGCTGAACGGAAGAGACTCCTGCTAGACATGCATGCTGCCCGACGAAATGCCTCTAGACAAATGTATGAATGAGACACACCTTGCCCAACAAGCATACCAGTGGAAGCGAGATGTAGGCGAACTGTAGGGTCTATCTCGTCGTCCGCCCGCCCCATCGACACCGTGCGTCTGTGATGTGTGTGCGAAAGTGTGCATGGGTATCCCTAGCCAATAGCTGAGACGGTCGATCATATGGCATACTTGGGATGGCACATCCTTCGCCATATGATCTTCGCGGCTGAGAGTCACGACGGCATCATCACGAAGGCTAGGCGGCGTCAGTGGTGACGGATGTGGCTCAGAACACAATCGATCTTCGTTATTCCTCATCGCGCTTCAAGCGGCCTCGTCCTTGATTAGATGTGAATGAACAAGCAGAAAGGTTACAGCCTCTGAATGTCGCCATACGCTTGAGCACTCCGAGCTACGGATAGCAGCTGTCCCGGAGATGCAATGTCTTTCACGCGTCACCCTTACATGCGCCGTCTTGACCAGGGATGTTCACCGAATAGGCACTGGATATGATGCGTTGGGAAGAGAGCCGGAAGTAGAGGATCAGAGGGCGCGGACTTTCTTACTCGAGGGTATGTAATCGTGTGGGCGAATGAGTTCACGCTTCATTCTGCAGCCTCACTGACACCCCTTTTCTTCAGTCCACACCTGTGCCAGACATCACAGCGGAATGGTCCTATAACCTAGCTGTACAGTGAGTTCACTAGTTCCAGAAGAATCATGAGCATTGATCGGACTAGGGTACTCACTTTATTGAGAGAGGCCCCCAAGGAGGCCTCATTGCTATACATTATCACGGCCATTCGAAGAGACGGGATCGCGGGGATATCCAGCCTTTGCACCATCGTTGGCCTCACATGAAAGCTCTCGGCACTCATTAGCACGAGCATCCAGACTTGGCCTTAGCAAAAGGAGAGAAGAAACACAACCCGCTACCGGATGGTGCCGAGGGTTTCTGCGTCTGGACGTGCATGAACAGGCTCCAGAGCAAACGGGGCCTTCTTTGGTGGAAATCCCAATGCTCTGGTCCCGAAGGCGCATCGCATCATGTAGGCAGGCGCAAGACAGGCAAAGAGGCCGCACGCCTGGCTGTACAATTCCAGAAAGCTGCGCCGACCAATCTACTACGTACGCTCAGCGGCCATGGTGGCCAGCCTCTGGAAACCTGGCCCTCTGCTGAAATATGCCAAGAGGCCGTCTCGGTGTTTTATGAGCACGTCATCGCCAGTCGGGCAAAGCAGGCCGAGCCCGCGCTGTTTGAGAGCAAGGTATCTCGAAAGGGGCCAGGATGTTTGATGATAACAGCCCGCAACGGTGGATACTATTTGGGATGAGCTTCTACAAATTATGCGGTCAGCAGTTTCGGAATCACATTTCAAATTTCTATTGATGATGGTCTTCCGTCGCCCACTGCCGCCGGTTTTGGCGGGGCCGCTCCGAGGCCGTTCTCCGCCCCGGCACCAGGGCTTCGGTCTCCAAGGGGGCGGGCAGTCTCATTTTTTTCACCTCCCTCGCTCCATTGAGATGTGAGCCACGCGATTCATTTGTGTACAGTGAGGTCATCTGTCAATGTAAAACAACCGGGAACGCTGTTGTAGCTTGCGAAATACGTTGTGAGGGCGTCAGGATCGCGATATCTCCGCATCAGCGTCGATGTCGACGGGACAAACACGGTGGAGCAAGTCGTCAATGATCGCAAACCCCAGCGAGGGCATCAATTACGCCATTGCTACAATCTTGGAGTTCACTAAGATTGTAAGATTGAGCCGAGTGAAATCGCCTTCGTGACCTTCACCACGACACACTCTTTCAACGTCGTCGTCAAAAGAGATTCTGCTTTTCTGGCACCTGTTCTAGTCATCAGACTGACGAGCTAGTTCTCCAAGCAGGGTCCGCCTTATTTGGACTGGCCGGAGGATCTTCGCGATCTGACGGTAGACTACTATGCAGTTTGCAAGGGAGGCCTGGAGGTGGATGGTACTTTGATCTCTGACATTGATCCCGATGAAATCAAAACACAATGCGCGGGAATTTGAGAGAAGGGTATCAAGAATGTGGTTATGGGCGACATCTTCAGCCCAATCGACACGATCGAAAGACAGGAAGAGCGAGCAGCCGATATTATCCGCTCAGAGATACCTCACCTTCTCCAAAGACGTCACTAACCTGGACATTCAAGAACCAGAGAATGCGGCAATCCTCAACGCAACGGTATCAACCTTTGCTCGCAAGGCCGTCAGATCGTTCCAGGAGCTCGTCAAGAGACTACACCTCAACTGCCCCGTCGTCATCTCTCAAACCGGCGGCACTATCCTTTCGGGAGAGATAGTCGCCAACGGGATATTCTACAGCGGCCCGACAAACAGCATGCGAGGAGCCGCCTCTCTGGTGCCGGATCAACAGCTCAGCGAGGGTGCCGCCGTCATGGTCATCGATACTGGCGGCACGGCGACCGACGTCGGCGTCCTACAGGCCAACGGTCTCCCCCGCCAAGAAGCCGCTTACAACAAGTTCGCTGGGTCCGCTTCAACTTTCTCCTACTCAGACGTCAAGAGCATCGGTCTGGGCGAGGGTTCCATGGTCCGGAAGGGTGCCGAATAGCTTACCGTCGGCCCCGATAACATCGGCCACAGGATCAAGGCGGGGGCTGTCGTCTCTGGAGGGTCCACGTTGCCCACTACAGACTGCGCCGTCCTCGCCAACTCGACGTCGTCGCAACCCTCGTCTGCTCCCATCGGAGACGCCACCTTGGTCCAGGGTGCGCTCGATGACCAGAAAGTGGCTCAGTTCACCGCCATTGTCAAGCAAAAGCTCGAAATGGTGATTGATACTTACTATGGAGACCTCGTCCGACGACATTCCCGTCCTCCTCATTGGCGGCGGCGCCGTGATTGCGCCTTGTAAGCTAAGGTGGGCTAGCAGGGTGCTAAAGCCCGAATAGGCGGGCGTCGCCAACGCGATAGGCGAAGCGATTGCACGTGTTAGTGCCACCGTTGACACGGCTCAACTCGACGGAGTCTAGATCGACCCACGGCGATCCCAGGTGAGGTGGGGAACAAGGCGAAGGAGAAGGGCATCGCCGCGGGTGCGGTTCCTTCGTCTGTTCGGATCGTGGATCTGGGTACGATACCACTGGCTGTAAGTGATCTCAGGAATCCGGAGACGTGGATCATCTCAGCTGACACACTATATACATTGCCAGCAAATCAAGCTTCATTATGCGTGCCGCCGGTGACTTTGATTTCTCTCAAATCGATCTCTGTTCCGGATCCCAAGATAGCAAGGATGAAAGTCAGTCCGAGGAGGTGCCATCTCCCGAGTCGCAAAGACTACCCCCGTGGTCTTTAACAAGCGGAACCCAATCTGAATGCCCGTGACCATGAGCGCCGGGAATGGGAGCATCGTCACAATGTCGCGCGCGTCTTCGGACAATCAGGTCGAGCAGGCGATGCGTGCGGCCTGGCGGGGATGGGCTCGCAGGTGGCCGTCGCTGACCCGCCGGTGACGGGAGCCGAGACTAAGAGGTGGGCGATGGAACATACCAATCCCCAGTCGTGGCGGATCTGTCGAGCTGTTTTGAAGGCGAGGAAGTTTACCTCCCTGGTCATTGTTGCGGAGACAAGCATCGTGGACCTCTGGCGGGCAGGGCTTGGCAAAGGTTCTCTTCAAGGGCAAGACAGTGGGCGTCGAGACAGTGCTCAGGAGAGATCACGTCTACGGGGGGCTTTTCATTGAAGTTCCTGATATCTCTGGCCCATTTTGGGCCAGGGCATGACAGAAGCAACCAGCAGTTTACAGGATACCGAAGATCTCGTTCAAAAACAAGAAAATTGCTGCAATCAGGGCTATATCTGCTACATCCGGGCCACGAGAAGCTGGGAAATCACAACAGGAAGATATCCTCGCTCTTGTGCCAGATCTTATCGTGGCCATTAACGCATAAAACGGCGAAGCCATTGGAACACCTGAATACAAATCCGGACTATTGGCCATCGTTCTAGGGATTGCAGCTAGTGACCGGCGGACGGGCTCTAAGAGAGGTCTTGAGGTTGGTGGGCCTGAAGCTTTCGGGTAACCCCATTCGAAGTATCAATCATTGGGTAGCTTCGTGAAGACTAGGAATTTCATGGACGAGTTCAACACAGAGGATGCCTAGACATGAAAGAGATGACATCCTTGAAGCGCAGTAGTAGAATAGCACCAGGGAGAATAGCGCACGTAGACAGCGGTTATTCACCTTAACCTAAAGGTGCAGATCTAGGTCCCTAAGGAAGCTCTGTTGGTTTGGATACTTTCCCGGGATAGCTTTGTCCAATCACATGGCCGTGACACGAACCTCTTCCAAAGCTTCCGCGAGAAGCTCTGCCCGGATCACGCTAGGGTCTGGCATCTCGTTCGTTTGGCCTCCGACGGCATAGTCAAACACTAGAAAACTTGAAAAAGAGAAACGTTTCAAAAATCACAGAGAGATCGGACAAACAGCCTGCACAGCCGGATTCTTTTCTATTGCGGAAAGTGTACTGGTGTCATGATCCTTCAGACTAGGGGTTAACTCTAGACTATTAAGTCTCGATCAGCCTTGAAGACTATTTTTTTTTCCATTTTAAGAAGAGTACTTGTCATCGGAAATACCAGTTGAGCAGCAACCGATCATAAAAGCCGACCGGAAAGGAGTGCCGCATGATGGAGATGTGCAACTGAGACGGACAGACACCTGTTAACCATGTTACAGCAAACTCTGCCCTAGTTCGTCCAATTTGTATGCCTTCTATCTACAGCTTCTCGAAGCCGAAATACGACGAGTGACTCTCCAGAGTGACATCGCCATGCCGGCAGACAAGCCGGCGGACAAACAGGGTGGCGGCCGTCAATCCATACCCACGGACCCAAACATCCGCACTCGAGTGGGAAACAAACGACAGGAATCGCTCACCAAGAGTGAAAAATAAGTTCGTTTCTGATATGAAACGGTTGGGTTTGCGAAGCGACATGCCTGTTTCCCGCCCCATTCTTTGAGTTTCTTTTGCAACTGTCGGGTCAAAGCGGGCTTCCGATCAATGCGACGACGGGACCGAGACCACGTTATTCGTTTACCGCGTGCAATCTCAGCTGAAGGAAGCCTTGTTAGAGCTGACATATTCAATGCAACCATGAAAAGATGATGAAAGTTTACACCATCCGGTCCATGACAAGTCTTCCTGCGGGGTCGGAATCGAAGTAAATGGCTGTTTTTTTGCCGTTTGCGCCATGATGCCCAATGGCCGCCTCAAGTTGGCATGTAGGGCCTTCTCAGGACAGCCCGAAAGAAACTCTACTGGACTTGAGACCAATTTAGCTTTGATGTTTCGTCACGCGTTGGCCGGGCCAGCTATTTATTATTTGTATGATACGGATCATAAGAAGTTTTTGATGCGTCGGCTGCTGTCGGCTTCGTCCTTCACTTGTTGTGCTTGTTGTGCAAGTAGGAATCATCAACACCAAAGTCACGATGTGGAGCGAGTTGTGGTCTTTCCATGGCGCCGCGGCCTTGTTCCGCTGGTTTCTCATGCCAGACACTCATCTGCCCTCGCTATCACACGCAGCCTCACATGCGGCTCACGACGCCGCACAGGCTGCCTCTAATTGGGTATCCGGCTCCTCTACCGGCCTGACAAATTCGGCCGCAGTCGAGGCGTTGGACGATTTCGACGCTCTGCAATACGTTGACCCCCTCATCGGCTCCAAGAATGGCGGCAACGTCTTTGTCGGCGCGACCTTGCCATATGGCATGGCAAAGGCCTCCGCGGACACCAACAGCAGCTCGAATCAGGGCGGCTTCACTTTGGACGGGAACCCTGTGACCGGCTTCTCGACCATGCACGACTCTGGCACTGGCGGACAGCCATCGCTTGGGAACTTCCCGCTGTTTGCGTATACTACTTGTCCCAGCGGAGTTATCAACTGGTGCACGTTTCCGAAGAAGTCGAGGGCAAAGTATGGGTATTTTAATCAGAAAGACGTAATCGCAAAGCCGGGGCTCTTCAACATCACTCTGAAAACCGGCATCCGGGTTGAGATGACGACGACCGAACGAGCTTCCCTCATCAGGTTCAACTTTCCACAATCAGGGCAGCCTCTCATCCTTCAAGACCTTTCCGATCTGGGCGATACGCGGCAAGACAACGGAACGATCAACGTGGACCCCGAATCCGGACGCATCACGGGCAACGCTCGCTTCCAGCCAAGCTTCGGCACCGGCACCTTTGTCTTGTACTTTTGCACCGACTTCCAGGGCGCCGAGATCCTCGACACGGGCATCTTCGCAGACAGCCGCGCGAGCACAGAGGTCAAGAACATGACCATTTCGCGCTCCATCAACGGGTACCCCTTGCCCGGCGGCGCCTTTGTGCGGTTCAAGTCCGCGGACCAGCCCATCACCGCGCGCGTCGCCACCAGCTTCATCAGCGAGCAGCAGGCATGCGAGCACGCCGAGGGCGAGATCCCCGACTACAACTTTGAGAGGGTCTCGGGCGAGGCGACGGCGATATGGCGCCGCAAGCTCAGCCCCATCAAGATCAACACGGACCGCGTGGACAAGTCGTTTGCGCGCAACTTTTACAGCGGCATCTACCGGACCATGATCAATCCGCAAAACTACACGGGCGAGAACCCGCTATGGGAAAGCGACGAGCCGTACTGGGACTCTTTCTACTGCCTGTGGGACTCGTTCCGCTCCCAGATCCCATTCCTGGTGATTATCGACCCGACTTCGGTCGCGCAAATGGTCAGGTCCCTCATCGACACGTACGTCCACCTCGGCTGGCTACCAGACTGCCGCATGAGCTTGTGCAAGGGGCTCACCCAGGGCGGGTCGAACGCGGACAACGTCCTGGCAGACGCCTACCTGAAAAACATCACCGAAGGCATCGACTGGGACCTGGGCTTCGAAGCAGTCAGGAAGGATGCGGACGAAGAACCGTTTGACTGGAGCGTCAACGGCCGCGGCGGTATGAAGAGCTGGAATAAGTTGGGCTACATCCCCGTGCAGGATTTCGACGTCATGGGCTTCGGGACTCTGACGAGGAGCGTCTCGCGGACGCTGGAGTACAGCTACAACGACTTTTGCATCGCGTCCATGGCCGACCGCATGGGACGTGGAGACGAACGGGAAAAGTATCTTGCCTCGGCCAGTAACTGGCGCAATCTGTACAAGCAGGACCAAAAGTCGGCCTTCTTCAACGGTACCGATACCGGCTTCAGAGGGTTCTTTGAGCCAAAGTTCCTCAATCAGACTTGGGCCTACCAGAACCCGCTGAACTGCAGCAATTTGGACGGGCAAAGCTCATGTTCTTTGCAGAACAATGGACCAGAGACCTTTGAAAGCAGTCTATGGGAGTATGGCTTGTAAGTTTTCGTATAATTTCATCAGGTGGGAAGGCCTCGGATGACTGACCTTTACAGCTTTGTTCCTCACGACCAAGGAACGCTCATCAACACCCTCGGCGGTCCGGACGCCTTCGTCCGCAGGCTCAACTTCTTACATGAGCAAAACATCACCTACATCGGCAACGAACCAGCTTTCCTTACCGTATTCCAGTACCACTACGCCGGTCGTCCAGCCTTGTCAGCAAGGCGAGCCCACTTTTACATTCCTGGCTCCTTCTCGCCCAACCCAGGCGGTCTTCCTGGTAACGATGACAGTGGCGCCATGGGATCTTTCCTGGCCTTCTCCATGCTGGGTCTCTTCCCGAACCCTGGACAAGACGTCTACCTGATCATCCCGCCCTTTTTCGAGAGCATCGAAGTGACGCACCCGCAAACGGGCAGGACAGCAAAGGTCCGCAACATCAACTTTGATCCGACGTACCGCAACATTTACATTCAAAAGGCGACCCTGAACGGACAACCCTACAGAAAGAGCTGGGTTGACCACAAGTTCTTCACCGAGGGCCAGGAGCTGGTACTGACTCTGGGCCGGCGGGAGAGTGACTGGGGGACGAGGGTCCAGGATCTTCCGCCGAGCCTGGGCCCGTACGAGGGATTCAACCGCACGTTTCCCTCCAATCGTACCACCAGAATTGTAGATACAGGGGTTGTAGATACGACATACAAGAGCGATTTCGGGCATTCCGGGGCGGACTTGAACGTGTAATTCTGGGTGGGTCGGATATGGAATTATTGCAGACAGCGGTTACTATTATAGAATCTTTCCTCGGGTCATTTGGAATACCTTTTCTAAGTTTCAGTCGTTTGCAAAATTTCGAGAGAAGCATGTTTTTTTTTCATGAATCCTTTTGCATGATCATGCTGGTGCCTTTCTCGTCTACATCCGTCCACTTTTAATCCCAGACTCCTTCGCCGCTGTAAGTCGCCTCAAGTCCCCCCGTCACAAACGCCACAACTCTTCAGAACCAAAAATGATTGTCTTAGGCCCTGTCTTAGGCCCAGTTCAACGCCTTTTGGGAGTACACTTCGTTCTTCTTTGTAGGAATGTCATCAAACAGGGACGCCTTGATGAGAGCTTTACCAGGGATTGCCTTGGTTGTGGTCTTGACAGGACTGCAAAAAAGTGTAAGCGGATCACGGGGCAATTTAGTGAATCAGTCTTACCTTCCACATTTTCCGCAGAAGGACCGCTGTGAGCAGAGTGTCAAAAACAGATTCTCTAAGCTTTGGAGAGGAAGTTTGTGACTTACTTGTATGGTGTTTCCGGAATCAGTATTCGAATCCAAGTAGTCTGTCAGAGTGTTTTGGCTGTCGTCAATCTCCCATTCACCATCTTCGACAAAGAGGTTCATGGAAAAGGCTGCCCGATAAAGTCAGACTCGCAAAAACAGAGTAGTAGATGGGAGTCAAACGTACGACCACCGGCACGTTTGCAATTTGCACTAATTTTACCTGCATTAGTTTTCGGTTCCTGGCCAGACCAGATAAGAGGCAAGGGGTGACTTACCAGTGACAGACAACAATGCTATCGGGCTTCGTCTTGACGGTCACCTTGACCGAGCCACAGTTGCAATGACCCTTGTACGGTTCCATGTTGATTCAATGTGGTTGGAAATGAAGTTGTAATATATCGAGTTGATACAAACACTGAATGCGCACGGGGTTGAAGTGTGAGGCAACAGGAGACAGAATGGAGGTGTGTTTTTCTTAAATTCTTTCCCCCAAGATACCAAACTCACCCTCCCTTCAGATGATGACGAATCAAGTGATTTTAGTCAGGGTTTACATTACCAAGCTGTCAAGCGCCTGAAGTCTGAGTCAACCCCCGCTTGGAGATCGAGGAATGTTGCTTTTCCTAGTTCCGGAAGACAGCGGAGCTTGAAACCTAGTTCCGAGCGATCCATGTGGGGGAGAAGAGGGGTCATGATGTCGTTCGGCGGGGATCCGATCTAGCTGCACCCGCATGTCGTTACGGGCCGTTGAGATTGTCGATATCATTACGATGGACATGGTTTACTGCCGACATGCTTCGGGGATTTCACCGTCATTTGATGCCGTGTAACCCCACCAAACCACCCGGTGGTCAGAAAAGCGCACACCCTACACCGCACATTCCCGAATTCCTATTCAACTCATACATACCTAAAAATATACACCATACAGTAAGAAGTGATGAAATTTAAGCTGATTGGAAAGTTCTTCAAGCAGCTTATTAATTACTGTTTATAAATGTGTTTTAATTATACTTTTACGAGTCTATTTAGTACCTGTGTACCTACATAGCTGCTGTGGATGTCAAACTGCTTGTCAGATATGCGCCTTTTTCTGACCACCGGGTGCCCACTACCCTCGTACGAAAGGCAAATAGCCGGCAAATCCGGCAACTTGTAGTCCCTTTGAACTTCCGTCAATATTGGGTGAAATACCTACACGTAGCCAATGGTGCTCAGGTCCAATCGCTCCACCTAGAACCCTTCCAATACACAGCTCCGTCGTGCTCAAACTGCGGCCCTTCCGCCTCGACGATGTGCCCTAGCTCGCAATGATCAAACTGCACCCTCGTCTGTTGGGTATAAAACTCGTCGAAGCGCGGCGCCAGGGCTTCGAGCAGACTGCCGACGTTGCCTGAGGGGTGCAGAGCCTGCCACGGCCGCGAGCACGTTGTTCCCTTGCAGGACTTGAGGACGAACAGGAGGGAGTCGAGTCTAGGCAGGACCTTTTTGAGAGGGTGGCCGAGAATGGTGGCACCCGCAGCCAGGGCGGCTTCGTCGGCGTGCAGGAGGTTGTGAAGCTGGCCAGGGTCCGTCTAGATGGGATAAATTGTCAGCATGAGGTTTCGGTGGTGAATGAGCTAGAGTTGTTTTTTTGGAGTAAGGGATGAGGATGGAATTGACTTTGGCTGTTCGTATCTTGATAAGTCACGGCCACATCCCTGTCATCAGCAAGCGTCTTGCTCA